TAGCTGTGGGGGAAGGTATCGGTCCAGATGTGTGCAACAAGGAGTGGGGAGGGTGACAAGACCATAGTGCCAGTCCAAGAGTGGAGGACAGTGGTCCACCAACTGAGCTCAGCAAGAGTGGGGCAAGGAATCCATCAATGGGAGAATAGCCTGTGAGAGTGGCGAGTGCAATCATACAGGCAATGGAGGAAAGCTTTGCCACAGGGGAAAACCTGGGAGACAAAGTGGAGAAGGCCAGAGATGCGTTGCATGTCGAGGAAGCCAGCAGTGCCCCGTGTAAGTGGTCACGCGCCAGAAACCAGATTGGGTGTTTCCAATTGGTATCAGTGAGGTCAAACAAGTAAGATCTACTCAGGATTTTCAACTAATGTAACCAGATGGCTTTGTACTGGTAGGTCTCAGCTGACCACCTTGAATACTCTGTTCAGAGGTTGCACAGCATGTCTGTTATTCTCTGGAGGGAGAGTGGTACACTCTCCTTTACAGTATGAGTGTTTGTAGTACTGTTGCTAATGCTCTCTAAACATTGTCTGGACCACAATATGCTTATTGCCTACAGAGGATGGGAGTTACTGGACCACAGGTGTTGGACACTGCCTACAATAACTGACTGGACTGCAGATGTTGAGCAAACACCACCTACAGTAAGGGACTGGACTGCAGGTGTTGAGGAACACCACCTACAGTTGACACCTAATGGTGATACAACACACACATTTGAGGTGTCATTGCAAAGCTCTGCTATTGCAATGATATGTAACTATGAGTCAAGTAAAGAGTATGTAAAGTATAGAGTAGAGTGGATGAGGATCCACTTGTATGCTATGGTAGAATGAGAGTATTTATGCATTCACTTGGTGTTGCCTGCAACACCTCTCCTACTCCTCCTGAGAGGCCTTTGCCTCCTCTTGACACCCTCTCTCCTGCTGGTGTCAACCCCTTTGATGCTGCACCTCTACTGTTCACACAGCATATTGATTTGTGTGCTACTGCCCCTTGTCAGGGGTCTCGCGCCTGAAACCCAGGTCGGTCTGTCGAGATACTCGGTGACTATCAAACTGTGTGACAGCTATTGTCTCAGTATTGGTCTCGATGAGCTAGTCATTTGGCGACTATCAAGTTGCACAATGACAGCAGGTGGCTTTTGTTGTATATACTATCGTAGGTTTCGGCTGACCTCTGTGGACACTCCGTTCAGGGGTAGCTTGGCACAATCAATAACAATGCATAGGTTATGATGACACCAAGGTCTGGTGTGAGTGTTGATGATGATGAGGTTGATGGTGTTGGTGATAAGGTTGGTGGTGTTGGTGATAAGGTTGGTGGCATCAACATGAGTGTTCAGTGTGTTGACTGATGCTTGAGGTGATCCCTGGACCGCAGTGGACTACTGCCTTTGGTTCTATCTATATCCAGACCGCTGACCTGCTATGGGTCGCCTTCGGACATCAGGTAGTGGTGATACAACACATGCACTATGATGAGGAGCAACCTTGATAGATTGCTGCTATGCTGACTGAAACTAATATATACTTATGCTGAAGTGATAACTAGTTATGATGGGTGTGTAGAGTGGATGAAGATCCACTCAACCTTTGATGATGAGAAAGCATGGTTATATACCTCTTCACAGCATCGCCAGCAATGCTGCTCCTGCTCTCTCTCCAGAGAGTACCTTCTTCATCGAGTACTGTTCAGGAGGCCTCTCCTGCTTGCTTGGCACCCTTGTGCCTCCTGAGTGGTGTCGACTCCTTCGACACTGCTCCTCCTCCTCAGGACCTGCTTGCTGGTTCCCTATACACTGCTCCTTCTCCTTTGACTGGTGACGGTTCCTTTGACTCTTGTCTCTCAAGCCCCTGAGTGGTAACCATCTGCATGCTCCTTGAGCTTGGTCCTCTTTGTGGCTGTGCCTGGCCCTCCTTGCATATGGGCTTGGTCCTCCTTTGCATGTGAGTCTGTAGGAGTCCATGGTCTCCATGGAGACTGCACTACGGCCATGCTCTCTAATGGTATTGACTAGATCTTCAATACCTGTGCTCCTTCCATATGAACCAGTGACCCTCCTGCTTCTTGAGCATTCAGGCCCATGACACCCCTTTACCTCCATACTCTTCTTTGCCTGGTGATGTGTGTCGACCCCTTTGACACAGCTCCTCCTCCTTGTAGACAATCCCCACTCTGCTTGACACAGCTCCTTCTCTCTTCACTGGCAACTACCTTCTTGACCTTATCTTGTGAATCCCTTAGCCACCTGTCAAGTCCTGTTGCTAAGCCCCCTTGATCATGTGGTTGCCCCTGTGCTCAGTCCCCTGTGGCTGTACACATGTACCCCTTGAGTGGTAACCATCTGCATGATGCTGAGCTCAGTCCCCAATCCTGCATGTGGTTATCTCCCATATGCTTCTCCTTCTATTGCCAGTATCCTCCTTCCTGAATCTCCTGATGCTTGCTCATGATGGCCAACTTGCTGAGACATGCTGATCAGGCTGATTCCAATCAATCCTTGTGAGATTAACCAGGATCCCAGAATTCAGTTGATCTCACAAGCCATATGCACTACCAACCTGATTAGATTGTTGATTCCTGATGATTGCCATAGATCAATTTGGCGCACACTTCATACACTGGTCTGCTGACCCTGTGACAACGCATTTCTACTACAGATATCAGGTTTCAGGCACGCAACCCCTGACACTACGTTCTAGCTCTATGGCAAAGGTGTATAGTAACTGCAATGCTTAATATTTCTTGGACTAGGACTACAGTATCATGTAAGTATATATACCTTTGCTTCGCCTATGAGGAAGTCTATCATCACCTTGTGAACTAAGTGTGTCATGAGGAGCCTTGATGTTGTTTTCCTTTAGCCTCGGCATTCTTCTTCCAAAATGTATCCTGATTGGTTGCCACACAAATTACCATGCATGCGCGATCCTGAGTCTGTCAGTGACTCGGCTTTCTTGCATGTTTGTCATTCCGGAGCATTTTCAACTAGCTCACTCGACATATCTTGCTCAGTTGAAGTTATGCGATACACCTCTTCGTCTGGGCTACGTTCTAGCTCCTTTCGCACTGGTGTATGGTAGATGCAATGCTTGGATTCAGATAGACTAAGACTACAGTAATGTGAGGATATATATACCTTTGCTTTGTTCATGAGAATGGCTATTCACACCCTGTAAACTAGGTGTGTCATGAGGAGCCTTGGTGTTTTCCTCCTTAGTCTCAGTGTTCCTCTCTCTAAACATGTCCTGATTGGTTGCCACCAAAATTATTATGCATGCACAATCCTCAGCCTGTCAGTGGTTTGGCTCTCCTGCATGTTTGTCATTCCGGTGCAACTTCAACTTGCTCAAATCTGCCAGAACAAGCTCTTCCAGCAGATTTCCGATTTCAGGCGCACGACCTCTGACACCGAGTTCGAAGGCAGGCGAAGGTTAGGGCATCATTGTTAGAGTGTCGCAATCAGACAAAGCAGATTGTGCTATTTTGTTGACGGCGCCGTGCGTGGTCTGCTATCCGAACTGAGATGCTGCAGCCGCCATTGTTGCCACTGAAGATGTCAACTTTGACAGTTACAGTATCCAAAGAGGTGCTGCAAATCGAGATCGTTGTCTGATTAGGTACGGCCGTGATTCGAGGGATTGCTTTGCGTGATCGCACTTCGGTGTCGCGGTGTTCAAAGCAAAGCATAGGTAAGACCGAGATGAGGCGGTGCTGCATCCAAGACGCCGAGCTACAGGTGAGCTGCGGTCCAATCACGTCTACTCACAGCTCAGGTGCTGATTTGTGCATAGGAGCGAAGGGCCCACTTCTCCTTCAGATCTTTCTGCAGGCCAATTTTTCCGTTCGACCCAAACGTGAACCACGGCCTTGCTCAAGCTCTACCTTCTTGATCCCTCCGTGAGAAGCTCAAAGACCACGTTGTCGTTGGCAGCCGGGGGCAACCACGCTGATGACTACCTACGGGCCTTTACTCTAGCTGGAGAGGACGCCGTGATCACACACCCTAACCCTCGTTTGGTCTTGGCGAACCCTCAGCCTCCCACAGGTGGGTCGTGGTTCCTCCTGATGTACTCTGGCAAACAATCAGTGCAGGTCCCTTTGCGTGGGTTTTAGCTTTGTCAACAATTTGTTCGCCGTAGCCACGGCCTAGCTACACCCATCGCCAAGACATGCGATTAGGATCACTGCGATGGGCGCGAGATTAACAAGACGGAGGTAACAAAATGGAGACCAACTGGTAGTACAATGACTGGTGCGCTCAATAGAGACCTTTTACAGAGTTCACCCTTCGGACTGGTCAGGAGCTGTTGTGCATCCGCTCAAAGTGCCTGAGGGTGGAGTTCCGTATCGCGAATAGTGAGGCTGCTGAAGATTGCTCGACACCGGTCGCTTTTCACATGTAGAATACCTTCCAACGCCTCCCTTGAGGCGTTTCGAAACTCAATCAATCGATCGCACCAGTCCCATTCTTTCTCAAGCCATACAGAACGATAGAAACACAATATGCTTACACACATATTTGTATCATGACAAAACGCCAAGGTTTTGCATTGCTTTTCGTTTCATAAGTGCTTCTCGCGACAATAAAGCTCGACGCCCAACTGAAGTGAATTTTCGGTCTTGGCGAAAGAAGTGAACTTTCGATGTGGGTGTGTGGATGAAACGAGTGGGGTTTGCTGCCAATGAGAAGAATGAGGGCAGGATGAGGGCAAAAGGGGGTCACGAGATCGGGGTGAATGTCGGTTTTGTCGGTGTTGTAGCATAGCACCGGATCGTGAGCCCGCCGCCAAGGGTCATGATCTGGATAATTGTCCGAGAAGCAAAAGGAAAGGGGCACTTGAAGAGAAGAAGGAGAGATGGTGAGGCTGAGAGGATATAAAGCCGCTTGGGCCATTGCTTATTTCATCGTTCTCAAGCCATCAAGTATCAACATGCTGGCAGATGTCACCTAGCATCGCCTGCGTAGATTATCTTCCTTACACGCCAGCCGCAAAATGCAACTCACCCTACTGTCTCACTGCAAGCGCCTCTTCCTCGCGATCCTCATCTGCACCACCCTCCTCTCCATCAATGTCACCTCAGCAGTCATACAAAACGGCGAGGAAGTCAAAACAGCCGAAAAAGCCATCGATGCCATCAAATCAGCCGGACATTGGTTTATCAAACCTTACGATGTCCCTTCCCTATCAAGTCCTCGCAGAAGCGTTCTTCAAAGGCTGAAGAGCTTCTTCAGTCGAGTTCCGATCAAGATCAGCCAGACGGGTGATGCTACCATAGTGGCAAACAGGGGAACCAATTACCGAATGGTTCGGTTTGGATCGAAAGATAATGTATTCGTTGTAGCTCCGCGGAGTAAGGAAACGTTCCATGGTCTGACGGCAAAGGAACAGGAATATATAGTTGTTCACAGGGTGCCTTCTGTTCAGAGGATTACCCTAGTTGAAATTCAGCCTACCCAACCTTGAAGGAGTGGCAGAGTTGATGGTAGGACGCGGTTTTATTACGTATGGCAACGACGAACGGTATGTACAGATAGCGGATGGATGACGTTGATGAAGAGCGAAACAACTAAGTCTTGCGCTTTATGTATCTATCATGCGAAGCATGACGGGGCAACTATCTTTTGTTGATATTTGGTCCCGATAACTGGCGATCGGGTAGAGTTGAAGATGTGTCGGCATCCCAAGCAGGGTTACATGAGTTTTAGCCGAGACACCGAGGGACCGAAAACTGAGAAAATGTAAAGAAGTATAGTCCTGATAACTGGTGATTGGGGAGAGTCCTAGTATGATGTCACCACTACTTTTAAGGCAGATACATATACAGCTTGCATGTAAACTGTCCCATGATTTTACAGTTGTGTCCAAAATTGCCTGGCATCTAATTAATTTGATATGGTGTTCTCAGGTCCTTTTCATGATGATGACCAGTACTCTTTGTTCTCTTTGACAACACCCACTTTGTGTGGTATGGTTGCAAAGCTTGGATAGCCTGCTATCAGAATATGTGAGAAAAAAAGGGTGGTCCCACCAAAGAATATGCTGGAATTTAGGTTGGCACTCTTTGAAGCCCCTCCTCCTCCTCAATTAATTCTGTACCTTGTGTAACTTATCACTTTGCACAGAATTGAGCTAATAGACCATGCTCAAAACTTCATATGATTGTAGTATGATATAAACAAAGATGTTTCAGGGTGTTTTGATGAGCTTAGGACATCATATGGCAATACTGCTGTCAACATGGCAAGGAGGGCAAAAAATCAATATGGGGAGGACTAAATACACCACCACTCACCTAGCAACTAAACTGTCTATCAACAAATCTAGCATTGCTGAACTGGCAAAACAGGTACCAGAGAGTGAATATGTGAAAAGGACCCCTGGGAGGCCCCTCCTCCTCTCCTCATGCCAACAGGCATCACTCACCAGAGGAATTAGCAAGAATTCTTATACTTTGGCTACTGAAGCTTCAGCCTACTGGCTACAACACTATCAACTTCATTTGTCCAGACAAACCATTACATGCATGCTGAAGTGAGCTGGACTTAAGTTTAGGGCAAAAAGAAGAAAACCCTTGCTCACAGATAAACATAGGAAGGCAAGGAGGGTGTTTGCCAAGGAGTATAGACATTGGACTGTTGAACAATGGAAGAATGCTATCTGGAGTGATGAATGCAAGGTTCAATGCTTTGGAAAGGGCTTGGAAAAGCAATACTGGTCCAGGGATGTCAACTATGATATATATATACCTACACTGCAGGGGGGTGGCCACAGCATCATGATTTGGGGGTGTATGACCTGGGCAGGCCTAGGTCTAATGGTCTATATAGATGAAAAACTGAATTCAGAGTGTTACATTGAGTTGCTGGAGGAAGCAGTGCCTGGTAGCATCTTGAAGTGGAAGAATATACAGAGAATTCCACCAAGGGATAAACTGATCTTTCAGCAAGACAATGCCTGCCCTCACACTGCCAAAGTTGCCAAGGAGTACCTGGAGGAGGTCAAACTCAATGTATTGCCCTGGCCTGCAATGTCTCCAGACCTGAATCCTATAGAACATGTGTGGCAGCAGCTGAAAAAGCAGCTATATCAGCAAAGATATACTATCAACAATAAAGCTCAACTCATTGCAGCTATCAACAGGTTTTGGGCAACTTTTCCCAAGGAATCAGTCCAGGCACTCATAAAGTTGATGCCCAGGAGGTTACAGGCTGTAAGGATTGCAAAAGGGGGCCATACAAAATACTAAAGTATAGTATATAGTAATTTAGGAGGAGCTTTACACTCAAAAAAAGTCGTGGCACTTTCACTGTGCACAAATGTGGTCCAATCACAACAAAACTTATATGCACTTGTAGCTCTCAATCTCAGCTTTCCAACAGTATGTCACAAGCTACACTTCATTGAGGATATCAGCTCTTGAGAAGTGAAGTTGATGTGTGGTGATGAGCATTTAATTATCCTAAAAGATGCCAGGCAATTTTGGATGTGACTGTACATGTCACCATGATTTTACATGTCACCACACATCACTCCAATGCTCAATAGCCATATGTTGTATCACCACACTGTCTGATATCATCTGAAAGCTCTGCTTCTTCTCTCCAAGACTGTGTAATTGATATTGACATTGCCTGAGAAAATTGTGCTTTGAAGAAGAGCTGAGAAAATTTTGCTATTGCAGGTTTCGACTAACCACTGTGGACACTCCGTCCAGAGGTAGCTCGGCACAATCAATAACTGATATGAACTGGTACTAACACCAAGGTCTGGTGCTGATGATGTTGTTGGTGCCAACACAAGTGTCAAGTGTGCTGACTGAGTGACTGAGTGATCCCTGGACCACAGTGGATGATGCCTTTGGTTCTAATGATTGGGAGAGCCAGACTGCAGTGTGAACTGCCTTTGGTGTTGATCGATATCTGGACTGCAGGATGAACTGCCTTTGGATGATGTCAATGAGCAGTGATACAACACATGCGCTACATTAGAAGCAATGCTCTGCAATTGCAACTGTTGACAGAATACTAATGTATACTTATGTGAAAGCTATAACTAGTATGATATGGTGTAGAGTGGATGGTGATCCACTTGGCAGCTATGATGGGGAGCATGGTTATATAACCATTTCCCAAGTGTCGCCAGTGACACTTGCTCCTGCTCTGAAAGACCTCCTCCAACGCTGCTCCTCCTCCCTTGTCCTGCCTGTCTTAGCACTGCTTCTTAGCACTGCTTCTCTTGCCTCTTGCAGATGGAGAGTTTTCATGCTGCTTCATTACCGGATAGGGGCCTTTCCCACCTCATCTGAGTGGCAACCCGCTCCCCCCTATCATCTCACCCATCCTCCTGCTCTGAGTTCATCATGGAGTCGGCCCCCTGCTTCATCAGGGTGGCAACCCCAATGTCCTTGCTGTCTGTCTTGTTGTGCGAACCATGAGATCAGCATCCTCTGTGAGATCTGTCATACAATTAGGATACAACAAGTTCCAGTGAGCTTCACTGTAAGATCCTGCTTTTACTGATCTGGATGAGATCTGTCATAGAGCCTCTCTACTACAGATCTTGGTGAACTCTGCCTTAACCCCTTGTTTCTCCCAATTCTGCAATTCCTGTGCTCCTCTTCATCTGACTTCTGCTTCTGCGCATCCGGTCCCATGACAGGGGGCACTCTCACTTCATTCCAGTGGCGACTTGCCCCCCTCTTCATCCCACCCATCCTCCTGCTCTGAGTTCATCATCGAGTATTGGGGTGGTGGACCCAGATATCATCACCACCTGTCCTATTGTGAGATCCGTGATTGATGTGGCTGCGGTGTGTGCGCTACCATAATACGAAGAGTCAGGTTTGAGTGCTGCTCGCATCGACATCTGTAACTGTTGAAGATTACGATCCAGTGAGACGCTAAAGGGTGACGCAGAGCCGATTTGATTGGAGATCAGGGAGAGCCGATTGTCATGGGCCTGGATGCTCAAGAAGCAGGAGAGTCACGGGTTCATATGGAAGGAGCACAGGTATCGGAGAGCTAGTCGATATCAGTAGAGAGCATGGTCGTAGTGCAGTCTCCATGGAGACCATGGACTCCTACAGATTCACATGCAAAGGAGGACCGGGCCCATATGTGAGGAGGGCCAGGCACAGCCACAAAGAGGACCAAGCTCAAGGAGCATGCAAATGGTTACCACTCAGGGGCTTGAGAGACAAGAGTCAAAGGAACCATCACCAGTCAAAGGAGAAGGAGCAGTGTATAGGAAACTGGCAAGCAGGTCCTGAGGAGGAGGAGCAGTGTCGAAGGAGTCGACACTGCTCAATCGGGAACAGCTTGCTCCTATCGCCTATGCTCAAGCCGAGACTCATTTTCAAGACTACTTCTCTCTCTACGGTCGATGTCTCGCTCCTTCCCCCACTTGTCAAGATTACATCTGCCTGCAAGGTACTCCCCACTGCAAGCCTTACTCGGCTGAAGAGCAGAGGAAAACGATCGAGATGTCGAAAAAGCTAGTGCTCAACCTGATTAGCACAGTCAAATGCTACCCCGTTCCCAAGGGTGTCGAAGGCTGTGACAAGCGAGGTTACTGTGATGTTTTCAAGACAAGGGGTTTGACGGATTCCTATTGCAGGATATTGAAGAAAAAAGAATATGCTGATGCCCTAATCAATCATCCTGACTTCGCACCTCACCTTGACGAAGAAGACGAAAACGAAGAGGAACCTCGGCGCCGAAAGCTCCAACGTCGGTCCGCTGCGTTCTGGGTATCTAGTCAATCAGCGGCGTGAGAACGTTCTGGAAGCAATTGGACACCTGGGCCGCAGACGAGAAGGAGGCCTTCAAAGCTTTGAAGCGAGGCAAACTGGCAGCTCTGTTGGAAGAGTCCAAATTGATTCCCGGTGCTGCTGTATCATCCTAGCTGGTCAAGACGACAAGAAGGGTGTACAGGGCGAGAATGAGGGTCTTGTTGACCTTGACAAAGACCTAACTCCTGCCGAGACAGTCAAGTAGGGTTCAGGCTGTAATCTTGCGTTTTGATCACTCTTGCATATTTCCTTGTTGCCTCTTGCCCGGGCGACAGCTGAGATCATTTGCTTAATGCAGCGATCCAACGTCGCTCTCATATTCGCTCCCATATTCACTCCCTTATTTGTTTGTGTTTTCACTCATTAGGGGGTTTCAGATTTTATTTTATTTTTTTCGGAAACTCAAGTTTTTTTTTGAGTCTTCACATGTGTCAAATATTCATTACTTACATAAGCTCTGCCATTTTGGAAAATACTCTAATTTTTGAAAACACTGCTTCAGTAGTACTGATGTGGCAGAGTTTTCAGAATTGGACCTGAGTCTTCACTCATGTGATGTTGCATGTAATGTGGCATGTGATGTACTTGTGCAAATGCCTCCACTTTTCCTGCACAGCTTGTTTTGCATGAACCCACAGTGTCAATAATGACTGTATCTACTTTGATTGTGCAACAAGAGTGTCAAAGATGGTGGAGCTACAAGGTGGTTTGGATTCTGGAACTGCTTCATTTTCTGGCCAACACTACCCTAACTCTTGGTCTAAAAACACAGCTTACATTTGGGGGCATCAATTTTCTGAGGCTTTTTTAGTATTGGAAGACTCTAGTTTTCGAGGGCAAAAAAAACTGAAACCCCCTACTTGTGCACAATGGGCAGGGGCAGGTCGAGTATACGGAGATATACACAATTGCCGTTGCACGAGCGTGGTTCTTGTTTTCCATCCCTGCCCTGTCGTACGAAAGGTGTCTGCGAATGGTTGAAGGGCGCCGAACAGTTGGGGTTGGCTGATGTCGGGGCGTAAAATGGGGTTGAGATTACGTCATGATAGAAAATTGCCTCAAAGCAAGGATGCACTTCATGTTGTCTACTGTAGCCCACTGTAACTTGAGAAAAGTCTCAATTTTTGCAATGCTTTGCTAAGAGAAGGCTTCTACATGCAACCTAGACCGCGTTGACATGAGCTGGCGAAGCAATTCACATCTACCTCACAGCAGGCGAGTGTTTTCCGAAGGCATGGTTTGATTGAAGCAGAAGTCAAAGTTAAGGAGCGATATGGGTTGCAAGTAATGCAATCCGGCTCTGATTGGGATCTAAACGCTCAACTGCTGTCACAGAGCCAAGACAACGCTTCGAAAATCTGGCACAATCAGCCGGATCGATTGTATGCTCACTTTTTGTTGGAGCTATTGCGCTACTCGTTTCCCCCCGACAGCCAGCTCAAGAGGCCTGCGGGTTCTTGATGCAGCAACGAGGGTTGACTTAGAATGGGATGTCTTTGCCACCGATCTTGCATGCATGTGCATGTGAGCCGACCGGGTTCGCTGTCTCCCTCACTCGTCTCCCTCTTGAACGACGAGCCAATGATGCGCGAGTCCAGAGTTTCGGGAGCGTCGATTCCCCACAACAGCTGCTGCCTGCCTGCTTGCCTGCTTGCCTGCTTGCCTGCCTGCGGCTTTCATTGCATTCGTCACACTGCTTGAGCTTAGGTTGCCTTTTGAACTTGCGCCGGTCACGTTCTGTTCATGTCTCAATGTGAGGAGAGCTTGTTCATCCACAGAGTCGCCGCAGATCATCATCGACGTACAGATAAGGCTTGCAAGGCGAAAGGGACGATGAACCTGGGGCCTGATTTTGAGGCTGCCATTTTGGAGAGCTCACATGGAAACAAGGCTTGCTTCCATTCTCTGGTCGAACAAACAAATATACAGCCGAACCTCCCGCGGTCTTTTCGCGAGCCTGTCCAAGTAGCCGACTGTCTATGCGTACAGATCAGCATGACCCAACCCTTGGAGATCGGCTGAGCAACTCAACGAACTGCAATGAGCAGCTGACGGCCAAGCGGAAGTAGGAGAGTGAGAGATGAGCGGAGCGCGGAGGGGAACGCAGACAGAAACAGCGACAGACAGGCAAGATCGACCGACGTTGTATGAAATGCCTCCCGTGTCCAAGGGCCGTATGTCTGACGACGACACTCCCTTCTTCAGCCATGGTAAAGAACATTGGACCGGTCAAGTGGCTAACTCAGCTGAGAGTTGACCGTTATGCAAGCATCGCACACCGTTTCCACGGGAACTGTTCCGACTCTAGGTAGCCTTTGAGACTGTTTCCTGCAAAGGCCGGCAGCATTGCAGGCCAAAGCATCAAGAAACGTACAAGAGGGAGCAGGTGTTGGTGACGAAGAAGAAGCGCGCGCGCTCTCTCTCTCTCCCTCTGCTATGCAATCAGGTCTACCTCTGTGCATGCACCTTTGCGAGGTTCACCTGCGATATGCAATGACGCCAATCATGGATCTTTCGTTGTTGACGGGGGGAAGCTTTATGCACCATCATCGACCCTGAGTTTGAACGGGCGCGGGACTGGCCGATGGATTCAATGAATGAGACGAGAGCTGCGATTGCGCGGAATTCGGAAGGTGAAGAACACAAAAAAAACCAGAAAATAAAAAAAAATAAAACAAAAACAAAAACAGAAACAAAAACAAAAAATTTAAAAAATTATAAAAAAATTATAAAAAAAAGGATCAAGTGCACATCATCATCGAGAGTGACACAAAGAAGATGTCGGTGCTTGAATTTGAGCAAGAGGAATGGGTCATGGCTTCAACGCCAGCTGCGGAGTCGGCTAGCCGAGGTCTAAAAAGAAAAAAAAAAAAAAAAAGAAAAAAAAAAAAAAAAAAAAAACCGAAAAAAAATAATCGCATCGATCTTGCTTGCGACCGTCTATTTGCTCTACGGTACCCGCTGCGATCATTGCTCTGCACCTTGACCGAGCGTCATTGAAAGACCCAACCAGCTAGAAAGCAAGCTGGAGCTGCACGTTGCAAGTTGTTCACGTCTTCGAATCATCGAGCTGATTATTCATGTTCAAAGTGGGGGAAAAGGGAATTCGGTTCCAATTTTCCTACAGAAGCTCCCATCTTCTGTCCATTGCGATCCGAGCTTAGCTGACGCCACTCTTTCTGTAGTTGCTTCCTGTTTCGCCCCCAACCCCGTTGAATTCCATCCTTCCACACAGCCGCCTGGGACGGAGCGACAGCAATCGTCATTTCTCGTTTTCTTATTTTTGCAGTACTTTTTCCGTTTCCAGCTTCAAAGCACAAACTCGTTTTGCGCACACCTTTGTGAGCGGCCAACTTGCAGTGTATCTGCTCTTGTCTCCTTTACACACCGAGATTCATGGCGCGAAACTCGTTGAAAACGTTTTTCGTGTCGGGGCAACAAAAGAGACGTTTGAAAGCTGATGATTGAGCTCGTGCTTTGCTCCGAGTCGAAATGTGCAGGCGCAGCAAAGCTGAATTCTGGACGGTGATTGAATAGATAACAAAATTTAATGAGCAAAGGAAAGAACAAAAAAAAAAAAAACCCCAAAAAAAAACCCCCCCCCCCCCCCCCCCAAAAAATAAAAAAATAAAAAATAAAACGTAAACCCGCTTGCGGTCAAGTGCCTGACTTCCATTCCGAATCGACCTCTTTCGGCTGCTGCTGCAATTCTTTTGGTTGCATGTCTTTCCGCCATGCGACTCTGCGTCTGTGTCAGCGTCTGCCGCATGCTTGTCGTCGTGGTCGTCAGTTTGCCGTTCTCTCACTGTCACTGCTTTTGTGCCTTTGCTCCGTTCTTTCCTTTCTCAATTTGCCCCGACGGTTTTGGTCACAGAGATGGCAGCTGCCGCTTCGATTTTTCTATTTTTCCTTTGCGTTGACCTGCTGCTTCTGCAACTGCGGCCCCGCTTCTCTGGCAAACGAGCTGTCCGGCTAACTGGGCACGGGCACCTTTGCAGTAACAGAGCGCAAGGATGCTGTCGGTTTTGCTTTCTTGTTCGAGTGTCTGACTGCGCCCAAGGAGACACGAAACAATAAGGTGACTTCTGATGCTACTGCTGCTACTGCTGCTACTGCTGCTACTGCTGCTGCACAAACAACGCCCAGCCATGAGAAGAGTCGACAAACCCAATCTATGGCTGCTGCGATCTGCCTCGCTACGAGCTGTCATCCAAAGTCTGCCGTCTCCCTTTTCCTCTCTCTCGCTTCCTCTCTCTCTTCCTCTCTCTCTTCCTCTCTCTCCCCTTCTCTGCTAGTTGACGGGTAATCCGCCTGTTCAGCTGTCCGGCCTCTTTTTTCTTTATTTCTTTTTTTTCTTTCTTTATTTCTTTTTCTTTTTTTTCTTTCTTTATTTCTTTTTCTTTTTTTTTTCCCTGTTGCTGTTTGCTTGAAACCGTCTAACCCTCAAACGTCACCGTTGAGCAGCGGCCTCACAAATACTCCGCTCCCTCTTTCTCTCTCACAGTCAGGCTCGGATCGAGTCTCTGAGCTTGCAGTTTCCGTCAGAAAGAGCAGCGATCTTGGCTTAACTTAGCCTTTGCTTCGCCTCGGGCCACGCCCTTGCCACGCTCTCCTCCCTCGCCTCCGCCTCTCCCCGGACAAGGAGTTCCTGTCTCTGGTTGCTTGTGCTCTTGCACTCGCCCTCGCGCTCAGCTTGATCTAGAGGTCATCCTTTTACTTCTACCTTCCGGCAAGAACATTGACCTCTTTCTCTTCCAACCTCATCAACATCATCATTCTGGAACTCTATCCTCCTCACCATCGCCAGGAATCTCCTTCAGGTCGTCTTTCGTTCTCGACCTTCTACCACCGCGGCTCACGCTTCATACCACATCCCCTTCCCTCATTCGATCGCTTTTTCGCACCAAGCGACTTGCCTTCCGCTCACTCGAAAGCCCGCTCATCTCATCGATAGCAGCAACGAGGGACTCTCATCTCTGTCATTCACAGCGCCGTGCAAATCGATCATCACGCCTCTGACGATATCGCGGTCAAGTTCAACCTATCATCACCACCGATCGGACACGCACAATGAGCGCAAAGTAAGTGTGCTTTCTGTTCCTGCAGATCAGTCCCATACAGCGAGGTTGCGGCTCATCCAAAGAGCGATTGACGCCCAAGATGAGCCTTTACTGCGCATTCTGAGTTGCTGCCGAACCTTGATTTGCAGAAACGGCGATTCTGACATTCTCATGCTCCTTTTCCTTTGTTCATTGCAGTGCATACATGGAGCCAACCAGCTACCCAGCGCACTATGGTGCCATGCCCGATCGATCTGCGCCGCCCGTCTTTGCAGCAGAGTCTCATGAGCCTCGCGCACCGCGTCCCTTCGAGGCGACCCACACGTCCACCGATCCATACAGCACGGCAGCGGTGCCGGCTCATCCGCAGCAGAGCGCCATGACCGACGGTCACTCGCCCATGTCGAGTAAGTTTCACTTCGAGCCTCAAATTCGGCTTGCCCGAGACTGGCCTGTCTTTGTTCTTGATGGGAGAGGAGATCAAGAAGCTCACCTTTCCGCTTTCTACTTAAACCTCGCAGGTTACCGTGGAAGCTTCTCCCATGCCTCATCCATGGGCTTGCCGCACCACCGACAGGACTCGATTTCATCCTTCTCCTCGCCTCACGACCTCGCTGGTGGCTGGGCACCTTCTTCTCCCGGTCTCACCGCAAGCCGACACGCCTCGGTCTATTCGCTCAACGGCCAGTTCGATCAGGTCGGCCTTGGTAGCAGCATCGACAGTGGCTCCACTGGCGGTCACTTCTACGACCAATCGCCTCCTCTGCACGCTCAGCTTCGATACGCCCAGGGTCAGGCCGCAGACGCACGCCGCTTTTCGCTCGACGAGCGTGCCATCCGCACACAACCTCAGCTTGGCAAGTCTGGTCTTGTCTCTGCTGACTACCAGCTGCCCGGCTCTTCCGCTCGTCACTGGCCTTGGGGTGCCAGCAATTCTTCCAATACTCACGGTCGCCACGCTTCCGTCTCGGCAGCCCCACCACAAGGCTACGATCACAGTCGAATCGCTTACGCTGCCAACACGGCCATGCAGCCTAGTTACGGCTACGATGCCAACGCCCTGTCTGCCATGTCGCCCCAGCGATACCGTTCAATGAGTAGCTCAGCCGCAAGCGGTCGTGCTTATGGCAACCCTTACAGTGCTCCTGGCACTGCCGCCCATACAGTTGCTGCTATCGGTTACGGTATGGCTCCTCACCTTGGCCCCGGTATGATGCTTGAGGGTGACATCCCTGGCGGTCCCGGTCCCGCCCGCAGGGCCAAATTCAGGCGTAGCCGAACTGGTTGCCTTGTCTGCCGAAAGAGGAAGGTCAAGTGCAGTCAGGACGGCACTCCTTGCAAGCAGTGCCGTATCGGCAAGCGTGACTGCCACTATGACGAAAACCCGCAAAAGAAGAAGAGCAACAAAAAGGAGCGATCCACTGGCTCTATCGATGCTAGCAGCAGCGAGAAGGGTTCCAATGGCACTGCTCCCGCTCTGGCTCACATGGACTCGGATCCTCAGACCAACGATCACATGAACTCGACCGATCCTTACTACGCTACCATGGGCGCTCTCGATCACCGCACAGAATCAAACGGCAGCAGCGGTGGTGTCACTTTCTCGATGCCGTTCCAGTCCCAGGCTGCGCCTGTCACCGCTCACTCGTCGACCACGGACAGCACATGGTCCAACCCATCACCTTTCGCACCTGGTCCGCACGCCGAGAGCCACCCAGAGACCGACCAGCTCGCTGCCACACACTCGGATGGCTATGGCTGGCCCAGCAAGCAGGAGCACGACACTACCCAGGCGGCTCCCTACACTGATCCCTCCGTTGACCGCAACGCCGCCTACTGGAGTCAGCACCCCACTTCCTACCCGCCTCGCGCTAACAAGCTCGAGGTGTCTGAATCGTAAAACCTCATCTCATCCACCTCATCCACCTACTAGCAAGCCTATCTCGACTGCATGGATTGATTGCCCCGTAGACACCACGGAACTCGCCTTTTTCCCCAACATCAATTAGTTGTACACATACTCTCTTTCCTACTCGTTGGTTCTGGCGCATAAATTTATGCCTTGACCGACCATGATCATCACTTGTGTCTCACCGAGGACATCAGTATACCTACACGACTCTCTTTCGCTCTCCGCTAATCACTCTCTCTGCATCAGGCCGTCATTCGACCGACGCCTTGACCTCATGGTCACTCGCACAGCGTCCATCACGCGCCCTCGCCCGGATCTTTCGCTTCTTTGTTGTACTGTTTCCGACTTCTCGCGCGCCTCGTCTTGTAAATCTTGTACAATGCATATATCTTCCCCTTGATTCATGACAGGCAGCGTTGCTTGGAGGCCATTGTATGGTTCCTCGATAGCAATTTGCCTCTGCGCTGGAAGGGAGGAATATTCCTCGAATAGCAATCACCTTGGTTTTGGCTCTCGTATGTGTGGGTGTGTGTTGTTTGTGCCTCTCTCATCTATCTTTTCTCCACTTTGGGACTGTGAAAAGAGCCACGGACAAATCCGAACCGCTGTCAAAAAGGCAAGAGTGTGCAATGGACCGTTTGCAGCTCGCTTGCGACATTCACTTCGCTTGCCACCGGCTATTGATACCGAAAGTCGGAAACCTCTAAGCGACATCAACCCCGCTTTGCGCGCCCTTATCAACGGATGCCCTTGCATCGGAGCGAGAGCAACCGAGTCGATGCGTCTTTCCTCCCATTCCGAATCCGGCAATCTCACAGGTTCGCACACCACCCATCACTCGAAGCGCACAGATAGAATCGGGTATAGTATTACGCTCTCCCCCCTCAACCCTTTCCTCAACCTCCTTCACCCATCACGAGCTCCTCGTGGCTTTATGAAAAGCAACCAGTCTCCACTTCCTCGAATCCTTTGGATGAGCCACCACCACATTTGCCCTTAAGAAAAGCTCTATCATCGCATCATCCACTTCCCCACCCGTTCTCCTCAACGCTAGCTTCCCTGCACTTACCCAAGGATCCAGAGGTTTATCCCAAGCCTGATTCATAAATTCATCCAAATAATGCCTCAATGTTACTACTTTACGATTATCGCTACCAAACAGAGCATTGCCCATGTCGATGAGTTGAGCGAGTAACTCTTTGAACCTCGATTCTTGCGCTTTGAATTTCCGGTTTAACTCCCTGTAATCACATCAACGCAGATATGTCAGCATGCAAACTCAACACAAGGACAAGCGGAGGAGGCGGTAGGGAGACCTACCTGACAGCCGACTCCGAAGTCAAATCTTGCCCCTTTTTGCGTTGCAGTTGCGCCAGCCTCTTTTCGAGTCCAGTCTGGACGATTTCTAGATCGGATTGAAGCTGAGTCTCCCGTAGTAGGGCATCGCGTTCAGAAGCTAATTCCACCTTGAGCTTTTCCAGAGCAGATGCGTATTGAAGGTTGAGATCGTGCAATTCTGCCCGTGTGCGAATGTCGAGGACTGCTGAAGAATCGAGAGGCGGTGCATGTTGGTTCTCCTTTTCGAGTGATTGGATGGCGTATTCGAGTTGCTGCCATTCAAGTTCGCGTTTCTTTTGGTCGTTGTCTTTTGCTGTGTCGAGTCTTGTGCTTTGTGCTAGTGCTTCTATTCTCTACCGCATTCCCACGGATAGAAGTGCAAGCGGAGTAAGTATCTACAAGCATAGAAGGTGGGAGGAGAGCGGGTGTGGCATACCTTATCAAGCATCTTCGCCAATGCATCGTTTCGGGCTTTCTCATCTTCGTACACAGCAGACAGCTCTTCTATCTCTGCTCCTGCTTCCGTTGATAGTTCCGCCGCGGCTGATCTTGAGGAGGATGCCTCTGCAGATGGAGAGGTGTTAAGCGGGGAGCGTGTTTTAGCACGTGTCGTAGCTTCTTCGAGTGCTGCTTGGCGGATTAACTCTGCCATTGTGGTGTATGGTGTCCTTTCCATCTTGACTCCTTTTTTCCTCTTCAAAGCCTTTTCAGATCGATCCTAATCTACTCCGATCTGTTAGGAGAGGAGTTGCGAGGTAGTGGGCAGCGAGTGGGGGCGTTGATGGCGTTGGTGATGGTGTCGAGCAAAACGGCCCTAAGGTGTTGTTCTTTTTACGCGACAGCAAATCTGTTTTGTGGGGAGCAAGTGCGTAGATGGCCGACTCCCGAGAAAGTTTTTCAGCTGTGGGCGGAAAGTGGGGGATTGACATTGGAACTAGGGGGTTTCAGTTTTCTCTGAGTTTTCAAAACTCCAAGTTTTCATGGTTTTTTTGGATTTTGAAAACTTGCTGCTTAAGTAAGCTCTGCCAGGAAAGAAAAGCTCAGAAGTTTTGAAAACCTCTACTTATTTTTGCTGTGAGCCCATGTTTCTGAATATTTGAGTTTTCAGCAGGAGTTTTTGTCATGTGCTGATATCACATGATTCTAACACAATTCTGTGCACAACCCTTGAACTCCACTTTCTGCACTGTCTACACTTTCTCATGCTTTGAGTTACATCTGTCCTTGCTTCACTTCTATCACCATCTCCAGTAGCATTTCCTCCCTGTCAGTGCCAGGACATGGACATGCCATCCCCTCATGACCATATCAACAACAATACACTATTCACAGCTTTGCAGCAAGCCTCTGGATTGGCTCCAGCATCAGAGCAGTCTTCAACTGCTTTGCAGCACAACACAATGTCAGCTCAGTCCAACCTTGATGGCTCTCATCAGCCCCACCCTTCTGCAACTTCCAGCACCTTGGCTGGGGCTGAGTCAACTCAGCCAGCAACCTCTCCCACTTCCCCTTTGTCCTCCTCCACTCCTTCTGGTTCCAATGCCACCACATCTGCTGGTTCTTTGCCTCGCCAAGCCTCTACCCACCCAACTCAAATCTCTGCAGCTCGCAGCCATCAAGCCAGTACTTGTGGCAGCAGTTTCAACAAAACAGATCATATTGCCTACTTCAATTGGTCACCTAGCAACATAAATCACCTCATTGATATCATCTACAATAATGATCAATACCAACATGTTCTATTGCCAGGATGTTTGACTGCAGAACAGGAGAAGGGTCTGAAGACAAACAAAGACATTATCTGCAGGCAGATATGGCAGGAGCTGTTCCCAGACAAGTCTACTGTTGGTGGTGCTGGTTGAGTAAAGACTAAGATTTGCTGGCTCACTGAACAATACAACAACATCAAGAAGACCATCTCACAGCAGACTGGTGCTGGAGTACTTCTTCAAGACATGGATCACAACAGCTCAGTAAGTACAACTTAGTTGATTCATGTTAAGTGTGCCAATGTTCTTATACTTTATATCTCTGTCTATGCTTCTTTATCAACTTGCAGGACTATGCCACACACGAATCAATTGCTCAAAGCTGCCTTTGGTTTGAGCACTGGCATGAGATGATGACTAACCATGCACAGACTGGTCCAGTTGTTCTTCTCACTGGTCACCCATATGATGCCCCCCCTGCCTCCTCTCAGAATAACTCAGTTGATGCCAATGTGAACATGGACAATGCCAGCAATGCTCTCTACCCTCAGTGACACAACATTCCTGGCATGGAATCCATTCTTGAGGAGTTGCAATATGATCCCATTGGAGCAAGAGTTATCTTGTCTTTTTCTTCTTCAGTTGCAGCCACCCCAGCTGCTGCTTCATCTTCATCCTGCTTGCCCTTCTCTTCCTCATCCAACCCATCTTCAATTGGCCCCACCCTCTTCACCATTACCCCTATAGACACTCCAACCCACCAGTGCTCATCCAGCACCACTTTTGGGGCTGATGAAGTGGATGATGGTGATGGTGGCTCTGTTTTCTATTCTCCAGCCACAGGTACAACACCCAAGTAGTCTCAACCCTCCCCTTCCAAGAGCAAGTGAGAAGAGCTGTCAGAAATTGTGCAGGCCTGCACCCAAGACATGCTTCAGGCAAGAATCAAGGTTGAGGAGGAATGCATGAAGAGGGAGGAAATGTGCATTCAATTTGCCAGGGAAGAAAGTGAGAGACAAGAGTGCATGTGAACTGAAGAGCATGGTTGGCTCATGGAGATGGTGCAGATGATGAACCCTAATCTACCCTTTGGCAACATCGCTGGAAGTAGTCAAAGCAATCTTGAACTTGACCCACTGGTTCATGCCATGGATCAGCAGGACAACAGCAATTCAGCTCATGAGTAGACCATTTGGCAAGAATGGTGTTCCTTTTGAGTTCTCCAAGTTCTGTTCCTGTGTTTCTGACTTATTGTACCATTGCTCTCTGTAAAGCTAGCTCTCAATATGTATGACTAGCATACCCCATACCCAGTCTTCCATGTAATCTCTCAAATGTAGATTGCTTCAATGTGATGAATTGTTCCACATACAAGATGCTGATTGGTGTAAGTGTGGAAGAATGATCTTGGTGGAGGAATGCTGCATGTAGCCCCAGTTCCAAGCATGCATGTTGTGCAGAACTCAGCTGAGTTGTGTTTGTAGCTTTGGACTCTCTTTCAGACCACATCATCCTTGTTCAACTGAACTCATCAATCATCAATCTCCTATTTCTGGCCCTCTACTTCAACCATGGTGTGCACTTCTGACAAACAGCACCTCCTGGACAACATTGAGACTGCCATCATGCACTCATTGATGGTGGAATCCAAGATGCAACTTGATCTGATGGATGTTGATGCCACTTGGCACCCTAATGATGACCTTAAAGATTCTGATGATGACATGTTTGATCATGCTGTCTCATTCATGCTCATCAGGACTTATGACAACATCAGCCAGTCTTGATACACAGTTGAACACCTTCAACTGCTGCAACAAAGGGATCCCCTCATCAACATGCTTGATTGATATGCTGTCACCAACTGCAAGCTCTTTCGAGGGGCTGTTCACATGACCCCAGATGCATTCCAAGCTCTCACTTACAGACTCAGCACAACCAATGCCTTCAGATCAATATCAAGCTTTTGGCATGTTCAGCAGCAAGTGGCAGTTGGTCTATATTGGCTTGGATGGTCAGGAAATGGTGGTGGAATTCATGATGTTGCATTTGCCTGCAGTTGCAGTTGGGGCTCAGTTCACAAGTGGACAGATAGGACTATTGCAGGCCTATATGAGCTGAACAGTGAGGTAGTAACCTTTGCAACTGAAGATGAGCATGCTAAGGCAAAAGCATGGTGTAAGCGGTCGCGCGCCAGAGACTTAGATTTGGGGATTATATTGAGATTGCTTGAGTAAGGTCTACTCAGTATGTTTTGCCTAAATGTAACCAAATGTCGCTGCTTGGTAAGTCTCAACTGACTGCCTTGAACACTCCATTCAGAGGTTGTGCAGCATGGACACTGATTGTGATGAGAGAGTGATACACCCTCTCTACAGTATGAGTGTTTGCAGTACTGTTGATAAGGCTCTTGGATGTTGCCTGGACTGCAATATGCTGATTGCTTACAGAGGACAGGAGTTACTGGACTGCTGGTGAGGATCACCACCTACAATAACTGACTGGACTGCAGGTGTTGAGCAACACTGCCTTCAGCAAGGGACTGGACTGCAAGTGTTGAAGAACACCACCTACAGTAAGGGTACTGGACTGCAAGTGTTGAGGAACACTGCCTACAGTTGTTGACTAATGGTGATACAACACACACATTGAGAGTCAATGCAAAGCATTTGCTATTGCAATGATACTTGAACAAGTAGGTAGATAAGTAGTAAGTAAGTATAAAATATAGAGTGGATGGGGATCCACTTGTATGCTATGGTAGAATGAGAGTATTTATGCATTTGATTGGTGTTGCCCATGACACCTATCCTGCTCCTCTTGAGGGGCCTTTGTCCCCTGTTTGACACTGTCTTGTCCTGCTGGCATCAATCCCATTGATACTGCACCCCTACCATTTGCATGGCATAAGGGTTATGCAACACTGCCCTCTTGCCTTCATGCTCTCCTTCTGCCTGATGATGTGTGATGCCCCCCTTTTGACAAAGCTCCTTCTTGACTTTATCTTGTGAATCCCTTTAGCCACTTGTTGAACCTCGTGACCATACCCCTTGGTCAGGTGGTCACTTTGACCTTATCTTGTGAATCCCTTTATCCACTTGTTGAACCTTGTGACCATACCCCTTGGTCAGGTGGTCACTTTGGCACAGCTCCTTCTCGACCTTATCTTGTGAATCCCTTTAGCCACTTGTTGAACCTCATGACCATACCCCTTGGTCATGTGGTCACTTTGACCTTATCTTGTGAATCCCTTTATCCACTTGTTGAACCTCGTGACCATACCCCTTGGTCAGGTGGTCACTTCGACACAGCTCCTAGTACTTGCTCATATCAGCTGATTAGTTGAGGCATGCTGATCTGACTGATCCTGACCAATCCCCATGAGATTAATCTGGGTTCCCAGAGTTTGATTGATCTTGTAATTCTTATGTGCTGCCAGCCTGATTAATCTCATTGATCCCCAATGATTTTGGCTCTGATCAATCTGGCACACCCTTCATATGTTGATCTGCTGTGCACCCTTCATATACTGCTCCATTGCGCGACATTACCATGACTGCCGCTGATCAATTTGGCACACTCTCTTGCGCTGGCCAGCCGACCCTGTGACACATGGGTTGCTGATAAGAGTGGAGTCGAGGAATGGTCTAGAGGATGGTTGGTGGTAGATGGTACACACATCAATCTTGCTTGGAAGCCAGCACTCAATGCTCACAAGCATTACTCATACAAGGGTGATTATACATTCAACATTGCCCTTGTCTTCCTCCCTCATTCCTTGCACATTGTTGAGTTGGTGGTTGGACATCCTGGGTCATCACATGATGCATGAGTCTGGGCTTCAGGCAGTGGTATTGTTGTGAAGCCTCATTTGCATCTTGATGAAGGCAAGTTTGTCTGGGTTGATGCTGGTTATGGCTACTCCAGCTAAACAGTTGGACTGTACAGCAACACTGCAGTTGCAAAGAGCAGAGATCTCCACTACTTCAACTATTCACTCTCCTGCATTTGTGTCAAGGCTGAACATGGCATTGCCTACCTCAAGAACTGCTTCCAATGTCTCATGGGATTTCAAGGCAACCTGTATCAAGAAGAGGACCACGAGAAAGCTGCACATATGGTCCAGGCTTGTATCATTGCACATATGTTTGCAAGTCATTATGATTGACCAGATGAGGTGGCAGAATACCTTAAGGCATCAGAAAATCTATCTGAAGCTGAAGTGCTGGAGACCATGTCAGGGATGGAAGCATATCAGCAGGCTACTGAAGATGCAAGGATACAATGAAGGGAAAACCAGCAGCAATACAAACAGGAACAGGCTGCTGCCATGGAGGGCATGTCTCAAAACTGAGTCCAGAAGTTCAGGCAGGAGAAAGCACTGGATCTAAGGGAGGAGATGCTCACTGCACTCTTTGCTTCTCATGGCTGCCCTTTTGAGGACACAACAGCAGAATCTCAAGGATGGGAATGACAATGTTGGCCTTCACTGAATGGCAGGAGAGACAAAACCAACAGCATGAGGCTTGCAGAAGACAGTGATCAGAACAGGTGTGATGTAAGCTATTTGCTTTAGCTTTTCAATCAAAGGTTTTGGCATTGTTCAGTATAGTGTTCAACAACATCTGATATGATCACTTTGATCTTGACCTGGTGTAGGGAATCAGAGATTGTTTTTACTGGCCAAGTCAAGTGAAACTCCAAGATGCAAGTGTCACAGGCCTGTGCAGTTTCTTGGGGTGTCAAAAATTGGGCCCAAACATATTTTCAAAGTATTGTGTTTTCAAAACTCAGAGATAACTGAAACCCCCTACTCAATCTTTTGCCGAAGGAAGCGATCCAATATGATGATACGTGCTGACATAAACGTAATCGGGATATGGGGGAGCAGATCTGCACAGAGATCGGGTACCACACAGTCCCGCTCGTTGTCAAGATGGATCATGAGATAGGAGTGCTCCCACTTCAGGCACTGAACGACGCTACCACCATCAACAGGTTTGCGTAGCTGCAATAGTACTCCTCAAAGATGACTGCGGCGCTTCTGCTAAAGCCCATAGGCAGCAGCAGCGTGCGCTCTGCTCGTGCTCTGCCAATGCGACATGTCAGACGCACAATATCGACGGCATCGTGGCCGAGGACAATACCAACCGCACAACGAGCTCTTCCGATCTTGCAAATTCAACGACAGCTCTCGAGCACTCACGGGACCCTGAACAGTGCGGCCGTATCCGACCACCCCATCGACCACCCAGACGAAGCCACCCCACCACCGCCAAGCGCAGACGAATTCGTCTCCTCAACAACCCCAGCCTTCTCCCTCCGCCCGTACCAAGAGGAATGTATCCGTGACTGTCTCTCCGCCCTCTCCTCCGGCGTTACCCGTATCGGCGTCTCCTCTCCCACTGGCAGCGGAAAGACCACCATCTTCACCCACCTGATCGACCGCATGCCTCCCCGTCCTACAGGCGGGGATCGAGTGCTCATTATCGTAAACTCCATCGAACTTGCCCTACAAGCAGCAAACGCAGTCACAAGCATGTTTCCCGAGAAATCAGTCGAAATCGAACAGGGCGCCAAATACAAGGCTTCCGGTCTGGCAGATGTTACCGTAGCAACCTATCAGACTCTGAACAGAAGTCAGGAGAGATTGAACAAGTTCGATCCGGCATGGTATAAGGCTGTAGTGGTAGATGAGGCTCATCATGCTGCTGCGCCGTCGTATCTTAATGTTTTGTCTCACTTCGATCCGCATATTGGTATGGATCTCGAGAGCAGACAAAGCGATAGCAACAGCACGGGAGCAGAGGAAAGAGTCCCGGTCATAGGCTTCTCCGCAACCTTCAGCCGGCACGACGGATTGGCGCTGGGGAAGGTCTTCGATCGGATCGTATTCCACAAAGACTTTCTCGAAATGATCGGCGAAAAGTGGCTCTGTCCCATCCTTTTCACCTCCATTAAAGCCGATATCGATCTCACCTCGGTCAAACTTTCCAACCTTAACTCTGACTTCGCTGCCTCCTCCCTCGCTTCCGTGGTCAACACCGACGTCGTCAACCGGTTGATCCTCAAAGCATGGATCGATCGCGCACACACCCGTCGTCGCTCCACACTGATCTTCGCAGTCAACATCGAACATGTACAAGATCTCACCGCTACTTTCCGCAACGCAGGTATCGATGCGAGGTATCTGCATGGTGGAACGCCGATGCATGAACGTCGACAGCTACTCGATGACTTTAGGAACGGAGTCTATCCCGTGCTGGTGAATTGTGCAATTCTGACAGAAGGTGCGGATGTGCCAGCGATAGATTGTGTGCTTTTGGCGAGACCGACAAGATCGAGGAACTTGTTCTCACAGATGATTGGGCGAGGTTTAAGGTTGAGTCCTAAGACAGGCAAAAAGGATTGTTTGGTGTTGGATATTGTAGGAAATATTGAGAAAGGGGTTGTTTGTACGCCGACGCTGTTCGGGTTGAATGCGGATGATATTATTGAAGATGAATCTGCGGAGGGGCTGTTGGAGCGATCGCAGGAAACAGAATCCTTTGATTCCACTGCGAAGGAGACAGCAGAACCCGCGGATCCTTTCTCAATCTCCCTCTCCGACCCAACAAAAATCACTTATATCGACTACGACGACCCATATCAACTCCAACAAGCCATGCTCTCACGCTCTACAATGGTAGAAACAATGTCGCCCAACGCATGGGTCGATTGTGGTGGGCAAACGTACATCCTCGACGTACCACGCTACGGTTTCGTTACCGTCGAACGTCACACCCCTTCCACAACCGAAGGGGGAGAGGGGGCAGAATGGACTTCCTGGTTCACCCCTTCGAATTTAGACGCAGATGAAGCAGCCGCCGCGTCTGGCCGTTCCTCTTCCAACCCTTACAAACGGTTCCAGGGTGGATCACTATACCGTCGTCCCCGACACATCCTTTTCTCTTCCACACTCGAATCCGCAATACGAGGGTCAGACCAGTATGTGCAGAAATCAGTCTTCCGAAACGCACCTCAACTGTTCGCCATGCTTAATCGGCGTGCGAATTGGAGGCAGACAAAAGCTACGGACTCGCAGAGAAGATTGGTCGAGAAGCGACTTGGTTTGTCCAAACTCTCTTCGACTGCCGCAAATGAAGGAGGGGAGAAAGGGGTTGGGAGGGGAAAAAAAGCTCTCACCTCAGCTTCAGAGCTTACGAAAGGTCAGGCAAGTATCATTCTCACGAGGCTACTACATGGCTCGAAGAGTAGGTGGAAGGAGAGAGTGAAAGCTTCGAATAAAGTTTGGAGGGGGATAGAGAAGGAGAGGGAAAGGAAGGAGAGGGAGATTGTGCGGGTTGGACCGCTGGCGGGTTGAGATGGAACTTGATGTGGTTTGCAATTATACCCCCCGCTTTACTATAGAGGTTTTGCGTGCGTGTGTGCGTGTGTGTGGTGATGAGCGGGACTGTCGGTGTTGGTGGGCTATCGGAGGCCTTCATCGTGGGTCTGGAAGCAGGTGCACTATGAGTTGCCACCATTCCCGGAAGTGCCGTGCGATAGTAGTTGGAGGGTTCGGTGATGTCCATTGAGTTTTGACGCCATTCTTCGGCGCTTGTCGCAATTACTTTTTTGGCGTTTCTTCATCAGTGCAGCAATGATAGCCACCGATACTGTAGAAGCAGGCCACAGCCACCACCAGCGTAGAAGCAAGCCTCACTCTCCACAACTTCACATATAAAGCAGAACAATTCCATCTTCCGCGTGCTTTCGATGAGTCTAAGCCACTGCTTCCCACAGCCACCGTTCCGCCTTCTGCAGCCATATTAGTTAAAGAGGTAGGCACCCTTCCGTCGGATCGTCTTTTGAAGGCTTTGACGTGGCGTGGTGGCCCCCTTCAGCCTTTGTTATTTCGGTCTTATCAGGTCGATCGCCAAGAAGAGAATCGAAAAATTCGTCGCTATTCATCAAGACGCGAAGATTTTACAAGTGTAGAGAAGTCAAGAGACCGGTTCCTTCATCCTCCTCTCGCCACCAGCATCGGCAATAACGTTGGCAAACAACCCAAACCCGTCGGCCCGGAACCTTGTCTCGCTCAAAACATCGGACTCAAAATCCCACTGCTCGAAATGATGAAAGCGAGGTGCCAAAAGAACGGAAATCGACGCATCCACCACCAGCAACGTCTTCATTTGCACTGCCGGTACTCGGTTCTGTTGTGACATACTGTAAGTGGGCCAAGCAATTTAACCTATCGTTGCACCAACCAGTGCTCGAGCTTCGAGAATATCTTCCTATGCGATAGCCGGTAGTGAGGAATAGGCTTTGCTAACTTTCAGTTGGCTTCGAGTTTGCACTTTGCCGAAGGAGGAGGGGAAGAAGTTCTCGTGACCTTTGTTGCTTGGCATGACCTCGGAGCTGGGCCTTGATCGGTATATAACGCCGGCCTTTTCCAACTCTTCTCGCCCAAATGACCGCTTGGTGAGATACTGAAAACGCTTCAAGTGAATCGGTGGAAAGATGCAGCTTCACACCAACCCTTCCTCCTTACTCTTTTCGACGCCAAAAGCCGCGATTTTGCTGGCCATTTCCGTCGCAATGACATCAATCATGGTAGCGGCTGCACCGATGCCCATAGAAATGATTAACAGCCCCCTGATCAACGAAATCGTCGAACATCATCCACCCCAAATCCAACAACTGTACGAATACGTCCAGCGAGTTTTACCAGCTGAATCCCACTCTCCTCTTCAAGAACGCCCTCTACCTTACTTTGGATCTAGTGCCTCGCGCACTCCAGTGCCCTACGGTGAGAGGACGTTCAACTATGCTTCCAAAGGTAGGAGCGATGCGATGATAAGGCTCGACATGGGCCCCGGTTCGAACGAGAGGGTAGGAAGTAGAAGGAACAGAGAGGTAGAGGTTGTGCAACAGGGACAGAGGGCTCCTCCTAATACTCCTGAGCGACATCCCAACCGTGGTAGCCTATGAGTCGAGACAAGGAACGTGAGCCAAGCGCGGGTTGCGGTTCTAAACCCTCTCCCACCCTTATCACACTTCTGATCTGTCAACAAAAAACTGCTTACGAAAGGTAGACGCTCGTAGGTAATGGCAAAGATTTGAATGAAAGTAGTAGAATTTTTAGGCGATCGCGAGAGGATTTATGTGCAGCGTGTGTGTGAATGAGAGTCTGTGTTCTTCCAATCTGAACGGATCAACCACCGAGCCTCCCCTCTCCTCCCCCTCTTCGTTTTCTCCCACCTAAGAGTAGCGGCGCTTACTCCTTACCAGGACTAACCCAAAAACTCAGCGCAGCAACCGCATAAAGTGAGCAGAGCATGGCACCTTCCATATAGTTACTCTTTCCATCTTGCACCAGCGTGTTGACCAAAAACACCGCTGCGACCAAAATCACGGTTTCAAACGTCTCAAAGTACAGTGTCAGCGGCTGCTTGATCGCCCATCCTACCAGTACTAGGATCGGAATCATTCCCACTGAGATCTGAATAGAAGAGCCGATGGCAATTCCGAGCGAAATTTCCATTTTACCTTTTGCTGCCATCCACACCGCGGTCAAGTGTTCTGCCATGTTTCCAACGATAGGAAGCAAGATGACACCGATAAACGCCTTAGGGATGCCGTATTCCTTCGCAACTTCGTCAATCGCGCCGACGAGGTAGTCCGCATTGAAAGCGGTGAGGAGGGTGACGGAGAACAACGCGATCATGGCGGCGATGGGAGACATTTTTGCTTCTTCTTCATCTTCATCCTCCCCCTCTGCCTCGTACAAGAATGCGTGCGATTTGAGCTGGAAGAAGAGGTAGAGGATGTAGATTCCCACTAAGATCAGAGAAGTTCCGCGGGAGATGAAGAGCAATCCGGAAGCATCCTTTTCGCCATAAACAATAGGCTCGTTGAGAAGGGCAAGTGCTTCAAAGTCGCCTGCGAAAACTTTTGAGGTTTTGATGGACATGTGATATGCTGCGGGGATAGCAAGAGTAATACAACCGAGAGTCATGATCGAGCCGGATGCTTGGGCTGCGGTTTGTTGGAAAGTGTTTTCGCTCCTGAACAATCCTCCGGCTACGAAACTCATTCCTAGCACCAACAAGATGTTGGAGAGGATAGAACCGATGAGAGAGGTCTGTACGATTCGCAATTGCCCTTGCATCAATGCGACAATTCCGACGATGAGTTCGACGGCGTTACCGAAGGTGGCGTTGAGCAATCCACCAAGGGTTTGGCCCAGCTTGAATGCGACTTGTTCGGTAGCATCTCCAAGGATTTTGGCGAGAGGGATGATGGCGAGGAAGTTCAAGCTGAAGATCCAGATAGCTGGCCAGTGCAAGTGTTCAGCAATAATACCAAGGGGTACGAAGACGAGGAAAACATTGATCCAAGAGCAGGTAAGGATCCAGTAGAGGGATTTGACGAGGTTCGGGGGTCCTCCTGCGTGGTGGTCGGACGAACCATTGTGGTGGGGGAGGCTGTTGTTATTACCAACAAGGGGGGTTCTTTCGTTGGCTGGCATCCTGGGCGAGCTATGCGGACGATGTTCCTTGAGGGCGGATGGTGAACGAAAGTGAACCCGACAGACGAAAGAGAACGCTTGAGCCAGGTCAACTGGATGGATCGCACCACCAAAACATGTCAACGAAAGCGAGAGTGAGGAATGCCAAGCAAAATCGACAGGGCGCATGTGTGCACAGCCTAACTTTGGCGCTACAGAACGTGTCTGTGCCCACTCGAGAAGAGTGCGGTCGGCGGGCGGGAGAAAAAGTCAGCAACGGACGTCAGTGTGCATCAATTGAAGATAACAATTAGCATACGCCGTTATCGGGGCCACGATCAGGCACCCTTACCACAGTCATACGTTTTGTAATGCTTAGTATTTTGTGGTGTGAACCTAAAAGACAAATGCATATATATACCTTATTGCCACTTTGATCATATCCAAGCCAGGATGAGTCACTTCCTTTGTACCCCCTGTCAGGGGTCACGCGCCTGAAACCTGGTCTGCTCGTTGTTCGGTGACTATCAAGTTGTGCAACAGCTATTGTCTCTATACTGATCTTGGCAAGTTGTGTTGGTTGGCAACTATCGAGTTGTGCAACAGCTGGTGGCATTCGATATGAATGTTGTATGCTATTGTAGGTTTTGGCTAACCTCTGTGGACACTCTGTTCAGGGGTAGCTTGGCATGATCAATATCAATACAAAGGTTGTGATGACACCAAGGTCTGGTGTGAGTGATCTTGTTGATGATGAGGTCAATGTGGCATTGATGATAAGGTTGGTGGTGTTGGTGATAAGGTTGGTGGTGTTGGTGATAAGGTTGGTGGCATCGACACGAGTGTCCAGTGTGTCGACTATCACTTGAGGTGATCCCCAGACCACAGTGGACTACTGCCTTCGGATCTATCTTAATCCGGACTGCTGGTTTGCTATGAACTGCCTTCGGACATCAGTGAGTGGTGATACAACACACACACTACAATGAGGAGCAACCTTGATAGATTGCTACTATGTGTCATGGGCCTGAATGCTCAAGAAGCAGGAGGGTCACTGGTTCATATGGAAGGAGCACAGGTATCAGAGAGCTAGTCGATATCAGTAGAGAGCATGGTCATAGTGCAGTCTCCATGGAGACCATGGACTTCCATGGACTCACATGCAAAGGAGGACCAGGCCCATATGCGAGGAGGGCCAGGCACAGCCACAAAGAGGACCAAGCTCAAGGAGCATGCAGATGGTTACCACTCAGGGGCTCAAGAGACAAGAGTCAAAAGGAACCATCACTGGTCAAAGGAGAAGGAGCAGTGTATAGGGAACTGGCAAGCAGGTCCTGAGGAGGAGGAGCAGTGTCGAAGGAGTCGACACCACTCAGGAGGCACAGGGGTGCCAAACAAGCAGGATAGCAAGGAGGAGGAGCAGTGTCGAAGGAGTCAATAGCTCAAGGAGGACAGGAGTGGTGCTAGAGGGGCCCCCTGTACAAGTACTCGATGAAGAAGGTACTCTCTGGAGAGAGAGCAGGAGCAGCATTGCTGGTGATGCTGTGAAGAGGTATATAACCATACTTTCTCATCATTAAAGGTCGAGTGGATCCTCATCCACTCTACACACATCATAACTAGTTATCACTTCAGCATAAGTATACATTAGTTTCAGTCAGCATAGTAGCAATCTATCAAGATTGCTCCTCATAGTAGTGTGTGTGTTGTATCACCACTACCTGATGTCCAAAGGTGGCCCATAGCAGGTCAGCAGTCCAGATATAGATAGAACTGAAGGCAGTAGTCCACTGCAGTCTGGGGATCACTTCAAGCATCAGTCAGCACACTGGACACTCATGTTGATGCCACCAACCTTAACACCAACGCCATCAACCTCATCATCATCAACACTCACACCAGACCTTGGTGTCATCACAACCTATGTATTGATATTGATCATGCTGAGCTACCCCTGAACTGAGTGTCCACAGAGGTCAGCCAAAACCTATGATAGCATATACAACAAATGCCACCTGCTGTCATCATGCAACTTGATAGTCACCAAGCAATGTAGCTCGTCGAGACCGATACCGAGACAATAGCTGTTGCACAGTTCGATAGTCACCGAGTATCTCGACAGACTGACCTGGGTTTCAGGCGCGAGACCCCTGACACACTGCTCCTCCTCCTCATGACCTGCTTGCCAGGCCGGTGTCCTTGACACAGCTCTTCTTCCTTCGACCGGTGACGACTCTCCAGGTCCTTATCTTGTGACCCCTGAGTGGTAACCAACTGCATGCTCCTGAGCTTGGTCCATTCCTTGGCAGCGCTTGGTCCCCCTTGCATGTGAATCTGTCATACAATCATCCTTGCCACTGATCTCCACAGAATCTGCCACATGGTTCCTTCAACTACCAATCTTGGCAGGATTTGTAATATCAACTTCGCTCATGCCAATCTAGGTGAGATCTGTAATAGAGCCATCTCTACTACCAATCTCAGTGAATTCTGCTGCAAATCCTATGATCTGCCCAATTCCTTGATTCCTGTGCTCCCTTCATATGAGTTGATGGATCTTCCTGCTTCCTGTGCATCCAGGCCCATGACACAAGGCATCATCGAAGGTACGGTTCCATTTGGGATGTTTCTTGTCAAACACTCCTTCGAGGTGTTTCATTGCATGGGGAATGCATTGGAGGAAAGACTTGATGTGAGCATTCCAACTGTAATAGTTGTGTGATGTGAGCTTGGGCACTGGCTCAAGGAGTTTTGCCAAAGTATGGAAGTTGTATTGTTTGCCACCATTGTCTAGGTCAGAGTCTGAATCAGTTTCTTCATTGGCATCATCATCAATTACATCAGTCTCTGTCTCGTTGGTGGCCTCATTATTGATGACTCACATTTGGGTGACCTTCCCCTTTCTACCTCCTTTGACCTTGCCAGCTTGAGTTTCAGTTTCTTCTACCATAGCTGTTAACTGGGGTGCAGCTTGGTCGGTAGGTCTTCAGACTCTTAATCAATTGAAGATTACAAGTCCTATATGCTGATTAGAGCTACCATCAAGCTCTTGTCCACAAGCATATGCCTTCTTGAATACTTGCCATGTATTATCAATGATATGCTATGTACATAGGCATATATATACCTGATCATTACCTTCTATACATGCAAGACTGTGATGAGCCATTCCTCACATTACTCCTGAGTGTTGTCTCCTGTGTTACTCCTGAGTGTTGCTATGGCAACACTTATGCATCCCACATGCATACCACCTATATGCACTTTACTTCACTGGTGGCTTGCTTGTGCTCTGCAGACCCTGTAAACCCCGTTGGAATGCCGATGATTCTTCAACTGTTTTTATAAATGCAGGTCAGGAGACGGTATTGTGAAAATGCAGAACGGAGTTCACTTTACAACAGTGAAAGTATGTGATCTCTAGTTTGACCTCACACCTTCACCGCCTTCGCTCACTCGGATCCATAGCATGCTGTCAAGGCCTGTGCGGAGTATTGGCTTGCCTCAGGCCCGATCATTGCGATAGGCATCGGCATACCGGCTATCCAATACCCGAGGAGAAGAAGATAGACGTCCCCGTCATGTTCCATATGCTCACTGTTAGGTTACGTCTTTTATCGGCCGTATGAGTTACTCGCGTTTTCTTGGGGCGTTCAAATTTCCTCCAAAAACGCGTCCTTAAGGTTGCGTTCCAAAAAGTAAATCTGTGGCTACGATTTTCGCACGGCCAAAAGCACCCCGATTCCGAACAGCGATCCATCCATGTTCTTTCCCCGATCCCCCCCCGGACTTCTCTTCACACTCGTGTCACACAGGCTTCATACAACGACGTCGATATCAAATGCTTGCCATAGGGTATTGAGAGAAATGCTAAGCTGCAACAAACCACAACTACACGACATCGAAGGAGTACTTGGAAATCAGGCCCCTCCCGCTAACTCGACAATCAACCTTGTCGCGCATTCCAAGAATAAAAACGGACTATTGACCTCTTTCCTCCCTGCCGGTACCGCTGGAGCCAAGCTGGGTTTAATTCTTGTCCCATCAAACCTATGCTGCTGTTCGCCATCCCTCATAGACTGTTGAGTTTCCGTCATAGCTTTATCGAATGCTGCTTCCAGCTTCTCCACCTCGTTCCTCTCTTCATCACCTTGAGAAGGATCGCCGTCGAGGAGGGAGCAATTGTCGAGTTTCGTATATCCAACATTCCTAAAGTCAACGAGATAGTTGGTTGCATCGACATGATACAGTTGCAGATCCATCCTGACTAGCACATGTCCGACTTTCCACCTCGTTTCCAGGAAGAACAGCTCTTCTCCTTTGGTTGCTGCACTACCGCTACCGTTGTTCCCTTCCCGCTTCTCCGCTCCACCCGCACCTTCTTCATTTCCCTCCCCCTTCGCTCCTTTTGCGTTCTTAGCAGCGGGGGCAGGCTTAGCTCTCCACTCCATGCCGAGGGATTGCAGCGTCCTATACAGCTCCAGCATAATTTCCATCGGCGGACTACGAGAGCGGATACCGAAATGCCATCTTGATCTAGGTTTCTTGTGAATCTGTGCCGCCGTCGCTGCCGCTGCTCCAGGCAGAGAAGGCGTTACATTCCCCGAAACAGGAGAAAGAGGTGTGCATGAAGGCCAGGAGGTTTTCTCAGCGGATGGTGTTGCCAATCGCTCCGCCTCCCTCGCTCGCAGATACCCTGGAAGAGACGTCTCCAACACAGCAATCCTGACAATCCTCTCCCCATACGGATCTTCCACATCGGTCGAATGCCCATCTTCATCCGTCAAAACATCATCATCATCACTTGCCAAAGTCTCATTCCCATCATCCGACGGATCGGCATCAGCTGTATCGACCAAAAACGAATCCGGTTCTTCCTCCCCTCCCCCTACTCCCCCTCCCATCTGCGCTGTTGCAGAGGGTAGCGTTGGAGCAACTTCCTTATGCGCCACCCCCGCAGTCGCTTGCCCCGCCCCTGCATCCCTGTTCTTCCTCTTAATACTAGTAGATCGACCCATAAAGCCCTCCAATCCTTCATTCCAAGCAGGTGGACTTTGCGCGAGGAACGTCTCCATCCCATGTGCATCCTCCATATGATGGATCTGCAACATCCTCCTATGATCCCTCACCAACTGATAAGCCACCTTCACCTGGTTATCCCCCTTCTCCGCCAACTGCTGCAACATTTCCTCTTTATTGAACCCTACCATCTTTCCTACCAACTCTTCCACAATTTCATCCTCAATCGCATCCAAATCCCCCACTGGTAATGGCTGACCCGCACTCGCACTCGCACTCGTCTGCAAACTAGCCCCATTATTTCCCGCCGACCCCGTCGCAGTCGAAGGAGGAGAGGTAGCATCATTCGGCGACCCGGTATCGGCCGGACTTGCCGTCATGCCGAAATCAAAACCTCGGTTCTCCGCTGCTGGCGTAGGAGGGAGTGGCCTAAGGTAAGCTGGTAGATCAACGTTAAACCAAGGATGTTGCCTGATCTCGCTAATCGTAATCCTTTTGACCGGATCGACGATCAGCATCTGAGACAAAAGATGCCTAGCCTCCTGCGAAAGATAACTCGGCAAGGTATAAATCCCGTTGTTAATCTTCTTGAACAACGTCGGAATGTACTCGTCGTCAAAAGGCAACCTTCCGCACAGCATCACATACAAGATGACACCGCACGACCAAATATCGATCTCCGGTCCAGCATACAACCTTCCCGAAATCACTTCTGGCGCTGCATAGTTCGGACTACCGCAACTAGTTTTGAGGAAGTCACCATCCGTCATGATGTTCGACAACCCAAAATCTCCAATCTTAACATTCAGATACTCATCCAACAACAGATTCTCGGGTTTGAGATCACGATGAACAATCTTATGCCTGTGACAGTACTCCATCGCACAAATCACCTGTTGAAAAAACCTCCTTGCTTCAGGTTCCGGCATCCTCCCTCTATCCACAATATACTGGAATAGCTCGCCACCAGCATACTCGATGACCATAATGATGTCGTTGGGGGTGGTGATCACTTCGTAGAGCTTGATAATATGGGGATGTCGGAGAAGCTTGAGGTATTGGATCTCACGTTTGACACGTCCACCCATGTCGAGGTTGGAGATCTTGCGTCGGTTGATGATCTTCATTGCGACACGGTGACCTGTGAGAGCGTGAGTGGCGAGCTTGACTTTGCCGAAGGAGCCTGTACCGAGGGTTTGTTGTAGGATGTACTGGCCGATTCGGACCGGTTGTTTGGATTCTTTGTTGCTGCTGCGTTGAGTAGAAGCAGAACGAGATGCAACTCGACTGGAGGAGCGTGAAGAGGACCCACTGGGGCCGGAACCTCGACGATCCTCGCGATAGTCCGAAGGCTGACGCCGCGAGCTGCTGGAAGCTTCCCTGCCGGACATGCTGGACGATACTACTTGACCTTAGAGTGTCGCGGGGTGTATGGTAACACGATAGTGCTGCTTGGCGCTTCAAGGTGATGCAAAAAAAGAAGGTGCGTGCGAATGAGGATGCAAATTACGAGCCTTGAAGTTTGTGTTGCATGCCGAGTGTTGTGGAAGCGACGTGACCAGCTGATAAAAGAGAGCAACGATGCTATCACTTCAGCAGTTCTAAAGTTGCGCGACAGTAAAGCGATGGTCGCAAATTAGGCTGCAATGCTTTGGGCTACAGGTCTCAGCCCTCGATTGCTGCTGAAAGTGTGAGCCGATACCGGTCGAAGGTTCGGAAGATGCTGCCCTTGGTAATCGAGTTACGGTCGAAATCGAAGCTGCGTCGGCGGTGATAGTGCGGCACAACTGGTTTTGAAAGTGCTTGCTGGTCCGATGATGCCGATTTGCTTCAATATGTGTATGCAGAAGTTGAAGTTGCGATTCGTGGTGATCAGGGATGGTGTTGAGGAGGAACGAGGCTAAGCAAAAGAAGTCTCGATTCGATCAATGTGAATGTGGCCTGCTTGTCTTTCAGATTTGTTAGCGTGGTCTGTGCGTGTGTGAGTGAGTGCAGTTGAGCAGTGAGCAGTGACGCTGTTCTGCCACTGCCTTGTCATTTCGTGAAATCGGCGATAAGTTAGAGCTGCGCGTGCCAATGTCACAGGCCAACTGCCTCTTCCAATCACAGTCGCCTTTTTCAACCCCGCAACGCAACGCAGGCCCGAATTCGCTCAGCCCTCTTCAGCATCATCTTTCCTCGATATCCAGTTGAGCAACATCCTCCCATGCGCATACTGTCACACACCATCACTCCCGAATCAGCATCAGAAGTAAGAGGAGATGAGATTAAAACGAAAGCAAAGACCAGAACCATGTGTGATATCCAAAGAAACTTAGGAATTTACTGCACTCATCGCAGCAAAGCAATCGTCAACGGCCTGATCGGCTTGGTATTCTCCAATTGCAGCGCATACTCGAAACACTCTCGCGCTCTCTCCGCCCTCCCACTCTTGCCAACAGCTTGACCTAGGAACAACCAAGCTTCGCTGGTGTCCCAACCGTTACCTTTTGTCGTCGTCGTCAGTAAACCCTCTGCAAGACTGACCGAGCTCAAGTCCCGAGCTTTGCCACTCAAACTCGCCTCAACACTTGATTCGACCTTCTCTGCCTCAGTCCCAGCACCCGCAGGAGATCGAGGTAGAGACTTGGGCTTCAACTCCGGATCAGCCAAGAACAACCTCGCCAAGTGAACCGACGCTGCTACATCGCCACCAGAACAAGCGAGGGCTTTGTGCAGCGAGTCAACAGCCAACCTTGTCTGTTGAGTAGCGGCAAAGTACAGCGACAATTGCACCCATACATCTGCCAAGCCTGGCTGTAAGCGTTCGGCTTCCTGAATAGCGGATCGACATTCTTTGAGCTGGTTGGCACGTCGGAAGCTTGCAGCGGAGATGAGCCAGATCTTGGCAAGTGTAAGAGACTGTCGCTTGAGATGTTGAAGCGTTCGCTCGGCACCGGAGCGTGAGAGATCTTCGTCAAGGTCACCGAGCGCCATGCCAGGCAAGATGGCTGCATTACTCTTCTGCGTTCCTGCAGCGGCACTGGCCGATCGCTGAGCATACGACCTCGCTCGACCTGCAGTAGTCTGAGATCGTCCAAGCGCCGTGTCGTTGCTGTTCTGTCCACCACCGCCAACCGAAGCAAGCGAGCCATAGCGTCGCAGACCACCCAGATCCTTCGACATTCGCGAATCCCTGCTGTCTCCTCCGCCCGCACCAGCTGCTCCTCCCGCCGACGCAGCAGCAGCAGCCGCAGCAGCGTAAGGGAACACGCGGTGGAAGTATGTGAACAGCTCCTTCTGCCCAGCAATCGCACTCTCGACACCATCATTAAGCTCCTCCAGTGCATTGTAGGTCACCATCAAGCGCAAGATCGACTCGTTCCTCTCCAATGGCTTGGGTGGATAATCGACACTCAACAGCTGCGAAGCTGCAAAGTTAGCAGGCGAAGGTCCATTGACACTTTGGCTGACACTGTGGTCATCGTTCTCGCACTCGTTGAGAGCCACTTCAGCGATCTTGAATGCATCCTTGTACTTCTTCTGTGCAGATAGGAGAAGCACGAGCAAGTGCCAGGACTCGACATCCGCAGGCTCAAGCTCGACTGCTTTGCGTGCCGATTGGAGAGCAGAGTGAACATCCCGCAGCTCAGCCTGCAGGTAAGCAAGCTGATAGTAGGCTTCGGAGGACTGGTCGTCGAGTTGAACCGCAGCAGTGAGTTCGGCGAGCGCCTCGGATTGCAGTGCAGGTCTACGAATTGGGTCGGCAAGCTCGATGGCTAGACCGGCTCTCGCAAATCCACTGACGCGTTTGAGACGAGCAAGCAACAAGGCGTTCTTTTCGAAGGCAGACTTGTACTTGCCCGAGGAGCCGTCTTGTACCACAGCGAGAGCCTTGCTAGCCATCTTGTCCGCCAAAGCAAAGTCGTTGCAATATCGACCTACGTAGTATGCACCATGAGCCAGCGTGTTGGCGTAGACTTCGTCACTGTCAAAGTCCTTGGAGGACGTGACGGTCTCTGGGTTTGCTCCATTTGCCTCGTGTTTGGCATCTCCATTCTCGATCGCTTTAAGCTCCTTGTTGCTGTCCGAGGAGTCCTTATTGGAGCCCTGCTCTGCTTCCCTCGCCTTCTCCACAATCTGAACGTAGGTTTGCAAAGCGCGCTTGCCCTCGTCGTAGCACTCGGCGGCAAACAGCAACCTCACCAAATAGCGAGCGACACGCTGCGAGTGGAAAGTCAACTGAACAAGCCCGTGCAAGATGTCGGCTAGGTCGTCAGCCTGCTCACCACCAAGCTCGCCATTGATCTCCCAAGCCTTGATCATCTGGTCGGCAAAGTCAAGCACCTCGTCGTTGATGTGGCCAGCCTTGGGGAATGCCGTCGACTTTTGTAAGGATGAGAAGGCAGCTCGCTGAGCAGTGAGCGATTCGTTGGACCATGAGACACTGGGAGCACGCAGTTCGCGGTAGGCATGAGGACGACGCTTCGAGACGGTACGCGAGGTGACGCGTTGCGAGGTGAACGTGGGCGCAATACGCTTGGCGGCAGGATCGCGGTGAAGACGCTCGGACTCGTAATCGCGGATCTGAACGCGGGAAGCAACCATGGCGACGACTGAGAGCTGGTAGGCTTTGCTCCTCCAGTCATCACGGCTAGGTGGAGGCAGCTCGGGAGGATCAGCGTAGGTGCCTAGCTCAGCAGAGCGGTTGAGAACACGCAGGTAGTATCGGTGAATGACGTTGCGTTGTGGGAGACGGAACTCGTTGTGCCATCGACTGGCATGTGCCTGATAGGATCGAAGCGCGTTCAGACTCTGCACTGGCTCGCCGGCCCGAATGGAAAGAAGTGCATTGCGGTAGAGAGCAAGCTCGGCCCATCGCTCGATCTCGTCCGCTTGCAAACCTCGAAGAGCATTGGCCTTCTTTCCTCCACGAACCGACTCGTGGAGCTCGATGGCACGAGCATAGCCGGCGAGAGCAAAGGGAGCGTAGCCCGGCTCATTCTTGGTCAAGAGAAGGCGCTCGTTGGCCATGCCGTAAATGGTGAAGGCTTGCAAAACGAGACCTGTCAACGCACTGTTGTGGATCTCGGGGGTAAGGGCAGCTTCGCCTGCGGTCTCGATGAACTTTTCGCGATGCAAAATGTCGACCGCCTCGTCATCGCGACCCAGAGCAAAGAGAGCTAAAGCGCGCAATGAAAGAGCAGCGAGCCTGTTCTGTCCATCGCCGTACTCGAGCACGCGGTCGGCGATCTGTGAGACGCTTTCTGTAGACCAGCCAACGCCTTCCGCACCGGACTTCATGATGGGAGGGAAAAGGGTGGCATCGCCAGCACGTGGATACACCTTGTAGTCGGCAAGGTGGGATGCATCGGTGTACTCCGAGTCGACATAAAAGTTGTGGATGGCGGCTTTGAGTTGCTGTTCTTGCGTTGCAAGTGCGGCGAGGGCTGTCAAGGAGCGAGAGGAAGGCAAATTGAACAGCATGTTAATAAGAAGCTCAAACCAAGCTGGAGTTTGAGGTGGCAGTGCACTTACATGGTCTGTCAGCGTTGTGCTTAGCAAACTTGCGAAGGAGTTCCTTCCAGGGTAGCGGCTTGCCCGAATGACTTGGTTGCTCCGAGAGCCAGTTGCCGCGCAATCTGGCTGAGTCGAGCTCTTTGAGATAGAGCTCGGACTTGGTCTGTCATCGAAAGGGAGAAGAGAGAGAAGTGAGTCAAGACGGTCTGTGGCGCCATGGAGGATGCTGTATGAGGAAAGGAAGGGCTACACTCACAGGTTTCGACATGGTGACTTTCCGAGCTTGTATTAGCTGTTTCTATGGGAGTGTGGGTATCGTGAAGCCTCGCTTTCTGGAGATCGTGCTAAGTGCTTAAGAGTCGTTGCCGCTTGTTGTTTGAGTCGAGGAGATGGCAGCTTTAACACGACTGCTTGCTTGTTGGGGATCTTTCCTTAGGAGCGACCCGATGACTTGGTCCAAGAATCGACCAAGCTACCAAAGTTGTCGGCTTCGATCAGAACGATCGATGCGTCGCTGGAAGAGCGTGATGGTCGACGGCTGAGACGAATTACTGATGATGCGCAGCCAAGATTAGGCCTGTACTCGTTCCAATAAGTGGATCGGGCACGGAGAGGTGAGAAGATAGGAGAAAGCGGGAGAAGGATATCAAGATGGAGGTTGGATCGCTTTTGGTTGCAAGTGCTGGTTGAAGGAGAAAGAAAAGGAAGCTAGAAGGTCTTGCTTGCCCCTGTCGAGCGTGTGTGTGAGAGAAGGGATGGACAGTGTCCAAGCTGAGCTTTGTGTCTGTCCCTCTCTAGCCGAACAAGCAGGAAGCGACTTTGCTTTTCCGCTTCTGAGAGAGAGGAGCGTGACCTCATTCATTATTTTGGCTCACATAATTCTCAGGTCTCCCACACGCTTGCAGACAGAGATACGCACAGAAAGAGATACGCACAGAAAGAGATAGGCATAGAAAGAGATAGGCATAGAAAGAGATAGGCACAGAAAGAGAGAGGGGTCGAGCAGCTGCTCTCAATCCTCTTCTTGCACGAGGGTGTTGAAAGTGCAATTGTCTTAGTCTGGCTCCGCTTGAGTTGGCCGTCGACATGTCTGAGGCCTTTGCTTTGCTTTGCTCTCCATCCCTCCTTCCTTGTCTAACTACTCTGGCTTGACCGTTTCCACTCAATCGGATCGCAACCCCAAGCCGTCAGCTCTTCAAGGCTCTCATTGTTGAGTTGTGCAACGATCTTGTTGGGCAAAGCGATTGAGCCAAGATCCAAAGCACAACGCAGATCAAGATGGGCTTGTGAGCAGGACGACACAACGTAACCGAGCCGAACCGAATGCAAATCTGGGCCAGCTGAAGTTTCGTGTGAAAGTGGAAAAAGCCGCCTCAGCTCACACAAGTTTCCCGTCTCCAAGCAAAGCAAGCAAGCAAGCGAGCGAAGCCATCAGCCGTCAGCCGTCAAGCCTTGATCCTTGATACTTCCCCGCACGACAAAGGCGCTTCGCACAAACAAGGTGGAGCTTGCGGATCCGACGTCAGACTTCTGTTTGTGGGGTCGCTTCTGCTGTCATCCTTCCTGGTCATCCTGGCTCTCCTGCACCCTGTTCCTGAAACTAGCATATGAACAAAGCAATGCTAGCCAGTGAGCAGGATCGGATCATGATCGATATCAAATACGCGCTTCTTCACGTGACGGCCTCCCTGATGCCTGGATTCCAAGTATCTCTTGCCGCCGGCAACTGATACTCACCCAACACATGCTGCCATAGACACTCGATTCGATGGGAATAACAAAGCTTTGGGGAATTTCAAGGCAAGCCTAAGGAAATGTGAGTTTTTATCATACTTGTGTATCGATAGAAGCGGAAAGGAGGTGATTGAAAGAGAGCCGGCTACGAGGCAGACACCGTTGAGAAGCAGCAACATCAATCCGAGCAGAGGACTTGCTCCATCTCGACCCGACTTTGGCTGAAGCTACGGCGTCGAGATTTTTGCAATCCCTTTCCCACAAACTGAGCTGGCTCCCCAGTCGACGCCCGCCAATAGAGTACATGTCCAAAACACGTCATGGTATCCCTTTTCACTCCTGAGGAAGCTCCTCCTCCTCCTCAAGGTACTCGCCCTCAATGTCCTCGTCCAGAGCCGAGGCATCCTGGTACTGCTGGTACTCGGCGATCAAGTCCTGCAAGTTCGACTCGGCCTCAGTGAACTCCATCTCGTCCATACCTTCGCCAGTGTACCAGTGCAAGAAAGCCTTACGCTTGAACATGGCCGAGAACTGTTCCGAGATACGCTTGAACACATCCTGGATCGCAGTCGAATTACCGATAAAGGTAACCGACATCTTGAGACCACGAGGAGGAATGTCACACTGAGCAGTCTGAACGTTGTTGGGGATCCACTCGACAAACTGAGTCGAGTGCTTCTGCTGGAAGGTCTGCATCTGGTCCTCGACATCCTTCATCGAAACCTTACCACGGAAGTAAGCGGCGCAGGTGAGGTAACGACCAAGACGAGTGTCGCAGGCAGTCATCATGTTCTTGTTGTCGAAAGCCTGCTGGGTGATCTCCGGGATGGTGACCGCACGGTACGACTGCGAGCCACGAGCGGTCAAGGGCGAGAAACCGACCATGAAAAAGTGGAGACGAGGGAAGGGAACCATGTTGACGGCGAGCTTTCGCAAGTCCGAGTTGAGCTGACCGGGGAATCGCAAGCAGGTGGTAACACCGGACATGACGAGCGAGACGAGGTGGTTGAGGTCACCGTAGGTGGGGGCGTTGAGCTTCAACGTCTTGAAGCAGATGTTGTACAGAGCCTCATTATCGATACAGAAGGTCTCGTCCGAGTTCTCAACAAGCTGGTGAACCGAGAGGGTGGCGTTGTAAGGCTCGACGACGGTGTCGGAAACCTTGGGCGAAGGCAAGACCGAGAAGGTCGCCATCATTCGGTCTGGGAACTCTTCACGGATCTTGGAGATGAGGAGGGTACCCATACCGGCACCGGTACCACCACCGAGCGAGTGGGTGATCTGGAAACCCTGGAGCATGTCACAGTTCTCGGCCTCCTTGCGGACGACGTCAAGCACTGAGTCGACAAGCTCGGCACCTTCGGTGTAGTGACCTTTGGCCCAGTTGTTACCGGCACCGGACTGACCAAAGACAAAGTTATCCGGACGGAAGAGACCACCGAGAGGCCCGGAACGGGTCGAGTCCATGGTACCGGGCTCCAAGTCGACGAGGACGGCACGGGGGACGTACTTGTTGCCGCTGGCCTCACTGTAGTAGACGTTGATGCGGGCGAGCTGATCATCGCTGGTGCCAATGTAGTTACCGTTGTGGTCGATGCCGTGCTCGTCCGAGAGGACCTCCCAGAACTTGGTACCGACCTGGTTACCACACTGACCGGTCTGAAGGTGGACTGTGGGTCGATAAGCGGAAGTTGGATGAAAGTGCGCGAATGTCGAGTGGGTTGTCAAATGGTTATGGCGGGGTGGTCACAGTTTTGATCATGATAAGAGAACATGGTCAGTGGATCAGATTCAGCTGTTTAACACAAAGGTAGTGCAATGTCACTTACCAATCTCACGCATCTTGAAGAGGGACTAGAAGTGTTGTAAGGGTGTTCTTGAAGGGTTGTTGACTAAAGAGCACAGATCAGAAGCACAGCATCAATGAGAAGTCGAGTCAGCATGTATGTTTTTCAATCGCGAGAGCGAAAGCACGGTCTGAGGGGTAAGATGCATCGAAAGTCGGGTGACCATAGACGAGAAGTTGGGTAGAGGAATGCTGAGGGTGCCGCGGATCTTGATTGCCGCGCTCTGCTGAAGGCGGAACTTCGGGTCCCTCTGTGTCACCCCTCTGATCAGAATATCTGCACGTCCCGCTCGAAGACTCCTGGAAGATCTTGGGTTCCAACCAGTGCCCATCGTATAATGTCGAACGATCGCCTGGAACGCGATGGGGCTGTTGGTCTTTGTCCTTTCGACCTCTATTATCTCCCTTTCCGAGCCAACTAGGCATATGTCGGACTGAGTAGCCTGCTGATAGGTTGTCCGACTTGTCCTCCATCTTTGCTAGAGTTGCGATCCATGTGCAGGTTGTGTGGGTCTGTCTAAGCATGGTGTTGCTGGTGTGTCTGCTTTGTCGTGGTCGCGATCGATAGCCGTATTGCTTCAAGTACTGTTGGCAGTCATCGCACGTGACACTTACAGCTTACTGAGTGTTGACCAAAGACGGAACGGAACAGTTCTGTCTGCGAAACGAAGGTGTTGCGTAGGAGAAGAGGAGAGAAACGGTCGCAGAGAGGAGAAAGGGTGGTGGTGGTGATCAAGAGCGTATGGTGCGCGCTGTAAGTGATGATTCGCAAGCTGAGCTGGCTGACGCGGGCACCGACAACGGAGCGGACAAGCAGATCTCTCTTCTGGCAAAAAGTGTTGGACTTGACTTGGGACAAGTGTGCGCGCACCCAGACTTGCTCTCTTCCAAAGCAACTTTCTCACACACACACACACACACACACACACACACACACACACATTCTCTCTCTCTCTCTCTCTCTCACACACTCAGACACACCTTCACAAAGAAAAAGTGTTGTTCTCTCGTCGTCGCAAGAGCCAAACTGAAACTCAAATACAGAGAGAATTCGCAGATTCTCGAGGCATTTTCAATTTTGTTGTACACTTTCAAAGTGACACGCACGCGAGCTTTTAATTCGAATCCACAGAACGACTTCAATTTTAGTGCGAATTGAAAGTTCAAGGCTCTCTTGACCGTGCCTTTGCTCTTTTTCTTCTGAAATGCGAACGTGCACCCCGAATTTCCTCTTCATCACCCGCTTCTCTCTCCTTCCCTAGCCTTCTCTCTCTCTCTCTTCAGACCAGTTGCGTACATCTGATACTGAGCTGTGCAGTATGCTGCAAGATCGAAGATTTGTGCTGGTATTTCAAACGATCTCTGAAGAAGACATGAACATAGCGAGATCAGGAGAGGAGACAAGACAAAGTGTTGAAGGTGTGCGAGGTGAGATGTGACTTTAGGAACAAGGGCAAACATGCACGGAATCCGCGCACGCAGATGCTGTATTTGTTGTTGTTGTTTTTTTTTTCTATAATCACATATCAAGCCGTGGGACGCGTCGCGCGTTTGCCCGTCCTTCGGCCAAACGGCTTGTTGGATCGGTGATGCATGACAACATCGGGAGATCTGCTTGTCGCCAGTGCTCATCACCAGCAGCTTAAACCCTATTCTAGTTTTCGGTTCTGTGAGCAAGCAGAACCTTGAGGGTTGTCCCTGGTCTTGTACGTCAAATAATAGAGCCCTGTCTTACACAGGTTTGCAATCGCAGCACGATTAAGAGTAGCTCTCATCGGAGAACTTGATTTTTGTGACCATTTTTTTGGCTGCCCTTTTTCGTCATTCGCAGATCAACGACACAATTTGATGTGTCTGTGTTGAATATACGGTGTGCCTTCTGCTCGTCTTCGCAACCCCAGCCAAGAACGGATGGGCTCTCACACAGTCATAGAGACAGCAGTGAATGGTACATGACGTATGCATTGCAAAGCTAAAAGTACAACAAGTTGGCGAGAAGCAGAATTCGAAAGCAGTGCGGTGAACGGGGGGCTTTTCATGCGATAGGTTTGATCTTGAAGTGTAGAGAGATCAAGCTGAAGATGAGGCACTACAAAGCGCAAGTTCATCGACATGGTCATGTCAGCGAGTCAGTATGGATTGTATCAGCAGCGTGAGTCGCAGACCTCGATGAAAGGTATTTACAGGGAAGAGGGCGAGGAAGTGAGCTTACCTTGAGATCTTGTACCAAGTAATACATGACTCGTAATCCTTCTGGATCTTGACTATCTTGTACGTCGATTAGTGAGCCTATCTTTGCTGTCTGTTCGTCGCAATGGCCAAGATTTAGAATCACATTGGCGTCAGTGCTGTTCGCTTCGCGAGAAGAGGCTGGTGCCGAGAGAGGGAGAGTGTGCTTACCTCAAACGAAATATGTTCTTTCCCCAGCCTCACTTCGAGCTCCTGTCGACCAGCTACGTTCTTCTTGGGCCATTTGGCATCGTCTTCTCGCATGATCTCGGACTCCTTTACGATCCGTCGCAGTTCGTCTACCATAAGGGGACTGATCCACACTGTCAGATCCAAGCATCGTTGTGTTCATCAGAGGAACAAGAAAGTCAGCATCAAGCAGCGATTGTTGTAGGATGAGAAGAGCAAGAGATTTGAACTCACTCTCTTTGCGGATAAGACTATCGTTACGGTAGTTGGAGTTGTTGGCATATCTCAAGCGACCGCGGGAGTATTCGAACTCGAGGAACTCATGGCCGTGTCTGCCTTGATGACCAGTGCTGCGAGCGAGTATCAAATCAACGGACAGACCAAAAGGGAGATTGTCAGTATGATATAGCGCAGTTTTGCCAGTATGATATAGCGCAGTTTTGCCAGTATGATATAGCGCAGTTTTGCTAGCTGTGGTTTAACGGGAGGTAAGACTTACTAGTATCGGACATAGAAGTCGGACATGTTATGATGCTGCTCTTGGCTCCTTTGATGTCTCTTTCGTCTTGCTGCGTCGGTCTTGATTTGCAAGTAGTGCTACCTACGTGAAGGAGTGTATTAGGAATGCTCAGCTTGGCGTTGTGGGCTGTTGTGGCGCCGTTGAGCGTTGATTGGGAGAGTGGAAGATGCGCAAAGTGAGAATGAATGGTCTGTGAGCAGCCGCAATGCTTCTTCCTCTCCAACATTTTTCTTCGGGATTCGGATGTGGAGTTTTTTTCAGGGTTCAGCTTCTTGCACCACACTTTCTTCTTATCCACCTTCGCTCCGCCAACTGCTTCGTCCTCATCATCCCTAACCGCCCTCGGCCTCTAACCCTCGCAGCGGCTAAGAGGGCAGGGATGAGCCGCCCTCCGAACAAGCGACAGCGCTTCGATGGTCCCTCGGTAGAGGAAGGCGCCTCATCACACATCTTCGCCTCGCCCTCTTCCGGCCCAAACCCTCAGTCCGGCTCTGTCTTGCGACCATGCTCATACGAAATTACCCTCAATTATGACACCGGGCTCAAGCGCTGTCTGTATGCTCCACCGCTCTCTTCGCAACACAAAGAGGCAAAGTCGGAGTGGGCAACAAGTCTTGTCAAGTGGACCAGTGCTTCCGGCGATCAGCAGGTCATCACTGACCGGTACGATGCGATACATCTATTGCAAGACCTTCCCCCCAAAGTCCCACTGACAAGCGCAAAAGAAGACGATGATGTAGGATGGTCAGATCTGGACAGTGACACAGAAGATCTCTTCTACATGACTGATGCGGAGGCAGCCAGCTTCTCTCACACAAAAGCCAAAGCTCGACTGGAAGCTCATCATGCAGCTCGACTAGCCAGTTTGCGCTCTCCAACACCTTTGTCTGCACCTACTACACCTCAGATCGACACCAAAAGACCCTCGATACCTGGTGCAGATACGACTGCGAAGATAGGCCTCAGTAAGAGCCAATTCGAACTGATGCAAAAGACAGCTCGAGGCTTGTCAAACTCGACCAACCCATCGCTGCTAGAGCTTAAGATCTTGGCCAACCATGGCGGCGATGATCGCTTCGCTTTCCTACATAGCAGCATCCGAAGCAAAAAGGGAGATGAAATCACTGATCCAGTAAGGGTGTGGGAGGAGCTGAAGAAAGCAAAAGGCGAGATGAGCTACGAAGACGTACTTCGACTTCTGCAGCCATCACGACAAACGATATTGCAAGGCAACTCAGGAACAAGACTGGGTCTGGTAGCATACGATGACAGCGATAGCGAAGACGAATCTGAGCAACAAGCAGGAGCAACTGCGGCGACACCATTACCAGCCAATAAAGCAGATGCAGTAGAAGAGAATGCTGACAAAGACGCTGAAAAGAAGCGCAAACAAGCCGAACGCCTTGCTCGCGCCAAAGCATGGCTCAAAACTCGTTCAAAGCAAGCACCATGAATCGATCACAAACGATTGTAACACAACACAAATCCAGCTCTTATGCATCTGTCTGAAAAAGTCCAAAATGATTGCAAGAGTGTCATGAGTGGTGATGACGAAACAATTACGGCGCCAAGCCATCTTTCTTTTGGGAGCATAAACGGGAATACTATTGAAATACACTTGATGTAGACAGAAAAAGAAGGGGAAAGAGAACATGCTGAGCTATGCATAGATGGAAAGGCGAGGTGTCGATGATGACCTTTTTTTTTTCTTTTTTCTTTTTTCTTTTTTTTCTTTTTTTTTTTTAGGTTCACAAGAGTGTGGGGAGTGGTGGTGATCAGCTTAGAAGCCCATGCCACCCATGCCGCCCATACCACCCATACCACCCATACCACCCATGTCACCTGCAGAGCCCTTCTCCTCAGGAGCCTCGACAATGCAGCACTCGCTGGTGGTCAAGAGCGAAGCGACGCCGGAAGCATCCTGCAAAGCGGTCTTGACCACCTTCAAAGGGTCCAAGATACCGGCAGCAATCATGTCCTTGTACTCGCCAACGCTGGCATCGTAACCGTAGGTAAAGTCACCGGGCTTCTCGAGCAAGCGACCAACAACAACGGAACCCTCCTCGCCGGCGTTCTCGACAATGGTGCGGGCAGGTCGGTTTAGAGCAGCCTTGAGCATGGAAAGACCAAGCTGCTGGTCAAAGTTGGCAGTAGCCACGTCGTTGAGCGCCAAAGAAGCCTTCAAGAGCGCAACACCACCACCGGGCAAGACACCAGCCTCAACAGCAGCACGGGTAGCGTTGAGAGCATCGTCGTATCGGTCCTTCTTCTCTCCGACCTCAACCTCGGAGGAACCACCGACCTTGATGACAGCAACACCGCCCGAAAGCTTGGCAAGACGCTCCTGGAGCTTGGTTCGGTCGTACTCGGAAGTGGTGGTGTCGTTGATAGCGGCACGGATTTGCTCGCATCGCTGGGCAAGACGGTCCTTGTCGCCCTCGCCATTGAGGAAGATGGTGTCCTCCTTGGTGATGGTGACGGCACCGGTGGTACCGAGCATCTCAGGGGTGGCGCGGTCGAGCTTGGTCTCAAGCTCGTCGGAGAAGACCTGAGCACCGGTCAAAATGCCAAGATCGCCGAGGATGCTCTTACGGTTGTCACCGAATCCGGGAGCCTTGACAGCAGCGACCTGGAGCTGACCACGGAGCTTGTTGAGAATGCATGCAGCAAGAGCCTCACCGTCGACGTCCTCAGCAATGATGAGCAAGGGGCGACGGGCCTGAGCAGCAGCCTCGAGCGAGGGGAGAATGTCCTGGAGAGCCGAGATCTTCTTCTCGGAAAGAAGGATGAAGGGCTTCTCGAACTCAACCTTGGCAGTCTTGACGTCTGTGATGAAGTAAGGTGAGATGTAACCACGGTCGAAGCGCATACCTTCGGTGATTTCGATCTCGTCCTCAAGGGTCTTGCCCTCCTTGACAGTGATGACACCCTCCTTGCCGACCTTCTCCATGGCGGTGGCAATGAGCTGACCGACGTGCTGGTCACCGTTGGCGGAAATTGTAGCGACCTGAGCGATCTCAGCCGAGGTGGTAACGGCACGCTTGTTGGTCTCGAGGAACTTGATGACGGCGTCAACACCGGCCTGGACACCACGTCGGAGGTCCATGGGGTTGCAGCCAGCAGCGACGTTCTTGACACCCTCGGCATAGATGGCACGGGCAAGGACAGTGGCGGTGGTAGTACCGTCACCGGCGATCTCGTTGGTCTTGTTGGCGACATCCTGGACGAGACGAGCACCGAGGTTCTCGAACTTGTCCTTAAGGGTGATGGACTTGGCTACGGTAACACCGTCCTTGGTGATCTTGGGACCACCGAAGGGTTGCTCGATGATGACATTACGGCCCTTGGGACCGAGAGTGACAGAGACGGCGTTGGCGAGGAGGTTGACACCGTTGAGCATGGCGGCACGACCATCGTTGCTGAATTTGACCTCCTTGTGAGCGTTGGCGACAAGCGAGGTGGAGAAGCTACGGCCCTGGTTGAAGGCGGCCTTGCGAGCCGGGGTAACGGCCCTACGAAGAAGAGACATGGTTGCGAGAGGGATGTAAGGAAGCGATGGGGTGTGAGAGGTATGCGTGGATGATCCTCCTTGACTACTTGGTCGACGTTATAGCAAAAGTCGAAGATGAGAGACGCAAGATGAAGCAGAGGTGATGGATGATGAGGGTGGAGAAAGAGCGGTGAACACGAGCCTTTGACGGACGAGAAGAAATCTGGACCTTGCTGTTGCTTCAGTAACCGGAAGGAAGAGCTCTTTGGCTTTCTCTGAATTTCTGTGCCTTGGCTTCTTTGAGCGCTTACACGAGGCTCTTGCTGTTACTTCCAGAGTAGCCAACTCCACACTCCCGATTTCTTCCTTTGGTGACATTTTTCTTTCTTTTTTTTTTTTTTTTTTTTTTTTTTTTTTTTTTTTTTTTCTTCTTCTTCTTCGTTTCGGCATTGTTCTGCCGCCTTCTGTGGAAAGCCAAAATTTTGACTTTTTCTGCCCTTTTTTTTCTGACCTTTTTTTTTTTTTTTTTTTTTTTTTTTTTTTTTTTTTTTTTTTTTTTTTTTTTTTTTTTTTTTTTTTTTTTCTGACTTTCTCGGCTCGATCACGGTTTTGCCCGATTTTGTTTTTTTCGTTTTCGTTTTCGTTTTCGTTTTCGTTTTCGTTTTCGTTTTTGTTTCTGTTTTTGTTTTTGTTTTTGTTTTTGTTTTTGTTTTTTTTTTTTTTTTTTTTTTTTTTTGGGCACCACACAGCGACTTCTGACGGGCTTAGCGGACAGGAAAAGGCTCAGTTCTTCTGAACAGCCAAACGACAGCTCTGGAAAGTTCTAGACGTATGAGTGCGAGGCGCATCAAGCGACTCTGTAGATGACCCTCTCGTGCCACCTTGCCTCACACCGAAGGGGTTGGATTGTTCGTTGTGTATGATTGTCAAAGAAGGTTTTTGCCGAGAGCAACGTTGTCCTGAGAGTGGTTCAAGTGTGCTTGTCTATGGCAAAGTGTTGGTGTGGCCATTTGATGCTATGGTGACAAGTGCTTTCCGGGTTCCGAGTTGATTTTCTCAAGTTGTCGCTTTCTTCCCAGTTGCCGTTGTTGCCTACTTCTCCACCTTGCACTCACACCATCTCTCCCTCTTCACGTCCCGCTCCCCCAGACACATCTTTCATCATGGTACGTAGCCATCGCCATTGGAATTGATGTCCCTATGCTTCCACTGTTAAGCTTGGCTTCTGACTATCTTTGCTTTCTCTGTTCAACAAACCGTTGCATGATTCGCAACCTCTGTCCTCGCCCACTCGACCCGACCATACGTTCAACCGACAACCATCAGGCCACTCAATCCACCATCCGCTCGATCAAGTCGGTCGTCCCTCTCCTCGACCGCGTCCTCGTCCAGCGCTTCAAGCCCGAGACCAAGACCGCCACTGGTATCTTCCTTCCATCTTCCGTCGCTTCCTCGCCTCTTCCCGAGGCTAGCGTCATTGCTACCGGGCCCGGTGCTCCCGACAAGGATGGCAAGATCGTCCCCACCTCGGTCAAGTCCGGTGACAAGGTTCTTCTTCCCAGCTGGGGCGGCAACTCGATCAAGGTCGGTGAGAACGAGTACCTCCTCATCCGCGACTCGGAGATCCTTGCCAAGATCAACGAGTAAGTGTGATCTTCCTTCATCAGCACTCAACCTCGATCCCCGATAAAATGCTAGCTTTCACTACCCTACGCACATACAATGCAATGACTATCTGTAACACCAGCATCCGATCGGCCTGTAATACTGCCTGACCCGCACTCAAATGAGGCACACAGAACGGTCTGACTCGCATCTTTGACGTTCAGTACCGCATCGTATCACATCACATCGCATCGCATCGCATTGCAGCAGTCGACGCAGCCAGCATATCAACCATGAACGTTCGGATCAAACGACAGGCACAATTGTGAATTAATGAGCCGAATCATGTTGCCTCTGTTACGGCACATCGGAGGGAGATTTGGCAGCCGAAGAGCTAGTAGTGGAACTGGGCCTGGCAGACTTGCTCTGATTCGCACCGCTGCTCCCACTTCCTGCTCCACCTGGCACACCAACCAGATGTCTGCTCACAGCAGCCAGTCCTCCATAAGCGCCAGTCTCCAACCCTCCGACAACACCTACGAAAGAGCCTCGCTTGCTAGCCGCCGACATTGCTGGTCTGTTCGCTTTAGCGCCCTTCTCCTTGAGATTCTCTTTTTCTTGATCTGCATCCTCCTGAGCCGTCTCTGTTTCATCTTGAACCGTCTTTGTCGCCTCGTCATAAGCTTCACGCGAGATAGCGTTAAGCGAAGTTGTCTTGAGCGCTCCTGCAAGCGACGCCCCCATCCAAGGTAACAGGTTAGCTGCGAATGCTGGCGCTGATCCACCTTCCGTGCTACCCTTTCCGGTCTTGCTTGATTGAGATCGTGTCACGTCTGGCCAAGGATCATTCAACCCTGCTACTGAGCGGTGTAGCTTTGACCCATCCTCATTGGTCTTCTTGTTCTTCCCATCCTGATCTGGTTTGATTCGCCGGGTGTGTCGATCGATGGAAAGCTCTCCTCCTGGCTGCTCAGCTTTCTCTATCGCCAAAGCCAGTTGTGAACGGAAGCGATTAGCAAAGCCAGGAAGCATCGCTGTTCCGCCCGATACCAGTGCGGTCTGACACATGACTCTTCGCAAATCGATCGGAAGCCTCGCAATAGCGCTGACTGTCATGTCCATAAGTCCCGGGTCATCGTGATCGCCTTGTTCGAAGAGAAGCTCTGCAGCTCGTTCGCGGACCCATCCTGATATTGCAATAACGCCTGACACACGGTTCTTCTGGAGTGATGATGACAAGACTGGGGTTAACGTTGATGTGGATGTCGAGGGTTGCGCTTGAACGCTTTGGATGAGTGATGCAGTGCTGTTCGGATCCACTGACTCTGGTGTGATAGCGAACGTGAAAGGAGTTGCGCTTGATGCCGCAGAATACTTCTGGCGGATCGACTTTGCCGCTGCTGCCTTTGACTCTGCAATACTTGTTTGGTTTGGAGCTTCTGACGGGTCATGCTCGAGGACAGAGAAGAGCTCCTGCATTGCCTCGAGTGCCGAATCGTACGAGCTCACGAACAGCGCTTTCGCCTTGATCTGCTCCAGTCTCTCGTCCGTCAACAGCACCGGATCAATGGACCGCGTCCTCTCCTTCAAAGACTTTGCTGAGTCCTGCAACCCATTCTGCGCAGCCACGAACTTTCCATACCTCAGCAACAATGCTTTCAACCTCGCATTGAGTCTCTTGCCCGCCCTCGAGCTCGAAACCGTATGACTCGTCAACGGCCTTCCATAGTACACCGGCATCAATGTCGTCTCCAGATATCCAACTTCCAGCACGAGACCTGTTATTCTTCCCACCGCCAACAGGCTCAGCAGAGGTGCCGGCACAAAGGACACGGATGGAACTTGAAGGTTGTCGAACAGCACCTTGCAGATCATCTCCTTGACTGACGTGGGCAGCATCGGATTCTCAACCACCAGCACCTTACGCTGCTTTGGATCTACCATGAGATGCTGCGTGAAGGCATTCCGGAGGAGCTGCGTGAGCTGAGCAAGTAGTAGCGCACGCTTGCCACGTCGCAACTGGTCGTCCCGACATCGTTCGAAGTCGAGATCCCAGAGGGTGTCGCCTGTAGCGTAGGGATCATCTGAGGAGGAAGCGTCGAGGCGAAGGTAGGAAGTCGATGGCTGTGCAAACGCGACAGACGGTACAATGGCTCGAGGTCGAGGCTCGCCACTGAACCCGAACTTGGAGTATCTACTGCCGATGTCGAGAATCACTCGGTCCTCTGTACCGAATAGCGAGTGTCTGCGGGTGACGCCAGAGTAGGCGGAGTAAGCTTGTGAGCCTATACCTGCCTGGCTGGAGCCTGAAGCGCCGGATGCTGCTAGATGTGCCGAGGAGGAAGACCGGCTCGGAGTTGCATCAGGGCGGGGTTGCTGAAAGGATACCTTGCGTGCTTCAGATGATTCTGCTGCAGGTCTGCTTGTTGTGGCTGATGATGATAACGACGGTGCTGTAGTCGTCGATGCGGGGTCGAGATGTGTGCCCGACATGCTCGAAGCGCTGTTGGCTCCAGCAATACTGCTGGCAACGTCTAGGAGTGTTGATAAAGGAACGAAGCAACGCAGAAGAGAGACCAACACTTTCAACACAAGCTTCCCAAACTGTCCACGCTTCTTCGTCGTGAATTTGGCTGCCTGTTGGACCCTCGAGTGAGTTGAAGTAGATAAAGCTACACAAAGCGTAGAGACAGTGAAGGTAGTGCTTACGGCCGAGTAAAAGGCCTGAGCATCTTAGCACGGACCACATGTGTCACAACCTACTCAAGACAAATGCTTTGTTATGTTCCGCAGTCAATGCGGCTCTCTGCCACTCTTCTTTTGTATATATATAGACTCCTCGCTCTCTCGCTCTCTCTCTCTTACCATCATCATCAACAAAAACTCTTCAACTACCTTCAACTGTTTAAGAGTCTGAAGCTTGGTGCAATGCCACCATCGACAAGAGCTGGACAGGTGGGAAGAGATGATGATCAAGCGACTGCAGGAAATGGACGAGAGGAAGGATGGCTCATGCAGGTAGTCAGAATCCTCCAGTTAGCAAACCCAGCACTAACGGCAGAGGAAGCAATAGTACGGGCCATGGGTCTGGTCAACATTAGCAACCAAGCTCCATGCGGGGAGACCGAAAAGATCCCCAAGGACATATTGAGCTCCATTGCTCACATCAAGAAGCTCAGCGATAGCAATTGGCACACCTGGGAACCCACCTTTATCGACTGCCTCCAGAGAGTGCACAACACGAAGGAAATCCTGTATGGTACCGTTGTACCCGGGAGCGAGGAATATGATGAAGACCTAGACAAGGCACTCATGGGCCTCATCCATGCCTGCTGCGATAACAGCCCGGATAGCCGCATCGACACCTACACCGTCAGAGGGGCAGATGAAGAAATTCAACTTGGCAGCACACTCTATGCCAAACTCAAGAAGGCACTAACACTAAATGATGCTGTAAAGTGAGCAGGACTGCAGGATCGTATCCACACAGTGCGCTTGCACAATTGAGACATTGTCAGGCTAGGCAAGGAACTCGATTCGATCTGGAACGATGCGGCACGCCTCGGAAAGCATTTCGACGAGGACCTCAAGAAATCAACTCTCTATTGCTGCACGGCTCAAGATTGGTTCTATGCCAACACCGTCGATGCACTGAAGACGGCCAGACCAGACTGTAAGTATGACGAAGCCTACCACGCACTTGCCAAGAAACAGCAAGATGGTGAGATCACTGGCCATATTAGAGGAGCAGCAAGGGTCACCACAAGCGCGGAACAGGGGAGTGCCAACCAGGCAGAGCAAGGACCCAGGGGCAGGCGCGATCCTCGCAATCCCTTGGCCCCTCCAAAGTGCTATGCTTGTGGAGGACCAAATCACATTGCTCGAAATTGCACAAATGCACCAGGCACAAGCGAACCTGTTGCCCATATGACACAAGAGGTGAACCACTAGGAACTCGGGTGCACCTTCCTAGCAGTCAACAGGGGCGAGCGATCAGCATGTGACACCTGGATCATTGATTCAGGTGCAACCCATCATATGGTAAATGATGAGAGAATGCTGCTCACCTCGACGAACAAGGTTGGCCAAATCAGTATGGCAGGGGACGAAAAGCTTCAGGTGAAGGCTATAGGAGATGCCTCCCTTCGGGTCAGTGAGGCCACCATCCAACTATTGGATGTGCTTTATGTACCGAAACTGAATGCTAATTTATTGTCCATACAAGGCTTGATCGAGAATGGTGCATGAGTAATCTTTGACAAATTTGGAACTACCATAAAGCAGAACGATGGTACCCAAGTACAATTCAAAAGGGACAGAAGACAGGGTCACTTCAAAGTGCAAGGACAAGCACTGGCTTTGGAACTGGAGGAAACACGAGATGATGTCCCAGAGGACAACCAGAACACAGGAACACCAGACAATGTCCCAGCGGACAACCAGAACACAGGAAAACTAGATAATGCCCCGGAGGGCAATAAGGACACGAAGCATTGAGACAGCTACCTATGGCATGAGAGGTTCGGACACCCAGGACGAGACAAAACGAGACAAATCCGGGCTCATTACCTAGGTACTGACGAGGAAATGGAACATGAGTCGAAGTGCTGTAATGCGTGCAGCCAAGGAAAACAGACTCGAGCACGGATGGGCCAATCAGAGTTGGAAAGAATGGAGGCACCATTAGAGCTGGTACATGTAGACCTGATGACAGATTTCAAAGGACATGCCAACTACCACTACGCACTAGTTGCTGTGGACAACTTCTCCTCTCTGATCTATGTGGAACCACTCTGCACAAAGCGTGCCACACTCATGGTGCTGAGGAGGTGGATAGCCAGGATGGAATGGGCAATGGACAGGAAACTCAAAACACTCCGCAGCGACAATGGAGGAGAATGGTGCAGCATAGCAGCCAAAGACTGGCAAACTCAAGAGGGTTTCAAGTGGCAAAAGAGCGTCCCGGGGATCAGCGTCCAAAATGGACGGGTGGAGAGAGCAATCAGGTCAGTCCAAGAAAAGATGCGCTTGATGCTGATTGGTCGAGCTTGCCCCAGAGAGTTGTGGCCGTATGCAATCACAGCAGCAGCACACGTGATGAACCTTACCCCGTCAGCCACCAAAACCATCCCCCATGAGGCCTTTTATGGAACCACCGTGCACAAGCTGGCCCAGCAGCTGCGAGTCTTCGGATGCTTGGCATGGGTTCATGTTCAACAGAAGGACCAGCAAGGCAAGTACGGGGCTAGAGCAAAGCCAGCCATCATGATTGGGTATGACGACGAACACAAAGCATGGAAGTTTTGCAGCCCAGACCAGCCTGCGTCAATTCAATGGAGCAACTCAGCAACGTTCCATGAGGACAAAGGATGGAGTGATCGCCAACAAGAGGCAGTCAGGCCTGTGGTGACCACGGAGGTCGAGGAGGAGGGTGTCATGCCAGCCATAGTGGAGGAGGAGACCAAATCAGAGGCTGCAGTGGAGGATCTCCTACCAGCCGTAGACAGCACAGTAGGCGCTGCCAACACAGCAATACTGAACCTGGACCCAACGCTTGGGGAAGCAATGAATGGTGAGGACGCCCAGCTCTGGAAGGAGGCAATATGAAAGGAGCTAGAAGGACTCGAGGCAATGGGGACTTGGGAGGTGGTGCACCAACTGCCAGGAGTACCACTTGTGGACTCTAAGGTTGTGCTTCGGCTGAAGCTTGACGCTGATGGCATACCTGTTAAGCACAAGGCGCGACTGGTTGCAAGGGGCTTCACACAGAGAGAGGGGATTGACTACCAAGAAACCTTCTCTCCAGTAGCACCCCTCGGAGCGATCAGAGCCATCTTAGCACTAGCGGTGCAGAACAACTGGGAGGTACATGCTCTGGACATCACTATGGCTTACTTGAACTCCATGTTAAAGGAAGCAATCTACATGAAGCCGCCAGAAGGATCAGGAGTAGCACCCGGCAAGGTGTACAAGGTAGTCAAGGGTCTATATGGCCTAAAGCAGTCTGGGCAAGAATGGAATCAGGAGTTTGACAGGTCTTTGCGACACATGGGATTCTTCCAGGTAGAGTGTGCTCCCTGCATCTACACCAAGGGACAGGGTGAAGATATGGCCATTGTGGTCATCTACGTCGATGATACATTAGTCATAGCACCACGGCTGGAAACGGTCCTAAAGGTTAAGAAGCAGATTGGTCAGAGATGGCAGATGGAAGATAGCAGTGAGGTCTCTCACTTCCTGGGCATCAAAATCAGTCAAGACCATGCGATGCACACCATGATGATTGGTCAGTCAGGGTACATTGACCAAGTGCTGGCAAAGCACCTGGACAAACATACAAAGCCGACCATGGTTCCAATGCAGAGCATACTGGAGGGAACCCTTGTCGCAAGTGCAGCACAACAGAAGGAGTATCCGGTGATTGTTGGCAAGCTGCTCTGGGTTGCCAACAGCACCCAGCCCGACCTTAGCCTTACCGTGGGTGTTCTCGCTAGGCACATGTGTGAACCATCACAGGAGCATTATCAGGCAGCACAAAGGGTCTTACACTACCTCGAAAGCACAAGGCAGGTTGGATTGGTTTATAGGGCAAGTGAGTCGCAAGAGCCACTGGTCGCGCACAGCGATGCAAACTGGGTGAGTGATGCCACCATACAGAGAAGGAGTACATTGGGGTCAGTGGCGTTAGTGTACAGGAATCCAGTAGCCTGGAAGTCAGCGACACAAAAATGCATGTCATTGTCCGCTGTCGAGGCAGAGTTCATTGCAGCCATGGAAGCAACATGTGAGGTGCTCTTCCTCAAGCAGCTGCTATGCTCAATTGGCATTGCCACAGGCACACCGACGGTCTACTCGGACAACACTGGTTGCATACAGGTTAGTAAGGACCCAGCACAGCACTGGAAGCTTAAGCACATCGACACCAAGTATCACTTCGTCCATAACAACGTCCAAGAGGGAAGGGTGCAGATCAAGTATGTAGACACCACAAGAAACTTGGCAGACATACTCACAAAGCCCATTGGGAGACAGGCAATGCAGCAAGCAAGATCTGGGCTACACCTGCAAATACCGGCAGCAGTGTATGAAACGGGGTCCCCGAGCTATGCAACAGTGTTGAAGAATGGAGGTCATACCTTGAAACAACAGCATAATGAACAGGGTACATATACTGTTGAGGGGGGGAGTTGAAGTAGATAAAGCTACACAAAGCGTAGAGACAGTGAAGGTAGTGCTTACGGCCGAGTAAAAGGCCTGAGCATCTTAGCACGGACCACATGTGTCACAACCTACTCAAGACAAATGCTTTGTTATGTTCCGCAGTCAATGTGGCTCTCTGCCGCTCTTCTTTTGTATATATATAGACTCCTCGCTCTCTCGCTCTCTCTCTCTTACCATCATCATCAACAAAAACTCTTCAACTACCTTCAACTGAGTGTTCCAGCCAAAATTCTAGCTGAGAAGACAAAGGCAGCAGCGGTGCAATCGAAAGCGGTGGTCTGTGCGAGACAAGAAAAAGAAGAAGCTGAGTCTCACCTCCACCTTGCTCAGTATAACGCTGCCTTGCTTTCAAACATAACCATCATCTGCACAACCGCTGTATCGCTTCAAGCAGGAGGGTAGTGCCGACTGTCAGAATGGCGAGCCTCGGCATAGATCCACTGCCGCCCACGCATTCGTCCATAACCAACAACAGCCAGCGTCCCTCGGCTCACACACAACGATACGACCGACAGCTCAGGTTATGGGCCTCCTCAGGCCAATCCTCCCTCGAAAGGTCGCGAATTCTCGTGGTTGGAGCATCGGCACTCTCGGCACAAATCCTCAAAAACCTCGTCTTGCCAGGCATCGGCTCATTTGTGCTGCTTGACGATGCGATCGTCAACGACGCTGATCTCGGCGTCAACTTCTTCCTGCAGCCAGGCGAGAGCGAGGGCAAGTACGCTGCCGAAGAGATGTGCAGGCTGCTTGCCGAGATGAACAGAAGCGTCACTTGCTCAGCTAAGCTACAGGTAGGTTCAAAGCACAAATACGATGGCATCGGTCTCTCGTTCACTGACCGACTATCCTCCTCTCCGTTTACTCACGACAGAACCCGGCCGCGTTGCTTCAAACGAACTCTGGATTCTTTTCCGGCTTCACACTCGTCATCTCGGTCAATCAGTCAAGGTCGTTCGATCTATCCCTATCCGAGGCGCTGTGGGCCTTGCAGCCGCCATCACCGCAAGTGCCTCTCCTCCGAGTGCGCAGCGCAGGGATGCTTGCCGAGATGCAAATCAGCTTGAAGGAGCTCGGCATCATTGAGACACATCCGGATAGCCTTGTCGATCTCAGAATTACACGGCCGTTCCCAGAGTTGTTGGATCTAGCTCAGCAATTCGATCTCAATACAGCCGATACGATGGAACACAGCCATATCCCGTTCCCCATCATTCTCATCAAGAAGCTGGTCGAGTGGCAATCGACACATGACGGCAACCTGCCGACCAGCAAGGATCGCGATGCATTTCTCAAGCTCATCAACGCATCTCGACTCGCTGGCAATCCTGATTCTGAAAACTTTGACGAGGCAGTCTCGGCTTTGGGCAAGCACTTGTGGCGTCCTCTTGCGTCGAATGGAGTCGGCGGAGGCGGCGTTCCTGACGAGGTGCAGGCCATGTTCAAGGACCCTGCTTGCGATAACCTCACATCATCTTCGACCAACTTTTGGATCTTGGTAAGGGCATTGCGCGAGTTCGTGGCGGCGTCACCTACACAGACTTTGCCGCTGTCCGGCTCGGTTCCAGACATGAAGGCCACTTCACAAGGCTACATCAAGCTGCAAAACGTGTACAGAACGAGAGCGCTGCAAGACTTGGCGCAGTTCAAGCAGCTCGTTGGAGAGACCTGCAAGTCGGCGGGTGTAAAAGGCAAGATTGCCGATGATGAGATCGAAACGTTCGTCAAGCATGCAGGATACCTCAAGCTGATTCGCGGACGCAGCAAGAAGCAACGCACCGAAGAGCCCAACCAAGAAGCAGCCATGCTTGGCTTTATGGATCCTGTCAACCCATGCACCTTTCAGCATCACATCTCATTCGCGGCAGTCGACCAATTTGTCGAGCAGCACGGCAGATATCCTGGAGTGCCTCACGCCTTCTCCTCCACCTCCTCTGGGACATCAGCAGCAGCACCAGCCTCGTCCACCTCGTCCACCTCGTCCACCTCGTCCACATCCGAAGCAGCCAATCAGGCAGCTGACAGTCACCGCGCAGCAAAGCGACAGAAGTCAGAAACACCCACTGGCGAGACTGATATCAACAGTATCGACGTCAAGATGCGTGACGATGCTGCAGCATCGTCAAGCGTTGACACGAGCGGCGATGAAGAAGAATTGCTGGCGTTGGCCAAGAAGATCGCTACCGACAAATTCAGCATCGCTGAGGACGGCGATGGCTGGGAGAAGATTGAGCAGAGTGTTCAGGAGCTGGTCAGATCGGGAGATGCAAGTTTGCCTCCCACCACAGCGCTGTTGGGAGGTGTTGTGGCGCAGGAGGCGATCAAGTTGATCACCAAGCAGTACATTCCTGCCGACAACACGGTCATCTATGATGGTATTCAGCAGGCTATTGGTGTGTTTAGACTTTAGAAGGGCGAAGCTGCAATGCAATGTGAAAGTACTGTATACACATCTTGCTGGAAAGCGACTGAGTAATATGCGAACTTTGATTCATGGAAGAGCAACAGGTGAACAGCAAGACAGAGAGTGCTTTTCGGCCTAGTTCAAAGTGTTAAACCGGCATCTTCCGTGGGGCACGTGACGTAGATCAACAGGTTGGCTAAATTGAGCTTTTGGCCAAGACGCGTTTTTGCTGGCTGCTGAGCGGCGAAAGTGGCTCCGCGTGTTGGTCTGCGCAAAGAGAGAGCCGCGCGTCCAGCCAAAAAAATAAATAAAATGCAACAGAGGCGAGAACAACACTCGTTCGCTTGAAGGTCAACTCAGCATTCTCAGCCCTTTCGCTTCTCGTCACCAACAACGACAACCAACCGGCTCGCCGACACATAGTGCACCAACGAGACCATGCTCTCGAATCAGGCTCGTTACTGAGTTTGGGACCTTTTACATTGTTCTCGATCAGCAGGCCTACGCCGACACCCGCCTCTGCAACAACGACAGCGACTGACGCAACAACAGCTCTCCCTTGGAGGATTCGATAGGCTAGGATCTACATTGCGACCAGCCTTTTGTCGCAGACTGTCGGATCGTTTTCTAGCTTCAAGCCTCGCACCGTTTCAACCTAGACCCACACCGCAGCACCCTCTAGAGACAAGCAAAGATGCGTATCGAAGAGCTCATCATTGACGGCTTCAAGTCGTATCCGAACCGAACGACGGTCACGGGCTTCGATGCTTCCTTCAATGCTATCACCGGTCTCAACGGTTCCGGTAAATCCAACATCTTGGATTCGATCTGCTTTGTTCTGGGTATCACCAACCTCACAGCAGTTCGAGCCAACAACTTGCAAGATCTGATCTACAAGCGAGGTCAAGCAGGTATCATCAAGGCCTCCGTCACCATCGTATTTGACAACACAGATCGCAGCAAGTCTCCCGTCTCGTTCGAGAACTGCCCACAGATCACCGTCACGCGTCAGATTGCCATGGGTGGGCTCAGCAAGTACCTCATCAACGGTCACAAGGCCACACAACAAGCCGTGCAAAACATGTTTCAGAGCGTTCAGCTCAACATCAACAACCCCAACTTCCTCATTATGCAGGGCAAGATCACCAAGGTACTCAACATGAAGCCAGCAGAGATCCTCTCGATGATCGAGGAAGCCGCAGGAACTCGCATGTTCGAAGATCGTAAAGATAAGGCTATCAAGACCATGTCCAAGAAGGATCAGAAGGTCAAGGAGATCACGGCTCTGCTCGAGGAAGAGATTACTCCCAAGCTTGACAAGCTGCGAGAGGAAAAGCGCTCCTTCCTCGAATACCAGAAGGCTAGCACCGAACTCGACCATCTCACGCGTCTTGCCAAAGCCTACGAATGGCAGCAGTACTGCGCTAAGTTCGAGGAGAAGAAAGCCCTTGTCGATCAAAAGACGCAGGATGTACAGGACCGCGAAGATGAGGCCAAAGCTCTCAAACGTCAGATCGAGAGCATCGAAAAGGAGTTGGCGCAAATCGAGAAAAAAAAGGAAGCCGAAATGACCAAGGGTGGCAAGCTTCAGGCACTCGTCAACCAGAGCAAGGAGCTTCAACATGATCTCGTCAAACGCAAGGCACAGGTCGACATCAAGATGGGCTCGGTCGAAGAGGAGCGCAAGAAGCTTCAGGCGGATCAGGCAGCGCTCGAGTCGTTGCATGAAACATTGCAGGAGAAGCAAGCCGAACTGGTCGACCTCTCAGGCAGCTTCTCCAAACTCAAGGCTGACTACGACGGTGCTGTGGCGGAAGTCAACAAGCAAGACGAGCTTCTGCAGACCTTGCTCACCGGTATGGCCTCCTCGTCCAAGTCGAAGAGCGGTGAAAGCTCTGCTGGTGGATACATGGGTCAGATCGCATCTGCACGTGCTGAAGAGTCAGCGGCCGGTACAGAGATTGAGCAGTCCAAGCTGCGTATCGGCCATCTCGAGAAGGAAGTCAAGCAGAAGGAGCCGCTTGCGAAGAAAGCTCAAAAGGACGCAGCCGGTCTCATGAGCGAGCTCGAGACTTCGCGCGGCGCTGTGCAGCAGCTCGAAGCTCACATGGAGAAGCTTGGCTGGAACGATGAGAAGGAGAAGTTACTGCTGCAATCCAAGGCTGAGTGGAGTCGACGTGTCTCAGATCTTCTCGAGCGCAAGGAAGGTCTCAAGTCCAAGCTGGCAGGTATGGACTTCCAGTACTCGGACCCGGAGCCCAACTTTGATCGTTCCCGCGTCAAAGGTCTGGTCGCATCTCTCATCCAGCTCGATCAAGACAAGCACAAGTACTCGACTGCTCTCGAGATCTGCGCGGGTGGCCGACTCTACAATGTTGTCGTTGAGGACGAGAAGGTTGGCTCTAAACTGTTGGCCAACGGTCAACTCAAGAAGCGCGTCACTTTGATTCCTCTCAACAAGATCAATGCCTTTGTCGCTAGCGCTGAGAAAATTGGCGCCGCACAGAGGATTGCGCCTGGTAAAGTCGACCTCGCTCTGTCGCTTGTTGGCTACGACGACGACGTGAGCCGTGCTATGGAGTACGTGTTCGGTAACACGCTGATCTGCGCTGATGCTGCTACGGCTAAGCGTGTCACGTTTGAGAATGCGGTGCGCATGAAGTCGGTGACGCTCGATGGCGATGTCTACGATCCGCAAGGCACGCTTTCAGGCGGATCCAAGCCCCACTCAGGCAATGTTCTCGTCAAGATGCAAGACCTCATCAAGATCGACAAGGCACTCAAGGAAGCCAAGCTCGAGCTTGGTAAGGTCGAATCGCAGATCCAAGCTGCCAAGTCACAGATGGCGTCATTCTCGAAAGCCAAGCGTGACTTAGACCTCAAGCGTCATCAGGTGACATTGCTCGAATCGCAGATCAGCGGATCCAACGCTACCCGCATCATCGGTGAAGTCGAGAAAGCTAAAGCCTCGATCGTTGAGCTCAAGGAAGCTATCGATGCTGCTAAGAAACGGCAACAGGACGCAAGCAAAGAAGCCAAGCGGCTCGAAAAGGAGATGGAAGAGTTTGACAAGAACAAAGACTCCAAGCTCGACCAGCTCAAGACCGAGATCAAGAGCAAGAAAGCTGACGTGCAGAAGCGTAGTGGAGAGATCAAGGCTCGTCAGGGTGAAGTTCGAACTTTGGAATTAGAGATCGAGCAAACACACGCCGAAATCACTGCTTGCGAAAAGACCATTGCGGAGGGTGAACGTGCTATCAAGAGGGTCGAGACGGAGCTTAGCGACATGCAGACCAAGCTGGAAGAGATTCAAGCTGAGGTGGACAAGGTAGAATCAAAACTGACACAGGAACGAGCGACGCTTTCTGGTTATGACGATGAACTGACTTCATTGCGCAACGCACTCAAGTCCAAGAAGCAGGAGATTGCTGATGGCGCCTTGTTGATCAAGCAGTACATGCACGACAGGGAGAAGCTGGCCACCGATGTAGCTGGCTACGAGAAATCAATCCAACAGCTCGAAAACCAGTTCGAATGGATTCAATCCGAACACCGATTCTTTGGTCAAGCAGGCACAGTGTACGACTTCGCCAAACACAACATGTCCGAAGTCCGCAAACGATGCAAGAAGCTCGAAGAAACGCAACAGGGTATGCGAAAGAAGGTCAACCCCAAGGTTCTGTCGATGATCGAAGGTGTTGAAAAGAAAGAGTCTACACTCAAGACGATGCTTTCCACCGTTCTCAAAGACAAAGACAAGATCGAGGATACCATCACCGAGCTCGATCGATACAAACGTGACGCTCTCCAAAATACTTGGGAGAAAGTCAATGCCGACTTTGGCTCCATCTTCGGCGAACTTTTACCTGGAAACTATGCTAAACTCCAACCACCGGAGAACCAAGATCTGACACAGGGTCTAGAGGTCAAGGTGAGACTGGGAACAGTATGGAAGCAGAGTTTGACAGAATTGTCGGGAGGACAGAGGAGTTTGATCGCGTTGAGTCTGATCATGAGTCTGTTGCAGTTCAAGCCGGCCCCGATGTATATTTTGGACGAGATCGATGCAGCGTTGGATTTGAGTCATACTCAGCATATTGGTCAGTTGTTTAGGAGTAGGTTTAGGGGAAGTCAGTTTATCGTGGTCAGTTTGAAGGAGGGGTTGTTTACGAATGCGAATGTACTGTTCAGGGCTAGATTCAGGGATGGAACGAGTTTGGTGGACAGAACTGTGAATGCGAATAGGACTACGGCGGGTGATGGGGATGGGGTGGACAAGGAGAATCAGAATCCTCAACAGGGAGCGAGGAAAAGAGGTGGGAAGGCGGCAGCTGCAGCTGCGGGTGCGGGTGGCGCGGGGAGGTTGTTAGCTGCCTAAGCTGGTGAACGTCAAGAAGGCTCTCGATGGTGCTCAAAGGAACCAGAACTATCTACTGGCAGCTCGAATGTAACAGAAGGTGGCTACAATCATCTTGCACCTGCATCTCGATCCTTCTCTCTTCTCTCCATCACCATCCGGGGTTGGTATTCTACTGTAAGCCCGGATGGACTGTGTTTCATGTATTTGTATTTCCGTCTTTGAAGTGTTATTCCCGAATCTGAACAGTATACGTTCCAGACTATCAGCTCTTCCTGTGTGCATACCGCTTCATTGTTGAATCCGTCTACATCCGTGCCGTGCATCCGTACATCCGACGATCCGTGACCCAGCGACCCCATCACGTGTCTGTCGTGAAAGGATTATCCGCGATATCACCTATTTTTTCCGCTTTCTAGTGTTAGAAGCCACAAAGTCTCACAAACTTGTCTCGAAGACGAAAATTCGGGAGTTAGACGGACAGAGAGATAGCAGCGTCGGTCGGTATTCGGATTTTACAAGCATAAACCCCGCCCTGACTTCTGTGCACGGAGACACACACACACACACACAAAGAGAGAGCTGCCAAACACTGCAACCGCACTTAACCTAGCCCTCCCCCTTCTCATCGTATCAAGCTTTGGTCAACTGGGTCGAAAAAGTTATAAGTAGACTCCCGATCCTCGATGCAAACTTCTGCTCCTTCATCCAATACCACACACACACAAACAAACACAAACCCTCAAGGCAAGACATATCTCTACACACTAGCGCTCATCTTAGCCTTGTTCGCTACCACACTCTACCCTACCTCAACCCCACTCCAAAGTTCAAGTATGACATCAAGCACAGCAGTTCAAGCAGCCAAACTTTCCATCACTCCGCGTCGATGGTTTCAACGTGGTCATGCGGATCATGGATGGCTTAAGACCTTCCACACCTTCAGCTTTGCGAGTTACTTTGATCAAACGCATATGCAGTTCTCCAATCTGCGCGTTATCAACGAAGATCGAGTTGCCCCTGGAACTGGATTTGGAACACACGCGCACAGAGAAGCTGAAATTTTCAGTGTCGTTCTAGGTGGAGCTCTCGAGCATAAGGATTCCATGGGAAACACCGAGATTTTAAAGAGAGGAGATGTACAGTTTACTAGTGCAGGAACGGGTATTAGGCATAGCGAGAAGAATGGGGGTAAAGATGAAGTGCACTTTTTGCAGATTTGGTATACTCCAGACCAGTCGGGGCTGCCTCCGAGATACTACACTACTCATGCATCGGACGAGAGCAAGCGGAACACACTCAAGACGCTCATTAAGCCAGTGTCCACCTTCATCCCCGAAGCAGCCAACAAGACAGGTCTTCTACCTGAAGGCTCTCCTATTCCATCCCACTCAACCCTCGTAACTCGATCTTCCATCCTCTCCCCTGGTGCAAGTGTCACCCACATCATCGGTGCAGACTCAGCCGCAAGGGAGGGTGATGAAAGATGGCTATACATCCACCTAGCCCAACTTTCGGGCTACAAAGATCCACGAAACCCCGAAAACAACATTAAAGGTGAAGCCGAAGTTACGGTGCAAGATGGAAAAGGTGGTAGTGTTGTTCTAAAGGAAGGAGATGGTGCTTATATCAAGGGAGGTAAAGCGGGCGATGGGGTGGAGATCAAGCACACAGGTGTGGAGGATGCAAAGGAGGCTGAATTTGTTCTGTTTGATCTTAAACCCCAAAGTGGCAGGGGATATTGAGGAGGAAGATTGCGGAGGTTATAAATAGGTTGGAAGGATAGATGGCGGCTCGGTTTGTGCCATAAGCTCAGTTATACCACACAAGCAAAAGTAATGCAAGTGCATGTTTCGGAATGATGCTTTGTCTGTGTCAAACTTGTGCGATTACTGAGCTGGTTTGAATGGTTCTCCTTGTGTCGAGATCTTGTTCCTGGCTTGCTCGATAAAACGTGTGATGGAATTGGCTTCAAGGTCTCACTCCCATTCTAACTTTGTGACGTGGAGGCCGAATCCTTCCAATCGTCCCGCAGAGTCAATCAGAGCCGTCTCAAACACCAATAATGTCGCATCAATAAATCAACTGATACTCCGTGTGTGTTCACCACCCAGCTGTGAAGGTTAGATATAGATAACAGGATCGCTCAATCGATTCCTCAACCTGAATCGAGCTCTGACCATAGCTCTTGCTTTCAACCTTGCTGCTTTCAGTCTTGCTGCGCTGAATTTTTGCTGCCCTTCCTCTTTTTTCCCCCCTTTCTCCTTCCCTTTACCCTCGGGCTTCTTCTCTTTCTCGCCCTTCCCCTTCTTCGCAGCTTGTTTCTTCGCATGTGCTTTAGCCTCGCTTTGCACCTGTGCTTCAAAATCAAACCTCTGCCCTCTACTGAACAGCTTCACCCCGCCTTCTCTTACCCCTTTTTGATCCACTAGGATGTACTTGACCGATGAAGTTCCGTACGATTCGTAAAATGCGTCGAGGAGAACTTCTTCCATGATCCGACGGAGACTTCTTGCACCACCACCTCCACTCTTCCCAGGCGAAGAAGGGATGGAACCCATGGCTCGATGTACAACTTCCTCTATCGCCCCCGGCGAAATATGCAAATCAATCCCATTGAGTTTGAACAGTGAAGTGTATTGATCAACGAGGCTGTTCTTCGGTTCGGTCATGACCCTGACGAGGTCATCGAAAGATAGGGGGTTAAGGACAACGGATACGGGGACTCGACCTATGAATTCTGGGATAAGACCGTACTGCTCGAGGTCGACTGGCTCGAGACGGTTGAGAAGGTCGCTCTGACTAAATTCATCCTTTGTTGCTGCTGAATTGGGTGGGATTGACGGTGGTTGTGATCCTGAACCTGATGTAGGAGTGAGGCGTTTACGAATGACATCCTCAATCCCGACAAAAGCACCCGAAAGAACAAACAAAATCGAACTAGTATCCACATTAAACGTCGCAGTCTGCTGCCCTCCCGACGCTCCCCCACTCTTCATCGACATCGACTTCAATGCTACATTATCACCACTACCACCACCATTCACAGCTCTTGCTCCCTTTCGATGATTATACCACGGACCCAACCTTCCTCCTTCACCACCATCGACTTCTGCACCATCTCCCAATCTGTACCCCTCCATCTCCTGCTGACTCTTAACCACCTTCGCTCCCTCCGCGCCACCACCCTGCTGCGCCGCCGCCGTCGCCGCCGTCGCAGCCGCCGCTCCATTCTTATCCGAAACTTGAATCGTCGTCCCTTCCAACACCCTCAACAGCGCCTGCTGCACTCCTTCCCCGCCAACATCTTTCACATTCCCCGCTCCCCCACCGCCAGTACGTCGAAGTTTATCGATCTCGTCGATACAAACGATGCCCCGTTGAGCACGATTTATATCCCACCCAGCCTGAACAAGTAGCCGTTGGATGATGGATTCTACGTCTTCCCCAACGTACCCAGCCATGGTGAGAGGTGTGGCATCGACGTGTACGAATGGTACATCGAGGACTTGTGCGAGTGTGCGGAGGAGAAGGGTTTTACCGGAACCGGAAGGACCGAGGAGGAGGATGTTGGATTTTTCGAAAAAGGGAAGGGTGCCGGGTGAGGTGGAGATGAAGGAGGTTGTGTTCGTGGTTGTTGCTGAAGAAGGTGTTGGTGGTGATGGTTTCATGTTTATGGCAGCGGGGCTGCTGAGAGTAGGCTCTGGTGTTGGTGCTGTTGCTGATGCTGAACCCTCTCGACCACCACTAGCTTGAGGAGTAGTGCTAGCATTAGTAGCAGAAGAGAGTCGCTCTCTTGCCAACTTCAGAGCTCGCTTCATCCTCTCCTCCGCCAATCCAGCCGCATAGGCAGCACGTTCCTGAGGAGACTCCCATTTCTTCTCCACCTCTTCCTCCCACCTTCCCACCTTACCCGCAACTCCACCCTGCATTGTCCTCAAAGTATTCGAAGAGAAATACAATGGCTGACCATCACCAAAGATCCCAATATTCGCCGTCATTCCCCTCTCCTTTCCCCCATCAGTCGTTTTTGGTGTGTAATCAGACAAAACAGTTTTATGCATCCTCCTCGCAGCCTCTGCCAACGCACTCTTCTCTTCCACGTTTCCCCCAATCCCCTCTGATGATGATGCTTTCCCCTGTTCCAGACTCAAGCTAGCTTCTTCAGCCGGAGTCTTCACGGGCACTCTCTCCATCTTTCCCCCTAAATCATCGCCAAACTTGGGCACAAAACCCTTATCACTCCTCGTTGCTGCTTTGTCATCTTCCACGATCGCCGAACTCCCACCCGCGTTGACCAACCACTCCCTCTCCCCCCTACCAAACATCAAATTTCTTGCTGCTTCCCCATGCGGATCCCCAACCCTCTCCGCTTTTCGTTCCTCCTGAATCTTAATGTGCGTCTTCCAACTTTCATCAGTGCTCGCTTCTAACAGCTGCTCATATTTACCTAACCTGATCGATCGGGAATGTGCTTCTGGCAGTGGTGGGTCCTTACCTTGAACCTTTGCCGGTGCTGGGGTTTGCTCCTCTTGCTGTACAGCTTCCTCTTGCTCCATCAGCCGTAACTCAGCTTCCTCTTTCATACGCTGATTACTAGCTACTCGAAGGTAGTGGTTCCACACTCCCACAGCTAATACTTTTTTGGCTTTGGTTTGGCCAACAACATAGGTGTCGAGATGTTTGACGAGTGAGCGGGGGCTGATGGCGGGTACGTCAGAGAGGAGGGTTTGGTTTGCAGATGTGGGTGAGTGGTAGGAACCTTGGGTTGAGTGAGTGGAGTGACGGAGTTGGCGAGGTATTGTTGGGCTACGAGAGAAGTGAGGTCGACCTGCAGGGCTGAGTTGGAATGCGTTTGAAGATGAGAAACGGGAGAGTGATCGAAGTGCGGGTGCTTGTGATGATGTGATGCTGCGCGAAGCAGGTCTTGCTGAGTTGGTGTGAAGGGAGCGTGTGCCGACGATTATGCTGTTGTTCCTTATCCTAGGCAACATAGCTATGATTCTTGCGCTCAACAGAGCTGTGGCGATTGAGACTGATCCAAAGCTTGCAAAGAAAGGATGATATGGCGGGAGATGGAGCTGTGATCTGTTGTCCGCCTTTATGACATCAGAAGGTGCCGTGCGGCTCCACTGGTCGTGTGATGCGACACCTGTGATATTGACGATTGCGCTTGAGCGCTCGTCCCTTCCCTTTGGGGGACGATACCTGAAAGCAGAGTGAACTGCGGCTCGTACTGTCGTTGAAGAGGCCGGTGCCGTCGCAAGGATGATATGGTGATAGTGGATATGTGCAAAGCCTGAGATGTGACACTTGCGGGGTTTAGCTTCCAACTCTGATAGCCGGAAATCGCCGTGCTGCTGCGATGTCACGTGATTGAGCCCGGCTTCTATTTCGTCGTGGCTCGAGCACAACCAAAAGACGCAAAACTCGGGGTTTTCACCGAACCACCGCCTCACACTCCACCACCCATCATCCCCTTTCACACCTCGTCACATCGTAGAGACACTTGTTTTAGGTATAGACGAAACATTTCCATTTGTGAAATGCAAAAACAGAACAACAGAATAGACATCAGATATGCTTCCAGGGAGATTCGAGTGAAAGTGGTCAAAGGCTAGAGCTTCAACTCCTGCAAAATCCGCTTAGCCAACATCTGATACTGCCAAGGATTTCCACCAACCCTTCTGAACTGCAAACCATTGACACCCAACAACAGTGGCACTTTGACGACAAAGATCTCGAATCTCACCGCCAACTCGGTCGCCTGAGCAGCATTCATCGTCTTCGCTTCCACCGCTCCGGTTGGTGATGTGATGATTTGCTCCCCTACCCCAGTGCCAGCAGCATTGTTGGTGACGGCTGTGTCGAGCATGAGGTTGGAATCGCGCGAGCCAGAGCGTCCGAGCATGGAGTTGGCTCCCATCGAATCCGCTCTCTGTCTCGGTGACACAGTCAGCGAAGGCTTAGAAGGTGTCTTCGGTGGCAGTGGGGGCGAAGCCGATCCTTCCACGCCCTTGCCTGCATTCTCGACGTTCTGGAAAGCAGCACTGCTAGTCAAAGAAGGTGTTCGACTGCGCACCGTCCCGGTCATGTTATTGATACTATCAGCCACCGATCCATCTCTTCGAGTTGTACGATCCTTATCCTTACTCCTACCCGATACGAACGATAATCGACTAGGTTTGCGTTTCGGCTGACGACTGTTCTCTTCCGAGGTTGGCGATCTCTCCGCCGCCGCCGCTTCAGCCTCGGCAGCCGCAGCAGCAGCCATCATCTCCAAAGGAAGTCTAGCATTGCCTTTACCCAACGAGTCCGATCCCGAAAAGTCCAGGCTTGGAAGATGCACGCATTCATATCCACCCCGAATCTCGCGGTACTGCACACCGATACGGTCCAGCACTTTCACCAACGATGCGTGGATGACAGTACGAGGCTTGGTAGAGGTAGTCTGAACACTGAACAATCCTTTGAGGAAAATAGGCTTGCTTTCGTTGGCTGATGCACCATTCTGCTGCGATCCAGACCCGCTTGGTGAGGTTGCTCCTCCACCGAAGCGACGACGCGAAGTCGAAGTCAACACGGGAAGCACCTCTGCTTGGCCTGGTGTCGAAGGTCCCATCCAACCTGTGCCAGAGTTGCTGCGACTCACTTGCTGCGAAGGCGAGACCTGTCCTCCTCCCTGTCGGTTGGCTGCATCGCCTTCCCCACTGCCGGGCGCGTTGAACATGTTGAGCGGTGCACTGGTCGACATTGATATTCCCGTGCTGGGACGTGCCGCAGTACCCGTTGACTTGGGCGACATCGATAGACCGGCTGCACGACCGACGGAAGCAGCTCCCATGCTCGTCTCTCGCACTCTCCTCGAGTGTGTACGCGAAGTGGGCATATCTCCCAGGGTTCCAGATCGACGAACAGTAGTGCCGTTGCTGAGAGGAACATCATGATCGTGGGTGGTAAGGTGCTCTTCCGCCTCATCGTAATCGTACACATCGGCGTCCCCGCCCTGATCAGCTTCATCCACACCGCTCAATGCCATGTGAGCGCTGCCACGTCGTCGAGGCTGCTGGTTGTTGCCCAAAAGCATGCCACCCGTGCTCATCCTGCTCTGCTTCTTTCGCTCCCTCGCCTCCGCATCCAACGGTTGCGAAGGAGATCGGCTCATGAACGAGCTGAAGCGACGAGCAAGTGAAGCACCATATCCCAACGTGAAGCTGGTGTTGGCTGTTGCTGCTGCAGGCGCTGGAGAAGACGCTGCGGTACCAGCCTCGGACTTGGTCGGCGTGTTGATGGTCGACATCCTCTTATCGGCACGTGCAGGCGACATGGTCGACATCCTCCTTGCATCCACAGAAGCTGCTTCGGGTGCCGTGATAACACTACCATCTGCGCCCATCCCCGAAGTGCGGCCAGAAGTTGCAGCATTCGAAGGACGACGAGCAGTCAAACTGATACTACGCTTGTGGTTGTTGGCCACAGCCATGCTCGTATCCGGGCTCATCATCGAGTTACGGTGATTCTGAGGCATAACGACCTCCGCAGTAGGTGGTGCCACCGAGAATGACTGTCGCTTTCCTGCAGCACTCGGCGCCGGCACAGACGTCATACCACTAATGCTAGGAGCAAAGACAGCTTCGTTCGGCGAGGGCAAACCCTTTTCGCGCAACGCAGCTTCCATCTCCTCTGCATTGGCACGAGCACGAGGTGGACCAGCCATGATACCCATCGGCCTCGATTTTTCCCGCGAGTCAAAGACGGGCGTGGGAGAAACAGGCGCCGACATCATAGCCGCTACTGAACGAGGCGGTGCAGGTGCAGCCAGCGCTGCTTCTTGACGAGAAGGATCGTAAGCTCGGTGCGAGACGTGCGGTGGTTCGGGCACGCGGACTGCCTCTTGTGGGATGTCGGCAGCTGTAGGCATAGCCCCAACAGATGCGGCTCGAGCACCTGTGCCTGCGCCCACACCAGCGACGCCCGAGGGTGGAACAGGTGGACCAGTGAGCGAGAGGTTGGACGATGCGAAGAACGGGTGACCATAGAGTCGTTCACGCTCCATCTTCTCCTTCACGAGGAAGTAGATTGAAATCAACGGGTGGAAGCCGCGAGTGGGATCCAAAGGCTCTTTACCAAACGGCTTCAAGCCAGTACCTGAGCCAAGGCCATTCGAGCTACCATTCGCTGAACCCACCGACGAGTCGTCCTTGCTGCCAAAAGCCGCTGCCAAAGGATTCGTCGTGAGCTTCTTGCGATAGAACTCGATACCAGAGAATCGTCGAGAGCCTGTCTTAGACTTGACCGTGTCGGATCCACCAGTCGCAGTGAAGCTTCCGCGTGTCGACAGCCTATTGAGAGTGGCCGAGTCAGGCGAGGAACCAATACTGCCAGTGGTGCTGAGACCGTTGAGGCTAGCCGGCAGGTTCTTGAGCTCCCAATGCTGAAGCGATTGCTGGTATCCGTCACTCAAGAGCACCTCCATCAGCTTATTCGTGATCGACTCGGGTGTTCCGAATTCGAATCCAGTCATGCCCTTGATCACCTCCGGATCCAAGTTGTTAGGTCGAAGCGGTGTGCGATCGGGAAGATGCGCGTCAGGAGGACCATCGTAGCCTTTGACCATCCAAGGGTGGGCCAAAACCTCCGAAAGCGTAGCTCGGTTGGCAGGGTTAGTGACCAACATACGCGACAGAATGTGCCTGCACTCTCCACTCAGCCAGGCAGGATACTCGACCTGACCTCGTTTGATCTTGGCATGGAGCGCAGGCATGCTCTGGTCGTCAAAGGGCACCTTACCGCACACTAGCACGTACAACACGATACCGAACGACCAGACATCGACCTCGGGGCCCGTGTAGACCTTTGCGTTGAGCAACTCTGGCGCAGCAAAGTAGAGCGAGCCACAGAAGGTCGAGAGGTGCGAATGAGGAGAGAAGAGGTTGCTAAGACCAAAGTCGATGATCTTGATGTTGCCCGTCTTGGAGATGAGGATGTTCTCGATCTTGAGATCACGATGAACGATGCTGTTGCGGTGACAGTATTCGAGAGCACTGCCGATCTGACGGGCGAACTTGCGTGCGCTTCGTTCCCTCAGACGACCGTGACTGATAATATAGTCGAGCATCTGTCCACCATTGACGTACTCGAAGACCATGTAGTAGTGGTTGGTGTGGATGAACATCTCCCGCATACCGCAGACGTATGGATGATGAAGGAGGATCTGAAGTGAGCCTTCTCGAATAGTACGAGTCTCTTTGGACTGATCTTTGGCGGCGGCTTTGGCCAAGAACGAAGCTGTCGGAGGCGGTGGTGGTGGCTGCGGCTTGCCGTTCTCATCGACGGCACCTCGTGGAGACTGGGCAGCTGCCATCGAGGTGTGGCGTGGGATGATCTTGATCGCCACCTTCTCACCATTGCCCATCCTGACACCGAGCTTGACTTTGCCCATGCTACCAGCACCGAGAGTCTTACCGAGAGCATACTCGCCCAAAAGACGTCGACTACGACGCTCACGGTCACGATCACGGTCACCACGTTCTTTCTCCTTCTCACGTTCGCGTTCCTTCTCTCGTCCCTTTTCTTTGAGCCTCTCTCGCTCTCGCTGTTGTTGCTCCTTGAGCTGTTGCTGTTGCTGTTGCTGTAATTGCTGTTGCTGTAATTGCTGTTGCTGTTGCTGCTGGGCCGCTTGTTGTTGTTGCTCGAACTGGCGTTGCTCCTGTTCACGAGCAGCACGAAGCTGCAAGTGTTGCTGAGAAGCACGATCGACGTTGGTGTCACGCGACGATGCAAAAGTGTCCGTGGCGTCGAATGTATCGCTGCTGCCTTCGTCCACACGCGATTGACCCTGTTGATGACGCTGTGCAGCCTCCATTCGGGCGGCACGCGTCTCTAGCACACTGGCGGGACGAGGTGGTTCGGACGCCATACCTTTGCGATGCCGTTGTGCCGGATCAGCCGATGCAAGTACTGCTGCTGGTGACTCGCTCTGGTAATGTGCGTGGCCGCGGATCGGAGTGAAGGTGGCATCCGGGATGAGTCCATTGCCTGCACGAGCATCGCTCGCGGATGGGTTGTGCGATTGGCGTCTGGCAGCTCTAGCGGCATGATTGCGGCGGATATCGTCGATACTGTCACGATTGCTGTCCATTATGGTGCGATGCGGGTCGGCTTCTGGCGGAGAAAATGGTCCGACAGAGATGGAGGTGGGCATCCTCAATGGCTCAACCCCTGCTGCTGAAGCAGCATCAACAGCTGACTGCCTTGGTGGTGTGCGCAGGGGCGATGAAGCATGGGCGCTGGATGGGGTGGATCCGCCGAGGGGACGAGGAATGTGCTGAGGCGGCAGGGCGTCAACGATGGGAGCGCGATGGTCGACGAGGCTACCCATAGCCGAGCTAGGATGAGGCATGGAAGAAGAGGCTGCACCGTTGTTCATGCCGGGGAGGTAGCTCTGCTCTGCATTGGTTGGACCGCCTGGCAGACCAGGAAGTGGTTTGGCGACATCGGAAGGTCTGCGAGATGAAGAGGCTGACGAGGGATCAGGACGACCTCCTGGCTGAACAAGACCGTACGAGCTTGTAGCTAGCTTCTCGATTCGCCGCGCGCTCGGACTTCCTTGCTGGGAAGGAGGCAGAGATGGAACTTGCGAGCTGCTGGGGTCGAGAGAAGGGTTGGTGAAAGCAGACGACGTGCTGACGGATTGTAGCTGCTGGCTGTCGAGCTGCGAATGTTCTGGTACGCTTGTTAACGGCTGGTGTTGGTCAGCAGAGGGTGGGATAGTACCTGCAAAAGCGTCAGACATGTCGAGCTCGTGCTTTGGTGTATGCATGCGGTCGTAGAATTCCATGGCATCGGTTGAGCCAGGACCGCTAGGCTGCCTCGGATGCATTTCGTTGATCGGAAGTTCTAGTTGGGGGGCGAAGCAAGGCGGCCCCTTTTGTGGGATGTGAGTCTGCGGCTGTCGAGAGGGATCAAGGTCGAGAGGATAGTGCCAAGCTGATATCGACTTGTAGCAGCCTCCTTGAATCAGAATCGAGGACGGAATGGGACCAAGAGGTGCTCGTCTCGGGCTGCGAATGTGAGAAGTCGAATGTGGACAAAGAAGGATATTCTAAGTTGGCGCGATTTGGAGAGACTGCATCGATCTGAAAGCGGAAAGACGAAAGTATCCAGACAGTTGGCGATTAATGTTGCAGGGCAGTCTCAAACGAGGCTCTCACCCTTGTGTTCTCTGGATGGGTCTTCGGAGCGACGTGCTGTGGCTTGTTTTGTTTTGGAAGCAATGACGATGCCAGGATATGAAGATGTGCAAATAAGAAGTGGGTCGCACCGGCGGGGTGCGCGAGGTGTCGAGCAACGAGGTACAGTCGCGTCTCCAGGAAGCAAGCAAGCTTTCTGTTGGTCCTGGCGTGAGCTTATGCTTTCGTGGCTCAGCCGATGGGTACGAGACTGAGAGCTGAAGCTATGCGAGGCTGGAACACTAGCTCTGCGGGAGATCCTTCGGCCTGTCGACGAGTGAAAAGGGACGGGATGCAATTAGGGATGCGCAAATGAAGGAAGAAGAGTTTAATCTTATGTCGTTAAGGATGATGCTGAATGGAGACTGGAGTACAGGCTGGGTCCTTATGCTCGAGTAGTTGCAATCTAACTCGGTGATGACCGGTATTGAGACGGAAAAGAAAGATGGAAGAGGTGGAGAGGATGAGGTTGAGGTTGGGGACGACGAGGCTGAGGATGGATTCCGATGGGGGAAGGTGTCAACTGAATCGCAAGAAAGCAGATGCGGTCTGCAAGAGCTTAGTTGGGTGTGAACGGCGACGACCGAGTCTGAGCGTCTCTCCTTTTGGAAATGGATGGATGCCTGGCCACTGCTCTCACTCAACTTACTGCCTCTCGATGCGAGAGGATTTCGAAGACCGCTTTGAGAAGAGTCTCCAAAAAGAGAGGGGGGCCATCTCTCTCTTTCTCTCTCCCTCTCTCTTTTTTGCTGGTTGCGGCGGCGCGTAGAGCCTCTTCTCGCTTCTTAGGCTCAGTTGTCTCTCTCTCTCTCTCTCTCTCTGCATCTCGAAAAAAGAGAGAGAGAAAAAAAAAAAAAAAAAAAAAAAAAAAAAAAAAAAAAAAAAACAAAAAAAAAAAAAAAAAAAAAGACAGCTGTCTGCACGTGCCATCCATCTTACCTGCTTTCTCTCAGTTTTGCCTCGATTGTTAGCTTTCTAACAGCATTTGCTGCTCTACCTAAGCATCAGAGGCACTATGGCGGAGTGGTTATCGCGTAGCACTCGAATTCTTCGGAATTGGATCCAACACTCTTAAAATGCTATTCCCCCTGGGAGCGCAGGTTCAAATCCTGCTGGTGTCGATTTTTTTTTTTTTTTTTTTTTAGCCGTTCAACCTCTGATTTTCGAATCTACAAACGTGGAAGATCGAGGGGCACCCCCTCCAACTTTTTGGAGCAAGATCTATGAGAAAATGGCCGAGTTATGCTAAAACTCAAATTTTTCGAGATGGTGTAACTGACAGTAACTGTGTCGCTCCTAATCATCTCGACCTTCCGACATCACAACTCCTCACCAGACTCAACAAGGATACTCAGCAGACCACAGTGCACCCCAACGTATCAAGATCCAACAGCATCGGCACCTTTGCAAGCTCCAAGGCCAGCAAACGTCGCTTTCGCACCCTCCGTATCCATCCATCCATCCGCAAACGGCTCGACTTCGACTCAATGAAATCGCGACTTTCGCGAACTTCGCTACTTTGCCGACGCTGGGGAGGTCAGCATAGCAATGCCAGGCAAAACCAGCACCTTGTTTGTTATGATCCATTAACACAACTCCTCAATACCTTCCTCAGCAACAGCTCTGGAGAGCCTGATCACGACGGTGTCATAGGGCTGGATGCGCAGAAGCAGGAAGAACGGATGTCATATGAAGAGGAGCACAGGAATCACAGGATTGGGCAAAATAAGGGTTATGGCAGAGTTAATTGAGATCTGTAGTAGAAGTGGTTCTATGACAGATCTCACCCAAATCAGCACAAGTGGGAGTTTACTATGAATCCCACCAGAATTGGTAGTATCTTGATCATAGGATAGATCTCACCAGGGTGGGAGAGATCAAGCCAATTGTCATAAGCCTCACAGCAGGACAAGACATTGGAAGGCACTGGGGTTGCCACCCTGATGAAGCAGGGGGCCAACCCAACAATGGAGTTGGAGCAAGGGGGTGGGCAAGATGAGGAAAAGGGAGCAAGTTGCCACCCAGATGAAGTGGGAATGGCCCCTGTTGTGGATGAAGCAGCACAAGGACCAGCCATCCACATAAGGTGAGAGAAGCAATGTCAAGGGACAGCATCACAAGGTGGATGGAAAGGAGAGGGAGGATGGGGAGGAGGAGGAGCAGTGTCAAAGAGGCCTCCTCAAGTGGGAGTAGCATCACAGGTGACATTGTGGGAGTGGATATATAACCATGCTCCTCATCATAGCAAGTAGGTGGATCTCCATCCACTCTACACCATATCATACTAGTTATAACTTTCACTTAAGTATACTTAGTAGTCTGTCAACAGTAGCAATCATAAGACATTGCTCCTATTGTAGCATGTGTGTTGTATCACAGCTCATTGACATTGATTGACATTCCAAAGGTGGTTCATTCTGAAGTCCAGCTCTCTCAATCATTAGAACCAAAGGCAGTCATCCACTGCAGTCTGGGGATCACTTCAAGCACTCAGTTGACACACTGGACACTTGTGTCAGCACCAACCACATCCATCACACCAGACCATTGGAGTCATAGCAATCCATCCATCATTATCAATCGTGCTGAGCTACCTCTGGACAGAGTGTCCACAGCAGTCAGTTGAAACCTGCAATAGCAATCAATCTATCACATATTTGAGTGAGAAAAGTCATAGAGGCCTTCTACAGCAGATCTTGACAAAAATCATAATCCATGGTATCTTACCACATATCTTGACAGGATCTGTAATAGAAGTGGTTTGTCATGGGCCTGAATGCTCAAGAAGCAGGAGGGTCACTGGTTCATATGGAGGGAGCACAGGTATCAGAGATCTAGTTGATACCAGTGGAGAGCATGGTTGTAGTGCAGTCTCCATGGAGACCATGGACTTCCACAGACTCACATGCAAAGGAGGACTGGGCCCATATGTGAGGAGGGCCAGGCACAGCCACAAAGAGGACCAAGCTCAAGGAGCATGCAGATGGTTACCACTCAGGGGCTCGAGAGACAAGAGTCAAAGGAACTGTCACCAGTCAAAGGAGAAGGAGCAGTGTATAGGAAACCAGCAAGCAGGTCCTGAGGAGGAGGAGGAGCAGTGTCGAAGGAGTCGACACTGCTCAAGAGGCACAAGGGTGCCAAGCAAGCAGGATAGCAAGGAGGAGGAGCAGTGTCGAAGGAGTTGATAGCTCAAGGAGGACAGGAGTGGTGCTAGAGGGGCCCCCTGTACAGTACTCGATGAAGAAGGTACTCTCTGGAGAGAGAGCAGGAGCAGCAATGCTGGCAATGCTGTGAAGAGGTATATAACCATACTTTCTCATCATCAAAGGTCGAGTGGATCCTCATCCACTCTACACACACCATAACTAGTTATCACTTCAGCATAAGTATACATTAGTTTCAGTCAGCATAGTAGTAATCTATCGAGATTGCTCCTCATTGTAGTGTGTGTGTTGTATCACCACTACCTGACATCTGAAGGTGGTTCATAGCAAACCAGTGGTCCAGATTAAGATAGAACTGAAGGCAGTAGTCCACTGTGGTCTGGGGATCACTTCAAGCATCAGTCAACACACTGGACACTCATGTTGATGCCACCAACCTTATCACCAACACCATCAATTTCATCATCATCAACACTCACACCAGACCTTGGTGTCAACATAACCTTCATACTGATATTGATCATGCCAAGCTACCCCTGAACGGAGTGTCCACAGAGGTCAGCCAAAACCTATGATAGCATATACAATGAATGCCACCCACTGTCATTGTGCAACTTGATAGTTGCCAAGCAACATAGCTCATTGAGACTGATACTGAGACAAAAGCTGTCGCCCAGTTTGATAGTCACCAAGTATCTTGACAGACCGACCTGGGTTTCAGGCGCGAGACCCCTGACACGGTTCTACTACAGATATCAGGTTTCAGGTGCGAGACCCCTGACAATCGCCATCCCCTGCGAGATCTATTGTACAATCGCAATACTACAGATTTCGGTGGGCTCCTGTGCTCCTCTTCATATGACTTCGGATCTTCCTGCTTCCTGCGCATCCAGTCCCATGACACCTGCCTTGACATGGCATCACAGTTCATTGATGCATGATCTTCAAAAGCAAATGTTTCAGGTGCTGTTCACTTCCACTGGCTGACAGCAGGAGGACACAACTGCATGCTCCAGGCACTATGAGAGGATGGCCAAGGACTACAATGCAATGTTGGAACAAGGCCAGTTGTCCAGGCAACATTGCCAATTGTCAACACCTTCACATCCCTAGCACCTGTTAATTGTCATACTTAGTGAAATCCTTCCACAAAAGACTTGATTGACTATGACCATCTGTAACAGTGTGAAACACATGCTAACATGATACCAACAAGCTTCAGTATTAATAGCATACATGATATATTGAATTAATTGCCACCTTTGCTGTGGATGCGTTTTTAGAAACACATGTTTTTTGGATGCTCCTAAAAGGGGTGTTCAAAAATGGGTAAAAGTTGTCAAAATTGAGAAACATGTGTTTCTAAAAACACTCAAAAATTGATACCCCCTTTTGTGCAATCATACAGTTGCATCCAAAATTGCCCAGCATCTTTTAGGATAATTAAATGCTCATCACCACACATCAACTTCACTTCTCAAGAGCAGGTATCCTCAATGAAGTGTAGCTTGTGACATATTGTTGGAAAGCTGAGATTGAGAGCTACAAGTACATATAAGTTTTGTTGTAATTGGACCAAATTTGTGCACAGTGGAAGTGCCATGACTTTTTTTGAGTGTAAAGCTCCTCCTAAATTACTATATACTATACTTTAGTATTTTGTATGACCCCCTTGTGTAACCCTTACAGCCTGTAACATCCTGGGTATTGACTTTATGAGTGCCTGGACTGATTCCTTGGGAAAAGTTGCCCAAAACCTGTTGATAAGCTGCAATGAGTTGAGCTTTATTGTTGATAGTATATCTTTGCTGATATAGCTGCTTTTTCAGCTGCTGCCACACATGTTCTATAGGATTCAGGTCTGGAGACATTGCAGGCCAGGGCAATACATTGAGTTTGACCTCCTCCAGGTACTCCTTGGCAACTTTGGCAGTGTGAGGGTGGGCATTGCCTTGCTGAAAGATCAATTCAATGTAATGCTCTGAATTCAGTTTGTCATCTATATAGACCATTAGACCTAGGTCTGCCCAGGTCATACACCCCCAAATCATGATGCTGTGGCCACCATCCTGCAGTGTAGGTATATATATATCATAGTTGACATCCCTGGACCAGTATTGCTTTTCCAAGCCCTTTCCAAAGCATTGAACCTTGCATTCATCACTCCAGATGACATTCTTCCATTGTTCAACAGTCCAATGTCTATACTCCTTGGCAAACACCCTCCTTGCCTTCCTATGTTTATCTGTGAGCAAGGGTTTTCTTCTTTTTGGCCTAAACTTAAGTCCAGCTTGCTTCAGCATGTGTGTAATGGTTTGTCTGGACAAATGAAGTTGATAGTGTTGTAGCCAGTAGGCTGAAGCTTCAGTAGCTGAAGTATAAGAATTCTTGCTAATTCCTCTGGTGAGTAATGCCTGTTGGTGCAAGGAGAGGAGGAGGGGCCTGTTACAGGATCAGGAAATCGGGTAACCAAACCAAACATAGTGAGCAGCAAAACCACTACACCAGCTAGATCCTTAGCTGGTGTACCTGATTCACACAACACTGAAGTATAAGCATTTTTCACTCCCAAATGCTCTGGACTCAGAGAACAGAATTCCTATTCTGGTGACAGGGCCTTCCAGGGGTCCTTTTCACATATTCACTCTCTGGTACCTGTTTTGCCAGTTCAGCAATGCTGGATTTGTTGATAGACAGTTTAGTTGCTATCTCCCTTGTTGAGAAACCTGCTTGGAGCAGCTCTTTGACCTGTAATAGGTGAGTGGTGGTGTATTTAGTCCTCCCCATATTGATTTTTTGCTTTCCTTGCCATGTTGACAGCAGTATTGCCATATGATGTCCTAAGCTTGTCAAAACACCCTGAAACATCTTTGTTTATATCATACTACAATTATATGAAGTTTTGAGCATGGTCTATTAGCTCAATTCTGTGCAAAGTGATAAGTTACACAAGGTACAGAATTAATTGAGGAGGAGGAGGGGCTTCAAAGAGTGCCAACCTAAATTCCAGCATATTCTTTGGTGGGACCACCCTTTTTTTCTCACATATTCTAATAGCAGGCTATCCAAGCTTTGCAACCATACCACACAAAGTGGCTGTTGTCAAAGAGAACAAAGAGTACTGGTCATCATCATGAAAAGGACCTGAGAACACCATATCAAATTAATTAGATGCCAGGCAATTTTGGACAAAACTGTATTTCACATAAAAATCTTATGTAAGCTCACCCAAAATTGAAAAACAAACAAACATGTGTTTCTGAAAATGCACCTCCACACCAGGTAAAATGATCACCCTATTTTGGTTACTCTCCAAAATGAAGTGCAGGTGTGCATCTGCTTGCTTCCCTCCTCCTCAAATTCACTGCTTCATCACACTGGTGCACCATGTCCTTCATCACCAACAAAGTATTTGATGCTGGAAGCCAGTATGATTCTCTTTCCCCCTCTCCAACCCCCTCATCCAACATAGAGCAAGAAGATGGTGGGCCTGCTGTGTTTTCACTTCCAACGGGCAGCAGCACAATCCTCCCTTACCCTTTGTCACAGGGTCTGCACAGAAGACCCTGGACAGGCATTGGGTGTGTTGTGCACACAAAATGCGAGTTCTGGTACCTCCACTGTGGTCCGGATACTTCAACCAATAGCTTCCTACAACTGCCAAAGCATCATGAACACTGCTATGACAGGTGTCATCATACTATACATCCATATAGTCATCAAGTCAATCCAAGGATATCAAGATCATAAAGCATGCTATGTGTCAGGGGTCTCGCGCCAGAAACCCAGGTCGGTCTGTCGAGATACTCGGTGACTATCAAACTGTGCGACAGCTATTGTCTCAGTATTGGTGACTATCAAGTTGCACAGTGACAGCAGGTGGCGTTTGTGGTATATACTATCATAGGTTTCGGCTGACCTCTGTGGACACTCTGTTCAGGGGTAGCTCGGCACGATCAATATCTATGTTATGATGACACCAAGGTCTGGTGTGGGTGTTGATGATGATGAGGTTGATGGTGTTGGTGATGAGATTGGTGATGTTGATGATAATGAGGTTGATGGTGTTGGTGATAAGGTTGGTGGCGTCAACACGAGTGTCCAGTGTGTTGACTTGATGCTTGAAGTGATCCCCAGACCGCAGTGGACTACTGCCTTCGGTTCTATCTTGATCCGGACCACTAACCTGCTATGGGTGCCTTTGGACGTCAGGTAGTGGTGATACAACACACACACTACGATGAGGAGCAACCTTGATAGATTGCTGCTATGCTGACTGAAACTAATGTATACTTATGCTGAAGTGATAACTAGTTATATGGTGAGTAGAGTGGATGAGGATCCACTTGACCTATGATGATGAGAAAGCATGGTTATATACCTCTTCACGGCATTGCCAGCGATGCTGCTCCTGCTCTCTCTCCAGAGAGTACCTTCTTCATCGAGTACTGCTCAGGGGCCTCTCCTGCTTGGCAACCCTGTGTCTCTTGAGTGGTGTCGACTCCTTCAACACTGCTCCTCCTCCTCATGACCTGGTGTCGACTCCTTCAACACTGCTCCTCCTCCTCATGACCTGGTGTCAACTCCTTCAACACTGCTCCTCTTCCTTTGACCAGTGACAGTTCCTTTGACTCTTGTCTCTCGAGCCCCTGAGTGGTAACCATCTGAGCTTGGTCCTCTTCGTGGCTGTGCCTGCTCCTTGAGCTTGGTCCTCTTCGTGGCTGTGCCTGGCCCTCCTCGCATATGGCTCGGTCCTCCTTTGCATGTGAGTCTGTAGGAGTCCATGGTCTCCATGGAGACTGCACTATGACCATGCTCTCTACTGGGGTTGACTAGATCTTTGATACCTGTGCTCCTTCCATATGAACCCATGACCCTCCTGCTTCTTGAGCATCCAGGCCCATGACACTATGCTACCTCTGAATGGAGTGTTTGCGGTGGTTAGTCGAAATCTGCTGGATGACAGTTTTCCAGCATTTCTCAATGAAATTGGTCAGAAGGAGCTTACTAGACAGATTTCACCGAAATCGGTCAGAACCAGCTTTTCCAACAGATTTCGGGTTTCAGGCACACAACCGCTGACACTCGCCTGCGCTGGCTTGGGGGTCATTCTCTTCTACCATGATCAAATGTGAATGTTGTAGGTTCAAGCCCCACATTGGGAGCCAGTTGAAATTGGATACACCACTTGAATGGGGCCACAAACAGGCACCCTTCGGACAGGTATATCTCTACAAAAGGTCTTGGTATTTCAAGGAAATGGAGGCTACAAAACATGAGTTTATATACCTTTATGGCTACCAACACTCGCTCTTTGAGCCACAGCGACAGACCATGCATCCAGTGGGATCTTCACTCATAACTGTTGCCATGTCAATGTACCCCCTGCATACCTCATATCTCGGTGTCAAGCCTTGAGAATAAGCTGCATGTGCTCCCATGAGCTTTGCCTTTATCTCATCTACGTTGACACCCTGCTTTACTTCGGCCTCCCGGTCCCAAACGCTCCAATCTAACATGTCGGGCTACGCATCTTCAACTTTGCGTCATTTACTTGATTTCACCTTTCCTTGTTGAGGAATCACGGTTGTGTCAAGATAGCGAGCAATCAAATCGTATATCTTTAGGAGCTAAGTACAAAGTGATGTCATGAACTATATATGCCTTTACATTGGTCTCTGCATGTGTGTGAATAGATGACATGGCATGTGTGGCTGCATGCTGTTACTAAGTGGGATAGGGGACCTTGGTGGGTGGTGTTGATTGTTGGTGGGAGTTGATGGGTGGCGACGTTGGAACGAGGTTTGCGAAAATGCAAACGTATGACTAAGCGTTCGTGTGCAGTCGTGTGTTTTCACTTTCCTGTGCCTTGACGAGACACTTGAATTTTAGTGTGTCTTCTGGCATTTTCGCCTCCTCGCCGACCTCTTCCGACGACCGGCGAGGAGGTGTGACCTTGACTTCGACCTGACGCTTGGCTCGTGAAATGGGTGAAATGGGCAGCACGAGGCATCAGAGCTGTCATCGCCAGTAGGAGAGCACTTCTTCTTCTCCACTTCTCCGCATCGCACGGTAACCAACACAGACACACACAGAGAAAGCTTCCGGAGATCTCGTCACTGGACATGGCTCCAACGTCGCATCTTCGAGCCGGATTGCTTCGGTCATTTGCCGCACCTCACACAGGTCTCCCCTGACACACGACACACTCTCATCAGACTGTAACTGTCTTGTGATACTGCAAAGGGTATGTCCTTTTAGTGCTGAGCAATCGGTCGTCTTTTTGGATGTGCCGACCTTAGAGATGATGCTGTTTTTGTTTGATGCGCTCACCTTTCGCTGTTGGCAGCGTCACCACCCTCGTTTCCTTCCTCGCCATTATCGTTCTCATCTTCTTCTTGCTGTTGTTCTTCATCCTCCTCCTCATCGCCATGTGCCTTCTCATAAAAGCCTCGATGACTCCAGAACAGCCCAATAGCTCCCATAACTGCGAGCGCGGCAAACGAAGCTTTGAACAACCAAACCAGCTCAGGATGACCCCTCTCCAGCGCCACCCCAAATACGAACGAGGTAAGCAGCGGAACGATCGCAGTCACCACTGTGACGAGGATCTGATGAGCTGCTAGTGCCTTTGTCTGGTCGTCCTCTGAGACAGCGTTAACCACAAGCGCTGTCCTCACCGACGTCGAGCCTGAAGAAATTTGCAGAAGCACCACTGAAATTACCAAAGGGATCCATGGGCTAGACCACCACAGCGCCTCTTGCTTTCCGCCATCATCGTTTGCACGTGGCGAGGTGGTGGGTGCCTTCGAGGAGCTCGTCATCATCAGGAAAGAAGCAAGCGCCAACATGTACGATCCGACCATGATCGAAATGTCGAGCTTGCCTCGTTGAATCTTCTTGATCAGATCAGCAGGCGTGCTTGCAAATACCGAATGCGTCTCCCAGTTGCTGCTGCCAATGGTGAAACCCGATGCCATCGAGCTCCGCTTATTGGATCTGAGATGCGAGTGGCCCAAAGATGCCGCTGCTTTGTACGAAGGACGCCGTCTCGCGGGTCTCGCTTCTATCCGACTGTCTGCTCCATCACTCTCGGCATTGTTTTCTCGGCCATAGTCTCGTGCTGACACGCTGCCATACTGTGCGCCCAGTGAGCCCCCACGAAGAATACGCGAACACTCTTGCCCATTTGTAGAGTCGTCTTGATTGGTACCGTTTCCCGCCGCAGCCTTTCGGCGCTGTTGAGCAGCTTCCTTCAGCTTGCGGACCTGCTTGCGTCGCCTTGCCAGTCCAATCTTGGCAACATACCTTCGAGCCAATGCAACACCGGGAGGAAAGATGGCAGTCAAGAAAAGTGCACGCGTACTCTGCAGCACACTGATGAGGTAGCCGTTCTGCAGCACGTCGAATCCGAAGCGCTCGCTGTTGTACAGGAGCAGCAGTGGCACCATGAATGCCTGATACGTCTCTTCGAACACCACCACAGCTGCCAAATTAAGCAGACGGAAATCCCATCGTGTTTGCATCTTACCTTGGATGGCTGTCGACAGCTCGGCTTGTTGACCTTGTTCTGGCGTGTGCCCGGTGTGACGGGCCTGCGTCGGCGATAGAGGCGCTTCGATCGCATCGTTCTCGGTCGTCGGTGCGTAATGTCTTCGCTTCGGCCAAAAGATGACGAGCGGACGTAGGAAGTTGAGCTTGTGCAATCGAGAGCGCCATTTGAACTTGGATGTATCGCGGTCGGTGTGGCACGTTGACCAAGTCACGTTCGACTCGTTCTGCTCATCCCCCGTATCGCCATTAGCTTCTTGACCGTTTGTATCCGCGTCTCCTTCCAACAACCCTGACTCAGTCTCATCCGAGTGCAGCCACTGGTCAACGAACGTGTGCTCCGCTCCTGACTTGCTCTCTGGGACGATCAGCAAAATGTATGCAACAGCCAAGATCATCAGTCCGCAGTCGGCGTAGAAGGGCGCAAAGAACTCGTTGGTGAGGCTGGCCAACAGACCACCCAATGCGCTCGAGGGGAAAGCACCGATCTGACCGAATCCTTCGATGAAGCTGAGCGCCCCTGCTCGCTGTGCTTCTGAAGTGGTGTCAACGACGTAGTCCTGGATTGCAATACGAAGAGGTGCACCTGCCGAGGCTTCTGATAGGACAACTGCACAGTACAGCACAACAGCTCCGGCGACTGGTGGAAGGACGACCGCGAAACGGAACACGAGGATGGCGAGAGCGATGAGCATATGCGCCATGAGCAGCAGTGGCTTGCGACCAAAGCGGCGAGAGAGTGTAGATGCACGAGACAGGGTCATGAGACCAAGCAAAGCGCCCACTGTTACCATCGCCGCTGAGTACGAAGACGTCGACTTCTGTACCCACGGTAACGAGCATCGTCGGGGGTTGGGAAGCTCGGGTGCCGGAGGTAGCTTCATTATCGTTGTTGTTGTGCTTGATCCAGCTGCGAACAGGTTGTGCAAGGCGCCTACCAACCGTGAGCCCTTGTGACCGGCGGGCTCGTCACGAATGGACGGGTCGTATACTTCGCACATGATGTAGGTATAAACCTTAAACATGGACGCGAGAGGCATGCCACTTGCCAGGCTGCCCAAAAGTGTCACCACAGCCATGTGGTATGGGCTTGGACGCCCTGAGCGAAAAGCTTGGGATACATCACGGATGGTCTGCGCTGGAGCTGTGGCTTCCGATCCATCTTCGGTACCGTCGAACGACTCCTCGGTGTTGGTGGATATGCGAGAGTAGCGAGAATCCTGGCTTTTTCCGAGCGGCTGTCTTGCTGAAAGGGATGAGCTGGAACGGTGGCGTGTCTGTAACGGCGATGTCGGCCTCGTACCGGTTGGAGAGCGAGGACTTGACATCAGATGGATAGCAAGTCAGGCGAGCGTATCAGCTCACCCGTCGCACGAAGTACAAGGCCGAGCGGCTGTCGTCAGACCCAGGTGCTGGCTTCGATGTATACGAGATGGTAACCGGAGTATCTATCAGCAGGTCATCTGTAGATGCGCTGCTGTGTCGCCCCGCTGTTGACACTGTTGTGCCAGTGTTGGTCCTAGTCGAGCCAAGCTCGAAAAAGAGCAAGGGTCGGGTGGATAGCTTGGTGTTATTTCAAAGCTTGGTGACACGATCGATCGCTACTAGTTCCTTTCGGTGGAGGCTTGCGAGACGGTGTTGGTGATGACGATCGCTGCGTGTGGTGGGAAGCAGGTCAAGGATCGAAGCGAGAGAGCATTCAAGTATGGATTTGGCATTCGCAAAACTAAACGAGAGCAGCGGTCCAAGCGACCGGTCGGATGACCTCGCTTTGCAACACCCTTGCTTGCTTGCTTCTTCCTCAACGCAGAACACAAACTCGGCTCTCATTCGTGCCTGTCCTCACGTCACACCAAGAGGCAGGAGAACCGCAAAGAAGGGTCGCTTAAGATCAACCGCGAAACATGCCAAGTCAGCTTTTGCTTTTTGATGAGTCGACTCGGGCCGAGCGAGACTCTCTGGCAGCGACGGCAAAGCGATCTCGCCAGCTGGAAGACTTGAAGCTCTTGAACATCGAACCAGCTTCAACAGCGCCGCTGAAGACATGGTGGCCAGGAAAGATGAGAGATGCTCCTTGCTTGACTTGAGGATCATGACCGAAATTCAAAGTGTAAGGTTGTGTTTAGCTAACATTCGCCAAGTTAGATTTTGGTCGCGTGGCTTTGCCTAGCGCACAGACCCTCACTCCACTCGCACACTTCCAGGTTGAATTTACTCTCGACGCTTTTCGCAAGGTCACTGTCCAACCTTCCTCTTCTTCGACATCAATACCTTTTCGCTCCACCAGACCCTCAGGGCTTCGAAAGCAGCGGTGATTTCGAGAAAAGCACAGCCACCTGTTTGCAGCAGAGCAGCCGGCAAGAGTGCTCGGCACCGAGCTGACCGGACAGCCTTGTCTTGAGTCTCAACCCTTGTAGAGAGACACTTTGTCAGTCTGGCAAGATTCATCGTTCTCAGCATGGCAGACAACACTACCTCCTCGACAGAGAGGGTCACCGTCACCTATGCGGCATCCCAAGCCCTCCTGGCCGCGCCTCTCACACCTCACTTCATCAACCTCCTCAGAGAACAACTCCCACTTCGCAATCTACACTGGAGACCCAGCCAATCAACGCTCGAAGCTGTCGCGGCTCGAGCCGCATCCCAAGGCAAATCGTCCTACACTTCCGCCTCGGTCCTACCCGGTTCGACCATCCGCACTATCCAAACGCTCGATGTAGCGCTCAAACCGCTTACCGACGAGATCCGACGCTGGCGTGGTGATCCTGGCTACTTTGAACAGCCAGACACAGCTGGTCTTCTCGATCGACCTTTCGTCCACCTCTATCTAGTCGTTTGCGAAGATAGCGAGCACTACCGCACGACTGTTCGGAATGAGATCCGATCTTGGCTCAGCACTCTTTCTTTCTTTCATTCTAAGCAGGCAGGTTCAGGATCGCAACAATCTGCGGTTGGAACGCCGACGCTTGCTTCGTCGAGCAGAACGTCTTTAGGTCTCGGCTCGTTTCGAAGTGGCACTCCGTCCGTGAGGTCGGATACCCCACCGACGACGGGGACGAGTTCAGGTCCGAATACGCCCACCAACCAAGGTGTGCCCGTGAACAAAACAGCCGCTGCCGCCAACATCAACACTGTAGGCCCTACTGAGCCGGAGTATCTCATTGTTCTCATCACTCCACCCGAAGGATCTGGCATTAGCGGTCTGTCCGGTCCAGCAGCAAGTGTAGAAACAAAAACAGGCATGTCTCGATTCATGAACAAGTCCAAAGGCAATGTTCTCGAAAAAGCTCGTGCTGATTTCAACACTTCCAAGAAAGAGCATGTCATTCAGCTCTCACGTCTTCCACCTGTCCCTGTTGCATCACTTTCTCGACCTGGCCTACAATTGCATTCGATGGATCCGACAATATGGGCAGAACTGCTGACTAAAATGCGCGAAGCTGCATCCTCCACCTTCACCATCACTATCGAAGCGCAGGAGGAAGAGATCGCTCGATGCGGAGTGACAAAAGGAAACCAGGGTTGGGACTTTTGCAGCTACTTCCTAGCAAAAGACTCCCTTGCGCGTACACTGGAAGCGGTGGGGTTGAAAGACGATGCAGTAGGTCAATACGAGGATCTGGAGATTGTTTTTGCGCAGGCGATACAGAATGGAGCGGTATCCTTTGCGCGCGTGGGTGGAGATGATACAGAGGACGACTCACTACCACTACTAGATGTGTCTAAGAAGCTGTATGCCGAGTTGATACGGCGGAGAGAGATATCGTTGTTCGACTTCAGGTGTTACCTCTTTGCGAGAAAGTCAGCGTTGTTGGGGAAGATGGGAAGGGTTGCGGCTGTTATGCGAGAAGCGCCGGTGTTCATTAGTGCGGTAGGGAGAATGTTGAGGAAGAATAGAAGGTTGAGTAGTCAACGAATAGAAAGCTGGATCTTCTCGGCGGCATTGGACGTGGTGGAGCAGTGTCAAGCCTGGTTGATACAGAGAGGTGGACAGAGTACGACGGGGGATGATGATCAGTTAAGCCCGGCTTTTCACTCGAATAAGTCGGAATTGTTGGATGTGGCGAGGAGACAGTTGGATCGGATTGGGATCGAGGCTGGGCATTTACCGCCTGCTGAGCCCTTTTCCTTTCCTTCCCATTCAGACACAGAGAGTGTGGGAAAGGAACGCGATCTTCCGCCGTTACCCGACGCGGCTGCTGTTCAAGGGCTAGGTGCGGCAGTGGTGCTGGGCGAACAGCCAAAATATGGCTCTTCAAGACCTGAGCTTCAAAGAGCAATCGAGTCGAAAGAACACTTTGACGCATACTACCTGGCTATGTGCGAACGCATTCTAGCTGGTTGGAAAGCATCCTCGCGTAAACGAGACGCGTTGCATATACGGACGATCGTAGCTACGCTTCACTACTTGCGGGGCAAGTATCAGCTTGCTTATGACAGTTTGGTGGGGTTGACGGAGGCGTATGCGCTGGCGAAGTTTGCGCTGTTGGAAGGACATGCACTGGCGATGCAGTTGGAGTGTCATGCGAAGTTGGAAAAGGTGAGGGATAGAGGTTGGATTGCGGCTGCGCTGGCTGCGTTGCCGGTCAGCGTAAACACTTCAGCGGGAGCAAGGAGCGTTGAAGAAGAGGCGGCAAAGTGGACTGATGCAGCATACCTGTGCAGTCAGCTAAGGGAGGCGTCTATGGCGCTGGAAAGAGAAGTGCCAGTAAGCGGATTCCCACTCTTCTCGATCAGTGTACCGTCAGCACCTGCAAAGCTGATAGGAACGGAAGATGGGTCATTGATCACTGTCGATGTGACTTCGCTATTGCCCTGCAGTCAGGCAGTGGAAGATATCCGCATGTGTTTGGTCACTGCTGGTGGTGGAGACCTTTGGTATACTTCTTCGAGGACGGAGCTGAAGCCTGGAACGACAAATGTCGAGTTGTTTTGCCCACACCCAGCACACGGAGTATACACAGTCGACGTCACGCAGATCCGCATAGCGAGGCTGATATTCCAGTACGATCACGCAGCCTCAGCTGCAACCAAGGAACCGACCGTCGTACGCGTGCCCAAGGACGGAGCAGCACCGAGCATTGCAGTGAACCTCCCGCGTCAGATCGACTTAGACCAACCACGGGCTGTCGAAGTGACAATGCGCTCTGGTCGGAACGATATCGATTCGGCTGAACTCAGCGTGGTATTTGCGGATGGAAGCAGTGCTGTTGATTGTGCTGCAGCCAAACTTGGCGCCAGTACAGCTAAGCCGGATACTGCGGGCACTGCCAACACAATCGCGCTTCGTAGCCTAGACAAAGATGGCGAGACAGTGGTCGTTTTGCCTCTTACCACGGTGCCCGATTCTGGCGTGCTAGATGCTATCGTCACCCTAACCTACGTCACCACCTCTGGCTCAAATGAAAGGTATGCAGCAGGCAAGAAACGGACCCTCACTTTACCCTTCACTCTTCGTACAGCCCTACCGCTAGGTGTGAATGTTCAGGATTTCTTCAGGACGAACTGTCTTCTTTCCAAATTCACCATCTCTGCTGGTGGCGGGGGAAGCATTCGGTTGAAACCAGTCACACTTGCAGGAGAAGATGCCGAAGGATACACCATTGCAAGTTGTGGCTCTGGGCGAGAGGCTACAGTCACCCCTCGTCAACCTGCGACTTTCCTTTTCCGGATCTCGAAGAAAGATGGAGCGAACATGGGAGGAAAGAGGATGAGGTTGGCGGTTCTGTATAGGGCTTTGGAGGAAGATGCGGTTTGCGCTGCCAAAGCCTCTTTGGATCGCGTGGTGAAGGACAAGGGTGTGGCGGTTTTGGGAAAGGGTGAGCCAGGGAGAATATTGTTGGAGGAAGCTTTGGCGAAGTATGTCAGGGATAGATTGGATCTTCCCGCGTACTCGATTACTGGCGTTGTTCGGGTAGGAACTGGGTTGGATGAGGGCTGGTGGAGGTCGGAGAGACGGTCTTGGGGACAAACCTCGCTTGATTTGACCTCGTTGCTGGAGTTGGTGCAAAATACTCTGGACTCCATCTCATCCGGTAGTGTAGAAGGGGAGGGTGAAGTGTGGCAGAAGTTGACGATCCCCGTCGACGTGCCGAGTATTGACTACGTCGACGCCGTAACTCTCAGTCTTCACTCTGGTGGGGTGGAAGTGGGAGGGGGAGAAGGGGCAAGCATCGTCGTTGGTCTACCAGTGCAGCTGACTCTTACCATTCGAACTTCAACGCAGTGGTCCGACACGCACGAGGACGGAGAGGGGGAGGAAATGGTGTACGACATCGTTCCAGATTTCGAAAACTGGATTGTTGATGGTGCCAAACGCGGCACTTTCTCCCCTTCCTCCCATTCTTCCTCTTCCACCGCTGCCATCACTGCACCAGTGCCATTGAAAGCAGCATCATCGGACGACACGTTCTCGGTAACGCTAACGGTTGTTCCCCTTCGAACAGGAAATCTCGCTTTGCCCACGGTTTTGGTTCGACCTTTATCAGCGGTACACGCAGGACAACAAGGGGAGGGGAAGAGGATTCCGACGTGCGAAACATACACTACTAATGCAGGGATGAGGGTGCAAGTTGTTCCTGCGAAGAGTACGAAGGCGTTCTATGTGCCGACGGTGGTTGGAGATGGGCAGAGGTTCTCCGGGAGAGGAAGGGTAAGGGAGAGTTGGAAGCATGGCTCTGCTGGTGGAGCAGGTGGGTTGGATAGATCGAGAGCTGCGTGGAGTCAACCTCAACAGCAGGCTAGTCAGATTTGGCAAGCTCACGCTTAACACTTCACGCAAGCACCATTGCTAGTCAATACATTATTCTCCATCCATTGAATCGATTGTAAAAGCGTGGTTTGTCCAAGATATCAAGACAAGAGGAGGAAGGGCTACCAAAAACCATCATCTTCATCGCCCCCTCCGCTCTTACTCTTCGCAGAGTTGACGGTTTGATTCCTATACATAGCCTCAATTTGTTCCGGACTCGTACTTTCCTCGACCATTTTATCATCTCTAACCCTGATAAATCTAGGAAACCTGAGACTAACACCTCTCTGTTCGATCAACCCTTTCGCTGCTGTGTAGACGGGACTTAGACTCAAATCCGCAGTCAACACCTCCCATACTACTTTGGCTTCGAAGTAAACATCTGGTTTTGCTTCGCCTACATCATAATACCCTTTCTTACCTGTAATCTCCAATTCTTTAAGCACTTTGTAGTGCGATTCCAAATCCTGTTCTGTGAATCCGGTACCGATCTTGCAGATGGATTGGTAGGTTTCGGAGTCGGAATCGTAACATGCGAGAAGGAATGCTCCGTAAACATTTGTGCGTTTACCCTTTCCGTAGTATCCGCCAATCACTACGAGGTCGAGAGAATCGCCAGTGCCGGCAAGGTAGTCTTTCTTGAGTTTTAACCAATTCATGGATCGACGGGAGGGTTCGTAGGTCGAATCCGGACCGGAGAGCATTTTGACCATTAAACCTTCACAACCTTCTTTGACTGACTTGTCAAGGAAGACGGAGATTTCTTCGACTGAAGTACAGTCTTCCGAGCGAGCATAGTCGAATTCGTCTTCCACGGGTTGAAAGTGATCTTGCAACAACTTTCTTCTCTCCCCCAATGAAAGGTGTAGAAGAGATTCGCCGTTGAGATAGAGAAGATCGAAACCAAAGAGTTTGACTTTGATCTTAATGTCTTCCGCCTTCACATCCTTTCGTTTTCGTCGGGAAAGTTCCTGGAAGGGTAACAACTTTGCCGGTTCCATAACACCGGTTTCGGGATTAGGTTCGGCTTTCTTCCAAGCCGCAGCTTCAGCGTCAAGCACAAAGGATTTTACCGAGGGCTTGATGCATCGAGGGATCTGTTCAACAAGATCGGGGTACTTGACCGACATGTCTTCCGAATTGCGAGAGAAAACAGCGAGTTTGCCGGAAGGTAGCAGATGGACTTGTGCACGTTCGCCATCGTACTTGTATTCGCAGGTGAAGGGTTTCCCTTCGAATCGATCGAGGACTTCGGTGATTGCTTTGGTTGGTTTGGCCAGCATTGGTTTCAGAGGTACACCGGGGGTGAGTTTACATTCTTCTCGCAAACCTTCTACTCCTCCTTTGAGCAAAGCTGGGATGACGAGATCATAAGAGGGGAGTTCGGAGTACACTGCTTTGACCAATTCTGTTCCCTCTTCCAACTGCCGAGTTAGAGCCTCGGTGGAGAGTTTTGAAATGTTCTTTCCCAGTCTTGAAATAACGACGGCACGAGCGAGTGAGACCAAAATCGAGCGTTCGGCGAGACCAATTCGCAGTTTCCCCTCCAAACTTCGAATCAAAAACTTCGGCTCTTCCCCCTGACAAGAAGCCAATAACTTCTTAATCATCCCAATCTTCCGATCCTGCGACTTGTTCCCACTAACAACCGCAATCTCTCTCAGCTGCTTGAACACTTGAGGAACTTTCAGTGAGGAAACCTTGAACATGGTCGGTTGGTTCTTTTTCGAGTTTAAGGCTACCAACCCCAAATCTCCTTGCGCTTCCAAATCCTTTTTAATTCTCGCCACTTCTCTCCCCGTCGACTGAGCAATCGCCTTGATTAGCAAAGATTCTCCAATCCCCAACTCCAACCCTTCATAATCCGGACAGAGCCTATTGATGCATAGATACACAACTTGCAACAAATTATCAGGGGAGCGCTTGATAACCCGAACGAGAAATTGGGTGAGGATCTCGGTGATCTCCAATCGCTTCGTCGTAGCTTGAATATCAGCGAAGGTAGCAGCGAGTGCAGCGTAGGGTACGGGTTCACCTTCTTTCCAGGTAACTTTTCCTTCTTGGACTTCGGAAGGCTTTTGGAAAATAGCGGCGAGCTTTTTGGCTCCTTTTTTCTCTTCTTCTTTGATGAGCTTCTCTTCTTCATGATCTTCGGCTTCGAGGAGGTCTTCTAGGGGTTCGTGTTCGCTACCTGAGTCGGTGGTTGTGCTGCTGTCGTCTTCCGCGGTTGCAAGGGAGCCGGCGCTGGGCTTGATGGAGGTTTTCTTGGCTTCGAAACTTGTTTTGGGAGGGGGTTTGGAGAAAATGGGTGCGACTTTCTCGCCGGTTGGTTTGGCTGAGGCTGGTGCTGAAGATGGGACTACTTGGTCCTCTTGCTCGTCGTCAGATTCGATTATGCGACGCTTCTTTCGCTGCACGACAGTATCTCCGTTCGTGGAAGTTGACTCTCGCTTTAAGGAGGATGGAGCAGCGGCTTCGGTGTCATTTTCGTCCGCGGTCGAGGCTGAAGAAGACGATCCATTCGACGTCGATGCTTCCTTTTCGGTTGCTGTCGACGAGGATGACTTGGGCGGCTTGGGTGCAAAAGCAGATTTGATATCAGGCTGACGTGGTTTCGAGGAGGTTGAAGCTAGTCGGTCGCCGTTGCCGTTGCTGTTACCGCCGCCGAAGAACTTGTTCAGCTTCGGCTGTTCCGTCATTGTGGCTGATCTGGCTGAGTCGAGATCGATGTTCGGTCAGATGTTCCGATGTTGCGCAGTGAGCTGGCTCGGGTGTCCAAAGGAAGCCGACGCAGTGGTGGCAGAGCGTGTGGGTTGATCCGCTTGCAGTGATCGATAAGGTCGTCAAGAGTGTATCACAGCTCTTCGGAAGGTTGAGGAAGACACAGAGAAGACGGCGGCGCGTGTCATCAGACCAACACACCCATCCAAGCACAGCCAAGTTGCTCTTTGAACCTGCTCGCAAAAGGGATAAGGGGAGCTGCAAAAAGTGACGCGAGTTGATTTACGCGACGCCAACAGCTTAAAAACAATTTCCAATTTACCGCTCTCTCTCTCTCTCTCTCTCTCTCTTCTCATTTGTAGAGCTGTGCCTGAATCGACTCGTATCAGGCCGGTCGTCGGTCCATCCGATGATCGTATCAAGCCGAAGACCTCGGGATGTCCAATGACCATATCAGGGAAAGATAAGGGCCATGGGCTTTATTGCTGAGGCCTTCCTGCATTGCCTCAGCATGTTTGAGACTCACCTTTCGCCTCAGCATGTTACTGAATCATTCACAGGGTAAGACATATAAAAGCACCAGATTCAGTTAGTTTGTTCTCCGTTAGCATCCATCCGTCTGTACATACAGTTCATTGCCGACATACATAATAAACCGCGTCCTGCCATCAAAGTCTCCCACTCGTTTCAATATCAGTTGAAGATGCGTCGGCATCTCAAGCAAGATGCACGTGTCACGGCCAAGTCACCGAGGTGCAGGAGGCTTACTTAAGCGAGAAGCACAAAAGAGATACATGATTGTTGCCATGGTGACAGCTTAGTGGCACCCAGTATCATAGAAACACAGGAGTATGAATGAAGTGATATGTCCTGTCTCAGATAGGACTAGAGCAGCGAATAGAGTATATATATATGCATTTGTCATTTAGTTCCACACTATGAAAACTAAGCATTACATAGAACATATGGCTGTGGTAAAGGGAGTCTGATCATGACCCCAATAACGCCATATACTAATTGTTATCTTCAATTGATTAAGAGTCTGAAGAAGCTATCACCGAGCTAACCAAAACTTGTTGACAACCATGGTAGAAGACACCGAAATGAGGACCAAAGGAAGCAGAAAGGGCAAGAACACCCAGGTTCGGGTCGACAATGATGCCACAAATGAGAACGAGCCAGAGGCCATCAACAATGAAGCTGACGAAGACACCGATTCCAACTCCGACTTTGATGATGGCAACAAGTGATATAACTTTCGCACCCTAGCAAAGCTCCTCGAACCCATGCCAAAGCTCACATCATGAAACTATTATAGCTGGAGCGCTCACGTGAAATCTTTCCTCCGATCCATGCCCCATGTGATGAAACATCTCGAGGGAACATACGACAAGAAGCACCCAAAATGGAGCTGCTCCCTCGATGATGCTTTAATTAATGCCCTGCATGGAATAATCGACACTACCGGAGAACACAATGTAAATTACCTCATCCTAGATGTAATCAAAGAGTACCTTACTTTCAATCAAGTATGGAGAAAGATCAAAAATGGTCTCACAAACGAAGCCACCAAGATGTCTCACAGACTTGTGCTCATCTTGCAGCTCAATGATACAAAGATGTTTCACTTGGATGCCAGAAAGCTAATTCAAGAGATCCAGTCCATACAGACTGAAAGCAGCCTCCTTGGCAAACCATTTGCCAATGATACATTGTTCTTGGCTCTGCAGAAATGCACGATCTGGCATCCAGTGTATAAGGAGACAGTTGCTACCATCCATCAAATCGATTTCAACACCCTTGCCACTGCACTAAGCATCTGGCAGACTGCTGTCGAGAGCGTCCCCATGCAAAAGATCAACCCCTGACAAGCCAGTGCTAGAACTGCTGGCAATGATGATCAAAACGAATGGACCAGAGAGACCAAAGCCGAAGCCAACAACAGCCATGCGAGCTTGAGGAATGCAGGCAGACCATGCTGAATCCGATGCTGGATCTGCAAGCGACCGGGACATGGTATTAGTCAATGCAACGCCTTGGTCACCATTCCCAAAGACTCCCCCCTCGCTGAACCTAAATAGGAAGTGTGGTGCTCCCTCACCCTCCCATTGAAATGGCAAGACCCCCCAAACACAAAAGAAACAGCTCATTGGATCTTGGACTCGGGGGCAAGTTATCATATGGTGAATGACTACAGCATGCTCATCCACCCGAGAACTTGCCGAAAGCAGATAATTACTGCCGGAAGCGAGGTCTTGGAAGCGGCAGCTATAGGAGATGCAAGCATATCAACAGATTACGGGGAAATCTCCCTACAAAATGTATTGTATGTGAAGCACCTTAATGTTAACCTTCTGTCAATGAATTCATTAACAGATGAAGGAGCACAAGTGATATTGGACACAACTGGCAGTCAAATTTTTCTAACAAATGGCATGACACTTAAGATTGCAAAGAATCACGAGTGAGGACTTTTGGAGTTCCGAGGCGACACATGGCAAGAAAGCATGATGGCCACATCAGCACCATTGTTTGAAGGTGTTGATGAGGAGTTCGAGCATATTAAGAATGAGCCAAAAGTTTCAAAGCAACAACTATGGCATGAGCATCTCGGACACCCAGGAAGAGATAAAACTAAGGCGATCACGAGCAAGTTAAAAGATAAGCATACCATGAAATTGGATCCAAACACTGCTCTGACATGTGAGCAGTGCTTACGATCCAAGAGCACAAGCGCTCGGATGGGGAAAGGTAGCAGCAAAAGAGCCATAGGGCCCCTGGATCTTATTCATGTCAATCTAATAATAGACTCATCCCATGTGACAGAGTACACATGCATGTTGGTGCTGGTCGATGATCATAGCAAGTATGTGTATGCACAGCCATTGACACGAAAGAGTCATGCATTTATACAACTCAAAAGGATTGTTTCATTCCTGGAGACACAGATGGATCGGAAGCTAAAAGCGATCCAATCCGATCAAGGAATGGAATGGAAAAGCAATGATGCATTAGAATGGTCGCTAGAAAAGGGCATAGAGTGGCAAACCACTGTAGGGTACAACAGCAAACAAAATGGATGGGTAGAGAGAATGAACAGGACCCTTGGAGAGAAGATGAGAACGTTGCTAATGCAGAGGAGACTACCGAAGAAGTTCTGGCCATACGTGATCAGAGCTGCAGCATTCAAAATAAACCTCACTCCGAGCGTTGATAACAAATTCCCTTATCAAGCAATGTTTGGCAAGTTGCCGGAATGAGCTTTAAAGCTCCTATGAGTGTTTGGTTGTCTGGCATGGGTAAATGTACCCAAAGTCAAATGGGACAACAAGAAACTGGACCAGCAAGCCATCGCATCCATCTTCTTGGGATACAGTCTAGAGAGAAAGGGCTGGCTCTTCTACAGTCCAGACTATAATCTGAACATGTTCTGGAGCAATTCAGCAAAATTCATGGAATCAAAGTGCTGGTCAGACAGAACAGAGTGGCAACTGGTTGACACAAAGGCACCTCCAGTGATGATGACAGAAGAGAATTTCAAAGATCTAGGATACAACAAAGAAAATATATTCGACGAAACAGATGAAGGGCCACTATAAGAACACATGGATATGGAGACAGATTTGGAAGAAAGGTTAAGCAGAGGAACAGCAGAGGAGATGGAACAAGGATCAACCACCGAAACTCAGATTGACAGCAAATTCTTTGGACTCGTAGCGACACAACCGGAATGGAGAAAGAACCTGGACCCAACCATACATGAAGCAATGAGTGGAGAAGACAGAAAGCACTGGGAAGAGGCCATGCGAAAGGAGCTGGATGGGTTGGAGGTGATGGGCACGTGGGAGATAGCCGACCTCCCGAAGGGTGCAAACACTGTCGACACATGTTGGGTACTCAAGATCAAAACCGATGCAAACCTCATGCTGACAAAGTTCAAAGCCCGGCTCGTGGCACGAGGTTTCACCCAATGCGAGGGCATTGACTACACAGAGGTCTTTGCACCAGTAGCACCCATCCAATCCATTCGAGGGGTGATCGCTGTTGCAGCAGTATGAGATTGGGAAATAGATTCTATTGACATAAAGCAAGCATACCTGAACTCCACTATACACCATGATGTATATCTCAAGCCCCCAGTAGGAATCAAAATACCACCTGGAAAAGCGTTGAAGGTAGTGAAAGGGCTGTACAGTCTGAAACAATCAGGCCGAGAATGGAACATTGAGTTAGACTCACATCTCCGGATGATCGGATTTCATTGCATGCCGAGTGCACCATGCCTATACTCAAGAGGGACAGACGACAAGATCACGATCATCACAGCATATGTGGATGACATGCTGATAACATCACCCAGTCGTGATGAAGTAGACCGCACTAAGCAAGAGATCATGGACAAATGGGAGATGCAAGACAACAGAAGGATCAAAGAATTTCTGGGTATCAAGATCACACATGATAGAAGACAGAGGAGGATATCTCTGGGCCTAATGGCATACATCAAAGAAATGGTGAACAAATGGTTAGGAGGAGCAAACGAGAAATCTTGGGTACCCATGCTGAGTGTAGCGAACATCGCCAGAGGCGAGAGATGTGAACCTCAGTGAGCAAAGAAGTATCAAGAGTTGGTTGGCCAACTATTATGGGTCTCCAACACAGCCCGACCAGATATTGCCTTTGCTGTTGGTGTATTGTTGCGATATATGTCAATCCTGATCGACAGTGCATGGAAGGCAGCCATTCACATGGTAAAGTACCTGAACCAAACGAATGAATATCAGTTGCACTTAGGAGGGGAGACAAACAAGCACTTGGATACACTGGTAACGACGTATACTGATGCAAACTGGGCATCTGACCCCACAAATGGACGAAGGAGCACCTTGGGGTCGATAACATATGTGTATGGATGTCCAGTGAGTTGGAAGTCTCACATTCAAAAGTGTGTGGCATTGTCAGCAGTCGAAGCAGAGTTCGTTGCTGCTTCCAAAGCAGTGTGAGAAACATTGTTCTTCTCATATTTGCTCCGGGACTTGGAGATCACGGACGTTTGGCCCATGCTATACACAGATAGCCAGGGGTGCATACAGGTGAGCAAAGATCCAGCCAAACATTGGAAGTTAAAGCACATCGACACACGGTATCATTTCATCCGCGATCATGTGCAAGAGGGTGATGTGGCAATCAAATATGTCGGAACAGCAAACAACATTGCAGATGTCTTGACAAAACCTTTACAGGGTCTCAACACCTCACGATTGGCTAGGATGATAGGGCTGGAGATCCCGCTGAAGGGGGGAGTTGAAGATGCATTGGCATCTCAAGCAAGATGCACATGTCACAGCTGAGTCACCAAGGTGCAGGAGGCTTACTTAAGCGAGAAGCACAAAAGAGATACATGATTGTTGCCATGGTGACAGCTTAGTGGCACCCAGTATCATAGAAACATACCGCTGAGTATTACAAGATCGAAAAAAATTCCTTTTTTTTTTTTTTTTTTTTTTTTTTTTTTAATATCAGGCCATACAGCCTAAGTACAGTCACATCCAAAATTGCCCAGCATCTAATTAATTTGATATGGTGTTCTCAGGTCCTTTTCATGATGATGACCAGTACTCTTTGTTCTCTTTGACAACAGCCACTTTGTGTGGTATGGTTGCAAAGCTTGGATAGCCTGCTATTAGAATATGTGAGAAAAAAAGGGTGGTCCCACCAAAGAATATGCTGGAATTTAGGTTGGCACTCTTTGAAGCCCCTCCTCCTCCTCAATTAATTCTGTACCTTGTGTAACTTATCACTTTGCACAGAATTGAGCTAATAGACCATGCTCAAAACTTCATATAATTGTAGTATGATATAAACAAAGATGTTTCAGGGTGTTTTGACAAGCTTAGGACATCATATGGCAATACTGCTGTCAACATGGCAAGGAAAGCAAAAAATCAATATGGGGAGGACTAAATACACCACCACTCACCTATTACAGGTCAAAGAGCTGCTCCAAGCAGGTTTCTCAACAAGGGAGATAGCAACTAAACTGTCTATCAACAAATCCAGCATTGCTGAACTGGCAAAACAGGTACCAGAGAGTGAATATGTGAAAAGGACCCCTGGAAGGCCCTGTCACCAGAATAGGAATTCTGTTCTCTGAGTCCAGAGCATTTGGGAGTGAAAAATGCTTATACTTCAGTGTTGTGTGAATCAGGTACACCAGCTAAGGGTCTAGCTGGTGTAGTGGTTTTGCTGCTCACTATGTTTGGTTTGGTTACCTGATTTCCTGATCCTATAACAGGCCCCTCCTCCTTGTCAGGGGTCTCGTGCCTGAAACACAGGTCAGTCTGTCGAGATACTCGGTGACTATCAAACTGTGTGACAGCTATTGTCTCAGTATCGGTCTTGATGAGCTAGTTGCTCAGAAACTATCAAGTTGTGCGATGACAGTGGGTGACATTTGTTGTATATACTGTCGTAGGTTTTGGCTGACCTCTGTGGACACTCCAGGGGTAGCTCGGCACAATCAATATCAATATGTAGGTTATGATGACACCAAGGTCTGGTGTGAGTGTTGATGATGATGAGGTTGATGGTGTCAGTGATAAGGTTGGTGGCATCAACACGAGTGTCCAGTGTGTTGACTGATGCTTGAAGTGATCCCTGGACCACAGTGGACTACTGCCTTCGGTTCTATCTTAATCTGGACCACTGGTTTGCTATGAACCACCTTCAGATGTCAGGTAGTGGTGATACAACACACACACTACAATGTGGAGCAATCTCGATAGATTACTACTATGCTGACTGAAACTAATATATACTTATGCTGAAGTGATAACTAGTTATGATGGTTGTGTAGAGTGGATGAGGATCCACTCAACCTTTGATGATGAGAAAGCATGGTTATATACCTCTTCACAGCATTGCCAGCGATGCTGCTCCTGCTCTCTCTCCAGAGAGTACCTTCTTCATCGAGTACTGTTCAGGGGGCCTCTCCTGCTTGCTTGGCACCCTTGTGCCTCCTGAGTGGTGTCGACTCCTTCGACACTGCTCCTCCTCCTCAGGACCTGGTGTCGACTCCTTTGACACTGCTCCTCCTCCTCAGGACCTGGTGTCGACTCCTTCGACACTGCTCCTCCTCCTCAGGACCTGGTGTCAACTCCTTCGACACTGCTCCTCCTCCTCGAGACCTGCTTGCTGGTTCCCTATACACTGCTCCTTCTCCTTTGACTGGTGATGGTTCCTTTGACTCTTGTCTCTCGAGCCCCTGAGTGGTAACCATCTGCATGCTCCTTGAGCTTGGTCCTCTTCATGGCTGTGCCTGGCCCTCCTCGCATATGTGCTTGGTCCTCCTTTGCATGTGAGTCCATAGGAGTCCATGGTCTCCATGGAGACTGCACTATGACCATGCTCTCGAATGGTATCGACTAGATCTTCGATACCTGTGCTCCTTCCATATGAACCAGTGACCCTCCTGCTTCTTGAGCATTCAGGCCCATGACACATGTGTGGCAGCAGCTGAAAAAGCAGCTATATCAGCAAAGATATACTATCAACAATAAAGCTCAACTCATTGCAGCTATCAACAGGTTTTGGGCAACTTTTCCCAAGGAATCAGTCCAGGCACTCATAAAGTTGATGCCCAGGAGGTTACAGGCTGTAAGGGTTGCACAAGGGGGCCATACAAAATACTAAAGTATAGTATATAGTAATTTAGGAGGAGCTTTACACTCAAAAAAAGTCATGGCACTTTCACTGTGCACAAATTTGGTCCAATTACAACAAAACTTATATGTACTTGTAGCTCTCAATCTCAGCTTTCCAACAATATGTCACAAGCTACACTTCATTGAGGATACCTGCTCTTGAGAAGTGAAGTTGATGTGTGGTGATGAGCATTTAATTATCCTAAAAGATGCTGGGCAATTTTGGACACGACTGTAAAAACATGTCAAAATTGGGAAACATGTGTTTCTACAAACACTAGGGGGTTTCAGTTTTCTCTGAGTTTTCAAAACTCCGAGTTTTCATGGTTTTTTTGGATTTTGAAAGCTTGCTGCTTAAGTAAGCTCTGCCAGGAAAGAAAAGCTCAGAAGTTTTGAAAACCCCTACTTATTTTTGCCATGAGCCCAGGTTTCTGAATATTTGAGTTTTCAGCAGGAGTTTTTGTCATGTGCTGATATCACATGATTCTAACACAATTCTGTGCACAACCCTTGACCTCCACTTTCTGCACTGTCTACACTTTCTCACACTTTGAGTTATGTCTGTCCTTGCTTCACTTCTATCACCATCTCCAGTAGCATTTCCTCCCTGTCAGTGCCAGGACATGGACATGCCATCCCCTCATGACCATATCAACAACATTACACTATTCACAGCTTTGCAGCAAGCCTCTGGATTGGCTCCAGCATCAGAGCAGTCTTCAACTGCTTTGCAGCACAACACAATAATGTCAGCTCAGTCCAACCTTGATTGCTCTCATCAGTGCCACCCTTCTGCAACTTCCAGCACCTTGGCTGGGGCTGAGTCGACTCAGCCAGCAACCTCTCCCACTTCCCCTTTGTCCTCCTCCACTCCTTCTGGTTCCAATGCCACCACATCTGCTGGTTCTTTGCCTTGCCAAACCTCTACCCAGCCAACTTGAATCTCTGCAACTCGCAGACATCAAGCCAGTACTCATGGCAGCAGGTTCAACAAAACAGATTGTATTGCCTACTTCAATTGGTCACCTAGCGACATAAATAACCTTGTTGATATCATCTACAATAATGATCATTACCAACATGTTCTATTGCCAGGACGTTTGACTGCAGAACAGGAAAAGGGTCTGAAGACAAACAAAGATGTTATCTGCAGGCAGATATGGCAGGAGCTGTTCCCAGACGAGTCTACTGTTGGTGGTGCTGGTCGAGTAAAGACTAAGATTCGCTGGCTCACTGAACAATACAACAACATCAAGAAGACCATCTCACAGCAGACTGGTGCTGGAGTACTTCTTCAAGACATGGATCACAACAGCTCTGTAAGTACAACTTAGTTGATTCATGTTAAGTGTGCCAATGTTCTTATACTTTATATCTCTGTCTATGCTTCTTTATCAACTTGCAGGACTATGCCACATGCGAATCGATTGCTCGAAGCCGCCCTTGGTTTGAGCACTGGCACAAGATGATGACCAACTGTGCACAGACTGGTCCAGTTGTTCTTCTCACTGGTCACCCATATGATGCCACCCCTGCCTCCTCTCAGAATAACTCGGTTGATGCTGATGTGAACATGGATGATGCCAGCAATGCTCACTACCCTCAGTGATGCAACATTCCTGGCATGGAATCCATTCTTGAGGAGTCGCAAAATGATCCCATTGGAGCAAGAGTTATCTCATCTTTTTCTTCTTTGGTTGCAGCCACCCCAGCTGCTGCTTCATCTTCATCCTGCTCACCCTTCTCTTCCTCATCCAACCCGTCTTTGATTGGCCCCACCCCCTTCACCATTACCCCTATAGACACTCCAACCCACCAGTGCTCATCCAGCACCGCTTTTGAGGCTGATGAAGTGGATGATGGTGATGGTGACTCTGTTTACCATTCTCCAGCCACAGGTACAACACCCAAGAAGTCTCAACCCTTCACTTCCAAGAGCAAGTGAGAAGAGCTGTTGGAAATTGTGTGGGCCTGCACCCAAGACATGCTTCAGGCATGAATCAAGGTTGAGGAGGAATGCACGAAGAGGGAGGAAATGCACATTCAATTTGCCAGGGAAGAAAGTGAGAGACAAGAGCACATGCAAACTGAAGAGCATGGTTGGCTCATGGAGATGGTGCAGATGATGAACCCTAATCTACCCTTTGGCAACATCGCTGGAAGTAGTCAAAGCAATCTTGATCTTGACCCACTGGTTCTTGCCATGGATCAGCAGGACAATAGCGATTCAGCTCATGAGTAGACCATTTGGCAAGAATGGTGTTCCTTTTGAGTTCTCCAAGTTCTGTTCCTGTGTTTCCGACTTGTTGTACCATTGCTCTCTGTAAAGCTAGCTCTCAATATGTATGACTAGCATACCCCATACCCAGTCTTCCATGTAATCTCTCAAATGTAGATTGCTTCAATGTGATGAATTGTTCCACATACAAGATGCTGATCGGTGTAGCCCCAGTTCTGAGCATGTGTGTTGCACAGAAATCAGCTGTGCAGAACCCAGCTGCGCAGAACTCAGTGTCAGGGGTCTCGCGCCTGAAACCCAGGTCGGTCTGTCGAGATACTCGGTGACTATTAAACTGTGTGACAGCTATTGTCTCGGTATCGGTGACTATCAAGTTGTGCAGTGACAGCAGGTGGCGTTCGTTGTATATACTATCGTAGGTTTCGGCTGACCTCTGTGGACACTCCGTTCAGGGGTAGCTCGGCACGATCAATATCAATGTTATGATGACACCAAGGTCTGGTGTGGGTGTTGATGATGATGAGGTTGATGGTGTTGGTGATGAGATTGGTGATGTCGATGATAATGAGGTTGATGGTGTTGATGATAAGGTTGGTGGCGTCGATGATAATGAGGTTGATGGTATTGGTGATAAGGTTGGTGGCGTCAACACGAGTGTCCAGTGTGTTGACTTGATGCTTGAAGTGATCCCCGGACCGCAGTGGACTACTGCCTTCGGTTCTATCTATATCCGGACCGCTAACCTGCTATGGGCGCCTTCGGACGTCAGGTAGTGGTGATACAACACACACACTACGATGAGGAGCAACCTTGATAGATTGCTGCTATGCTGACTGAAACTAATGTATACTTATGCTGAAGTGATAACTAGTTATGGTGAGTAGAGTGGATGGGGATCCACTCGACCTATGATGATGAGAAAGCATGGTTATATACCTCTTCACAGCATCGCCAGCGATGCTGCTCCTGCTCTCTCTCCAGAGAGTACTTTCTTCATCGAGTACTGCTCAGGGGCCTCTCCTGCTTGGCACCCCTGTGCCTCTTGAGTGGTGTCGACTCCTTCGACACTGCTCCTCCTCCTCATGACCTGTGTCGACTCCTTCGACACTGCTCCTCCTCCTCATGACCTGTGTCGACTCCTTCGACACTGCTCCTCCTCCTCATGACCTGTGTCGGGTCCTCCTCGCATATGGGCTCAGTGCTCCTTTGCATGTGAATCCATAGGAGTCCATGGTCTCCATGGAGACTGCACTACGACCATGCTCTCTACTGGTATCGACTAGGTCTTCGATACCTGTGCTCCATCCATATGAACCAGTGACCCTCCTGCTTCTTGAGCATCCAGGCCCATGACACTACCCCCCTCTTAAGAGCCGAGCTCCGTCGAGGCATGCTCTGGTCTGGTTCATGCTGACTCCTCCTCTTCCTTGACAACATCGCCCCCGTCATCCTTCCTCCTTCTCTCAACGTCATCCTCCTCTCTCTACTCCTCCTGTTCTCTCTTCCTCTCTCTACTCCTCCTGTTCTCTCCTCCTTTCCCTACTTTGTCTACTCACTTGTCCCCCCTCCGACACCTCATACTCCTGGATGAGGTCGGGACAGTTGAGGTTCTCTACTGGTTCCCATGAAGCAGCTTCTTCTGAGTACCCTCTCCACAACACCTTGTACTCTGTAGTCCCATTGTGTGAACGCTTGTCGATGAGTGCTTCGACTTCGAAGTCGAGGTCCTCATCTGGAAGTGGTGGCATGGTGGGCTGTTCAGCACGTTGAGGAAGAGAACTTGTTCTTGCTGGCTCGAGCATGGAGACATGGAACACATCATGCACCCTAAGGTTTGCTGGCAATGTGATTCGGTAAGCTCGGCGTCCTACCCGTTCCTGAACTGGGTAGGGTCCTGCAAACCGGGTATCCAACTTGGGTGTGGGTCTCCGTGTCTTCCAGTTTCGGCGGTTGATATAGACCATATCACCCACCTTAAACTCAATGTCCTTGTGCTTCCTGTTATACTGGTCTACTGATCTACGTTGTGCCTCTCTGATCTGCTCCTGGAGGTACTTGCAACGCTCCTTTCCATCCATGAGGTACTCGAAGCGACCTGGATCATTGACTCCTAGTCGTTGAGGGATGTCAGGATGAGCTTTGGGGTTCCATCCATAGCATGCAAAGAATGGTGAGACACCAATGCTGTTGTGGACCGTGTTGTTGTATACAAAGGCCGCAGTGTCCAGCAGGTTGGCCCAGTCATTCTGCTCATAGTTGCAGTACATCCTGAGATATTGCTCTATGACCTGATTGACTCTCTCTGTCTGACCATCAGTTTGAGGATGGTAAGCCGTGCTAAGTGAGTGCTTCACACCCATTTGCTCTGCAAATGCCTTCCATGCTCCTGATATGAACTGCCTGCCTCGGTCCGAGACCATGTGATCTGGATATCCAAAGAGTCTAACCATGTGTCCATATAGCAATACTGCAGTCTGTTTGGCCGTGACTGTCTTATGGGTTGGAGCTAGTATGGCAAACTTGGTTAACCTGTCAACGATGACTAGGATAGAGTCATAGGTCTTGGAGTCATACTTCTTTGATGGTGGTAGTCCTTCAATGAAGTCGAGGGATATGGAGCCCCAGGGCCTGTCTGGGGTTGCTAGTGGCTGTAGCAAACCATATGGACGATGACGAGGAGCTTTGTACCTAGCACATACAGGACAACTTGCTACATAGTCTGCAATCCAAGCTGTCATGTTTGGCCACCAGTAATGTCGTTGAGCTGCCTTGATGGTAGCATCTCTTCCTACGTGTCCAGCAGTGATACCATCATGACATTGGGTCATCACCATGAATCGCAGATGCTCTACAGAGAGAGACTGTCCATCTACCTCTTTGGCACTCCTTGAGTGTCGGTTGTTGGTCCTCCCTGGCACGATCACCTTGGGGATAACCAACCTTCCTCCACTGTACCATAGGTCATCCTTGAGTTCGAAAGGCTTCTTCCTATGTATCTCCTGTAGCTCTTGGTCTAAAGGCTGGAAGATCTTGACCAGGTCTTTGAGACCTTTTGATGCTATGGACTCCATCGAGATCATGGGGGCCACTAGGAGCGAGTCATGGTCTGCTGTCTCCTTGAACACTCGAGGAGGCAGTAGTTGCCTCACATTGTGATCCTGCTCTTCACCAGCTGGTTGCATGTCTGTCCTTCTGGTGAGAGCATCGGGTTCACCACCTTTGTCTCCTGGTCGATACTGCAATATGAAGTCGAAGTCTGCTAGTAGTATGGCCCATCGAGCCTGTCGACCTGTGATGCGTCTCTGTGACTTGAAGTACTTGAGGGCTTCATGGTCAGTGAGGATGACCAGTTGGTTCGGTAGTCCAGCTAGCATGTGTCGCCACTGAGTGAGGCAGGCGACCACAGCTAGGAGCTCCTTATCATGGATCTCATAGTTCTTCTCGGCAGAAGACATCTTCCTAGAGTAGAAGGCCACTGGATGCCATCGTCCTTCATGCTCCTGCTTGAGCACTCCTGCTATAGCAAAGTCACTTGCATCAGTCTCCAACCTTGTTGGAAGGTGGTAGTCGAAGTGCTGAAGCACTCCTGCTGATGTGAAGGCCTGGATGAGCTTGTGGAAGGCCTGTTGGGCCTCCTCTGGTAGCTCGAACTTCTTGAACCGTTCTATAGGCTTTACCAGTGCTGTCAAGGGCTTGGCTATGCGAGCAAAGTGGGCTATGAACCTTCGATAGAAGTTGGCAAAACCCAGGAACCTCTGGATGTCATGGATTGACTCTGGCATTGGCCACTCCTTGACAGTGCGCACCTTTTCTGGGTCCATCTCTATGCCCGTTGGCTTGATGATGTACCCCAGGAACTCGACTGTCTTGGTGTGGAACTCACACTTCGACAGCTTAGCAAAGAGCCTGTTGCTCCTTAAGCGAGTGAGGACCTCGGTGACATGCTTCACATGTACCTCTTCAGTGTCACTGAAGATCAGGAAGTCATCTAAGTATACCACTACATATACTCCAATGATGTCTCGGAAGATGTCATTGATGAATGACTGGAAGTGAGCCGGAGCATTGGCTAGGCCAAAGGGCATCACTAGGTACTCATAGAGTCCCAACTGAGTGCCAAAAGCTGTCTTCCATTCATCTCCTTTAGCAATCCGGATGAGGTTGTATGCTGCTCTAAGGTCCAGCTTGGTATAGATCCTTGCCTTCCTGAGTAAGAACAGCTGCTCCTCGATGAGGGGCAATGGTGCCCTGTTCTTGACAGTGATCTCGTTGAGACCTCTGTAGTCCACACAGAGTCTGAGACCTCCATCCTTCTTTGGTACGAAGAGCACTGGTGATCGTGCCGGGCTCTTCGATGGTCTTATGAACCCCTTCTCGAGGTTCTCATCCAAGTATCTCCTCAACTCGGACATCTCCTTGGGTCCCTTAAGGTATAGGGGCCCTTGAGGTGGCTTCCCTCCTTCTATCAACTCGAGGTGGAGATCATGCTCGGTATGATGGGGCAGCTTGTCTGCTTCCACCTCATCAAACACATCTTGCAGGTGTTGGTATGGCTTTGGTATGTCTGCAGCCGTCACCACCTTATCTACCTCCACCTCCATCTCGACTCCTTTGTCTGCGCCTGTAGGTACAAAACCAAAGGCCGGAAGTGATGATGGTGGCTCCTCTAACAGCATGAACCCTATGGGTCCATCTTCCAGAGCTGCTCGTAGTATGCGCTCTGCTGAGACAAACTCGTTACCATGGAGGGTTGGTCTCCTCATGGTTAGGTCCCCTGCTCTTGCTGCTTCAGGGGGTCTCCTAGGGGGTCGGTCCTGCTCCTGAGTCTTGAACTCCAGCTGGCCCGTATCCCATTGTATGGTGGGTTTGAGCCTCCGTAGCTCAGTGAACCCCAGGATGAGGTCATAGTCTGCAGTGTCGGCCACTGAAGCTTCGACCACACCCAGATTGTGTGTACCAATAGATACCTGCATGCTCGCAGAACTATTGATGGAGAGTTGGTGCCCGGTGACACCATGGATCGATCTTGTTTTTATGGGTTTTGTGGGTATTTGGTACTTACTAATGAAAGAATCTGAGACTATGGACAAACCAGCACCGGTATCAGCTAGTATCCGAGCAGGATGGTCTTGAACCATTCCAGAGAGCTCCAGTACTGCTTTGCCTCCACTGGTAGAGAAACATACTTGACAATCTTGATATATACAGAGTGATGGCGAGGAGGTTTGTAGAGCAATGCATGCCATCAGTGCATCACCCCACTGACGTTTCCCTCGTCGTCATCATCATCGTGCTCCTCCTCGTGATCGGGGTCCATGGGTTGCTGGTATGAGCTGAGGTCCATGGCCTCGGGGTCACCCATCTCAGTGCTGCCTGTGTGGCCATCTCCTGAGTCGGTGGCCTCCTCGAAGGGGTCTGCTGTGGTGACCATAACCTTTGGTCCCATGGGTCGAGAGCTAAGAGGGTCTACCCTCCTGCTGGGGCAGTCTCTGGCCCAATGGCCAATACCTTTGCATACATGACAGGTGTTGATACCTGATGGAGCAGGGCTTCCTTGCTTCGAGGGTTGGGTGGGATGATGAGGAAGGGGTCGGTTTAGGTTTTGTATAGTTGCTTGTGTAGTTGCTTGTGATGGTGATCGAGCTGGATAAGTTTGAGTGGGTTGTCGGATGGGGATCGAACTTTGATTTGGCCGAGACCCAGTTCTTAGTGGAGGTGATGTGGCGTTTGGGAGTGAGTGTCTAGCCGAGGACTGCTGTAGTAGCATCCTCTGTCGATCGATCTCCTCAACCTCTCGATACCACTCCCATCTCTTCCCAGGTGGATTCCTCTCGAACTTCTCCTGTATGCTACGAGTGAGACTACCTCTGAAGAGATCAATCACTAGCTCATTGTCATCTAGGTTGACCTGTCCTTCCAAGTCTCTGAACCGCTCTACATGACGTGTGGCAGCACCAGGAGCATCACTTGTGAGTCTGAGAGCCAACAGCTTGTTGTATGCCTCCATCCTAGCATTGCGTGGGTTGAACTGCTCTGACAGTCGCTCTGTGAAGTAGTGCCAATCATTGAACAACCTTCCTTCTCTAGCTCTATCAATACGGAGCTTGGAGGTCCACCACTCTCTTGCTGTCCCTTCCAGTTGAGCACCCATGTGATTGATCATCCTAGACTGCTCATACACCTGGTTGAACTTAAACCATGCTTCGGCTTCTAGAATGAAGATCTCCATGTCTCGGGGATTGAACTTTGGAAAGGGGGTGGCGATGGGCTTTGACTGGTTAAGCTCTGCCATGATGCTGGTATCCTCCTCATGGTCCAGGGGGTAAGGGTCCGTCCTAGTCCTGCTGTAGGGGTCCAGCTTAGTCTTGACATATCTTGGCCCAGTAGGTGAAGCATACTTCTCATAGTTGATGTCCTCCTGCTCATCCAGGTTGAATGAGACTGATCGTCTTGGTCGTGGAGCCGGAGTAGGAGTATGTGGGTCTCCTATCATAGACTCATCTCCTCCTCCTGCTTGGTCTTCTGAGTGAGAGAGGTCCATTGTCTCCTCCCTACCCAGCTGAGCTCGTTGTAGTCGTTCCTCTCGATGACCCTGCCTAGTAAGCTCTAGCTGAGCTTCCAATAGAGTGAGTAGTCTATCGAGCTTATTGTTGAGGTCTGGGTCCGTCATGGTGATCGTGAGGAGCTGCTTGAACGATCCACTCTAATGTCAGGGGTCTCGCGCCTGAAACCCAGGTCGGTCTGTCGAGATACTCGGTGACTATTAAACTGTGTGACAGCTATTGTCTCGGTATCGGTGACTATCAAGTTGTGCAGTGACAGCAGGTGGCGTTCGTTGTATATACTATCGTAGGTTTCGGCTGACCTCTGTGGACACTCCGTTCAGGGGTAGCTCGGCACGATCAATATCAATGTTATGATGACACCAAGGTCTGGTGTGGGTGTTGATGATGATGAGGTTGATGGTGTTGGTGATGAGATTGGTGATGTCGATGATAATGAGGTTGATGGTGTTGATGATAAGGTTGGTGGCGTCGATGATAATGAGGTTGATGGTATTGGTGATAAGGTTGGTGGCGTCAACACGAGTGTCCAGTGTGTTGACTTGATGCTTGAAGTGATCCCCGGACCGCAGTGGACTACTGCCTTCGGTTCTATCTATATCCGGACCGCTAACCTGCTATGGGCGCCTTCGGACGTCAGGTAGTGGTGATACAACACACACACTACGATGAGGAGCAACCTTGATAGATTGCTGCTATGCTGACTGAAACTAATGTATACTTATGCTGAAGTGATAACTAGTTATGGTGAGTAGAGTGGATGGGGATCCACTCGACCTATGATGATGAGAAAGCATGGTTATATACCTCTTCACAGCATCGCCAGCGATGCTGCTCCTGCTCTCTCTCCAGAGAGTACTTTCTTCATCGAGTACTGCTCAGGGGCCTCTCCTGCTTGGCACCCCTGTGCCTCTTGAGTGGTGTCGACTCCTTCGACACTGCTCCTCCTCCTCATGACCTGTGTCGACTCCTTCGACACTGCTCCTCCTCCTCATGACCTGTGTCGACTCCTTCGACACTGCTCCTCCTCCTCATGACCTGTGTCGGGTCCTCCTCGCATATGGGCTCAGTGCTCCTTTGCATGTGAATCCATAGGAGTCCATGGTCTCCATGGAGACTGCACTACGACCATGCTCTCTACTGGTATCGACTAGGTCTTCGATACCTGTGCTCCATCCATATGAACCAGTGACCCTCCTGCTTCTTGAGCATCCAGGCCCATGACACTCAGCTGCATTGTGTTTGTAGCTTTGGACTCTCTTTTGGACCACATCATCCTCTCCTATTTCTGGCCCTCTACTTCAACCATGGTGCACACTTCCAACAAACAGCACCTCCTGGATGACATTGAGACCACCATCATGCACTCATTGATGGTGGAATCCAAGATGCAACTTGATCTGATGGATGTTGATGCCACTTGGCACCCTAATGATGACCTTGAAGATTCTGATGATGACATGTTTGATCATGCTATCTCATTTGTGCTCATCAGGACTTACAACATCATCAGCCAGTCTCGATACACAGTTGAATGCCTTCAACTGCTGCAATGAAAGGATCCCCTCATCAACATGCTTGATCGATATGCTGTCATCAACCGCAAGCTCTTTCGAGGGGCTGTTCGCATGACCCCAGATGCATTCCAAGCTCTCACTTACAGACTCAGCACAACCAATGCCTTCAGATCAATATCAAGCTTTCGGTGTGTTCAGCAGCAAGTGGCAGTTGGTCTATATCGGCTTGGATGGTCAGGAAATGGTGGTGGAGTTCGTGATGTTGCATTTGCCTGTGGTTGCAGTTGGGGCTCAGTTCATGTGTGGACAGATAGGACTATTGCAGGCCTATATGAGCTGAACAGCGAGGTAGTAACCTTTGCAACTGAAGACAAGCGTGCTAAGGCAAAAGCATGGGTTGCTGATAAGAGTGGAGTCGAGGAATGGTCTAGAGGATGGTTGGTGGTAGATGGTACACACATCAATTTTGCTTGGAAGCCAGCACTCAATGCTCGCAAGCATTACTCATACAAGGGTGATTATACATTCAACATTGCCCTTGTCTTCCTCCCTCATTCCTTGCACATTGTCGAGTTGGTGGTTGGACATCCTGGGTCATCACATGATGCACGAGTCTGGGCTTCAGGCAGTGGTATTGTTGCAAAGCCTTGTTTGCATCTTGATGAAGGCAAGTTTGTCTGGGTTGATGCTGGTTATGGCTACTCCAGCTACACAGTTGGACCATACAGCAACACTGCAGCTGCAAAGAGCAGAGATCTCCACTACTTCAACTATTCACTCTCCTGCATTTGTGTCAAGGCTGAACATGGCATTGCCTACCTCAAGAACCACTTCCAATGTCTCATGGGATTTTGAGGCAACCTGTATCAAGAAGAGGACCACGAGAAAGCTGCACATATGGTCCAGGCTTGTATCATTGCACATACATTCACAAGCCATTATGATCAACCAGATGAGGTGGCAGAATACCTTAAGGCATCAGAAACTCTATCTGAAGCTGAGGTGCTGGAGACCACATCAGGGATGGAAGCATATCAGCAGGCTACCGAAGATGCAAGGATACAATGAAGGGAAAACCAGCAGCAATACAAACAGGAACAGGCTGCTGCCATGGAGGGCATGTCTCAGAACCGAGTCCAGAAGTTCAGGCAGGAGAAAGCACTGGATCTAAGGGAGGAGATGCTCACTGCACTCTTTGCTTCTCATGGCTGCCCTTTTGAGGACACAACAGCAGAATCTCAAGGATGGGAATGACAATGTTGGCCTTCACTGAATGGCAGGAGAGACAAAACCAACAGCATGAGGCTTGCAGAAGACAGTGATCAGAACAGGTGTGATGTAAGCTATTTGCTTTAGCTTTTCAATCAAAGGTTTTGGCATTGTTCAGTATAGTGTTCAACAACATCTGATATGATCACTTTGATCTTGACCTGGTGTAGGGAATCAGAGATTGTTTTTACTGGGCGAGTCAAGTGAAACTCCAAGATGCATGTGTCACAGGCCTGTGCAGTTTCTTGGGGCATCAAAAATTGGGCCCAAACATATTTTCAAAGTATTGTGTTTTCAAAACTCAGAGATAACTGAAACCCCCTACTCAAAGTTTGGTACCCCCTAGAAAGAGAATTCTGTAGCTGCGCGATGACTTAGCAAAATCTCTGACCACAGATCACATCAGTTGAAGAGTCACCGGGATAACCAATATGCGAGAGAAGCGAGTGACTGACAGACCAATCCTCTGCATGCATACTAAATTGAGTGGTGACCAATCAGGAGAAGCATATGAAAGGAAAACACTGAGATGCTACAAAGTGGGCATGACTCAAAGGAGAACAACAAGCCATCTCATAAACAGGACAAAGGTATATATATACACAACCCTGTAGCAATAGTGCACAATAAATCTCAAGCATTACATCTACAACACACTAGTACGAAAGAGCTAGAACGTGGCTCGGATGAGGAGGTGCATGGTATAGCTTCAACTGATTAAAAGTCTGAAACCTCTACCAAAGCAAACCATGGTAGACAACACTGACCCTCAAGCTGGGGCCAGCGAAGCTGCCAAGAGGTCTAAAAGAACCAAGAAGGTGACAATTGTCTGGCAGACACAAACAGCAAATGATGACAATGAGATTGACGATGACCCTGAAGATGAATCAGATGATGATGATGACAGCAAATGATACAGCTTCTGTATGTTAAGTAAACTCCTCGAACTGGTGCTGAAGCTCACCACCCAGAACTACTATAGCTGGAATGTGCATGTAAAGTCTTTCCTCCAATCGGTACCATATGCTATGGAACACCTTGAAGGAACATTTGATGCAAACCATCCCAGATGGAGTCACTCATTTGATGACACATTAACAAATGCCCTACGAGGGACCATCAACACCATGGGAGAATACAATGTAAACTATCTTCTTTTGGACATAATAAGAGAATACCTCACATTTCATCAAGTCTGGAGCAAGATAGAAGCAAGGTTAGGCGACGACACCACCAGAACCTCTCACCAGCTTGCTCTGATCACTCAGCTGGGTGATATCAAGATATTCAATTCTGATGTTCAGAAACTCATACAGGAAATCAGGACCATCCAGGCCAAAGGAAGCATCCTGGGAAGACCATTTGCAGATGATACTCTCTTCTCTGCTCTCCAGAAATGCACAATTCGCCACCTGATGTTCAGGGAGACAGTTGCCACCATCCACCAACTCAACTTTGAAGTGCTGGCCATGGCACTTAGCATATGTCAATCGGCATTAGAGAGCATTCCCACCCAGAAGCTCGATCCCTGGCAAGGTCATGCTAGGACAGCAGGCGATGGTGACCAGGACAAATCGGCCCATGAAACTGATGATGATGATGACAACAAAACTGCCAAGACTGGATACAGATGCCAAAGAATCCAGTGTTTTGTGTGCAGGTGAATCAGTCATGGTGCAGGCAAATGCGATGCCACCATCACCATTCCCAAAGATTTGCCACTCACCAACTCCAAATAGGATGCTTGGTGCTCCCTCACCCCAAGTTGGAAGAAGAACCCAGAAGAAATGACCCGTTGGATACTGGATTCAGGAGCTAGCTTTCACATGACCAACAACTATAGCACACTCATAAACCCAAGAACCTGCCGAAAATGCATCTACATGGCTGGAAAGGAGGTTCTGGATGCAAGCACTATAGGAGATCTCTACATATCAACCACACATGGAGAAACACTACTCCAGAACATTTTGTATGTTAAGAATCTCAATGTGAATCTATTGTCAACCAACTCATTAATGGATGAGGGAGCACAAGTGACTTTGGACCATGCTGGTGGACAGATACACATGGCAAATGGAACCTCATTCAAAGTTTCAAAGAACAATGAGTGCAGCTTGCTAGAGTTATGAAGTGAGGCATGGAAGGAAAACACAATGACCACATCAGCACAGCCACTCAATGATGTTGATGAAGAGTTTGAACCAATCACAAAGAGGACCACCATCCCCATACAACAACTTTGGCACAAGTGCCTTGGACATCCAGGAAGAGATAAGGCTAAGTCTATTATAAAGAAGATGGGAAGTACCACCCAAATGGATATGGACCCAGATACAGCTCTGACATGCGAGCAGTGTATACAGTCCAAAAGTATGGCTGCAAGAATGAAACAAGGCAGTGGCAAGAGAGCTGCTGCACCCCTCGACCTCGTGCATATAGATCTGATCATCAATGCATCACATGTGACCGAACACACCTGCATATTGGTGCTCATCAATGATCATAGCAAATATGTTTATGCACAACCATTATTGTGAAAGAGCCAAGCTTTCACAGAGCTCAGGAGAATCATCTTGTTCCTTGAGACACAGACCAACAGGAGCCTAAAAGCAATCCGATTGGACCAAGGAACAGAGTGGAGGAGCAACGAAGCTCTTGAATGGTCACAGGACAAAGGAATAGAGTGGCAAACAACAGTGGGATACAATAGCAAACAAAACGGCAGGGTGGAGTGAATGAACAGAAGCTTGAGTGAGAAGATGTGTACTTTACTGGTACAATGTGGACTATCAAAGACTTTTTGGCTGTATGCAATCAGGGCAGCAGCATTCAAGATAAACCTTACTCCAAACACTGACAATGAGCTCCCATACGAGATGATGTTCAACAAATCACCCGAACAACTCATGCGACTTCTCCATGTTTTTGGATGTCTCACTTGGGTAAACATCCCAAAGGCAAAGCGAAACAACAAGAACTTGGACCAATGAGCAGTGGCAGCTATATTCATAGGATACAGCCTGGAATGGAAAGGTTGGCTATTTTATAGTCTGGACTATCGACCAAGTATATTCTGGAGTAACTCGGCAAAGTTCATGGAATCCAAACGCTGGTCAGACTGAAAACTTGGGTTATTCGGAAGTGAATCTATTTGATGAAATGGACCAGGAACCACAAAATGAGTACATGGACATGGAAACAACTGTGAACACAAACGAAGGCCAAGACCTTGAAGGGTGGACAAATGGTGAGTCCTTCGGACTTGCAGCCACAGACAACAAAGGCAAAGGAAACCTAAACCCAACCATCTGAAAGGCAATGGCAGGGCCAGACAAAAGGCTGTGGGAGGAGGCAATGCAAAAAGAGCTTGAGGGTTTAGAGGCTATGGGAACATGGGAAGTGACGGATCTCCCAATTGGCATGAATACTGTCAACACCAAATGGGTACTCAAAGTGAAAACGGATGCAAACTTGGTGCCCACAAAGTTTAAAGCAAGACTTGTTGCAAGGGGATTCACTCAGAGAAAAGGTGTTGACTATACCGAAATCTTCACACCAGTGGCACCAATTCAATCAATCAGAGGAGTGTTGGCTGTGGCAGCCATGCAAGATTGGGAGGTAGATTCATTTGACATCAAACAAGCATACCTCAACTCAAACTTACAGCACAACATGTACCTGAAGCCACCAGTCAGAACAAAGATGCCACTGGGAAAGGTTCTCAAGCTAATAAAGGGATTATATGGTTTAAAACAGTCAGGGCGAGAGTGGAACACTGAGATGGACTCACACCTTCAGAGAATGGGTTTTCATTGTATGCCAAGCACACCTTGCTTGTATGCAAGAGGAACTGGAGACAACATCACAGTTATCACAGCATATGTTGATGACATGATCATAGCTTCACCAAGTCACAAAGAAGTGGATCATACCAAGAAGGAGATCATGAATAAGTGGGGAACAGAAGATAATGGGAAGATCAAAGAGTTTATTGGAATCAAAATCATGAGAGACAGGACCCAGAAGAGCATATCTCTTGACCTAATGGCATATATTAAATCAATGGTAAGCAGATGGTTACAGAAGGAGACTGAGAAATCCTGGATCCCGATGCAAAGCATAACTGCAAGTGCTGGAGGAGAGAGATGTTCACCATCATGAAGCAAAGAATACCAGGAGTTAGTAGGACAACTCTTATGGGTATCCAACACAGTGTGACCAGATATCTCATTCACAGTAGGAGTTTTAGTGCAACACATGATGACTCTGGTCGAAGGAGCATGGCGTGCAGCAACCCACACTCTAAAGTACCTAAATCAAACAAGTGAATATCGTCTCCAACTAGGAGGGAGAGCAAATATGGAGAAGGAGACATTAATGACATATACCGATGCAAATTGGGCATCAGACCCCATGAATGGTTGGAGGAGTACATCAGGAGTGATCATGTATCTATATGGGAGCCCGGTGAGTTGGTGATCTCATGTGCAAAAATGCATGGCCCTGTCAGCTGTAGAAGCAGAGTTTATTGCCACATTGGAAGCAGCACAGGAGGTGCTGTTCTTTTCATATCTGCTGCAAGACCTGGGTATTGATAATGTCAGACCAATGCTCTGCATGGACAGCCAAGGATGTATACAGGTGAGTAAGGACCCAGCCAAACACTGGAAGCTTAAACACATTGACATGTGTTATTACTTTGTCAGGGAACACATGCAGGAGGGAGACATTCTGATCAAACATGTCAGAATGGCAAACAACTTGGCAGACATTCTCACAAAGCCATTGAAAGGAGGAGAGACCACACGTCTAGCTCGAGCAATGGGTTTGGTCATGCTGGCGAGGGGGGGAGTTGAAGAGTCACTGGGATAACCAATATGTGAGAGAAGCAAGTGACCAACAGACTGATCCTCTGCATGCATACTAAATTGAGTGGCGACCAATCAGGAGAAGCATATGAAAGGAAAATGCCGAGATGCTACAAAGTGGGCATGACTTGAAGGAGAACAACAAGCCATCTCATAAACAGGATGAAGGTATATATATACACAACCCTGTAGCAATAGTGCACAATAAATCTCAAGCATTACATCTATGACACACTAGTACGAAAGAGCTAGAACGTGGCTCGGACAAGGAGGTGCACGGTATAGCTTCAACTACATCACATGACTTTTGACATGTGATTAGCCTTCTCATTTTTCGAAAGTTTTGCAATTTGGCCGGGAGGGATCGGGAGTTTGGTGACGGCTGTGCCTTGTTGTGTATTTGGTGGTGACGATCTTGGTCTGCTTTCTTGTTGCAGAAGAAGATCGGGAACATCACTCTGTTGCGCTGCAGTGCCGCATCTTTCTCCAAACAGTCAAGTTGAGAAGAACAAGAAGCAAGAAGCAAGCAAAGCAAAGCAACAATCGTCTCCGCTTTCAGCTCCGCGTTCAGCTCCGCGTTCAGAAAGCAACACACACACACACACACACACAAATCGCACAACGCTAACTATGCTTTGAGTCACACCTGTGCCCACACGCATACACAGCGCACAGCGCACACGCCCTCTCTCTCTGTCTCTGCTCGCTCACTTTCTTCCGCTGATCTTCTCCTGTTCCTCCTCTCATACAACCCTCACCCCACAGCAGCATCGTCATCGTCATCACGCTTTCATCCTTTCTTTGATCCTTCTTCACGTCAGGCTACTTCCTCCCTCCCTCCTCATTACCATCCACTCGGGTCACATCTATCCTTCCTCGATCGCTTTCCCGGTCCCGTTTCAAGGCAGCTCTCGTCGTTCTCTTTCGGTCCTCAAGGTCACCCAACACAGATACAGGAGAGCCTTCCACTTACTTCAACTCTCGAACGGAACAGCTCAACATACATCAGAGCAAACCAACTTTTCGGCGCTCCGTCTGGTCTCATAGTCACAATGCCACATTTCGTACCACCAATGTTCTCGCCCAGGCCTGTCCACTGCGAGCCGGAACAACCGCAGCAGACACAGCAGGGTCAGGCTGTTCCAGCGAACGGCCACGGCAATGGTCACGGAAATGGACAGCATGGCGTATATTGGATTCCACATCTTCCTGGTGAAGGCCGCTTCGTGGTCAATGCCAAACTCTATTCGCGTCAGAATGCCAACCCCACCTTCACAGAACATCTGGAAAAGTTCCGCCGCGAGGTTGCTGCCTCATCTCCAGGCATGCTTTCCTACAAGACCTCCGTGGTTCGAGGCGCGACGGACCAGGAGAACCTCATCTGCCACGACCTATACATCTCGGACGACTTGGAATCGCATCCCATTCCATCAGAAAAGGATCAGCGAGAGGGGCTTGCCGTCGCACGATTGAAGGAGATCCAAGAGGAGAAGAAGGAGAAGCCCGTCCAGAGCGCACTCACGGAAGTCGCCAAATCGGCGTACAACTTTGGTCTTGGTGGTATTGCCGGTTCCATCGGTGCGACGATTGTCTATCCAATCGACTTGGTCAAGACACGTATGCAGAACCAGCGTTCTACCGTTGTTGGTGAACCGCTCATGTACAAAAACTCGATAGACTGCGTCAAGAAGGTTTTCCGCAACGAAGGTTTCAAAGGTTTCTACTCTGGTCTCGGCCCTCAGCTGCTTGGTGTCGCACCAGAAAAGGCCATCAAGCTGACGGTCAACGACTTGGTACGAGGGCACGCCAAGGATCCAATCACAGGTGCCATCACATTGCCGTGGGAGCTGTTCGCTGGTGGTGCTGCCGGTGGTTGCCAGGTCATCTTCACGAACCCTCTCGAGATTGTCAAGATTCGTCTGCAGGTGGCTGGTGAGATCGCAAAGGCGGAAGGGGGTGATCGTGTCGCTCGAGGTGCGGTCCACATTGTGCGACAGCTCGGTCTTGTGGGTCTGTACAAGGGTGCTACGGCTTGTTTGCTGCGAGACATTCCCTTCTCTGCCATCTACTTCCCCGCATACGCACATCTCAAGAAGGACACGTTCCAGGAGGGCAAGGACGGGAAGAAGCTCGGATTCGGAGAGATGCTGGCCTCTGCTGCCATCGCTGGTATGCCCGCTGCCTTCTTGACCACGCCAGCCGATGTAATCAAGACCCGTCTGCAAGTCGAGGCAAGAAAGGGACAGGCAACGTACAAGGGTATATTCGACTGTTTCACCAAGCTCCTGGCCGAGGAAGGACCCAAGGCCTTCTTCAAGGGTTCGCTTGCCCGTGTGTTGCGATCTTCGCCTCAGTTCGGTGCTACACTTGTGGCGTATGAATACTTGCAAAAGTTCCTGCCATACCCCTTCGAGGAGACAGAGGTGGCCGACGTTCTGCGAGACGGTGTCCCTGGCGAAGACCCTTCGCGTACACATGCACGACGTGCTCTTCAGCTCCTTCTCGAAATGCACGACGACTTTGGTCGTCCTCCCGCATCTGCATCTGCATCTGCCAAGTAAGACTGCAAGAGATCTCACAACAGACTCGACTACAACCACACATACATCTATACAAGACATCAACCAGGCATCATTCATTCTCGCTCTTGTCTTTGCATCCTGCAGCAGCAGCTATTGTCCTAGGTCACTGCTGTATTGTTCCCCTCCAGCTAATAGATGCACGACTTTATTTCACACAACCTGGAGTGCTTTGTGTGAGCACTGTGATTGCTCTGCAAGCAAGCTATGAGATTCTACACCGCCAAAGGGGATGTCATCTTGAGCATCTTCAGCAAGAAGCCGTGAGAAGATTGTTCTCAAGTGTGAATTGGGAATGCACTGATAAAAATGTGGCCTGGAAGTGGTACAAAGATTGTGACTACGTTTTACCAGAAAAGCTTCCAACTTGGACCCTGACTGTCCATCTTCCTTTGCTCCGTCTCGAGTTGCAAGATTGCAACTTTTCGACATCGACATCGACAGACAAGCACCCTTCCTCTCCATCTCCATCTCGGGAATCGCCGGATCTGTTCCACCTCATCTTCCCACCAGAGAGCTCGTTCTCATCTGCAAAGGGGCCGAAGTTAGTCTTGTCTCCAGTCCGTCCCATTTCGAGGCTCTTCGGACGAGATCTAGGCTGAAGCGACTTTCCATCACAGCTCTCATCACCCACGTCAATCAACTTGTCTTAGGAGCCGGCAGCTGTTAGGACCTCCATATCTTAATACTCTATCCCGTCTACTTTCGAAACTCAGATGAACCTCACTTGCCGACAAAAACGCATGCTCACATGACGATCCGGCAGCCTTCACTTGCAACACGGCGCGCTTCCCGATCATGTCTTACGACAGCGCCTCCTTCTCTCAACACTCCGTGCTGAGTCCGCCGCTACTAGCGGCCATTGACAGCCAGCATATCTTTGGCTCTTACGATGCAGCGCACAGATCATCATCCTTGTCATCTCGGAATGCCAACCATCGCAGCTCCGTAGATGTGAGCACAGCAGCGTCTCATGATCAGCCATCGACAGCTTCGCATCATCGCCGAACCCGATCACGAGCATTGTCAGCAGCCTCCGTCAACAACCTGGGCTCTAACTCTACAACTGCACTATCGTCCTTGCAGCAGCACCATCACAATGGGAACAGTAACAGTCAACGAAGGACTCGCAGAGTACATCATGGTCACTCGAACGGACACAGCCGTAACGGCAGCAGATCAGGGCCCATCCCGACACCTGGGAGATCAGTCACTCTCAACGTTCAAGCCGATTCAGCAGGCTTTGAAGAGTCGAGACCTCTGAGTGGCAGCTTGCGGAATCGTTCCACTCCGCACCTCGACGGTCTTCGTAGTCTATCCGTCGCTCAAGAAGAATGTCATCTGATGAATGGTGGCAGAGTGTCAGCCTTGACAGCACCATCTTCACCTCTGCTGTCAGCTGGAGCATCAATGTCTCTGGCCATGTCACCTGTCGCTCAAGCTTCGGCTTTGATGCTTTCTGAATGGACACTCGATGGCTTTGCACCAACTTCTCCACGTCCGAATCTTTCTCGCAACGCATCCGATGACTTTGATCCGGCATCACTCGCTCAGCTCCAATCACAGAATGGAAGCTCACATCCTGAGCTCCGTGCTGGTAGTGGAGGACCCGACCCATCACCTTCCATTGATAGCGTTTTTGATCGCCTCTCCCCTCATCCGACCTCACACCACGCTGCGCGTTCAGCAAGCCAGTCCGAGTGGGCTCAACATGCGGCCCACATGCAACAGACAGCTCACCTTTTAGGCCTGCAACGGCTCTTTGCTAGCCGCAGTACGCCTCATTTGCCGGACCTCGACTCTTCGTATCTTGGACACGATTTCGAATCGCCTCCACCATATGCACCACGTGCATCAGCACTCGAAACAGAGCTCGGAAGAGCAGCCGACATCAGCGCACCTGGGTCACTCAACCACAACTCGGAAGTGGCTCAGCATCGCCATACTTCCAACTCGTCTTCTGCTTCGACAATCTTCAACGGCAATGGCAACAATGACCCGCCTCTGCCTCCACCGATCTCGATTCCTACCAGTACAGGCGGTCATGCAGCGTCAGGCCCACCCTCCGCCTCCGCCTCGGCTTCAGCTTCAGCGAGACCCTCGCTTCGAGCTCAATCATCTTCGCGCGGCAGTCGCAGTGGCCCGTCGTCTCCATCAGCGTCTTTTTACGGCCGTCGTGGGCTCACTAGTCTCTCGCCTTTGCCAGTGGGGCTCGAGATGACGCCAAGTGTGATGCATGTCGCCCACTTCTCCTCCACACCAGCCAGTCCAGGTTTCGCAGCAGACAGTGACGGCGATGAAGACCTCGATGGGGCATTGTCATTCTCACCTTCCAGGTCGAAGCAGAGAAGGGATGAAAGGCGACAGACCATTGCTTCAATGGATAATGCGTCCGGCAGGGATCTCGCGAATGGAGTCATCTCTGCATCTTTGCCAGGCTCCTCAGCGCAAGCGCAGGCACAAGCGGCGCTATCGAGGAGACGAAGGTCCGGATCGGCAGGCAGTGTCAGGCAGTTGTTGCGACCGCGAACACCTATCAACTCAAGCGTGCCTCATGCTGCTACCCATGGAAGCGCCCACGTCTTATCAGAAGAAGTCAACGCTCCATCTGATTTTCCAGAGTCAGATACGCATCGCAATGGTTTGACGAGCTCGCGTCCTATAGATCATGCCACGCCCGTTGCAAATCGACAGAGCACCTCCCATCGAAGTCATGACGACACAGACTACGATGCTGAGCAAACTGATCAACCAGTATCTCCGAACTCCGACAGCACTCGACCCGAGAGTCCGTCGTCACCAGATGCGTCTCCTGGCTTCTCTAGGAGCAACCCCTTCGCCAGCAACACAGGCCGCTGCCGGACCGTTGATGCACGCGACACTTCTCCAACAAAGTCTGCCGCTGCCAACGCCGCCGCCGACGAAGACGATGAGGAAGAGTTCTCGCTGGTTCTCAAGCTGCTTTTGCACCCGCTTCGAATTCTTGCCGCTGTTCCTGGATGCATCGGTACCTTCTGGCTTGCACGTAACGCATGGGTACTCGCAACTCGACAAGGCCACCTCTTGAGCCCAGGACAGATGCTGATCACCCACGAAGGGACCAATCACTTCTGGAGCGCAGACTTGTCCTCTCCTCCCGTTTTTGGCCCCCTTCGCCTAGGTCGCCGACAACCGGGATCGCTCGACTTTGCCGTAGCCGGTCTCTGGAGCATGTCCACAGCCTATCACGCACTCTCTTTCACCACTCTTCTACTTCGCCGTTGGTTGCTTTACTATTCGATTCTTCCCTCGCTCATACGACTCGTAGCCCTCCAAGCCATCTGCTGGCCCCTTGTTCGCCTCACCGTCCACGTCTTTGGCCCCGACCAACCCCTCGGAGCCTGGGTCGTCATTGGCACAACAACTGCTCTGAGCGATGTCGTCTCCCGTTGGGTCACAAGCAACATCGCCGACGCACCCCTAGACGACGAACTCGATGAAGAAGAGCAAGAAGAAGCTGAAGAAGCACTAGGCTATCTTTCCGACTCACGCTTTGTCAAGAGCCCCAGAGTCAGTGCTACAGAAAGGCTGTTCCGTGCAGACTCACATCCTCACGCTGCTTCAGGTGGGCAATCGCTGATCGGTGATTCAGATTGGGATCCGCGATCAGGCGATGAGAGCGACGCAGCAGCAGCGACCTTTTTCGCGAACGAAAGGGAGAGGCAGAGAAAACAGAGGAGAGGTGGTCAAGGAACTAGATTCTGGCGTGCTGTCATTGGTGGGCCCTCCTTCGCTAGCTCATCTAGAGGACGGAAGAAGGTCGAGAATGCGGGCGGCGGAGTAACAGAGACTGAGATGGAAGGAGAGAGCGATTGGCCAGGATATGGGACTGATGGGACTGTGGTTGGTGGCGCAGCGAGGTCCCGACTAGGGCTTCAGAACGATGGGTTGCGAAGAAGGTGGCCAGCCTCTACTAGCCCTCCATCCGTAAGAGGTGGTGGTGGTGTACTAGAGGCAAAGAAAACCGAACTCCCACCTTTCCCATCCAAACCTTCGACTTATAGACAGGGAAGCAGCAGACATACGAGATATGTGTACAAAGATGGTGCTTGGGTCAGAGAAAGGACGAGTAGTAGGAGGACCTTCCATTGGGAAGTGGCAGTGTGGAGGAATGTGTTGCCGATTGCGGTGCTATCGTACTTGAGTATGTGGATTTTGGTGTTAGATGCGATGCGGTTGGGTGGCTGAGGTCACAACCATCAATGGAAAAGGTGAATTGGTTTAGGCTGGAACGGCTAGAAGAAGACGCTGCCAACTTTTGTATACCCTCGGCGTCTGCTTTCACATATTATGGCCTTTAATGCAGAATACCGTCCCAGAACACATCAAATTCTTCGTCAAGAGTCCGTGAAGTGACACACTCAACGATGATAGCAGATGAAAGCCTGATGCGAATGTTGATATGGAAACACAACGAGGGTGGAACCGGCGGTTGACGTTTCTTCCAGACTTTAAAATCCATTAATTTTCGTTGCACGTGACAAGGGGTGCGCATCTGAGCTGGACCATACGCGTCGCAACCCGCTCAGTCAGCTTTGTTTGCTCCTCACTCCTCTCTCACCTTGCCACCATCATTTTCTCATTTCCGCAAGTGTCGCTTCAGGATCGACCTTGCCAATCTTTCTTTTCCTGGCCGATTCCCGGCTGATTCCCGCTCTTACGTTCCGCCTGTATGACCCGCTCTTCTCTGCGCTCGATCGGCCCCCTTATGGCGGGTTGGGAGCCTTTGAGCCAGCGGACCACCTCGCTGACCCGCAATCTAACATGGCTTCTGTATAGATTTCTGTATCGTCCGACTGATCCCCATCTATGCGGCCGTGTGAGTGAAGCTGGGATCTGCGATAAATTTCGACGCACAAGCCTCCACATGTAATTAAGCAGCCGACCTTCGCTCGTTCTTGCTGCTGAGTGAGCTTGGTGACTTTGCGAAGAAACATCATCACTTCTTCCCGCCTTTGCTCAAACGTCAGAGGCGCTAGGCGCTATTTCCTCTATCCGACCCCGAATCATCCTTCTCCCTCCTCCTCACAAATAGCGCTTCACCGCCCTCCCCTCCCAGCGGCCGTTTTGACGATCTTTCTAGCTTCGGTCGGACTCAAAAGACTCAAAAAGGGCACCCTCACACAACAAGCTCTCCCTTCTTTCATCCGCTAACACCACCATCACCTCTCTCTTACCCAAAACAACCAGCACTACAAGCAACAATCTCCAAAATGTCGTCTACAACGCCAACCAAAATCGCCTCAACCATAACCAACAACCTCTCCTCCCTAACATCCAAAGCTCTCTCCACCACCTCTACCCAACGAGCGCTCATGCAATGCGTAAAATCCATCATCCCACCCCTCTCCCCCGCTAAACACAAAGGACAAGCTGGACGAATCGGAATTGTTGGCGGCTCAAAAGATTACACTGGCGCACCATTCTTCGCTTCATTCTCCTCTATGCGCTTCGGAGCAGATATGACCTACACAATCTGTACGCCTGAAGCTGGGAACGTTATCAAAACCTACTCCCCCGACCTCATCGTCAACCGATTACTCAATCCCGACGTACCTTTCGATCAGGTCGAAAAGGAGGTCGATGAGCTCTTCGCTCGATTCCACGCAGTTGTAGTAGGTCCAGGACTAGGTCGAGACGAATTCATGCAGAACTGCGCTCGACTTTGTATAAAACTCGCGAGGAAACATGAGATGTACATCGTCGTCGACGCCGACGGACTCTGGCTTCTTCAAAACGAACCTGACATTATCAAAGGGTATCGAAAAGCAATCCTAACCCCCAACGTTGCCGAATTTTCCCGTCTATGTGATAAACTAGGCATAGACGCAAAGGGGAACCCGAACGAAGCCGCCAAAAACCTAGCACTCGCCCTCGATGGCCCAACTATTGTAGAAAAAGGGAAGGTGGATAGGGTTACGAATGGAAAAGAGGTACTGATTGTAGAAGCGGAGGGCGGCTTGAAAAGGTGTGGTGGTCAGGGAGATATCTTGGCTGGTTGTTTGGGGACGTTTGCTGGTTGGTGCAAGATTTTTGAGGAAGAGAATGCCAATCTTTCCGCAGAAGGGGAGTTTGGAAGAGATAGATTGCCGTTGTTAGCGGGGTATGGTGCAGCGCTGACAGCAAGAACATGTTCCAGACTAGCATTCGCGAGGAAGAAAAGGGCTATGTTGGCAGATGATCTGCTGCCAGAAGTGGGAAATGCTTATGAGGAACTGTGGGGCGATGTTCAGGCTTCGCTCTAAACCACCCTTTTACGTAGAAGAGATTGTAATTGCAATGATAATGAAGATGGCCAGCAATCTGAGCAACCGAATTGTGCTAGTGTGTCTCGAACCGTTGGTACTAGTGCTGTACTATCTAGTACTGCAAACAAAGCCATATTGTTGCTGAGCCCAAAATGCAGCCGGCGATGCGGATGTGTCTGGTGGGAGGAGCGCTTGCGGGCAAGAATGCAGATAGGCGGGGCTTGGTGAGGTGAGTGTGATTTATATGACAGCTCCCGATTTGCTAATTCCAGATTGGCCTGTGCGCAGAAGCTGTGTGATGGAAATTGCAAGCCAAAGTAGGGAGAGCAGACAGAAGAAGACCCTGAGAACGTGAGCGTAGCCTGTCGCTTGCTGCTTGTTGCTGTTGCTGTTGCTGTTGCTGTTGCTGTTGCTGTTTGCTGCTGCTGCTGCTACGTGCCTTGATTCCCTCGGCTGTAGCCGATCCACACTTTGCGTCAGACGTAAGCTTCTCTTCCCATCTTGCCTCTCCTAGCGCAAAAACAATTTCGGAACATCCTACGCCGACGCTCAACTTGCTTTTGTCTCTTTTCGCAACTTGTCGGCTCCTCCGCACAGTCCTCAAACCCCACACACCCTATCCGTCATCCATCATCCATCATCCATCTCTTCCCATCCTCTCCACACACCACACACACCACACACGCTTCACCTTTTTTTTTTCTTCTTTTTTTTTTTTTTTCTCTTTCGCCTCTTTCTTCCAATCCAAGGTCGATTCTTCTGAACGCTTCGAAGGCATCGTTTGGGCAAGCAAGCCATTTTCACGCAACATAGACTCGAAATGCGTTATCGGTAGACTGGCTTGCAACCAACTCGATCGGCTCCAATCCGACACGAATCACTCATCGGCAGTGCCTCTGCTGCTCCAATCGATCGGCACATCCGAAGCAGGTTATTTCGAGCTGAGTCAGCCTGCGCATCGCGCCGATGGCAATCGAAATGGCAGCGATGGACGGCGATTCGAAACCCACCACCAAGCGGATATCTTATGTTTTGCCACCATGTCGCTCACCACCAAAGACCTTCGGCCTGCCTCCATTAGGTGCTGACCGCTGCTACAACACTGGTCCATTGCTCATACCCCGTTCGCGCAGCACCCATCCCTCTGCTCACGCGACCACCATCAACAATGCTGCACCTTCCACATCGTCTCTCGCCTCCTCGTCAGCTGCTTCTACTTCGAATCAGTCCACTCGATCCGGTGCATCGCTCTCATCGCACCCGCAGCATTCGCTTGCCGTCTCTTCCCTTGCTATAGACACCACCACTTGCATCGCTAGTTCCGCCGACGGCAGCGACTCTGACGACGACCAAGATGATGATTACGTTCCAGAGAGTCACACGACCCACGATCGACATTCTGTCCCTCCAGGTATTCTCTACACTGGTGGTCGAGATGGTCTTGTTGGTGCTTGGCAGCTCCGTCTTCCCATGCGCAACAGAAAGGCGCAGCGCATCTACCGTCCCAACGGCACAGGATCCATGTCAGATCTACAATACGATGACGACATCGGTCTGCTCGCCGACACCTCCGCTCTGCCCGGCGGTGGAGGAGCTTCCGACATTGACATCCTCGCATCCTGGCAAGCTGATCCACTCCGTGCGCACCGTGCAAAAAGCACACGCTTTCGGCAATGTGTCCAGTCACATACAGACTGGATCAACGATATCATCCTCTGCAATCAGAACCAGACCCTCATCTCAGCATCGTCAGATCGTACCGTCAAGGTCTGGAACCCTCACGATCCACGGCACAGCCTCAGCCCACACGTCCTCGGCACCCACAAGGACTATGTCAAGGCACTTGCACATGCTTCTGATGCCGGCTATGTGGCTTCTGGCGGCTTCGACAAGCGCATCAAGCTCTGGGACATTCGCGAGGCCAGGTCCGCACCTATGCTCGAGCTCGACGACAAGGCGGTCAAGACCTCGGTCTATGCATTGAGTGTCAACCCGGGTGGTGCTGTTATTGCCGCTGGCTCGCCTGAACAGCATGTCAAGGTCTGGGATCCACGAAGCGGCCGTAAATGCGCAGAGCTCGTGGGTCACACTGACAATGTGAGGACAGTGCTGGTCAGCGAAGATGCTCGGTACTTGCTTTCTGGTTCTGCCGACTCGACAGTACGTCTTTGGTCCTTGGGTGAACAGCGATGTTTGCATACGTTCACGCATCATGCCGATTCGGTATGGTCCTTGTTCTCGGATCATCCAACGCTCGATGTCTTCTACTCAGGAGACCGACAGGGTTACGTGTGCAAGGTGGACTGGGAGCGATGCGCCGAAGTGTCCGAAGGAGAGTGTGTTGTCTTGTGCCAAGAACGCGATGCAGCCACCGAAGAGGAAAGCAAGGACGACGATCACAATCAGCTGCCGCACCACCATCCCGATCTGCACAGATGCGATGCCAAGTCGGGTATCCAGAAGATCATTGCGCTCGACGATACCTACTTTTGGACAGCTACGGGTCAGACTAGCGTCAATAGGTGGAGGGATGTCCCACGTCGGTCCGAACGCGAAGCTATCTATCCCATCGGAGGGTTACACAATCCATCTCGAGACTTACTGCACCGAACCTCGTTTGGCAGTCACACTTTGAATCGACAGAGCATGGAGACGAGTCGATCGCCTGAATCTGCATCGCAGCTCTCACACCAGCCTTCAGTCACTTTTGCCGAGCCTACCATCGCTTCCACTCATCTAGGTTCCTCCTCTGGGTATGCTGCCACTGACAATGCCGCAACAGCATCCGCGACGCTATCTGCACTTCAGACTGGTATGGGCTTGCCACCAGCAGGAATCTCGCTAGCAGCTACCATGCACGGCATTCCCTTCGACAGCCTCGTCAACCTTGCTCCTATCAGCGATCCCTACGGCGACAAGATCGGCTTGGGGAGTGTCAGTATGCGCGATCCACGAAGTCACCCGGAAGACTTGATCATCGGTACCACCGCACCCTTGAGTTCCATCGCCAGTCGAATCTCGATGGATCAATCCAGCATCGTGATGCCATCCACTGCAACGCGGTCTCCTGCTATGTCGCCTGTCAACCCTCATCTTGCTCATGTTCAGGCTATGGACATGCCCAACCGCCCTGCCAGCACACGCTCAGCTAGCCTTCGCTTTGCACCCACCGATCAGATGTACGAGCCTGAAGGTTTGGGCAAATCGTGGGAGAGTGGGTCTGACACTGATGCTTCCACTCCAGCCAGGCAGATGGACAAGTTTCGAATTGGCCAGCAGTCGGGCGCGGACAGTGATGCAATCGAAGAAGATGCAGATGACGAGGATGATATTGCCTACCAAGCCCGTATGGCGTTCGAAGATCGCGAGCTGGCCGAAGAAGCTCGACCTCTACGCCAGAAACCCGATGTGGTCATCCGCGGCTCGCACGGCTTGATCCGTTCATCGATGCTCAACGACCGACGTCACGTCATCACCATCGACAGCACTGGCGCCGTTATGCTTTGGGACATCATCAAAGGTGTCTGCATCGGCGACTTTGACCGGGCGGAAGTCGACAAAGCCGCCCTTGAGTCAAACCTGATCCCTTACACCTACATGCGCAAGTGGAGACCGGAACAGACTCCGGGTGACACGCTCGAAGTGGTCAAAGAGCGCATCGAAGGTCAAGGTGTTACTCCGCTCTGGTGTTTTGCTGAGACTCGAAGTGGTGCTTTGACTGTTCACATTGAGGAGCCGCGATGTTTCGAAGCAGAGTTCTACATTGATGAGTTTGCGGATTGTGTCGATATGGCTACCTTCAAAGAGGATCAGAGAGGGCAGGTGGCCAGATGGCTGCTAAGAAACCTTTTCAATGGGTTTGTGCAAGCGGAGAGCCAGATGCGGGGTGGTGCTGCTACTGCTGCTGACGGAGAAGGGCGATTGCCGCCAGAAACGCCTGCTTGGGATAGGATTGTCAGAGCGCCAAGAAACGGTCCTTTCACACCGGGCATGACAATGGGTCTAGCAACTTCGGCAAAGACTCCTGCTCTCACTCCAGGTCCTTCGAATCCGCTTGTGCTCGGTTGGGCTCAGCAGAGGGAGAATGGAGGAGCGAGTGGGGAGCGTACTTCGTTGCCGACAAGCTCGACCCTGATGGGCGGACCTGGACAGGCCGGCCCTGGAGACCACTTCTCTTCGAAAGGCTCGACTCCATCGTCTGGCGGCAAGATCCCGCAAACACCAGGTGCGAAAGCAAAAGACGGCTCTTCGACAACAACCGACGAGATCAATGGCAACAACAACACCGCCGTCACTCCTGGCGTCGGCAACGGTATTGGCGGCAGTGGGTTCATGAACAAGTTCCGTTTCGGCAAAAACAAAGACAAATATGAAGCCAATGCAGACTCGCCCGACGACGCAGCCAAGAAAGCTAAAGATGCAGCTTCCGCTCTGGCCACAGACGATGCCAACGATGGCAACAAGACCCTAACCCGTGCCCAAAAGCTTACAGAGCTGTTCAACAAGCCTCTCCAACCAGCATCGCTCTCCGAAATGCCTCGACTCCCCTTACCACCCGATACAGCAGTCATCATCTCTCAGTCCTCTGCCGATGCTGGATCTTGGGAGGCAGTCTATCGCGGTCTAGTCAGCTGTACAGCCGAAGATACCGAAATCCTCGAACAAACCGCACCACTCTGGCTCCTCGATTGCCTCCTCCACAACCACGTCAACTCCCGCGAGCCGGTTAAGCTGAGCTTCACACTAACACCCTACAAACCAGCCGATAGCAAATCGGACGGGTTTGGAGGATACGATCTCAACACAGCCCACCCTATGCCTGAAATGCCAATCGGCAATGCTAGGTTGACAGCAACAAGATGTTTAAGGATCAAGAAGGCGTGTAGTTATGTAGCGGAGAAGTTGGAGCTGAGCGCGCCGAGGTCTAGGACCGCCAGTATAAATGCTAGTAGAAGGTCGAGTGTTGAGAAGAAGATTGCTACTCCGGCAGCAGTGGGAAGTGGTGCAGGTCTGAACATGACTCCTGCTGCTCCGCAAGAGAAGTGGAGTCAAGCGGAAGGACAAGAGGGAGGGGAGGCGATGGCGCCGCACGATATGATCGAGATTTTGTGCAACGATACCTTGCTACCCGTAGATGTGACGCTTGCGCAGGTTCAAAGGTTCTATTGGAGAAGTGGTGGGGATGTCAAACTCGAGTATCGTATGAAACCGATCGGAGGAGGAAGGAATGGAGGGTGATACTGTGTTCGCCGTTGCGGAATGCTATTCGTTTGATCGCTTTGATTGGCGGGAGTGAATTCGAGCTTGAGAAGAAATGAATCGTGAATGTGGGGGACCCGCGGAGGTTCGGACTTCGTCAAGAACGGTTTGAGAACGGTTTGCTTCCCTCCACCTCCGGCCAACGCGAAGAAGAATTGCTTTCTCACTTCCTCTTCTTCTGACCATCATCTCGTCCTCGCGCACGGCTCTGCGCCTCTCTTACTACTACGCAAGCAACATGTCCGACGGGCCGTAATCTTGCTTGAAGTTCACGCTTCCCTATTCTTGCTTCGATCCACAGCCATGCGGCCGACCACATTCGCAGGTGTGGCCCGAGCTTCACGTACGATCTGCGACATTCACTGCGATGTTGCAACATCTTCCAGAGTCACCCTGTCCAGCTACTCTCTCCTAACATGCCGTTCGCAAAGAGCCATCGATGCAAGTCGGCTGGCGACTGCGATGAGCAGGTCCTTCTCAATCCATCCAAGAAGGTGCAATAAGAAGCAAAGTGAAGAAGCACTTGCTGAGGGCTCGGCATCAACAACAGCACCAGTAACGAAACGCAGAACGAAAAGAAGCACCACAGTGGCATACGATTCAATGTCAACACAGATACTGGGTGCCGATGGAAAGCCGCTCTCTGCGCTGTCACCCCTAATACCGCCAGCTACAAGAAATAGAAGGACCAAAGCTCGCATCAAGCCTGTATCGCCTCCAGCTAGCGATGCAGACACCACCACCATCGGTTCTACTGGAGCCACAAAGCACGCTTCTGATCCTGCTCCGACTTCGGACTTGGAGCCTTCTCCCCGCTGGCCACCCTTGGCAGCCTCTGTTCTATCCGACATGGCCCGATTCCCCTCAACCATCCTCCTTACCCGAGTTGGCGGTTTTTACGAATCCTACTTCCACCAAGCCCCCCTCCTTTCCTCCATCCTCTCCATCAAGCTCGCAATCCGTAAATGGGGAGGTCAAGAAGTTCCCATGGCCGGATTCCCCGTCTTTCAGCTCGAGAAATACCTCAAAATCTTAGTTCTAGAGAAAAACCTCCTCGTGGCTATCTCGGAAGAGTTTAGGGAGCATGGGGAGATTGTGAGGAGGGTGAACAGAGTGGTTAGCCCGGGTACGCTGATTGATGAGAAGTTTTTGGATCCTTTCCAGAATAATTTCATTGTTGGAGTGAGTGCGGAGGTGAAGGGGGGAGGGGAGGAACAGGGAGATGGAAGACTTAGGTTTGGTATAGCGTGGTTAGATGTGGGTACTGCGGATTTCAATACGGCGGTGTGTGAAGATTTGAAGAGTTTGAGGGATGAACTTGCAAGGATTGGGGGGAGGGAGGTGGTTGTTGATGCTAGTACTATCGATGTTGAAGGCCTTGAAGCTGCCAATCACACACAGGATACAACATCTTCAACAGTGGAAGATGTTGCAGAGAGACAGGATAGGGTAAAGCTAGACATACGAGACCTAGTCACGGATCCTTCTGTCTACATTTCCCATTTCCAACCCCCTCCTCCCTCGTCAGACACCTCAGAATCCACCACTCCACTCCCACCTCCATCTGTAGAGATGGACCCCCTAGAATCGCTCACAGTCCAATCCCTAATCTCCTACCTCCGCACACGTCTCCTTTCCCCCACAACCTCAACCCTATTCTCATCCCTCACCCTCACTTCCCCCTCCCACCAAGCTCTCTCATCATCAATGCAAATCGACGCGCACACCCTAGCCGCACTCGAGATCCGCTCTACCTCCAACACCACCTCCACCCGCGGCTCTCTTTTATCTACCATCCGACGCACCGTATCCAAAGGTGGGGCTCGATTACTGACTCAGTGGTTATGCAATCCTTCCACATCTCTCTCCACTATTGAAGCTCGGTTGGATTTGGTGGAGTTATTACTGAAGCGGAAAGAGCTGAGGGAGGATCTAAGGGGAGTACTAAGGCAAGGTGCGGGAGATGTGAGTAGAGTGCTACAAAAGTTGATTACGAGGAGAAACGACGAACAGGATTTGTTGGAGGTAAGGGATTCTATTGGTGCTATGAACCGGGTTAAGGAGCTCATGGCAACAGAGATGGGCTTTATGCAAGAAGGGAGTAAAGAGAAAGGAGTGTTGCAGGGGCTGTGTGAGAAATTCAACGATCTTAGTGATTTGGCGGCAAAGCTGGGGGATGCGATAGATGAGAGGGTGATAGCTGCTAGATTGGAGAGGCAAGAGAATCTGGCTCATGAAGTTGAAGGTGTTGCTTCTGATCTCAGGGAGAGTAGTGCTTCTGCTCGTTCGAAGATCCGCAATTTAGGCTCTAAGTCCAACAAAACTCAACAAGAGGAGGAATGGGAAGAGGGATTGTGGGGCGACTCTTTTGAACATCTTATTCGACCTTCTTCTTCCAAGCTCCTAACCTCTCTCACCCGTCAGTATCAGTCCCTGCGACGTAGCGCTTTTCGGTTTGAAAAGGATTTTCAGAGTACGTATGGAGGAGATTTTATCTCACTCCGCTTCGTGATGGGGCAAGGATATGTGATCCATTCTCGTGGGAAAGCCCTTCCTTCTACCCCACCCAATGCTTCGACTGAGGGGGAAGGGGAAGATTTGACGGTGCACATCGCGGGGAAGAATCGCAGCACACACACCTATTACTCCTCCCTCTGGTCATCTCTCGGATCTCGCCTGGACCAAGCAGCGAAAGAAATTTCGGCTGTGGAAGCGATCGAACTCGAAACCCTCCGACAATCCGTTCTCACCCACTCCAGCCGGCTTCGAACCAACGCCAAACTTCTCGATCAAATCGATGTACTGCTAGGCTTTTCTCAAGCTGCAGAGGAGTACTCCCTCTCGAGGCCCATATTGGATGATTCGACTGACATGAACATCCTGTCCGCCCGTCATCTCAGTGTTGAGCTGGGATTGCTGGAAAGGGGAAGATTGTTCACACCTAACTCCCTCTCCCTCACCTCCCCAGCCCCTCAAGGAGCAGGAGGAAAGGTTCATGTAATCACAGGCCCGAACATGGGCGGAAAATCCACTTTCCTCCGATCCATAGCACTCCTCACAATCCTTGCTCAATGCGGATCATTCATCCCCGCCCTCCCCAACTCCCGTCTTGGCCTAGTCGACCGCATCTTCACCCGAATTGGCGCAAATGACGACGTGTTTCGCGACAGATCAACCTTCATGGTCGAAATGTCCGAAGTTGGGGAGATACTAAACAGAGCAACAGAAAAGTCCCTGGTGATAGCAGATGAAATCGGAAGAGGAACAAGTAATTTAACGGGAATAGCGGTCGGGTTTGCAACGTTGAAAACGTTAAGGGAGAGAGGGTGTAGGACTTTATTCGCTAGTCATTTTTATGAGATTTGCGATTTGGTACAATCGCAGGAGGATGTGAAGGAGGGGGTGGAGTTTTGGGCTACAGATGTGGAAGAAACCGAGGTGGGAGGGATTGTTTATTCTCATGTGTTGAGACCGGGAGTGAATAGGGAGAGTTATGGATTGCAGGTTGCTAGGTTGGCGAGGTTGCCTGATTCGACGCTCAAGATTGCTGAAGAGACACTTGCTTCGCTCAAAGCTAAGACTGGCCAGCCCTAGTATCTCACACACAAACACGAAGATGAATGGCGATGCTACCATCTTAATCGCTTGCAATGTAAACCTATTGGATATGAACATTCTCAACCCCAACCCGAGTGGCATCGACAAACGTCTCATTCTCTTTATCCGTCGGCTCCTTCTTCGCGCCCTCCTTTTCCGCTGGCAAACTTCCACCCTGCTGTTGTTTCTTCGTCGCTTTCGCCTTCGCCTTGTTCTCTTCCTCAATCTTCTGATTAGCCAGAGCCTCTTCCTCCGTCTCGGCAGTCCCACCTTCTTCTTTGGTGTAAAGATGGGCGAAACGAGGGTTAATCTTTTTCTCCTTCTTCTTCACCACTGGTGTATCTTCGGGATAAGCATCTTCTTTGGCTTTCTTAAATTCCGCATCGGTCTCGAACAGCTTTTGAACTGGCTCGAGTAATGCAGTGATTGCCTCAGAAACCGCTTTCTTGAGGTCTGCAGGATGAACCGCACCCGAAGCGTAATCTTTCTCGAGCGAAGAATAGTCGGAGTAGTGCAGGGAACCGCCGTATTTCTCAGGTCGAACGATGGCGAACATGGTTCCTTTTGGAGCGTCGGTGCCGACGAATGATCTTGCTGCTCCTTGGGATTCCTGTACTGGAGTACCCATGGATTCGCTTTCCACGCGCAATCGAGCGATAGGGAAGAGTACAGCCCGGACAAAGCCGAGAACTCCATTTCCTTCGATTTCACCCGGAGCACAAACCGCATCAGCGATCTTCTTTTGAACGTCCTTTGGTGTGTCCAGGAAGTCGATCTTGGAGCTGTTATCAGAGGAGCTCATCTTTGATCCTTTCAGGCCTGGAACCATAGCATTCATCAAATGCGCCCTCTTCTTGTAACCCAACTTCGGCAAGTACTGTTCAGCAAAAGTAAAAATCTTCCTCTGGTCTACACCACCGAACTGCATATCCACATCCAAATACTGTTCGTCCAACGCCTGTAGTCCAGGGTAGAGCAAACCAGAAAGAAGTGGCGAAGAAACTTGCTTGACCACTTCCGCTCCAGCTTTTTTCGCATCGTGCTCGGTAACGCTTGCGCACAACCGGTAGTTGTCCATGTTGTAAGCCTCCGTCAGCTGGTAGCTGCTCCCCACTACAAACACCAACCTGTCGGTGGGGACACCGATGGCTTTGAAGACAGCGGTGAGCACGTGGCGGTAGTAGTTGACTCGATGACGGACGAGTTCGATAGGAGCTTTGAGGTTGTCGAGAAAAGCATGGATATCGGCTAGGAGGATCTTGACCTCGACCCCAGCGCGAAGGAAGTCAGCAATTTTGGTGAGGGGCACTAGGTAGCCAACGTGAGGACGACCAGTGGGGGCTGTACCCCAGTAGGCGGAGAGGGGCCGTTCATCTTTTTCGAGAATGGATTTGATGATGTCTGAACCGAGAACTTCGTCGAGATCGCGGGTGATGAGGGTGTAGCGTTCTTCGGCGGAGAGTTTGGCTTGAGATGACATTGCGGTGGTTTTCTACGAGGTGAGACCGGGGAGGTGGTGATGGGGTAGAACGGAAGGAATGGATGGTGGGATTGGTTGTTGGAGTGTGCACAAGTGCAAAAAACAAGCGCAAGAAGAAAGCTCGTGCGAGTCAACTTTGGCTCTGACTCGGTCGTGATTTGTAATGCTTGTGTAATGAAGGCGTGCCGCGTTATGAGATCAACACGCACCATTGGCGATACGCGTGGCTCTGACCGAAACAGCTCCTCTAAGCGCCATGATTGAGCCATCGAGGGCATGGATGGTCTTCGGTGTTCATCGACCGGGAGATCGTCTCGGCTGCAACCTGCGCAAAGAACGGTGAGGTTGAAAGAATGCCCTGCTGTATTGAGGTGGAAGATCAGGCTCGGTCTCTTGACGTGGAGTCTTTTCTACAGCCTCGGGTAATTGACAGGATGAACCCCATTCTGATGTCGCCTGTTACGGCACTGCATGTGGGAGCCCCGTGCGGGGTGAGAAGAACAAGAGAGAGGTTCTCTCGCTCGATTTTCGCAGCTCCGCGGCGGATAGGTATGATGGGCACGAAGAAAGGCTTGGGATTTGAAGGCGAGGTGTATGATATCGCCGGCTCCGCGTGCAACCGGAGCTTGATGTTTGGTGGCTTGTCTCAAGAGCATTCTTCCCATCGACCTCGCTTCCACATAAGTAGCGCTCTCACCATCATCAAACCCCGCACATACAGCCACCCTCCACCGCCATAGAAAGGGCAATTGCCACTATGTCTGGCACATCCAAACTCTTCGCTGACATCGATGCGCAGTACGCCGATCGAGTGGCCACCATGTCCGATGAAGCCAAAATGCTTGTCGGACTCCCCTACCTCGCCAACACCTCCGATCTCATCCGCGCCCGTGCTAAAGCTCGTCGTCTTCAGAGCGAATACAACAAAACCGGCCCCACCTCCGCCCTCGATGCTCCTTCCTCCTCCTCCACCCTTGCCGAGGGTCAAAACCTCATGTCAGACGACCGCAAACGCTTACTCTCCCAACTCCTGGAACTGCCTCCCTCTGCGGTGGAAAAAGTCGAAATCGAACCGCCCCTCTACGTAGATTACGGAACCAACATCAAACCTGAAGGCGCTTTCTACGCCAACTACAATACAACGATCTTGGATTGTTCAGAGGTTAGGTTGGGCGATGGAGTGTTGTTCGGACCGAATGTTAGTATTTATTGCGGTACACATAGCGTTAGTGTCAAGGAGAGGAAGGAAGGGTTGGAGAGGAGCTTGCCGGTGAGTATTGGGAGAGATACTTGGGTGGGTGGTGGAACGATCATTATGGCTGGGGTGACGATCGGAATGGGATGTACGATCGGTGCCGGGAGTGTGGTTACAAAGGATATTGCGGATTGGAGTGTGGCTGTGGGAACTCCGTGTAGAGTGTTGAGGACGTTGAGTGAGGATGAGCGAGCGTAGGAGTACACCAGGATAGAGACACGATTGCGACCACCAGAAGCATGCACGCTACGACATCTCATAGAAGTCAATGACAGATGTATCAGATGGATAGGTTTGTGCGCCCGAAGTAGTGTCATGAGCTTTCCAATTGAGCTACGAAATGCGTGCGCGAAGTCTATCACAAGCTTAAAGTGTGAGCCGGCTACCGAAGTCATCATGATCAAAGCTGGTGGGTGTAGCCGTTTCAGATGGTGTATGAGACCATGGGAAACTATGTCGGCCATCTGTTAAGCGGCATGCCGATGTCGGTTCGGGCCTATGTGATGTATATCCGAATGAGTGAAGTTGGCAAAGCGTGTGAGATCGAAATAGAACTCACATACCTTCACTTGCACCCTCGAAAAAACGCGGAACTCGGGGTTACCTACGCCAAACTGAAATCCAAATGGTAACGCTCGTACCATCATTCTGTGAAACACGACTCTTCATCCTCTTCAAAACTTACCAAGCTCCTTCAGCTTTGTCGCCGAACCTAGTACAGCAGCGGACAGGGGGAAAGCTGATGCCATCTGGGATACTCATCATGCTTTGCTGAAGCTTTGACACCTGTCCTCCACCTCAAACGATTACCCTGCCACAGGGGATTGAAGCTGGACCTCCACGGTTCTTGACATCCTTCAGCATGACAACACCAACCCCGGCAGGCAGCTCAACCGCTGCAATCCGTCTCACTGCGTCCTCGCCACTAGCCATCTTATCCCACGCCACACCGCGAGGCAGCTCCATCGCACTCTCTTCTCTCCAGGCCCTACCTGAAACACAGCTGGTTCTCGTCCTACTCGACCATCCCACAATCCGTCGCAAGTGGCGCACAGTCGTAGTACCGCTCGTCGAATCAATATCCAAAAAGCTCAATGCCGCCTGCTCCGGCTCGCGCCTAACCATTGGCTGCGTCGTCTACCGTCCCACAACAGACAAATCCCTCCTTCGCCCAACATGGACGCTCTCCCGCACAAAGCTCCAACCAGGATCAAAGCTCATTGCTTCCAACCTCACCGCCCCCGAATCCTGGCTTGGCTCCGAACCCAATGCATCACACCACACTGACGTGGGAGCCTCGACATACTCGCTCATCGACGGACGCAGCACCGCCAAACCGACAGCCCACGTACTCGAAGCGTTCGTTGCAGCACAAGAACTTCTCCAATCGAGCGACAACGGTGTGCATAACCCTTTGGCGCCAAAGAAGCCTCCAGTGATGGCGAGACATATGCTGCATGTCTGTTTGGATTCTGCCGATGTAGCGCTGGATCTGACCAGTCCGCCGTTCTTCAATGCCGATGCGGCGAACGATCGCGTTAATGCGCTTACTGTGGGAGCGAAGCTGGCGAGATTGGGCGTTTCCATAAGTAGCTGTGCGGTCAAAGCTGATGGAGCGAATGGGGCGGCATCGACGACGAAAGAAGCTCTAGCGGCGATTTTGGGAATGCATAAGAGTGTTTCAGAGCCGAATAAGCTGGCTAACGAAGATTTGGCAGCTCTGTTGCCCGAAGCGATCAGAGCGAAGATCTTTAGTGATGCGAATATTATTTCTACTGGATTGACGCCGATGGCGGGGCAGCAAAGGGTGGGTATAGCAGCGGCAGCAGCGCCATCAGCAAAGAGAGCAAGGGAGGAAGAAGGTGATGCAGCCTCAACCCCTGTTAAGCGGTCTAAATCTGGTAGCATCTCTCAAACCCAGCCTGCAACAGCCGCATCTGCTGCTTCTGCCACCACCAATCCCACCGCATCCTCATCGACAGCCGCACTACCAGGCGAGATTCCACGAAACATCAAACTAGACCCAAGCATAAGCACCAAAGTCCTCTTCCTTCGTTCTCAACAAGAAACCATGATAAAAAATTGGGCTGCTGCTTACGCTACCGTCTCTAAAGCCGAATCCGACTCCTCCAACTCAGGCTCGTCTCCTGCGAAAGCACCTGGGATGAACAAAGCCTACCTGGAACAACTCAAAGCCCAACTAATGACCCAGCAGCAAGCGTTGAAGATGTTGGTGCACAGGATCATCGGGAGACAGGAAACAGCGCCGAATTTCAATGTTAGTTTGCAGAGTTTGATCAATATAGATAAAGAGGCGAAGGAGATGGGTGTGCATTTGGGCGGGCCGAGTAGTGGGCCTCCTGGTGGTGTGACTGGTGGGGTTCGGCTGGGGAGGAGTGGAAGTTTCACGGGTCCACAACAACAACAACAGCAGCAGCAGCAGCAGCATCAGGCCACAAAACCGGTCGTCGCGCCAGTACCAGATCCAGTAGCGGCTGCAAACAGCAATGTCAACACAGCGGTTCAACCTCCACGAGCAACAGCAAATGTTGGTGCACCACCACCCTCCCCCACCCGACCGAAACCTTTCTGGCGGGGAGCTCTCACCTGGTCTGTCATCTCGGATCCCGTTACAAAACAAAAACGCGATGTTGCAACCCTCGTTTCGGCGACCTCCAACTCTCCTTCCTTAGACCGTCTAATGATGCCATGGCCTGACAAGCTTCAGATAACAGCAATCTCTCAACTTTCGCCTCGCAACCTCCAAGTTTATGCCCAAAGCCAAAATGCACCTTACATCCTCTTCGCAACCCAAGAAGCAGGTCAGCAAGAGCCTGGGCCGGTTCTAACAGCAGCTAGCGCGGAGAAGAATAAGCAGATGTACTCGAGTTTGGCGAGTAGTTTAGACGCAAAGAAGAGCTGTGCGTTCATCCGGCATGGAAGTAGTGCAGGTGCGGGTCTGGTCTTGTTTGCTACGACGCAGCCGACGAGTAGTGCAGAAAGACAGCAGAAGGGTCCAGGAACGGCGAAGTTGATTGGAGTGGTATTGAAGGACAGTATTCCATTTTCGAAGTTGTTGGCAGCACAGAGTAGCGGTGTGGGGGTGCAGCAGCAGAGTAAAGCGGAGGGGGGAGAGGCGGGGAGGAGTAGAGGTGCTAGTGCGTCCAGATCGCAGCTGCCACAGGTGGAACAACAGAGTCAAGCGCAGGCGGTACCCGCTCTAGCACAACCACAAGCGCAAGCGGTGGCGAGTGGCATGGGTCTAGGTTCTTCAATGCCGTTTAATTTAGCTGCGTTGAATGCTGTTGGGAATCTACCCGTTTCGGGTGTTGGTGCAACAGGAGGGATTGGGGCGGGGTTGCAGAATAATTCGAATGCTATGGGGGTTGCGATTGGGAATCCTATGGCGAACTTGGGAAACTTCAATTTGAATCAATTGGGGAGTTTGATGGCCGGTCAGCAACAGCAAGCGCAACAGGATGCGTCTAATCAAAACCAGAGCGGAGGACAACAACAACCAAACTTGGCTGCTTTGGCTCAATTCTTGGGTATCGGAGGGCAATCCGCCACCGGTGGACAGCAGCAGCAGATCGGAGGACAGCAGCAGCAGCAGCAGCAACAGCAGCAGCAACAGCAACAGCAACAGCAACAGCAACAGCAACAGCAACAGCAACAGCAACAGCAACAGCAACAGCAACAGCAACAGCAACAGCAACAGCAGGCGCTTTCACAATTGTTTGCCGGAATGGGAAACTTCCAACCGCAGCAACAGCAGCAGGTGCCGCAACAGCAACAACAGCAAGGCGCGGGACAGGGAATGTTTAACAAATTGAATCCCTTCGCTGGTCAGCAGCAACTCCAGCAACAGCAGCAACCGCAACCTCAGCAGCAGCAACTATCGGATGCAGGAGGCGGCAGTGGTGGAGGAGGAATGGATTTCTCTAAACCTATGACGATGGAGCAGTTGCGTACATTGGGCTTCATCTCATAATGACCCTCTATTGCCACTTTCAAAGACATAGTTTCCGATCACACATACGAGGATCGTTTGTGACACAGGCTGAACATCACACACGCTTGTGAATGAAGAGAGGGAAGTGAGACTGCAACTCGAAAAAAAGTGAACTTCGGCGGCGCTCGGAAGATCTTAGAGTGAGAAAAGCAGAATCTAGATGTGCAACATGCTGCATTCGTGCTCGTATTACAAGTGATCCAGTCAGGGAAGATGACGATGCGGCATGCGAATGATGGCAGGCAGTAAGAAGAGTAACGACGTGTGAAGATGGCTATCACAAGATCTCCGAAAAAAAGGGGTCTGCAAGAAGAATAGATTCACGTGTGGGGGAGAGAAAGGGCGATCCTGCCCGATCTTCTGCGACAGAGTGGGGAATCTCAAAGTGGGCAACTGCTGATGGATGCGCGGAAATGCCATTCCCCACAATCTGGAATCATGCCAAACATGCTTACACGACCACGCATCCACCTTGTTCATCAACCGCCATTGTCCGCTTCACGACACTGCATCTCCTCTCTGGAAAGAAGTATCAACGATGGCAGCAGCAACAACAACGACATCCGCAGCAGCAGCAGGCAACATCCTGGACGTGCTAATCATCGGTGCTGGTTGGTCCGGTCTCTCTGCCGCACTCAAGCTCTCGCAAGCCGGTCGTAAAGTAGCTATCCTTGAAGCACGCGAGCGTGTCGGCGGACGTGCCTTCACGCACACCTGGTCGGACAAGAGGGATGTTGATGATAACTCTCGCACTGTTTCGACCGCTAGCGCTAAGGATCAATGGTGCGATTTGGGTTGTTCCTGGATGCACGGTTATTTGGAGGGAAGCCCGTTGAAGCAGTTGACCGACAAGTACGATATTTCTGTCACGATTCCTGGTCCTCGTGATACTGTTGTTGTGGGTGAACAGGGACCATTGCCGCAAGCGTTGTCGCAGAAGCTGACGGAGAATCTGGGGAAAGCGCAAGATGCAGCAAAGCACATTGCTCATGAAAAGGACGTTTCTCCACCGGACGCAAACACTTCGCTTGCCGACTTTTTGTTCGGGGAAAGCTCGCCTTTGTTTGCTGGTCTCGAGTCGGGGGGTGAGAAGAAGGCTGCCGGCGACTTGGCTAGGATGCTCCACATCCCACTTGGTATCGAGTTGGAGAAGGCTAGCCTAAAGTGGTACGGTTTCGAGCAGGCGTTTGTCGGCACTGATGCTGCTCCCATAGGCGGTTTCGCCACTATCATCAACAAGCTTGTTGACGAAATCACTTTGCTCGGCACATCTATCCATACCAGTCAGGAAGTGCAGTGCGTACGAGACGAATTGCAATCGTCCAAGGTCAAGATCATCACCAAGCAAGGCCAGGAGTATGTCGCTCGAACCGCACTCGTGACGATCCCCGTCGCTGTTCTCAAGAAGACGGCCGGTGGTCTGTTCGAGCCAGCATTGCCTGAGCGCAGACTCGATAGGATCAAGCGTGTCTCGGTGGGCAACTTGAACAAGGTGCTTCTCAACTACGACCAGCCTTGGTGGAGCGACAAGACTGGTACTTTGCTTGCCTTGCCTTGCTCTGCTCCTGCACCTGCGTCGATCAAGAGCGACGCTGAGAAGAAGCTGTGGGAGCTTTACTCTTCGACAACACTGATCGTTTCATCTCTGGCAGGTGGAAGATGCGATGCTGCTGGTAAGGGAGCCTCCAACTCGTTGCTCGCCATGGTGGGTGCTGAGGCGGGTAAAAAGCTTGAGGCATTCGAGCGTCTGGATGCAGGAAACGCGCTTCATGCTTACTTGACGGCCCGCATTGGAGCTGGTGAGGATGTCAAAGCTCCTAAGCATATCTTCTACTCGAGATGGGGGGAGCAGCCTTTCACTGGAGGCGCTACTACTTCGCCAGTATCGACTGCAAGCGGCAACTCGCCGTTGGACTTTGAGGCTCTATCGAGACCTCTCTGGAATGGCCGACTCGGATTTGCTGGTGAACACACCGAGATCAACCGTAAGTACGAACCAAGCTCTGATCTGCATGGCATCAGATGACAACAACTGACCACCCTTTGACGCCTTTTTTGTTTTTTTTTTTTTTGTTTTTTTGGCCTATTACAACAGACCGAGGATCGGCTGCTGGTGCCTATGTGTCGGGTGAGAGAGAGGCCAAGCGACTTGTCGCATACCTGGACAAGTTTTATCCTTGTACGGCCAACAAGCTTTGATCTCGTCCTCTGATCGAAAGGCTCAAAGGAATAGCAAAAGTCTTTAACACGCACCGATTGTCTCCGGATACATTGCTCGATTGTGTGCGCTTGTGTCTGTTCAGTGTGTTTGGGTGCTCTGGTCAGGAAGCTAGAAAGGTGGAGTGAAAAGCTATTGGGATGACGCCGCGGAACAGGTTGGCATCGAAAGAGGCTTTCTGAAACAGTGGGGGAGTTCCAGGCGCCCGGTGGCCACGCGGCGATGCGGCGATGCGAAGATTGCTTGCAATGCGGCCACTAGATTGAAGCTCTTTGTGAGTACGTGAACAGGGATGGACACGGACTTGCAAACAGGAACGGGGACAAGCTGGCTCAAACGAGGCTGATGTAGTATTTTTAAGGCCGATCCGTTACTCTGGTAGTGATCCGCGAAACTGTGCATCCTTGGTAATGAAAGCTCGGGAGGCCCATGGAAAACCAGCAATGTCGGACTCTGAGGCGGGAACTGATGGCAAATTTTCATCTCGTTCATGATGGCCAGTCGTGCCGAGATTGTTGCAGGCTGTGGCGTTCTGTTTCTGTGGCATCATTGGGCGGGCACCATTGTTCGATCGCGTCCGTCGGAACTGTTGCGTGCACATGGAGCGATGGAATAAGGGCTCGATGCAGAGCTGTTCCATGGCCCGTCCAGGTTGCAATGAAAATGACACTCTAGAACCGTCAAGCAGGAACATGTTCCGGTTGCTGCGCCACGGCTTGGCCGTTGTCATCTTTTGCTCTCTTTCGGCTTGGGAGATGCACCCATGGGGACGCATGGAAAAGTCAAGTAGGAATATGGAGTAGGGCCTCCAACTGTGCAAGCTCCTCTGCAAGGTGCAGCACCTGCAGAGAGACGCCCCACCTTTTCAATCGGGCGCCGAATCACATCGGTGCGCGATTCAAAAGGTGACCCAATTCGTTGTGGAAACCCTTCGATCACATCCGATCAAGTTGGATAAAAAATAAAAATAAAACCCCCAGCATGCCGTCAGTTGGCTCGGTCCGAGTTAGCGGCCTCCAACTTGACAGGAGCCGATTTAAGGTTGAGACCAGCGTGAGAAATAATATATATAATTTATATTTTATAATTTATATTTCATATTTTATATATTATAATTAATAATTAATAAAAAAAAGGCGTTTCGGCCCTGGAGCTTGATGCCTTGAAACGTACAGAGATGCTTCAAGATACGAGTTGTCCGAGCTGCTCACTTCGACATCGCTCGTGCCCTCCCATCTCCTGATTGACTGTTGCCTTCTTCGGTCGCAGCGTATTCGGCAGAGAGGAGAGCTTGCGCGCAAGGACATCGACGGAAAAGTCGTAGACCCTTCCAGGAGCGCATCTTTCTATCGCAGCTTTGCCCAAGTGGCAAAGATGTCCGTTCGATGAATCGATTCATGCAGAAGAGCCGATGATGTTGTTGACTCGACTTGGTCTCCACGTCAACATCATGTCGGTCTTCTTCAAGCGAGTCGCTGTGTATCAAGCGAACGCGAAGAACATCTGCCGAACACGCATGTGGTCGGAGGAGCCGCCGACAACTGGCGACATTGCAACCGGCTTTCTCTTCTGTGCTCACAGGAAGACGTCACTCGCAACATGGCCAGTCGAGCTCTGCACAAAGGAATTTCCACGGGATCGCCAGATGTGGACGAGTTAGGCCTCTTGCGTGAATCCAAGGCACTTGGCAGCTGAGATGGAAACACCGAGATGATGACAGACACCGTCCCAATTTTATTTTATTTTCTTCTTTTTTTATTTTATTTTATTTTTTTTTGTTTTTTTCTTTTTTTTTTTGGTCCTCGGATCTAGCGCCGATGGAGTGCTGCACAACTGTACGTCTCGCTTGGCTCCTTCATTCAACTTTGACTACTGACCGACACCTTTCTCTTTTGACAGCCAAGGTTCAACTGGCTGCAGCGGGTCCCTGAGCACTTTTACCGACGCACGGTCACCGCCGTCACACCAACCTCGGTCCATGAGCACATCCTTTCCCTTCCAATGTGATTTGGAAAGCGTGTCCGAAGACGTTTTGTTTGATTGCCTTGCCTCTTTCTGTCAACTGCCCTTTCCCACCTTTCAAAAAGAAAAAAAGAAAAAAAGATTGAAAAAAAAATGGAAAAAAAAATGGGAAAAAAAATATATAATATAAAATAAAATAAAATATGAGAGAAAGAAAGGCGTAATTGCCGATTTCCGCCTTCTGGAATCCAGTTGATCCCCTCTTCTGAGTCGCTCTGTTCATTCTCATCTCGTGTCGGAAGGTCGAGAGCTTGTCTTCATTCCCCTCACCTCGCCCTTCCCTCCTCGGTGCTGCCACGGCAGACTTGGCTGTTTGGATTCCTGCTCGGATCAGCTCCGATCGATTCAGTTCCGCTGCTGCTTTACTTCTCCTCAACGTTGCCCTTTTTCCCCTCAGTCTCGCCCAGCCGGCCTGCGGTTGTCTTGCTCCTTTTCCATATCATTCATTACAAGTTCATTCATCTGCCCACTCAGCATCAACGCCCTCCTTCTCCCTCCTTCAGGATCCTCGCATTGATATCGGAGCCTTCCGAAGCCAGAAAACTTGATTCGCATCCCACCCTGGGCTTCCATTCCGCAGCAGCTCTCCGCTCCACTACCCTTACGTCCACCACCATCTTCACCATCTCTACCATCTGGACTTTCCTCTCCCAACATCTGGTCACCATCTCTGCTTCCTCGGAGACCAGCAGGAAGGCCGGTCGCATTGTAGTTGACACGTTGGCAAACACACACACACACTCACTCACACACACCACGTGCCAGCCGGCCTTCATTTCACTTGCCTTTCGACGCTCGATCTGATCTTTTCCATTCCCGCCCATCGGCATCGAACAATCCGCTTCGTTTGCGAGTCATGCAGTCTTTCTAGATGCCCCAATGTTGTCTTCAAATCATCTGACTCAAGCTCCTCGACATCCTTCCCTATTATCCAATCAGTCACGCCAAGAGGCATCAACAGTAGCCCTCGTTTCAATACGACGTTCGAATCCGACCTCAGGTCTATTACTGGTGCCAACTGCCCGCCTAACATCAATATTGTTCGCGCCTGCCTTGAGCTTGTACGGCCGAGCTCAAGGTTCGATTTTCATTCATCCGCCCCAGTGTATATCTGCCCCCTTTCCTAAACCACGTTTTGCCCTTTTCTCTTCGGTAAGTCAGATCTATGGTCGGAATCCAACACTGTCGAATCCAACACTGTCGAATTCAATTCTATACGGACTCCGCGTGCGAGCATACGCACTCTCGAACCTGGCAGCACCAACTGAATCGACCAGAGCTTGGCTCCAGCAACGTATCAACCCCGCACTCGAGGCACCTCGAGGTCTTATCAGCAATCCATCTTGCGGTGGCTATCAATGCAGTTGCGGGCAAGCAGAGGCAAGTCTGCGTTGCCATAAGCAGGGCGGGGCTTGCAGGCCTGTAGGAACTGCTGCTCCCTCAACGAATAGCCCTACCGCCAACTTGCCCGTGTTTTTTCAAGGCAACGCCTGTCACCCCTGCAAGGTCTTTTTACCAGCACTCTCCGCCCCTCAGACAATTCCACTCGATTCCTCTGATCTGTAACGATGCTGCACCGACATCAATTGCGACGTGCTAACACTGTTCTTTCTGCCTCTTGACATTGCCTCCGTTCGCTCCGCTATAACACAGAAGACGCACCTTGGCATCAAACCTTGTACCATACCCATCGCATTGACATTTACCACAGCATCGTCCCTTCATTTCGCCGTTCCCCCTTCCCGCCCTTTCGCAAGAGCTTACCAAAGTGGGGTACACAAACACACAGCACGCTTTGACACGCCTTTCTTGGTTGATCGGTTCGAGGCTTGCTAGGTCTAGTCGCGGATAAATCAAGCCTTTCTTCCCAGCTTGCCGCAAAGTGGGTTGACGAAAACCCCCAATCTTTTTTTTTTTTTTTTTTTTTTTTTTTTTTTTTTTTTTTTTTTTTTTTCCCCCCTCTTTTGACTCGAGGTCAGCGACAACGCCCATCAGCTCATTGTTGCACATTATCTTGCAAAGCAACGCAGTTCCATTCTGGAAGCTCCAGCTTCATTTCACTGTGGCATCCCTGCACGAGGTGCAGCATCACGACATTCGACCTCGACGACGTATCACACACACACGCACACACGCATCGCCTTGCTCCATCCAGTCCTACGGTTCGCGCGGAATTTGCCCACAGAGTCGACTTCATTTCATCACTTAAGGTTGCGCCGCTCCTCGAACCTTAACTGTTATCTTTCTCTCTTTGAGCCTGGCCCATTCGCCAGGTCTCTTTCCTCGATCCTTATTTCCACGATCGAACGCAGCTCGCGACTCAGCAGTCCAGGAAGAGTGCTCCTTTGTTCCCTCAACTTCCACACGGTCCCACCAAACTTTCGAGCACGGCGTCGTACCGGCTTGGGGTCACAACATTGCTTCAGATTTGCTGCGTTTGCCACCAACGTTCACTGCAGATTTGCAGTCGCTGCATCATACGATCACGAGAGCCACATCTCTCCCTATTGACCGGTTCCATTGCGCAAGATTGCCGGGAAATTCACCGCTGCTTTGGCTCAGTCGGAATCCACCACAGGCCTGACATTGAAAGGTTGTCAAGCCCTCATCTGCCCCTCTCAATATTGGCTCAGTAAACCTCCTTGGCTGCTTACGGAGAGGCACTTATCACTGCGTAAGGCCTTTAGAAAGACAGGTCTAACTCTGTCCCAGTAAATTACCTTGGCCCGACCTCGACTTTCCGTACATCACTTCATACCCAAACTTGACTCTAGGCATCCTGCAATTCATGCTTGTACGCTGAAAAAAGAAGAAAAAAAAGGTACGGCTCTTCGAACCGCATCTCAGCGCCACAACCGCTTGAGCCCACTGCTCTGCGCTGCACGGAGATCTCTCCTCCGATCTTGTTCCCCAGCTTCGCCTTTCTCGGTCACAACCGTCGTCATCGAGCCAAAAGAAGGGCGATTGCAACGCAACGATCATCGTCACGACCCATTCTGCCCCCATTTTTCTTTGCTCCGAGTACCGAAGCACCGCATAACCGTGGGAACGGATCTTGTAAGCACTGCAGCTGCGTCACAAAGAGCATCGCCGAGTTCGCCGAGCTCCTCGTGTCGATCCTTTCTTGGCATTGTCGGCACAGGTGATCACCTTGCATCTCTGCATCTCTACATCTCTGATCCTCTTCCAAGCTGAGTCGTCCAACAGCGCAAGGTGCGTCTGGAGCTCGATTAGGCGGCAGACACGCACAACGCAAGAGTCAATTCACTCTATAGCTGCATCCTGTACCACATCAAACCTTAACGCTTGCATTGAGCGCAACCTTGTTTCGCGCGTGCACGCAGCAAAGTAGCAGAACAGTAGAGCCATTGCACTGGAACGCCCAACTTTGATCTCCAGTGGCTTCCTCTCATCCTGCCTTGCGTGAGCTTGCAGCACCTCATCACTACGGCGATACTCGGGATCAAGCAACACTCCTGCACTCTGCCAGCACGGCGTCGGAGATAGACCCAACGCAGTGGTACACGTTCAGCCCCCCGCCCCGCCGGCAAAGATCCCTTGTTGTTGCCGCCAACTCATCACTCGGTCCCACTATTCTGTTTTTCTCTCGCTTTATGACCCTTTCTCGTCCTCACTCCCGACTACCGCAGCTTAGCACCTCATCGCTTCGATCAGCACCTCGTCAGCTTTGTTTCGCTCCGTCGGCTTTCCCTCCAACGTTTCTCCTCTCACGAGCTTATCTTGAATAAGGTTGTCGCTCGACTTCGATACAGCGGTTGACCGGCGCTGTGAGAAGACCGTCCAATACCCTCTCTTTCGCTTTCGACCGCCTACTCTGCTCAGTTCGTAGAAGCGGGCGTTATCACAAGACGTCTCTTCGTCTCTTCCGCGGACATTTGACAGAGAACGTGTCAGGTCTCAAAGCAAGATCTCTCTTCATCGTGGCCACGCTGCTCGATCTGAAGTGTTTGCGCACAGCATCATCCTCAACCACTCACCTCACGGCTGCATCGGGAAACGCCTTATCTAGAACGTACGACTTTGTACTTTCCTACGTCCTCTTCTCCCTCTCGCACCATACCGCGCACGACCCCCCTCATCCTTTAGTATCGTCCAATATACGATTCACGACGATGGCATCACAGAAAGCTACCTTCAATGGCTATGTGTAAGCTATCTTATCCAAGCCCTCCCTCTTCGTACCTCGCTTTTCATCCTTGCTGACAGGTTCGTTCCACTTTCTATGCTTCTTCTGCCTACAGCCACTCAACTCGAGACGCGTTGCTCATCTTCGAGGCGGTACGACGCGGCCTGCTGCCCAAGATCACACGGCGCCTCCGCGACGATGAACGAAAAATGATCGGGAGCGGCACCATCTTCGTGTTTGACGAGGTCGAATCCAGCATCAAGAGGTGGACGGACGGTATGATCTGGAGTCCAAGCAGGATCCTGAACAACTTCCTTGTCTATCGAGAAGTGGAGAGGAAGGATCCAAAGCCTGCTTCTGATCAGCCTGCTTTCTCCGCGACACAGTCCAGCTTCGCCATGCATGGCGGTAGTCAGTTTTACAGCGGCGGCGGCGAGACCAGCGGCGCGATGCAACATCCCTCGGTCCGCTCAGTGGCTCTTACTCTGATGCCCAACGCTGTGGATGCTGACGGACAGATGGCTCACTACAAGCAGGACCATGGCGGTGGCTATCATGCTCTCGAAGGCGTTCCTGCCTCTTCCAACGCAATGTACGCGGAGCACGATGGCTCATTCTCCAACCACGCTCACCACAGCCAGACGCACGCGGAAGCAGCTGGCCTGGTAGGGTTGATGGACGACTGCGCCGGCCCGTCGTCAGCAGTTAAGCGTGAAGCAGAGCTGGACAGAACGATTGTCGGGAGCTTGACCACAAGCTACCCTTTCCTGAAAGACGGACTTTGCAAGAAGACCATCTCTATCCAGGTCGAAGGTTCCACGCAGCATCTCATCTCGTACTACAAGATCGACGATGTGCACAACGGACGATTGGCGATACCCTCTAATCTTCCCGAGATCTCCTCACTCGCCATTTCGCCGATCTTCCTCAACAAAAGTAACTTCCGCTACCCTCCCATCGTCGAGTTCGACGCTGATGGCGTGCCGCGTTACGTCGCTGAGTCGACGGACAACGCAGCCCGGACGCCTGGTCACGTCAGTAGCGGCACAGAAAGCTACTCTTCCGGCTCCGAGGCGCGCCACGATGGGCTCGTCAGGGCTACGAGTCGCTCGCTCTCTATTTATTCGCCTGGACTTCCACCTGAAGGAGGGCACATCGAGCTGCACACTCATCATCGTTACCCGCATCAGATCGGTGGTGATGGCATGGTGCCCGCCTCAGCAACGCTACCTCCTTCGACCTCTCCGACAGGATACAGAAGCCGACGCTCATCGGATGCTCCACGTCGCCGCGCCAACTCACGATACGGTCCATATCAGCATCCGTTTGGACATGGCATGCCTGCGGCTCAGCTGTACACGAGCTCGTCGTCAAACGAACATGCGCCGCTCTCCCCCTCAGAACGTCGAGGTCTCTTTGGCCCCTCACGCAGCAACGACGATATTGGGCAGTTGCACCCTTCGGAACAACAAGCTTTCGCTATGCCGCGTCAAGATGCTGCTCTCTTCGGGATCGGGCAAGTTGGGCACACACGTGGTGCGAACGATATGGCTCACGGATATGCTATGAACCAGCAGCATTCTTCGATGGACCAAGGCCTTCAGCAGCAGGGCAATGTCCAGCCTTCGTTTCAGACTGCGCCCATGATGCCCGTTGTGCCTAGTCAGCCTTTTCGCAACCAAGCCGGCTATCTACCGATCGCGGATCACATGCATGGCAGGTTCGACAATGGAGCGGTGAAGCAAGAGCAGGGCGATCCTTTCCACTTCTCATCGCGCATGCCTCGAGGCAGCTGGGACTCGAATCAGCCAAGTCACTCAAACTCCTTTCTCCACACCATGCAGCAACCACCTGCTACCAGCCAAGGATTGACAGCAATGTCCGTTCACAGCCATCCGAGTTTTGGCGGACCGGTATACGGACGCACAGCTGGGTCCCCGCCGCAGACCAGCTCGTCTCTCGACAGCAGACACTCGTACATGGGCGGTGGAGCAGTGCACGCAACCGGGCGCATCGAAGAGTTGGGCGACGGAATGCATCCCCTTACAGCTAGTCGACTCGAGGACGCGGATTACTCTTCGCGGCCGATCTCACGCGCTGGCGAAGGAGGTTATGTCGGTGATCTCGACTCAGCAGGAGTAGTTCGCTCCGGAGCATTGCAAGCCGTTCACGGGCCCTCGAATCCCAACAGTCCGTACCCTCGTACTCATCACCACCAGCAGCATCAGCAGCAACAATATCAACAGCATGGTCATGACAGCTCAGAGGGGTACCCTGAGGGGCAGATGTCGTTATACCAACAACAGTCCAACAACCACCATCTCAGTCACGAGAACGCTCAGATCGAGCAGCAGGGCTTTGGTCGAGCCGGCCATGATACGTACGAATCGACGGAGGCATACACTTCGAACAACTTTGGCAACCAAGCAGCTCACAACGAGCAGACATGTTCGGCCGATCCTGATGCGAACCAAGACTTCTCATCGCGGCCGGGCACTTCTCACGACCAAGGATACCAGCAGTTTGGCGAGGAAGGAGTGGACGGTAACTCGACAAACGACTCTGGGTTGGAAAGGGTGATGTTGACCCGACCTGCCTCCTAGCGAATCTGACTCATCCAGTCCTGGCTTCATGCTCCGTCGTCACATACCATCCTTCCATGTTGTGCGTTATGCACATCTTTCACCGTATCTCTCCTGAATAGTAACATACTCTTGTGTCCCGCAATGTACGAATACCGCATCATTTTCGCAATCAGTCTCACCATGTTTGAGATCGGGTCGCCCGTGTTCCATGTCTGGTATCACGCCACTTCAGCACTCCTGACATCAAACATACCGTATACAGCTTCTGATGAGAATGGAGTGAGCCATGGCAGCAGTTGCAGATCGTGTGATCCTGATGATGGCTTTCGATGTGTTGTTTGCAGCTCGCGTGCACTTGTTTTTTTCTTTCTCATATGTTTTCCTGGTTTTTTTTTTGGTTTTTTTTTTTTTTTTTTTTTTTTTGGGTTTTTTTTCCTATCCTGATTTTTCTTCTTCTTCTCGGACGACAAAACACGCTTGCGTCGACTTGGAAGGTCGAAAACAAGCTGCTCGTCGCAGATCTCTGTTCATCCACCATCATATCGATACAATCTCGACACTCGGCATCGCTGTACAGCTTCAACAAGGAGTTCCGACAGTGTGCCTCCTCTTGTCACACACAGCTCCTACGGCAAGCTCATCGTCAGCTCTGACTCGCTGCTCCAGGAGACTTTCAGCTGTCGGCAGGTGCTCGAACTTTCCTTTCTTCATCGCCCGTTGGTCTGGGACTGTCGCGCTCTCAATCTCGACATGTCTTCAGAGCCTGCGCCGTTGTTGGCTTTGCCAGCGCCAGCTAGCACGGCTTCGGCCTCAACATCAGCTTCAACCACTTTGCAGCCAGCCAAGCTAACAACAACGGATCAGCAGCAACAACCCGCCTCGACACCTCAAAAGCTTACATCACAACCGCAGCAGGTACCTCAACCAGCACCACCACCTACGTCGCAACCACAACAACAGCAGCAAGTCACAGCAAACCACCCAGCATCAATAGCAGCCGCTGCAACCGTCGCTCTTTCTGCGACTTTACTCGATCCAAATGAGTGGAACGCACTTGCATCCACCAGCATGGTAACGCTGGACGACCTCAGAACGGCATTCTTGGAACAACGACAACAGCAGTTGAAGGATCTGGAACGAACACACAAAGAATCTTTGCGAGAGATGCTCTTTATGTCGGAAACGTACGACAAGGCAGAGATTGCAGGAAGCCCATGGAAGCTCGCACAGAGCATGGAAGTTGCAAAGGATGATTCTCGGGTGCATGTCAAGGACTTTATGACACAGTACCAACTGTCGTTGGACAACCAGAAGTCGATAAAGGATCATGTCCTTAAGCAGCCCAAAGCACTAAGAGACTTAGTCTCTCGCGAGCTCAAAACGGGACCAGTTGAAGTTGCACCTCCGCCGACACCAACTAGTGCGACTGCACCTTCAGCTGCCGATGCTCAGCGCGATCATGACCGAGTCAAGGAACTGGAGCAGAGTAAGAGCGCAGACACCCATCGGAGCCAGGCGGTCGCACGCGCAGCTGCTACAGTGCAAGCTCGTGCCATTGCGGAAGGGGTTGGAAAGATCAGACCTCTCACAATTGCAGCTGCCGAGACTCAGGGTGTCCGTGTCGCTCCTCTTCTGCCTGGTCAGGTGCCCAGCTTCGTCATCGAGTCTACAACCGCCGTGCTTCCCATCGCAGCAGGGACAGGTCCTGCAGCTGCGACAACATCGGCAACTGACCTTGGCGCCGACAGCTCGACACCTGCCGTCAAGATAGAATCGCCTGGAAAGACCGTCTCCTCGCCTTCCAAGGGCCCAAATGTGCTCGAGAAGGCGGTGTCACCAGTGCCTGGTCTTGCCCGCAACGCCACAGTACAGTCAGCAGGACTTCGAGTTCCACCATCGCCCACCGTCGTACCCACCATCCCAGACAACGTTGTAGCACCCCTTCTCCATCCAACACTTCAGGTCCTCGCGCCCAACCCGCTCTCCGTCACCTACGCTGCCTCTCTCCGACCCCTTCCACCCGACCCGACACGACGCATCACCGGAGCAGGTGTCAGTGGAGGAGCCATCCATCATCGCAGCGGTAGAAAGATTTCCAACTTGGCCAATCACTCGAATGTCAACTCGTATTCCAGCATCGCAGCAGCCAAGACTGGACCCGCAGGATCCGGTCAAGCCGATCTGTACCGCTGGTATGTTCGAGCGAGAGCATCGCCAGGAGCCGGCATGGTCGGTAAAGCAGACAAGTGCTTGATGACATGCGACTGGAAGGTAGCATTCAACGAGCAGCGCTTTGTGCGCGCCATGGCGAGGATCGAAAAGCTGAAAGCGCAAGGGGAGTGGAGTTTCCGTCAGCCAAAGAAGCAGAAAGGTCCTGTGGTTCGGAAAGCTCATTGGGATCATCTGTTGGAGGAGATGAAGTGGTTGCAGACCGATTTTCGCGAGGAGAGAAGGTGGAAGATGACAGTCGCGTTTCATCTTGCTCATGAGGTTGCGGCTTGGCATCGTGCCCGTACGCCTGTGGAGCGAGCTTCTTCCTGCATTTCCGTGCAAAGACCGTATCGCCGCCGAACGGTGTCGGACAATGTTGAGCAACAGACAGCTTCTCAGGAGTCAACGGCTAACTCAGCTTCGGGTCCGGTCGTACAGGCTGCAGATGCTGGTGATGACGAAGAGATGCCTGATGCAGCTCCTGACTGTCAATTGCAAGCGGTGAAGTCAAGTAGCCCTCAGAAGAATGCTGAAGTCGATGGTATCGCCAAGGCAACAGAGACTGTGGATGTAACGATGGATGAAGGAGACGATGAGGCCAATGCCGCTATGACAAAGGCAGTTGATGACGCAGTGGAGACCACGAATGAAGCGGCTGGTGCTCGGGCAGAGGAAGTAGATGCAGATGGAGAAAGCGACGCTGCGGATGCAGATCTAGACGATGTTGAGGCAGCGACTGCAGCACTGGTGTCAGGTGAGCCCTCAAAGCCGCCACAGGTCGAGGTGGTCAGAGAGCCGTTGCCCCAATCTGAGCCCATGCCAGCTCTCAGTGCTGACGCTCAAACAGCAGCAGCAACCGCACCAGTCGAACCAAGCACCGAAGCGACAAGCAAGGACTTCAACCCTTCTGACTCAAAGCTCGCCAATGCTCTGCGCTCGGAACCAAAGAACGCCGACACCACCCTCACAGCAGAGCTCCCACAGCAGCTGCTCGCAACACTTCGAGCACCCATTTTCTCCACCAACGTCACCACCACAGTGGTGTCACCAGCAACGCTGCTCGAGTCATTGGATCCCGAAGCTTCAGCTGCTCTTCTTGGCATTGAGGTCGGCGACCTGTCTAATGCTGCGGATCTGCTCGAACCTGGCTCACTTTCGTTCAGCAAAATGTTCCCCGAACTACCGCTGTACGGAGGTGTGTCGCTTCCAGATCCCAACAGCAAGAGCGATCGACGTTGGGACGAGGGCAGTCTCAACCAGCCGCCTCGACTGACGCACGTTACTAAGCTGCTCGACTCGCGTCCTCTCCTTGTCAGCACACTTGAACCGTCGAAGAACAGGGCCAATGGTCGATGGCTGCCGGACAGCGACTGGGTCGTAGCTGCTGAGCAGTCTGATCCGCTTCGTGGTGTTGCCGATGGGTCTGACGCTGGCCTACCTCCTCTGCCGGGCTCGCTCCTCTTCGCACGCAAGAGCAACCGTGCTGCTAAGGACACCAATCATCCAGCCTCAACCACGCCAGCCGAGCCAGCACAGCCCGACGCAAGAGCAGCCATGTTCGTCTGGACGTCAGACGAGGACAACTATCTCATGACACTCGCTAAGCAGTATCACAACAACTGGTCCCTAGTTGCGGATTTGTTCAACTCGACTCGTCTCAACACAGCTACCGACAAACGCGAGCCTTGGGACTGCTACGATCGATGCAAGCGCATTCAACAGGCCGCAGACGAGGGTAAGCCGCCTCCTGGTCCACCACAGCTCCCACCAGCAGCTGCCGAGCCGGATAAGGATAAAAAGTCGGACGGCAAAGATGATGCTGCCTCGTCAAAGCGCGAGAAGCTGAACAAGAAGCTCAGCTCCAAGTACGATGGTTCCAAAAGAAAGCTTCGTCGCAGCAATTTGATGGAAGTCATGCGCAAGTCCGCTAAGCGTAGGGAGGCGAGCAAGCAAGCACAGCAGACTCAGCAGACTAAGAAGGCCAACTTGAACACGCATGAGACTCATGCGCAGCTCAAAGCTGGGCCGGCGATCACACCTCAGTCCCTCAGCGCGCTGAAGGCGGAACGAGACCAGGCTGCTCTGCGACAGTATTACGAGCAGCAGCGTGCTCAAATTGCGTATCAGCAACAACAGCAGCAACAGCAGAGGTTGCTGGCACAGCAAGCTCAGGCTCAGAGGATGGCTCAGCAGCAAGCGGCTGGTGGAGCTGCTGGGCAAGTTGTTGCTACGTCGACGCCTCAGCCTGGTAAGCCTGTTGCCGCGGCGGTTGCGGGAGCTGGTGCGGGCGTCCCTGCTCCATTGACTTTGCCACCAGGTAGCACGCCAGCTCTTCAAGTCGCACAGCAAGCAGCGCAGAAAGCCGCGGCACCCGCACAACAGCCCCAGCAGCCCGCGCAACAAGCTCCACAAACAGCCCAATCGCAACAGCAACCCGCCCAGCAGCAGCAGAACCAACAACAACTCCAAGCGCAATTTCAAGCCTCGCAAGCAGCCCAGATGCAAAACCTCTACGCGCAAATCCAGCAACAACAACGTCAGGCACAACAACAACAGCAAAATGCAGCCTCTCTTGGTCAAGTTCGCCCTGCCGTCGGCCCCCTCACTCCGCAACAGTTGGCAAGTTTGACTCCTCAGCAACAGCAACAGTACCACGCACAGCTGGCTGCTGCTACGGCTGCGGCTCAACAACAACAATTAAGGAATCAGATGGCTGCTGTTGCTGCTGCGCAACAGAGTGGAGTGCAGGGAGTACCGTTCCAAATGCCGAACGCGCAAGCACAGGCGCAGTTTCAGCTAATGCAACAGCAACAACAGCAGCAACAAGCACGACCAGCAAACATCCAAGCCCAACAAGCGGCAGCTTTGCAAATGTATCAACAACAGCAGAGGCAAGCTGCACAAGTACAGGCTCAAGCTCAGATGCGGCCTCCTCAGCAGCAACAAGCGCAAGGTGGGGCGGCACAAGGAGGTCAACAGCAGCAGCAGTTCGGAGCGGTGCGACCTGTAGGTGGGCAGCAGCAAAGACCTCCCGCTGGCGCTGGAGCGCAGCAGGTTAGACCGGCGAATGGAGGAAATCCAGGGATGCCAGCTACAATTCAAGCTTTGCAGCAACAATTGGCGATTTCGTTGGCAACGAGCAATCTTTCACCAGAACAGATTAATGGGTTGGCTATACAGCTTTATAAGCAAGCTCAACAGCAGCAGCAGCAGCAACAAGCGGGAGCGGGGGCGATGGGGGGCAATCAGAGTCCGATGCCACAAACTGTGACCGCGGGGCAAGCTAGACCGCAAGCACAGGCAGGTGCTCGACCACCGCAACAGATTTTAAATCAGGCTATTCAGACTTTGGCTGCTCAGAATCAGAAGAGTCAGCAGCAGCAGCAAGGTGCGGGAGCGGGAGGGGCAGGTGCAAGTGGTGCGGGAAGCCCGGTTCAAGCTAGACCGCCGACTCCTATGCCTCCTTAGTTCGTACAACAAGGAAAGGGAATGAAAATGCTCTTTCGCACACGATGGTGAAGCCTGAATGTGAATGTGATGCGATTCTATGTGAGGATATCCTGGGTCTGGATTGAGAGAGAAAAAAAAAAAAAAAAAAAAATGATGAAAGAAAAACTAAAGGCTGTTGAAGCCGCAACAGGCCAAAAATGAAAAGACTTCAGGCAAAAAAGAAGGTAGAGAGACGACAACAAGAGTAAGCCCCGTTGAGTTACCTTCCCTTTTCCGGTGATGGAAAAGGGAAGGCGACCGCATAACTATCAGCATGATGACGAACTCGATCCTACACCCTTTCCCTAAGAAAAGGGCTGAGCATCACCATCCCGCTTTTCGCTGAGATGATGGGATGAGTTATCGCTCCAATCCGCAGTTTGCTATTGAAAGCAGGTTGAAGAGAATTCACCAGATGAAGCATTAAACCGAATCCGGTCCAGAATCTAGTATCAGGGTCAGACAGAACCGAACATCGACATAGAACAAGCTAGTTCTTCGCCAACAGCGGAATAGAAGGGATGGCCTGGAGTGAGGTAATGCGCTCTTATCTTCGCGCATCACCTCCCATCCTTCGAACTGTGGGAAGAAAAAGACCTGGACGAGAGGATAGAACGATTCCTAACCCAAGACATTACCCGAAAAGGGCGAATCTGAAACCCGTCCTGTAAAACACTTTTTCCGTACTCTTCTCGCCAACCACCACAGAAATGAGCGATAACGGAGAAGACTGTAAACGGAGTAAAACATGCCGACAACAACCCCTCAGCCAACGATCTCCAGAAAGCCCAAATCGGCACGGTGCACAACAACTCACACCATCTCTGCAAACCTAACAACCATCCTTAATGCGCATGACGAAGAAGAGAAAAGGGGGGCCGCAAGCATGATGGCCATTATACAGACTCGTGCCATTATGGCGGACGGTCGCTTTCCTTTGATATGGTCTCTGATCGTGCTGTGATTGCTTCCCATCTTCACTCGAGCTTCGAAGATGCGCAGATGGTGTTGAGAAAGAAGATAGAGTGAAAGCCTTAACGTCGTACGGTGCAGAGAAGGGAATCCGTACGTTACCACGTTGGGAAGAAGGATGTATAACTAGCTATTTCTTCGCAGAAGTCTCTCCAATGTAAAAGATGTGTCCGGGGACTTTCCCTACAGCATGTCCCCTAAGAAGGGGAAGAAGGCTGCAAAAAGCGACCCCAAAGGGATCGTGAAAAGCGGTCCTTTGCGCGTCTCTCTAGAAGAAGGAATGGTGCGAAGATTTGGTTGTTGAAACTTGAATCCTCGCTAATTTTCGCCATTGGATGGCTACTATGACACACCGAGCAGCAAATGAAGCGTCTATCCGACGTTTCGAATGAGGCGGTGCATCGAGGGTCGTGTGTATGGTTGAAGGGAGGGAAAAGAGAAGATGGATGCGGAACAGATCTTGTTGAGGTGTGGGAGCCAAAAAAAAAAAAAAAAAAAAAAAAAAAAAAAAAAAAAAAAAAAAAAAAAAAAAAATCTAGTTGAGGGAGACGCGACAACGTAGGAATTCCACCCATTGAAAAATTTTGCAACAGTTTAGCACACATGCAAATGTTAAAGAATTTAATCCCCCTTGTCGGCTCCTCGGCTTGGTCAAGAACGGTTTTGTTTCTCTCCAACTCCGAGGGGCACTTGGGAGTTTCTGGGCTCAAACTTGCCAAAACAGCCAAGTCCCCCTCCAGACTTGAGCTTGTACTTAGAAAATCACCATCATAGCAAATTCCAAACACCGCAACTGTTCTTCGCACGTGACCATACTAAATTTGGTGAGGCTTACGGCCGGAAGGAAGTTTTTGATACAGGATCAACTTTTCTTGCATCAGATGTCCTTCTGAGCCAAAACCTCTGCTCGACGTCCACAACCGCTTCTTCGCTCACTGTTCCTCTGAAGCTACGAAGAACCGACCAAGACTTTCCACATTCACAACTCAACATGCTCGCAAGATCTTGCAGCCGCTTGCTTGCGCTGTCCTCGACGAGGGTCGTCATGCCTCGATCTGTTGCCAGGTTGGCAGCTCCTGGCCTCGTCCGGACTACCCCCGCCGTCCGCAGCTTCGCGTCTGCAGCACCTGCCCTCAACAGAGACAACTCCGAAAGACATCGATCTGCTCCACCTGAGGGCGACGAATACTCCAGCACCCATCGCCTCAACTATCTGCTCGCTGAACGTCTCGATCCAAGTCAAGAGTTGATCATCAGGCAGATGCGAGACTCTGAAATCGACCATCTCCCCCTCGTCTTTGAAAGCGACAAACAATGGCAACTACTTGATAAACCCTTCACCTTCCCACGCCGAGACAGAAGCGAAATGCAGGAAGGCAGCAAAGCATACTTCGCAGCCGGAGACTACGTCTACAACACTTTCCACTTCTCCTCGGTTTATCATCTCAAGCGATTCAATCGTGAGATAGCCGAGGTGCTTGAAACCAAAGCACGTTTGGTGGTCCCAATCGGATTCTTTGATGTACGATCTCGAACTTACACCGTAGGTTTGCCGGCTTACATCGGTATTAGACCTCCCTACCCCTCAGCGGAGAATTCTAAGCGTATTATCAAGCTCATCGATGAGTACCGCTCAAAAGGTACACCAACGGAAGCGAAGAAAGCAATCATGAACGAATTACGAACGTATATCATCCCTCGTGGATTCAGAAAGCTCACCTGGGTGTATTCTCGATACCTGATTAAGCTATACGAGTCGCTCCGAAAGGTGACGTCCGAGCAAATCCTTGCCGATGAAGTGAGGTTCAGGACTAACGGCGAACTTGACAGCGAGCCCGCACCTCAACATAAGGATCATGCAGCTCAGAGTCCCAAAAAGAGGCCTGAAAAGAACGAGAAGGCGAAACCTGCAGACGGATTGCAGGCGGACAACCCTAGATTGCCTGAAGCAGACATCTTCGTTGCACCTGACGGAGATGCACACAAGGGCGGCAAGGACGAGGCGTTAAAGGATCACGTTCCGTTCCCGAAGCCGAGTGCGGAAGAGATGGGGATGAAGAGAGAGGGAGGCTCGCCAAGAAGGAGCCCTGAGCCAGCAAAGAACTTGCAGGCAGATGACTCTAAGCTTCCTGAAGCTGGCACCTTTGTAGCACCAGATGGAGATGCACACAAAGTTGATAGCGGCGAAAAGCTGGAAGATCGCGTACCCTTCCCCCAGCAAAGTGCTGAAAAGATGTGGAATCCGAAGCCAGTCTTAAGTCAGGCAGAGAGGTTGCAGGCAGATGACCCTAAGCTCCCGGAAGCGGGTACGTTCGTTGCTCCCAATGGAGATGCGCATAAAGCTGATGGTGGCGAAAAGCTGGAAGATCGCGTACCCTTCCCCCAGCAAAGTGCTGAAGAGATGTGGAATCCGAAGCCAGTCTCAAGTCAGGCAGATGACCCTAAGCTTCCTGAAGCTGGCACCTTTGTAGCACCAGATGGAGATGCACACAAAGTTGATGGCGGCGAAAAGCTGGAAGATCGCGTACCCTTCCCCCAGCAAAGTGCTGAAGAGATGTGGAATCCGAAGCCAGTCTCAAATCAGGCAGAGAGATTGCAGGCAGATGACCCTAAGCTCCCGGAAGCGGGTACGTTCGTTGCTCCCAATGGAGATGCGCATAAAGCTGATGGTGGCGAAAAGCTGGAAGATCGCGTACCCTTCCCCCAGCAAAGTGCTGAAGAGATGTGGAATCCGAAGCCAGTCTCAAATCAGGCAGAGAGACTGCAGGCAGATGACCCTAAGCTCCCGGAAGCGGGTACGTTCGTTGCTCCCGATGGTGGTGCCCACAAGCCTAGCAAGGGTGAGGGCGATGCTTTGGAAGAGCATGTACCCTTCCCCAAGCCAAGCGCGGAGGAGATGGGAATTAAAAGGCCGACCGAGGGCTAAGCTTGTGTTGCAATCACGGATGACATGTATAAGATCCGTTGTACTACACTCGGGCTGCTTAGAAATGGTCTCTTGAGCTTGATGCAGTGTATGTTCTGCAGTGTGCACTTTTAAGTTGATGATAGCTGCCGTTCGACACGCTTATTGGAAGCAGCATTTGTTGAAAAGTGAAGACGTTGGGTCCCGATAACTGGCGATCGGGTAGAGTCTACGTACGATGTCACTGCTGGTTAAGACAGAAACATATATACTCAATTGACTAAAGAACATGCTGAGAACCTAGTGTTCTCAGCTTGATATATATATACATCTATGAGGCTCATACCGAACGTGGGAGTGGGACTGCGTTGTACCCGATCTCTGGTGAGATCGGCTTTGCCCGATCTCTTTCGTATCCGCTTACGTCAATTCGCATCATCATAATGGATCGTTTCCTTCAGCAGCATTTTGTGGGCGAAATTCTCAGGGTCTGGATGACCGCGGAATGCCAAATCACTGTGTTGTACGCTGAGTCGGTCGTGTGGACCGGCACAGACCAACACACATCAGCCGGCGTTCGTTTGCAATCCTTGCTTTCTGTCTTCGAATACGTTTCGCCGATCGTGCATGCTCTTATGGTCCATCTGCAGAGCAGCACCCACGTCGAGGATCGTCAGGTATACCAACAGATTGGCCTTAGCAGTGTCAAGAGTACCAGTCCGCAAGATGACGGAATCTGCAAATCAACCCAGCTCTGCCTCATCTGCCCCGAAGAAAGGCAAGAAAGACAATCGCCCTTCGCCTGAGGAGATCGAGGCCAAGCGTCGCGAACGTGCAGCCAAGAAGGAGAAGGCAGCAAAGCAGGCGGAGCTTGCCGCTGCCATTGCTGCGAACGGCAAGGTTTCGAACGGACATCTCGATGAGCAAGGAAAGGTTCTCTTCATCCCCCGTGACTGGGCGGACGTCGTCAGGACCGAGACCGATAGCTCTGACAAGAAGCAGAAGATCCGCATCGTCAGTTGGAACATCTTAGCGCAAGGCTTGGTGCGCAGAAAGCTGTTTCCAGGCTCGGACTGTCTCAAGTTCAAGGACCGCTGTGTGGGGCTGAGTGCCGAGCTGTCCAGTCGCACCGGCCACGGCTGGGATGTAGGCTGCTTCCAAGAAGTCGACCGAATGGACGTGCATGGAGGAATGATGCAGAGAGATGGCTTCAGCTATGTCTACGAAAAGGGATACAGACAGAAGCAGCACGGTCTTCTGGTAGCATGGAGACGCGACCTGTTTGGGGAGCGTCCACACAGTCAGATGACAATCGATCTCGATGCAGAGAGCGTAGCACCAGCGTCCGAGCGCGTCAGGACGGCGTGCTCTCGCATCACCCGGAATGTCGGCCTCTTTGTGGCCCTGCGTGCACAAAATAGCAAAGACAAGGAGGCCAGCACCAGCCCAGGACTGATCGTGGCAACCACGCACCTCTTTTGGCATCCCATGCATGCGTACGAACGGGCAAGGCAATCTGGAATTCTTGTACGAAGATTGCAAGAGTTCCGATCCGAACTTGGCGACGATTGGAGGGATGCGCCTTGCATCCTCGCTGGTGACTTTAACGACCAGCCGCATTCAGCAACATATCACCTCTTGGCGGGCCGCAAGCTGACACCGCACTGCCACAAAGAGGTGTCCTTGTCGAGCGTGGTGCACAAGAGCATCGATGAGCGAAGGGAGAAGGGCAACGTCTCGAACGGGTTTGCGCCTGGCACAACCGAGCCGGCCCGAGATGCTCCGAACACCAAGAAAGCCGAAGCAACGGACGAAGGTACCAAAGAGCAACAGCAAGACGTTCAAGAGGCTGAAGATGATGCCGATGAGGACGAGGCAGAAGCAGAAGAGCAAAGAGAAGAAGGTAAAGGCGAGGACGAGGGCAAAGGCGAAGGCGAAGGCGAGGGTGCTGACGATCGCATGCTCAAGAACTGCCGTGCTGCGACTGCGCAAGATGCTCTTCTTTCTATGGACGAGTTGCTTCAGTTACACGATGTCGCTCGACCTCGGCCAGGATCAGTTGCAGCTCCGAACGGCTCTTCTTTGCCTCAAAAAGCTGTCCACTCAGCGCACCTTGGCTCTGCTTACGCCCTACACTATGGCCAAGTCCGGGAGCCGTGCGAAGAGGGCAACTTCTTCGGCTCCCCCGGACGAGGTCGAGAGCGCTGGGATGATCCCGATTGGACGCCAGAGACTGGCAATTGTCACCAGGGCGACAGCACTGAGCCAATGTGGACCATCTTCTCCAGCCTCTTTTCTCTCACGCTCGATTACATCTTCATGCTGCCGAAAGCAGGGCCTGAAGGCGAAACAGCGTCGGCGGAGTATCCGACAGTCACAAGACTGCTTCGAACACATCGAACAGAAACACTACAACCGGGTCTTCCGAGAAAGGGAGTTTGTGCCTCGGATCACATTGCAATTGGCGCCGAAATCGAAGTGTGATAGCATAGAAGCATAGAAAGTGCAACTTAGAGCAGTCTCGCATCGGTGACCATACAATGAGCACCTGTGAGCCCATCGTGAGACCGTGAGAAGATGCGAAACGGCTGAGCCTCTCATCAGTTTCGGATGTGCCGCTTTCCTGTGCCGCTTTCCTCTCGTTCGTGTTCTTAAAGTGTTATTTTCTTGTTTGCTGCGCATTTCCGGCGTGACCCTCCACTTTGAAAACACACGCTTGATGCATGCCAAAAAGTGAGAGTGGCAGCAGGACCCTTGATCGGCTCTCGAGCAAAGGAAATCTCGACGCGCCCAACATATGGCAAAACCCTCTTGCGGTCATCCATCTTGCGGTGGCAACATAGCTTTCCTTGGCTCCCGACAACCCTCCACGCCAGCCGCGCAGCCATCACAAGCTACAAGCTACAAACTTTCGCCATGACCACATGACGACACCTCAGCCGGACGGAGGAGGTGATTTTTAACAAACACCCAAGCACGTCGACATGCCGGTCGAAACACCTCAACAAGGCAAGGACGGTGGCGTTGGGCCTCAGACCGAGGTCGATAGTAACAATGCGGATGACATCGTGCACGAGTTTCACATGACTGAAGCTAAACCCAACGGACAAGACGCTGATGGTGGTGCAGAGGAATCGATCAAGTCTTCAGGCTCAAATGAGGCTCCTCAGGACTCCGATCTTGTACATGCACGACAACAGCCACAAAGCGCAGCTAAGGATAACAACCTCTTGCAGGCAGGCCAGGGAGATGATGGAAGCATGTCCAGGCCCGCGACCCTGCATGTCGATGTAGATGGCCAGGCACCACCAAACCAACCCGCCCCCAAAGAGGCCCGTGCCGCGAGCAACCTCAAAGCCGCAAGTACCATCCCAGAGCCAGCCGTATCTCTTTCCGCCTCGCGACCCAACATGCTCCCTCCACCGAGACTCAGTATGGCAGCCTCTTCTTTCATCAATCCGACCCCCACACTGACGCCCGGCTCGACTTGGGGTCCTACAGCTGCGTCTGCCGCTGCAGCAAGGGCCGAGGCAGCTGAGCCGGGGAGGATAGGAGATCTGAAGCGGTTCACTCTATGGGAGACAAAGACTCGCTTCTACCTTGTTGCTTACAACACCAGCCAAACCAGGTTTCGTATTCTCAAAGTTGACCGAACACCACCGATAATGACAGCCCCACCCAGGGCCCAGGCCGACCCGGACAGATCTCGCGAAACAAACTTGGCTGCTGGTACAGCATCCGCTCAAAACCAGGCTTCGGCTTCTGCAGACTTTCCTTCCAATAGCTCAACGCCGCTTCCGCCATCCAAGGGAGGAGATCCTAAAACCGATACGAGCAAAGGGGTCAAGATCAGCACAAATCTAGGCCCAGTCGATTGCTCAGTCCGCGGTCAACGCTTCCTCTCACTCAACGATCCGCACATCTGCCGGCTCAACCGTCGCATGCTGGATGCCAAGCAAGTGCCCCGTGAAGGTGCTGCATCTTCATTCACAACTACATCGGCCTCGAACAAGACTGCCACTGCCATTGGAACGTCAAAGATGGCCGCTGCCTCCAACCCGAACGCAGAGGTCAGGTCCAATCCGACAAGCTCAGCTTCCACGATCAGACAAGCAGAATCCACGACAGGGTCCAAGGCTACTGGCTTCAACACCAAGTCGAGCGCAGCAGAGTGGGAGCTCAACGTCACTTCTGATCGCGTTGTCTACTCACGCACGCAGGTCGCCGAGCTGCTCGAGATGATCCGTGAGGGCAATCGTGCCACTGGAGGCCTCCACGAGATAGGTCGTTTCTTCGGCATCGTAGGCTTCATCCGCTTCACGAGCACTTACTACATGGTACTCATCAGCAGGCGAAGCGTCGTCGCGTTGATAGGTGGCCACTACGTCTACCACTGCGATGAGACTGTCATACTGCCGGTCTGCCACGCCTCGGTTCTCGCCTCATTACCAGGGCGGACAAAGCTGATGGAACAGGAAGAGGCGCGCCTTCTTCATCTCTTCAAGCAAGTCGACCTCAGTAAGAACTTCTACTTCAGCTATACCTACGATTTGACAAAGACGCTGCAGGACAACCTCACTTCGGCTCCCGGAGATCCGCTCGACCAAGCAAGCTCTGTCTCGCCCTCCACACAGCCTCTCACTGCTTGGGGCTACAACGAAAAGTTCATCTGGAATCATCACCTGCTGCTTCCAGCGTTCGCCGCATCAGAACACATGCAGCCTCACGAAGATCCTCGCAACGAATGGGTTTTACCGCTCGTGTACGGCTTTGTGGACCAAGCAAAGCTGAGTGTGCTCAACCGTACCGTTTATACGACGCTAATTGCTCGAAGGTCAAGACACTTTGCAGGAGCACGGTTCCTCAAACGAGGTGTCAACGAAAAGGGTCATGTGGCCAACGATGTCGAGACAGAACAGATCGTTAGTGAAGCTCTCACGACCCCTTTCTTCGCACCGGGTCGCAAACGGTTCGAGCCGAGAGATCGACACCCTCGACCAACTTCCGGCGGGTTGCGCGCTGGCCCGGAGCTGATACGTGCAAACGGCTTGCGTGAGAAGCCCATCTTCCAGCCACCCACTGCCGGAGCCATGCACTACCCAGAAGCTTCAGGCGCAAAAGGAGCAGAAGACGACGATGATGATTACGAGGACCTCCCGCTCGACGCTTCACCTCGTTATACTTCCTATGTCATGATGAGAGGCAGTATCCCTGTCTACTGGACACAGGATACCACCAACATGTCTCCCCGCCCTCCCATTGAGGTCTCGCTTGTAGACCCGTACTACTCAGCCGCCGCGCTTCACTTTGACGAGCTCTTCCATCGTTACGGCACACCGGTGATTGTTCTCAATCTTATCAAGAAGAAGGAGAAGCAGGAACGCGAGGTTAAGCTGCTTCGAGCTTTTGGCGAATGCGTCACCTATCTCAACCAGTTCCTGCCAACCAGCAAGAAGATTCGATACATCGCATGGGACATGAGTCAAGCGAGTAAAGACCATGCTCAGGACGTCATCGGCATCTTGGAAGACATTGCCGAAGAGACGCTCGCCACAACGCACTTCTTCCATTCCGGTCCCGAGCCTAGTGCCTTCAGGCCACGTGCCACTACGCAGAGCAACTCCAATGTATCTGGAAAGGGACCTGCCGCTCCGGGTATGCGTGTTGACGGCTGGGGACATACATCGAAGGCCATCAGCGGAGAAATTGCAGGCTCAGCGTTTGGTGAGGGCACCCGAAGAGAAACAATCCTTTTACAAGAGGGTGTTGCGAGAGTCAATTGCGTCGATTGCCTTGACAGAACTAATGCTGCTCAATTCGTCATCGGCAAAGGAGCCTTTGGACACCAATTGCATGCACTTGGATTGTTGGACAACCCGTACTTGGAGTTCGACTCGGATGCCGCCAACATGCTGACCGAGATGTACCACGACCTTGGAGACACAATCGCCATGCAGTACGGAGGATCTGCTCTCGCTCACACGACAGACACCTACAGGAAGATCAATCAGTGGACTTCACATTCTCGGGATGTGCTAGAGACCATGAAGCGATACTATGCAAACTCGTTTGCCGATGCTGACAAACAAGCAGCGATCAACCTCTTCCTCGGTGTAGACCCCATGGCACCAGATTTTGCACCGCACGTGTTTCCGGAAACCATCACAGTCGGCAAAGAGCAGGAAAAGAAGGCGGTACGCGCGGTACCGTTTCGGCCTCACTACCAGAACTGGTTCGATCCTTTGCACCTGAGGCCGCGCGGCTCCATCGAGGCTCGTCAACGAAGGTTGAAAGAAGTCGCTAACGCTGATGCCGGGTTCTGGGCCGAGTACTACCGCCCGAGTCTCTTCACGGATCTGAACCGCCACCACGCCTTCAAGATGACAGCTGTGCATCAGTACTCGCATCTTCATGGCGGTGTTTCGCACTCGTCAGGAGGGCTTGGCATGCCTCACAGCCAGTCAGCAGGTGCGTTGAGCATGTACTCGACGCAGATTGGCGGTGCAGCTGATCTGCGCCGTCATGTTCGTTCGGCGTCCAACTCAAGTTTGTCTTCAGCGCAGTTCAATGCGATGCAAGCTGAAGTCCTAGTCGAGTATCCTAGCCCTTTCAAGCCTCGGCGTGGTGGTGCTTCTGACTCGTCAGCCTACAGAAGGCATCATGAGTTCGGACGCCAATCTATCGAAGATGCCCGAAGCTTCACAACGCAAACATCGACGACCTTGGTCAACGACGGCCGAAGTCCCGTTTCGCCTCGAAGTGAGCAGCACTTCCCTCCTTCGCCTGCAACATCAGCAACGAGCGCTCTGCCACCATCCAAGGCGATCATCGGTGGTGTGAAACGATGGATCTCGATCAACAAACCCGGAGGTTCGCCTCGGCTCGGGAGCTTTGGACATCGCAAATCGAGTAAACGCTACAGCATTGCGTCTTCGGAGGGAGGAAACGGTGATCGCCACGATACTAGACGCGGTGACACGGCTGCACCGAATCGCAGCTCTGGTGTGGCCGGCTCTGGTGCACTCCTGTCTGCTACGACTGGCAGCGGCGGCTTCGACCCGCACACATTCAACTTTGCAGGTCGTTGGCAAGCTGTGGGTCCCACGGTGTCTGGATCGAATGTAGCAATCGAAGCTGCGCTCAACAAAGCATGCAATCCGCACATCTCGGAAGAGGAAGAGGAAGAGTACGCGTTCTACACAACACAATTTCTCGATGAGTACGCACGACCGAACGACGCCGACCTTGAAGACGACAGCAATGGTGACGTTGAAGCCAACGGCTTGGTCAAACAAGTCCGGCCTGCCAGTGCGCCATTAATGGATCACCACCTGATCGATGAGAAGGACATTCAGATCTACGAGGAAGGCGTTGCTGTTAGTGACGGTCGACCCGCTGCAGTCGACAAATTGATACGGTATTCGACGATCGATCCGATCTTGGTTAATCACGCAAACGCAATCAGTCAACTCTCTGTTCCGGTCGTTGCGGCCTCCTCCTCGATATACCAGCCGATCCCTATGTGCGCAGGTGTGTCAACAAACACTCCCGCTACAACGATGCCTTCAGCTGGAGCTTCAGGGTTGACGACATCTGAAGCGAAGATCAGGGCATATAGCTCTTGGCTCTCCTTGGGACAGACAAAGCTAGCCAGCTTCTGAACAATTGCTCCCAACGGATCAGCACAGGCCCACAATGCAATAGACAATGTTGACAAATGCCATCAGTGTGATGGTGTTATAATGCGATGAAGTACAATTGTTTGTGGACATGGGATGATACAAATACAGATGATGTGAGTACAATGAGCGTGTGATGCCAGAGAGCGCCAAGCTTATGGGTATGTTGAAAGTGTTGCGAGCAGAGTATGGGAGACACAATGAGGCAGATTAGGGCGTATCACTTGAACATGACTTGAACAGAATACGTCTTTCCATCAGGATCATAATAGCTCCAAGTTGAAGGTTCCGCCCGGGGTCTTGCTCCTGGTGCTGACGACGTCACCAAACCTGTATCTCTCCTATCAATCTCTTTACTCTGCAACTTGAACGCAATTGTTTCATACGGTTCCGCAGCGACCACCAGATACTGGTAGTTCTTGTCCGGTTGCTCGACCTTCTGTTCAAATGCACCCATAAATCGATGCATCGGCGTCACACCATCCTTGATCTCTGGCAATGAAACTTGGAACAACAACCCTGACCTAGCTCCTTCTCCACCTTCCAAAAACGGTTCGCGAACTTTCGTCACTTTATAGCCAGGTCGACCGATCTTGATGAACTGCTTCTTGGGGATTGTTTCGGCAGCTGAAGCGGTTATGAGCTTGTTCGAGTCGTAAGCGTTTTCTTTAGCCTCTCTTGCTGCTCGACGAGCGAGGTTGGTCTGGTGCTTTTTTCCCTGTGTGTGAGCAAGGTAGGAGCCTTCGTTCGTGTGTAGGGTGAGGCAGAGTCGACATTCCAGTCCGCCAAGATGATTTTTGAGGAGATACGGGTCTTTGGCGAGGTCAATTGTTTCAAGGGCGAGCTTGCGAAGACGGTCACGACGATCGACATTTGATTCGGAAGCTCCGGCAATACCGGCTCCTTTGTTGCCTCCTCGAGAGGAGAAGTCCATCTTGTGCTACGAGCTCTGCGGGGGAATCAGAACCGATGTTGGTCAGAGAAGATAGTTTGTGAGCTCGGTGAAGCTGGCGGGTAAAGTAAGGGATAAAATGATGCTACAAGTGATGTTGGTCGGCGATTCCAATGCTGTTGGGAAGTCGAGGTGTAAGTGGCAAGTTCGCAGTATACAAATTGTGGAGACAAAGTTGTTCGAAGCAATGACCGACACCCGAAGATTCAAGGTTCGAAAGTGGCAGTGTTACATCATCTATTCACAACATTACCAAAAAAAAAAATTAAATTGGACGATCACTCCACATGATTTATTTTAGCACAGAACGCATTCTCAGGCTCAGCTGGCCGCGAACACGCAAGCTCGAGGGAAGCGCTTGAGCCACCTCCGGCAACACCGACCTTTATCTTTTCATCTTTGCTCCTATCATCGACCTTTCTTGCCCCACATCGCAACACTCACCATTCAGCTCTTTCTTTGATCTTCCGAGAAAGTCTCTGAATATCATCACCAACTAGCACATAGATCAGAGGCGGTACCGAACTTAGCACATACAAGATGATCAACTTCCACCCAGGTCAGACCTGGTCGTCGAACCCCAACCAGGCTTATGCCAACATGGGCTCACCGTCCTTCAACTCCACAGCCGCCTCCTCGTCATCCGATCCCACCTCGCACACATCTCAACCCATCGTCACTGGTACCTCGGTCCTCGGACTCAAATACAGAGATGGCATCATGCTTGCAACCGACACTCTCGCTTCCTACGGTTCTCTCGCCCGTTTCATGGACATCACTCGCATCTCCCAATTCGGCCAAAACACGCTCATCGGCGCCAGCGGAGACATGAGTGACTGGCAATACGTCCAACACATGCTCAACAAACTCGTCACGTCCGAAGACGTCGCCGCAGACGGTCACCACCTCACACCCACCCAAATCTACGCCTACCTCGCCCGCGTCATGTACAACCGTCGAAGCAACGTCAACCCGCTCTGGAACTCTTTCGTTCTCGGCGGTGTTGATCCCAAGGACGGAACACCTTTCTTGGGCTACGTTGATCTGTTGGGAACCACTTTCACAAGCAGCACAATCGCTACCGGGTTCGGTATGCACTTGGCTCAGCCATTGTTGAGGAAGATGGTCGAGGGTAGGGAAGATAGTTTAACGGAAGCAGAGGCAAAGGATATCATGGAGAACTGTATGAAGGTATTGTTCTACCGTGATGCGAGATCGTTGAACCGGTTCAGGGTTGCAAAGGTGACGAAGGATGGGTGTGAGATTTCGGAGCCTTACAGTGTTCCAACTTCGTGGGGCTTCGCTGAGATGTTGCGTGGATATGGTCCTCAGACTCAGTGATGCTCGACAATCTCTTCATGCTACTTGTACCGATATGACCATCCTATTTGCCTCTTCTTCCTTCTTTCGATCGCGTGACGACCATGTTGGAGAACCAAGAGCTTATGTCCGTGACGAGATGGGAGGTGCAAAAGCGCCCGAGATAGAATCACGGAGATGATCTATCGGGAGTGGTGACATGCCGATCTCGCTCGACCAATTGGGCTGCAGGAGCTCATTTCCGCACGCTGTGTCGGCTCACTGTAGCGGCAGAGACCGTCAGAAGCCTGTGTTCAGAACTGGCGATGGCACAGACGAAGCTCGAAAAGGCAGAAGGCCGACATGCCCACATCTCATGATTGCGAGACACGTGCAGCCCAGCGGCGACGGCTTTTGTCGGGTAGGAAGAAGTCAGCTCTGAGCGGCAGCAAGACCTCGACAATGGTCGATCGTCGGTGCATCCGACAAGGGTTTGTGATGGCAAATGCAGAGATTGGCGCGGATGATATGCTCTGTCGGACCAACTCAGCCTTGGCTTCCAAAAGCCTGGCGGCTGTTAGTTTTCTGAAGACACTTTGAAAATTGCTTTCTTCTTTGAACTCCGATCGACTGACATGCGCTTATTTTGACCGTCGATGAGAAAGAGGCGGGACATCGAGGTCTGCCCCTTCGACATCGAGCCTCAACATCTTCCACGCCGCCGACTTGATGATGTTCGACGTTATCAATCATCGAGCCAGATCTGCAGCGAGATGATAAGTTTCCAAGTTGCGACGCATGCAGGCAACGACGCAGGTAGTTACCTCTTGGCTCTTTGTGGCGCCTACTGTACTGTACCCTCCAGCAACGAACGAGACAGCCGCCAAACATCATAAGCGACAGTGGTGGGTCAAACTAGCGCCTCGGTCTGCGACAACAACCCTATCCGCCAGACAAGAGCTTGGCCTTACAGTTCCCCGCCGCATAAAGCGGCATCCGGAAGAGCCGAGGCATGAATCATACAGCCAAAATTATACTCTACAAGCACATCAAAAGTGTGATGTTACACAAGCATATCAAAAGTGTGATGTTACACAAGCATATCAAAAGTGTGATGTTACACAAGCACACGTTGTGATCACGCGTCGTCACGTAAAACCTTTTTAAACGTTCTAAACCTTCTAGCCACGGAAATGTCGCCCCTGTCAGATTGTGTCAGAGTTTTTTTGTCCACTTCATCCCGACTCTGGCCACGCAGGTCTCGGTCCTCCGGCGTTGCAGTTTCGGCTTAATGGGCCCACAAGATGAGGACGAAGGTGAAGCTGATGACCGAGGCCCCACCACAGTCCATCATCTCCGGGAATGGAGTTCTTCGCGGGTGCCCGTGTGCCCGGATAATGGTGACAGGACAAACCATCCCACTCAACGTGTTTGCCGTGGATCGGTGTGCTTGCAGTACGATGCGGCATATATCGGAACTGGCTCCACCTTGTGTTCTCCGCCTTGGGTTCTCCGCCTCGAACGTCGAAACATTCACGAGCCTCGCCAGTAGGCACTCGGAATTGTAGCGGAAGCAGTCAAGCTCGCTGACAGCTGTCAAACCGAGCTTGTCGCACTCCCGCTGCACTGCCCAAAGCGTTGTCAAGCACACACCATCGTCCACTCCATCATCGATGAAAGTTTGACGTTTCACAGCCCACTTGGCCCCTTTGTTCTCTCCTCCATGCCCCACTGAGGCATTAAGGCTCATCCACCCTGCCCGCAAGTCCCACAGCTAGGCATAGCAACTGGTGGAGAAGCCATTGCGCTGTGTTCGTTCTTCGGAGACTCCGAACAAGCTGATATATCTGCTTCTTCCCATATCACAAATCGACGTGATACGAATTCGCCAAAAACCAAGCGTGACGTTCGTTGTTGTCCTTCTTCTAAATCATGAAGGTGTCTCTTAGCATCACTCGTGAGAGGAAATGCCTCATCTCAACCCATCTCTCTGCATAAATGCAAGACCCCTAATCATAAACTACCACCGTCACTGAGCTGACAAGACTCAGTGGTGCATGGAGCTTCATCTCCAGTATTGCTGAAATTGAGGGCTGAGCGAATTTTGCCCTCACCAACGACAGCCGACCCACTCACTTTGCAGCCGCTTCAGGCAGATTTCACAGAGCCTGAAAGCCATTCGGTGGGCACACCGCCCCACCTGTCCACTATCACAGCTCATGTCGGCGTGCAACGACTGCGCCCCTTCATTGCCTGGCGCATCATTGTTCAGCTTTGAGGTGTGGCAGGAAAGGTGGATGCTCGAAGCTCGTATCTGAAGCTATAAGTATGCTGTCCCTGATTTGACGTTCCGCTTCCTTAGTCTCGACTTCACCTCTATCGACTCTCTTGACCTGCGTGAGACCATACAGCCTTATCCTACACAGGGTCTCGGCATAGTCTCTTCAAATTATCGCCCAAGTAGGGTGCTCCTCATCACTTCGCCCCCATTCTCCATCTCTGCTCCCCTCCATCATGAGGTTCTCTTGGGTCTCATTGGCCCTGGTCGGCCTGGTCGCTAAGGATGCTATGGCCTTGCCTGCCGCTGTCAAGGACACTGATTGCGACGACAAGGCTCAGCCACGTAGCATCCAGGGCAACGGTGGGTCGAGTGACTCTGACACCTGGCTTGGTCCAGACATACTTGGCCCAGGTGGCGTCGCCAGCGTCGTCCGTCAGGTCAGCAAGGACATCGAAAGCCAAGGGCAGAACCCAGAATCTTACGGCTTAGGTCTCATGCCGGGACACGCTCACTGGTCTGGCTACCAACCTGACCAGCCCCACCACCACGATCACGGTAACAAGCATGAATGGGATTGGAGCTGGTATGAGCACGAAGAATGGAACGGTCACGAACACAAGCATCACGATCATGAGCACGGTCACGAACACGAGCATCGCGATCATGAACACGGTCACGAACACAAGCATCGCGATCATGAGCACGGTCACGAACACGAGCATCGCGATCATGAGCACGGTCACGAACACGAGCATCGCGATCATGAACACGGTCACGAACACGAGCATCGCGATCATGAACACGGTCACGAACACAAGCATCGCGATCATGAACACGGACACGACTCAGGCTCTCACCATCCTGTTGGACCAATCCAGCCCGATGGCAAGACATTCAAGTGCGTTCCATACGACTACACCCCTCGCACTCGCGAGTTCGACTGGACCCTCACCTATGGTCCCTCTGCTCCCGATGGCTTCGTCAAGAAACGCATTCTCATCAACGGCCAATCCCCCGGTCCTCTCATCGAAGCCAGCGAAGGCGACACTATCGTCGTCAAGGTCAAGAACCGCCTCGACCAGGGCACCTCCATCCACTGGCACGGCATGTTTCAGAACAGCACTCCTTTCATGGATGGTATCGCTGGTTTCTCCCAGTGCCCCATTCCTGCTGGTGGCGAGCTTACCTATCGTTTCAAGATCGAGGGTCAGTATGGCTCTTACTGGTGGCACAGTCATTCCAAGATGCAGTATACCGACGGTCTGTATGGTGGGTTGATCATTCGTTCCAAGGATGATCCTTACCAAAAGTGTCGAGACTATGACGATGAGAAGGTGTTCCTCTTCGCCGACAATTACCACGATTTTGCCGATGACATCGTCAACCAGCTGCTCTCGGTCAAGGGATACAACGGTTCATCTGCTGCGCCCTCTCCTCAATCTGGTCTGATCAATGGCAAAGGTCAATTCAACTGTGCTGGCTTAGCTCGAGCCAAGGGTAAACAGCCAGGCATGCCAAGCAAGTGCACCCAGCTCCCCACACCAACGATGGACATCGAACCGGGTAAGAAGTACCGCTTCCGCTTCATCAACACCGGTTCGCACGCCCAACACATCATCTCGATCGACGACCATGAAATGGAAGTTATCGGCTCGGACGGTACTCCAGTCAAGCCACACAAAGTCCATCGTATCCCCATCGCCAACGGTCAGCGACATGATGTGCTTGTCAACACCACCGTCGGCAAAAACGGGGACAGCTTTTTGCTGCGCTCTACCATGATGACTGCTTGTTTTTCCTTCGTCGATCCTCTGCTTGATCCTGTCGCAAACCTCACCCTTCAGTACAAGCGGCCAGGTAGCCAGGTCAGACCTCGCCCGCCCAAGCCGCATGACTGGATGGATACGATGGGTACGCTGTGCAAAGATCTCGATGATTCCGAGCTCGTCCCTGCTATCGACACTTCGGTGCCTGCCAACCTCAACCCTAACTCACTTGGCATCTTCAACTCACAATTCGGTAACCTCGTCCTCGCTAACGGCTCAACCCTCGGCAGGTTCTTCATCGACAACATCACCCATACCAACTACGTCAACAAACCCTATCTCGAGCTCGCACGAGCTGGTCAACAGATCAACTCCTCCACCGTCGCATCCCTTCTCGTACCCGACGACGTCTGGGTGGCAGATATCATCATCAACAACCAGGATAACTTCCTTGACCATCCTTTCCACTTGCACGGTACCGACATGCATATCATCGCTCGCGGCACGGGTAACTTGACACAGGAAGGCTGGTCGAAGCTGAACCAGCAGCCTGGTGCCTTGAACTTGCACAACCCGCTCAGGAGGGATACAGTCTCGGTCACGAGGAGCAGTTGGATCGTAGCTAGGATCAAGGCTGATTTGCCTGGTGTGTGGCCGTTGCATTGCCATATTGCTATGCACGTGGCTGAGGGTTTGATGGCTGCAGTGGCAATTCACCCGAAGAAGATCCAGCAGTTGAAGTTCAGTCAGAAGGTACTGGATTTGTGTCCCGGCCCGACTGCTCCGATTAGTGTCTTGAATGAAGTGGAGCCTGCTTAAGCAACCACTCACTTCAGATTCTTCGGCAATATTGTTATGCTCGTGCTGTCTCGTCTTATCAGCTTCGTATACGTCCTAAGCATGCATCGAAGTCTTTCGATCTTGTCCTTACGCATCTCCCTCAATTTTCGCTTTCTTTGTAAATGTTCCTGATCCTGCTCTGTGCGAGTGAAGCAACGCCTTGCCTGCGAAACCTGAGTTGTCGTGAGTTTGTGATTGCATTGCGATACAAAAACATGATGCTGAGAAGGTATGATGTTGAAAGTATTTTCCTGTGAGAAGCGTATGATCAAATGATCCTCAAACTCCAAGCTCCCTGACTTGGCACACCGGCCAACTCCCCCAAACCAAAACCCAACTGCTTCAACACCTCCTCACTGGTCTCGTGTCCCGTAGACTTCATCAACTGAACCAAGTCCTCACAAACCATGTGCCTACCCGAATGATAAGCTGTCCCATCCGAATCATTGACAAAGATCAATGGCAACAAGAAATGCGCCGGCAACCCAGCCTTCTTCACCTCTGTTTCGATCTTGCCCTGCATAGCAACCTTTAGCATATCTGTAATCGCAGGGAGGGTGACAGTTATGTATGCTTCTGGATCATTACCCGGTACTGGAGGTTGGTTGGAGTATTCTACCTTCAACGGGCCAAGATAACCTGCCCAGACGTCGAGAGGGATGGGATCGGAGGTGATAGCTGCCGGAACAATGAAGTTGGTAACGGTGGTAATGAGGGTATGTTTGGTCTGATCGTAAGTGGGCATAGAAGTGATGAGAGGGAAAGGGGTCATTGGGACTTCGCATGGTCCTTCATCTTTGGATGCTTGAGTTGCACTCGTATCGAAATATGAATATTCGAATCGAGAGACACCGATAACGGTCCATATGAATGCGTCATCTACTTCATCCACCACCTTGGTACCTAGATTGTGCTCTTTCGCCACAGTGACCTGCTTAGGCGTAACATAGACGATTGAGTTGCTCTCTGAAGACTTGTTCCGATCAGTAGTGTCGGTAGGTGGCTCGTCAAAGCCAAAGCCTTCTTCGTGGGTCAGAGCGTAGTTGACAGCTAGAGGTCCCGCACCGACTTTGTCTGGCAAAGCATGCTTCCAAGAGTCAGGAGCCATGGCACAGAGATAGCTGCGAGGGATGGAGAAGTTCGACTCGAGGTGCTCGGAATCACCAAAGACTGTTTCACTGTCGCTGCTGGGCACGAAGCGCATCAGCGCCACCTTTTGAAGCTGTCCGACTGGTCCGTACAGATTGAGATCGTCGGGGTTCTTGCTGTCAGAACTTCCGTTGCCGTTGGCCGTGGGCGCAGTCGATAGTGCGTTCGAGGCATCGCCTTCGATCTTGATAGCTGAAGTCATACTGCTTCCTGGCTTCTCGGCCGGTTTGCTTGCCACCGCAGTGGTCGAAGCATGTCCGTTGCAAGATGACTTGCTGACGGCTGCAAGCTTGTCGCGCAGGGCTCGGTCGATTGGCACTCTGCGAGACTTGTTACCCGTTCCGGCAGTGAGCAGTTCCGCTGGAGGATCGAGCTGCGGCAGTTGCACTTGGCCTTTATCAACCTTACATACCACCAAAGGGTCGCTGCTGAACCTCGTGTTGACATCTGTCAAGACAATCGTTGAGCCATAAGTAACACTATCCTCTTCAGCACCAGCAAGGTCCGCTAGAGGAGGTCTCGAGATGAGAGTGATGCGATAGGTCGACCAGTCGCCACTGTGCACTGTGAGACTGCCGTCTCCACTGCTGTGCATGTACTTGGTCCTGGCTGTCTGCGAGTTGATGCGATTGAAGAGCGACACTAGCGATCCGTTCTGCACCTGGTTGGTCTGACCTCTCGGCTTAGCCGTCTTCTTGGACGACTTGGAGATGATGGTGACTGGTGCAGACTCGAATGATGCCCAGGCGAGACCTTTTGGCAGGCGGGAGAGCGGTTCGGAGCTGGTGTCGGCTTGGTCACCAGCAGGACTGCCGACGCTCATAGCTGGAGAGAGCGCATCTGCAGTGCGTGACTTCTTAAGTGGGCTGAAGATCGGCAGATGCGGTTCGAGACCGGATGGGCGGAGGAGATTGAGCTGCAGGCGGAATGACTTGGAACGACCAGTTGGTGTGACATAAAGAGACCGCATCTTGGTTTCGAGCTGACTGTCAAGGACTGCGACGTTCTCGTTCGAGTAGAATTCATCCGTATCTCCTCGGACAAGCAGGCTCACTCGGCACTGGTCCTCCTCGTCGGCATCCTCGGATGTTGATGATGTGGTGAGAGTAGCAGCACCATGCTCGGCATATCTTCTTAGTGGGCCAGTGACGCTAATAATGGGCGGTGGATTGAAAAAGCGCTTCTCCGATCCATAGCTCTTTTGCGCTACCGAGGCGTGAGCGCATCGAATGGTGGTCATCTTGGTCTTGGAAGCATCTGCCGCAGCGATTGGCCCAGTGACGGTGTTGGGCTTTGAGAGTGTATCGATGCTGGCAATGTACTCGGAGAGGGCTTTTTCGACTCTGCTGCGTCGCTCCATGGGACCAATCTCACGGTATTTGCGCTTGCCGAGCACCTTTTTGGGTTTCTTGATGGGTTTAGCTTGCTTTGGGGGCGACTTTGGCTTGGTCGGCTCTTGTGGCTCTTTAGCAGCATCTGTTGCAAGGTTCAAGGAGACTCTGGCTTGTAGGGAGGCCATGAACTGCTCCAGACTCGCGGCGAGTTGGTCATCGCCAGCCGCACTAGGTTGTTGTTCGCCGTCAGTCGAGGCGGCAGGAGCTTGTTGGGCATCTTGAGCTGTTGTTGCGGTGGCATCTTGGGTTGCTGCCGAAGCGTCTTGAGTGGTCTGTGGAGAGCCGTTTGCATCAGTGGAGAAGAGATTGGCCTGACGCAGCAGATTGTCGACGAAGGACTGAGCTGCGGTGTCTGCAGAGGTGGATGCCTGCGGCTCCGGTGTAGGAAAGGCGGTCTCGTTGCCCGAGCCAGAAGCAGGCTGGGGCGTCGTTGGTCCAGCATTCTCCTCTTGCTGTACTGGAGCAGGTGAGCCTGACTGCGGCGTAGGCATGAGGGAGGCAATAAGCGTTTCAAAAGAGGCAATGTCCTCGGCAGTCGCTGGTGTTCCCTGAGCTTGCGTTGGTGTGTTGTAGGCAGTGTTCGTCGCCGAGGCATCAGCAGGAGTATGGAGAGCATCCGTCGGAGTGCTTCCGAATTGGCCGGCAAGACCGGCAGTGAAAGCCTGTATTTGCTCTTCCAGCGAAGGCTCCTGATGCGCACCAGACTTGTCTTGCGTGTGATTGGCTTCAGGTAGGAAACTGGCGAGGTTTGTAGCATCTAGCGTGGGGATGCCATCCATGATGGTCAAGTCCGGAACATGCGCTTGCGAAGTTGATGTGCTTTCCTCCTGCTGAGTTGAGCTGGTGCTGTCTTGTGGTTGAGACTGCTGAGCATCTGAGGAGTTGTCCGCGTCATTCGGGCCAGCCGCGGCCGGATCTATCGATTCTCCTGCCTCCATTATACCAGCGCTATGTTCTGTCTATGTGAAGATGTTCTGATAACATTCGCACAGGGATGAGCTGGCCGAGCAGGCTCACAAGCTGTGTTCAAGTCGAGAAGGTTTCGAACTGTCTGCGTCGGATGTGAAGCCGATCGATACGGCCTTGTTGATGACAGCAATTGTCGGCGATGCCGATCTCAGTCCGAGTTCGAGGATGCTGTGTGAGTACTGAGATGGCCGTGTGTGTGTCTAGGAGTGGTATAGTTATATGGATATGAAAGCAGGGAAGAATGCTCTATACTTTCATCACTGTCGGCTTGTCCGAAATTTAAGGCTTTCGTCTAGCTGCTCTTGCATCCAAGAGGAAGTTCAGAGCTGTCCAAAATTGAAAAATTTCCAGCCTTGAGACCAGAGACCCACTTTTTCCTGCTTCCTTCTCCACCTTTTCGATTCTCAATCACAATCTTCATAAAAAGCGCAGAAATCAAATTGTCTAAAAATTGTGACCACAAAAAGGAGTAGAAAAAGAAAAAGAAAAAGAAAAAGAAAAAGAAAAAGAGAGGCCCTCCACTTTTGTGGGCTTCCAACGCGCTCGGTTCCGGCCGTGAGGCGCTGTGTTGCTACTGCTGCTGCTGAGTTGTAGTTGAAGATGCGTCGGCATCTCAAGCAAGGTGCACGTGTTACGGCCGAGACATCGAGATACGGGAGGCTCACATAAGCGAGGAGCACAATGAGGTACGCAATTGTTGTCATGGTGACAGCACAGTGGCACCCGGTATCATAGCAACACAGGGGTACAAATGAAGGAACACACCCTGCCTCGGATGGGATCAGAGCAGTGAATGGAGTATATATATGTGTTTGTCATTTAGTCTCACACTAAGAAAACTAAGCATTACATAGAACATACGGCTGTGGCAAAGGGAGTCTGATCGTGACCCCGATAACGCCGTATATTAATTGTTATCTTCAATTGATTAAGAGTCTGAAGAAGCTATCACCGAGCTAACCGAAAACTCGCCGACAACCATGGTAGAAGACACCGAAACGAGGACTAAAGGAAGCAGAAAAGGCAAGAACACCCAGGTTCGGGTCGACAATAATGCCACGAGCGAGAACGAGCCGGAGGCCATCAACGATGAAGCCGACGGAGACACCGATTCCGACTCCGACTTTGATGATGGCGACAAGCGATATAACTTTCGCACCCTAGCAAAGCTCCTTGAACCTGTGCCAAAGCTCACGTCACGAAACTACCATAGCTGGAGCGCTCACGTGAAATCTTTCCTCCGATCCGTGCCTCATGCGATGAAACATCTCGAGGGAACGTACGACAAGAAACACCCGAAATGGAGCCGCTCCCTTGACGATGCTTTAATTAATGCCCTGCGTGGAACAATCGATACTACCGGAGAACACAATGTAAACTACCTCGTTCTAGATGTAATCAAGGAGTACCTTACTTTCAACCAAGTATGGAGAAAGATCGAAAACGGTCTCACGAATGAAGCCACCAAGACGTCCCACAGACTTGCGCTTATCTCGCAACTCAACGATGCAAAGATGTTTCACTCGGATGCCAGAAAGCTAATCCAAGAGATCCGGTCCATACAAACTGAAAGCAGTCTCCTCGGAAAACCATTCGCCGATGATACATTGTTCTCGGCCCTGCAGAAATGCACGATCCGGCATCCGGTGTACAAGGAGACGGTTGCCACCGTCCATCAAATCGACTTCAACGCCCTTGCCACCGCATTAAGCATCCGGCAGACTGCTGTCGAGAGTGTCCCCGCACAAAGGATCGACCCCCGACAAGCCAGCGCTAGAACCGCCGGCAACGACGATCAAAATGAACGGGCCGGAGAGACCGAAGCCGAAGCCGACAACAGCCACGCGAGCCCGAGAAACGCAAGCAAACCACGCCAAATCCGATGCTGGATCTGCAAGCAACCGGGACATGGTATCAGCCAATGCGACGCCTTGGTTACCATTCCCAAGGACTCTCCCCTCGCTGAACCCAAATAGGAAGCGTGGTGCTCCCTCACCCTCCCAATGAAATGGCAGGACCCCTCGAACCCAAAAGAAACAGCTCATTGGATCTTGGACTCGGGGGCGAGTTATCATATGGTGAACGACTACAGCATGCTCATTCACCCGAGAACTTGCCGAAAGCGGATAATTACCGCCGGAAGCGAGGTCTTGGAAGCGGCAGCTATAGGAGATGCGAGCATATCAACAGATTACGGGGAAATCTCTCTGCAAAATGTATTGTATGTAAAGCACCTTAATGTTAATCTTCTGTCAACAAATTCATTAACGGATGAAGGAGCACGAGTGATATTGGACACAACCGGCGGCCAAATTTTCCTAACAAACGGCATGACACTTAAGATTGCAAAGAATCGCGAGCGAGGACTTCTGGAGTTCCGAGGCGACACATGGCAAGAAAGCGCGATGGCCACATCAGCACCATTGTTTGAAGGTGTTGATGAGGAGTTCGAGCATATTAAGAATGAGCCGAAAGTTTCAAAGCAACAACTATGGCATGAGCGTCTCGGGCACCCAGGAAGAGATAAAGCTAAGGCGATCACAAACAAGTTAAAGGATAAGCATACCATGAAATTGGATCCAAACACCGCTCTGACATGTGAGCAGTGCGTACGATCCAAGAGCACAAGCGCTCGGATGGGGAAAGGTAGCGGCGAGAGAGCCGTAGGGCCCCTGGATCTTATCCACGTCGATCTAATAATAGACTCGTCCCACGTGACGGAGTACACATGCACGTTGGTGCTGGTCGACGATCATAGCAAGTATGTGTATGCACAGCCATTGACACGAAAGAGTCATGCCTTTATGCAACTTAAAAGGATTGTTTCGTTCCTGGAGACACAGACGGATCGGAAGCTAAAAGCGATCCGATCCGATCAAGGAACAGAATGGAAAAGCAATGATGCATTAGAATGGTCGCTAGAAAAGGGCATAGAGTGGCAAACCACCGTAGGGTACAACAGCAAACAAAATGGACGGGTAGAGAGAATGAACAGGACCCTTGGAGAGAAGATGAGAACGTTGCTAATGCAGAGGAGACTACCGAAGAAGTTCTGGCCATACGCGATCAGAGCTGCAGCGTTCAAAATAAACCTCACTCCGAGCGTTGATAATGAATTCCCTTATCAAGCGATGTTTGGCAAGTCGCCGGAACGAGCTTTAAAGCTCCTACGAGTGTTTGGTTGTCTGGCATGGGTAAACATACCCAAAGTTAAACGGGACAACAAGAAACTGGACCAGCGAGCCGTCGCATCCATTTTCTTAGGGTACAGTCTAGAGAGAAAGGGCTGGCTTTTCTACAGCCCGGACTACAATCCGAACATCTTCTGGAGCAATTCAGCAAAATTCATGGAATCAAAGTGCTGGTCAGACAGAACAGAGTGGCGACCGGTTGATACAAAGGCACCCCCAATGACGATGACAGAAGAAAATCTCGAAGATCTAGGATATAACAAAGAAAATATATTCGACGAAACAGATGAAGAGCCACTACGAGAATACATGGATATGGAGTCAGACTCGGAAGAAAGATTACGCGAAGGAATAGCAGAGGTGATGGAACAAGGACCAATCGCCGAAACTCAAATTGACAGCGAATTCTATGGACTCGTAGCGACGCGACCGGAACGGAGAAAGAACCTGGACCCAACCATACATGAAGCAATGAATGGAGAGGACAGAAAGCACTGGGAGGAGGCCATGCGAAAGGAGCTGGATGGATTAGAGGCGATGGGCACATGGGAGATAGTCGACCTTCCAAAGGGTGCAAACACTGTCGACACACGTTGGGTACTCAAGATCAAAACCGATGCAAACCTCGTGCCAACAAAGTTCAAAGCCCGGCTCGTGGCACGAGGTTTCACTCAACGCGAGGGCATCGACTATACAGAGGTCTTCGCACCAGTAGCACCTATCCAATCCATTCGAGGGGTGATCGCGGTCGCAGCAGTACGAGATTGGGAAATGGATTCTATTGACGTAAAGCAAGCGTACCTGAACTCCACTATACACCATGATGTATACCTCAAGCCCCCAGTAGGAATCGAAATACCACCCGGAAAAGTGTTGAAGGTAGTGAAAGGACTGTACGGTTTGAAACAGTCGGGCCGAGAATGGAACATTGAGTTAGACTCACACCTCCGGACGATGGGATTTCATTGCATGCAGAGCGCTCCATGCCTATACTCAAGAGGGACAGGCGACAAGATCACGATCATCACAGCATACGTGGACGACATGCTGATAACATCACCCAGTCGTGAGGAAATAGACCGCGCAAAGCGGGAGATCATGGACAAATGGGAGACGCAAGACAATGGAAGGATCAAAGAATTTCTGGGTATCAAGATTATACGTGATAGAAGACGGAGGAGGATATCCCTGAGTCTAACGGCATACATCAAGGAAATGGTGAACAAATGGTTAGGAGGAGCAAACGAGAAATCCTGGATACCCATGCTGAGTGTAGCGAACACCGCCGGAGGCGAGCGATGTGAACCTAAGCGAGCAAAGAGGTATCAAGAATTGGTCAGCCAACTATTATGGGTCTCCAACACAGCCCGACCAGATATTGCCTTTGCCGTCGGCGTATTGGCGCGATATATGTCGATCCCGATCGACAGTGCATGGAAGGCAGCTGTCCACGTGGTAAAGTACCTGAACCAAACGAACGAATATCAGTTGCACCTAGGAGGAGAGACAAACGAGCACTCGGATACACCGGTAACGACGTATACCGACGCAAACTGGGCATCCGACCCCACAAATGGACGAAGAAGTACCTCGGGGTCGATAACATATGTGTATGGATGTCCGGTGAGTTGGAAATCACACGTTCAGAAGTGTGTGGCACTGTCGGCAGTCGAAGCAGAGTTTGTCGCCGCTTCCGAAGCGGTACGAGAAACCTTATTCTTCTCATATTTGCTCCGGGATTTGGAGGCCACGGGCGTTCGGCCCGTACTATACACAGACAGCCAGGGGTGCATACAGGTGAGTAAAGACCCAGCCAAACATTGGAAGTTAAAGCACATCGACACACGGTATCATTTCGTACGCGATCACGTACAAGAGGGCGATGTGGAGATCAAATATGTCGGAACGGCAAACAACGTTGCAGATGTCTTGACAAAACCCTTACAGGGTCTTAACACCTCACGATTGGCTAGGATGATAGGACTGGAGATCCCGCCGAAGGGGGGAGTTGAAGATGCGTCGGCATCTCAAGCAAGGTGCACGTGTTACGGCCGAGACATCGAGATACGGGAGGCTCACATAAGCGAGGAGCACAATGAGGTACGCAATTGTTGTCATGGTGACAGCACAGTGGCACCCGGTATCATAGCAACACAGGGGTACAAATGAAGGAACACACCCTGCCTCGGATGGGATCAGAGCAGTGAATGGAGTATATATATGTGTTTGTCATTTAGTCTCACACTAAGAAAACTAAGCATTACATAGAACATACGGCTGTGGCAAAGGGAGTCTGATCGTGACCCCGATAACGCCGTATATTAATTGTTATCTTCAATTGTTGTGCTTCATGTCTGGCTGGCTAAGCAGGACAGCACAGCGCTTTCTTGTGTCAAGGTAGCTCATCTGCTCAACTCAACGCCTTGAGCGGACGCGACTTTGGCTCGAGAGCGAGCCCCAATTTTCGAGATTGATTGCATTTCCGCATTCTAGGAAGAGCTAGCAAGCTTGCTTGACAGCTGAACCTTTGTCACTGAATCTTCCTTCTTTCCAACCACAACCATCTCCGCACTAAGCACATCAATACATTCTCAACACCACACCACACTCACACCATACACCCAACCCAATAACATACAATCGCAATGTCCGACGCAGAAGCTCCTCAGCCAAAGCCCGAGGGCGGTGAACAACTCAACATCAAGGTCAAGGACGCCGATGGAAACGAAGTATTCTTTAAGGTCAAGCGAACTACCAAGCTCTCCAAGCTCAAGAAGGCATACGCTGAGCGAATGGGCAAGCCCGAGAACAGCGTTCGATTCATCTTTGATGGTCAGCGTATCGGAGACGCAGACACTGCAGAGAGTGTAAGTACAAGAACCTTTTGTCCGACTCAGCGGATAAGATGATGTCCCTCCGCCTTTGAGTTCCCACTGGAACTGGGCCATAACTGACACCACGATCATGCTTTCCACACTTTCGCATCCGCCATGTTGTGTCGTTGTCGTTATCAACACAGTTGGGTATGGAGGATCAAGATGAGATTGACGCGATGATTGAGCAGCTCGGTGGCTGCTAAGCGATCCCGCAATCGAATTCGCATCCGTTCATTGCCCTTTGTAGTGTCAACTTGCACACCTATACCCGATTCCAATCTCGGTACGGAGATGTGACAGCATCATTCCGCACTCGCAAACTCTACATCCGATCCACGTTCAATGATGTCCAACACTCCTCTCGCAATGCATTCATGGCGTCAGCGCATCGCAGCTTGATCCTTCACGCTCTTCCACCCTCGCAACATTAGAACATTGGCGTCAATAGCATTCGACCTTTGAAGCCGCCACACCGTTTGACACTACCTCCTCTCTTGTTTCCCTCGTCCAATGCACCTCCTTCCTCGACCCTTCTGTTCCGGCACCTCCAAAGTCGAGCGTGCCTTGCATGTACTGTTCCCACCAATGTATTTGTTCTGCTCCTTCTTTTCTCTTTGCGCCTTCTCATTCGCACTCGTATTCATGGTCAAGACAAAAACCAAGTCTCGTTCACCCAGCCGCACCCCATCGCAACGCAGCGATCGCTTCCTCAACATGGATGAGACAGTCACGCTTCGGTCGCAGCAGTAGGAGCAAAGAACGGGATATCGTATTGTAGAGCAACATCAACTTCGTATCATGCGAGCCAGCCAAGTCGGATGAGGGGTGTATTCGCGCTTCCAGACCTCAGCTCCAACCGTCATCTACACTAGTTTACATGTGACTAGACTTTCGTCCGACGTCTACGCCCACCACCGCATCGGCAACAGAGAACGTCAGCGATGCAATTGAATGTTGCGATCAAAGCGGAGGAGATTGCTGAAACACTGTATCGTTCAATTACCATGCAGGGTTGTGAGGTATTAGCGTTGCGATCGTGAAAGGTGCAAAAGCCCAAGGCAAAGTGCGACTTACATAGTATGCAGGACGCTTCCGATAGCGCTAAAGATGGTGTGGAACAAGCTTGCGATTGAAGAAACAACCGAGCTTAGGCATGATGCTACAGCTGTGTTGTCGGTAGAAGATGAGGGTGTGGGTGTTATTCAGTATTGAGCTTCGAAGGCGTCGGGAGTAACGTGGTGTGAGAGAGAAGGACTTACCTCCCATTTTGGATGAGTATGCTTGCTTGTGGTGAGCGAGAGGGTATTGCCGGTGGTGCGAATGAGTTCTTTCGAATGCCAACGGAGGAGCAAGGTTTGGGTATCGTCGTATACTGTGAGGATGTTCTCGACCGACTGGCTCGTTAGGGTCGTTATATACCTTTCTGAGATTCGGTCCTCGGGCTAGGTCTAGACCGCGAAAGCTATGTCTCATGTACCTGACCCTGACCGATCGTACAAGACTCTGTTGAACAGCATTCCATCATCACAGCCCTGCCGTTCGGCAAGGGAGAAGCGGAAAGTAGGGCAACGCCATACCTCATCGTACCTCCCGTGTCATCGATACACCAATCATAGGCCCGAGCTCAAGCACTAGGAAATAGTCAAGATGAAGGAATGACGTCCTAGAACCTCAAGCCTCGTCTGGTGTCTGTACCGCAGCAGAGAAAGCTCAGGGTGTTGCGTGCGTGAAAAGCTTCTCTCTCATTCTCCCATCCTCCTCGGCAGTCGAGTTGTGCGGAGAAAAAAAAAAAAAAAAAAAAAAAGGAAAAAAAGGAAAAAAAAAAAAAAAAAGGAAAGAGGCACCTGATAGACTCGTGGCTGAGTCACTCTTCACCGCCCAAAACGAGCTGACCCTTTGTTGAAGCCCACATGCGAACTTAGCATCCACTTTTCTTTGTACGACCAACTGCATAGCGTCATACACCTCTTCAAATCCCGCCCTGCATCTCACAACTTCAATGCTACGCTATGGGACGGGACATGGCGGTGTATGATTAAACCTGATTGGGAAAGGGAGGAAAGTGTCGGATAGCCATCGGACGAGTGTAGTTGGGATACAGTAGCAGCCATTGGAAAGGGTCTAACACCATTTTTTTTGTGCGAGGCGTAAAACGTCATCGCGCTTAACCCTCTCTGCTTGCTCATAAACAAGGTTTTCTCGTGTCGCTGCACAAACGGCTCTCGAACACATCATGCTCCGTCGCTAGCACAGTCACTGGGCCCGCCTCCGCACTTCCGGGGAACGAGCCGGATCTGTCCGGAGCTGAGCTGCTTTCTCACGTGGCTGCCGCCACTTGACAACATCTCGACTTCACATCAGCTCAGTCGTGTAGGCGCAAGCCTTTCAACGCAAAGTCAGGAGGAAACTTGGATCTGAGAACGAGCTGGAAAGGAGTTTTGGGTTTGAGGTTCATCAAGTGGTACAAAAGTATGTGTGTGTGTATAGAGTAGGCGATCCAGATTGCAAGGGAGTCGAGAGTGGTGATGCAAAGATTACGGCGAACAAGTTTCGATATCGATTCAAGCCTGTTTCTAAAACATACCAGCCATCTGACCCAACGCAGCACCCTGTTCAGGATACTGCTGAATAAACTTCAACTGAGCTCTTGATGCGTTCTCGTATGTCAATGCATTGATCAACTCCGGTTCAGTCCTAGCGATCTTTGCGGAACGCTCAAAGTATTCGATAGCATCCTGAATCTTACCCTGCTGCAAGCTTAGCTGTGCCAATGTCGCCACGGCCACATCGCAGTCTTCATCCTTATCCAACGCCTTTCTGCAAAGCTCCTCAGCAGCCGTGATATCCTGTTTCCACTGGAACAAGGCCAAAGCCTTGTTGATCATCGGCAGGACGTTAGTAGACCGGCTTTTGGCACCTTCGATCTCAATGGCCTTGTCGAACTTTTCCATTGCCTCCTCGAATTTCTGCTGATCGAGCAGCAACTCGCCGTAGTAGTTGTAGGCTTCGGATGAGGTGTCAAAGTTGCGAAGGAGTTTGCGGAAGGCAGCGGTAGAATGACCAATGTTGCCGTTCTTATAGTGTGCGACAGCGTATTGGACTTGGGAGAAGATGAAGGTGTCATCGAGCGAGGTGGATTTCTCGTAGTCCTTGATGGCCGAGTCGAACTCGCCGAGAATAAAGTTGACTTGACCTCGGTGGTAGTAGATATCGGGATCTTCAGGGTTGGCTTCGATGGCCCTGTCAAAGTCCTTGAATGCTTCTTCCTTGTCAGAGAGCTCCATGTGGACGGAAGCCTTTTTAACCCAGGACTGAACATAGTTAGGTTGGAGCGAGGTGGAGCGTTCGAGGTCTGCGAGAGCTTCCTTTGCGTTGCCGATGACAAACTTGAAGGTTCCGCGCATGTTGTATGCGTTTGCCTCGAGGTCCTCGTTGCTGAGGCCTTGCTCGATGGCCTCATTGAAGAGCGTGAGTGCGTGTGGGTAGCTCTTGGCTTCCAAAGCACCGTAGGCCTTGAGTAGTGTCTCGTCACCTTGCGATGGGTTCTCAGGCAAGGTGGGCTTGGGCTTGGATCGGAAAGCTTCGAGATAAGCTGTGACAAAGGTGGGAGAAGGGAGCTTGGGTTCTCGGCTCTTGAGGATGTCCTGTGCCTTGCCAGTAGCGAGCTTGCGGAGAACACGCTCGACGCTCTCGGTTGCTGTCTGGTCCTTGAATTGGCCGAGGATGGCGACGGCTGTGAAGTCTGCCAACGAGTCGAAAAGAAGCTGAGCCTTGTGCTCGCCGATACCCTCCTGACCATCGGCGGGGTTGCCAAGCTGCTCCTTAGCGACAGCACGACGGTTGAGAGCCTTGACGTAGACCTTATCCATCTTGAGCGCCTCGTCGCAGTCAGCTACGACCTTTTCAGGCTGCTGCAAGTTGGCATAGCAGGCAGCACGGTTGGAGTAGAAGACGGCCATAGGATGAGCGGCAATGGCCTTAGTGTAGTGGCCGATGGCCTTTTCGAACTGACGGTTAGAGTAAGCCTTGTTACCGAGCGTCTTGAGGTATTGCGACAGGCTCTCGCGCTTCGACTGAGGGAGTTTCTGGATGTCGACTTCTGCCAACTCGGCAAGCTGATCGTCGGTAGCCTCGTCGAGCAATGGGCCTGATGGGTCGGAGGGCAGACGATCGGAGCGTTGGGCGGATGCTTCGGTGGAAGACGAGCCAGCAGCCTTCTTCTTTGTACCCTTTTTCTTCTTCTTCTTGTTTGCCGAGTCAGCAGCAGCACCACTGGAAGAGCCGGCCTTCTCCTCGTCATCACTATCACTAACAGTTCCCTTGGCTTTCGACTTGGACGAGGATCGGGAATAGAGGTAGTATCCACCGAGGGCGAGTGTTCCGGTAGCAAGGGCAATGACGAGAGTTCGGTTCTCTTGGACCCATTTCGAGAGCTTGTTGGCGGTGTTGTCGGCAGTGAGCTGAGCTCGTTCAGCGGCCCGCGAAGCCTGTTGCGAAGCCTGTTGCGAAGCCTGTTGCGAAGCCTGTTGCGAAGCCTGTTGCGAAGCCTGTTGCGAAGCCTGCTGTGCGCTAGGGAGGGGCGCCATGATTCCGGATCGAGCAATGAGAAGGAGAGGCGAGAATGGGGTGGTGGATGACGAAGAAAGAACTGGGATCTGTGTGGAGAGAGCGAGCTAGCCCAAGAGCCGGTGAGAGACGGAAGAACTCGACTTCGCTCAGTCCCTGAAATCGATGAGCAGCATCGTGACATACTGCCTAGCCTTTTTTTTTTTTCTTTTTTTTTTTTTTTTCTTTCTCAAAGTTGCACGAAGAAATCGAGCTCTCTCTCTCTCTGTTCTGGCTGTGCGCACGATCTTTGCCTTGATTCCAATCCATGGATCGGGGAGGCGCACAAAGCGAACAGCCGATGCAGAGAAAAAAGAGGTCAGCTTGGAAACAGGAAGAAGAATCATTTTTCCTATGTGGAGCACAGAGAGAGAGAGCGAGAGAGAAATTTCTCTACCGTGCGAAAAGAAGAAACAGGACTTGACCCTGAGCTTTCTCTGGCTCGCTCAAGTTCCGGCTTGTTTGCCGACAAAATTAGCGTTTACCGAAACAAGGCCGCCGGAAATAGGCACAAAGAAGCGTGGGGAGTCAATGCTGATCAATAGCAATGTGTCTATTGGGGCATCTTGGCATTGCTTACTCTATAAAGCTGCTTCTTTGGCCATCACTGGAACATCCTTCTTGCTCATCCCCATCACAATGGTATATACGCAGCTCCAGTATGGTCTCATTCAAGGATATCCAGGAAGCCCATGCACGAGTGTCACCCTACACTCACTACACACCCCTGCTCTCGAACCAAGCAATCGACGCACTCGCGACAGAGACTTTGTTTGGCAGCAGCAGCGATGTCTCTTCGTCAGCTCCGAAGACTAAGGTGCGGCTTGCATTCAAGGCGGAGCACCTCCAACGTGTAGGCGCATTCAAATATCGTGGAGCCACCAACTCGGTCCTCGTTCACCTCGCTGCCGCCGAAGCAGAGCACGATGCCGACCCGAACAAGCAAGGAGGATTCACTCCGGACAGGCTCGTAGTTGTTACACACTCGAGCGGTAATCATGCGGGTGCACTCGCCTGTGCTGCCAAGTCGGCTGGCTGTATCGCTGCAGTGGTCATGCCGGAGAATGCGCCCAAGCCCAAGAAGGAAGCTGTCGCGGGATACGGTGCCAAGATCACATTCTGCAAGCCCACGCTCGAGGCAAGAGAGTCGACTGCCAAGGCTGTCATGCAAGGGTACGAGAAGGAAGGCTATACAGTGCGCTTTGTCCATCCTTACGACGAGCCTCTCGTCATTGCTGGTCAGGGGACGATGGCCTTAGAGATGCTAGACCAGGCTCCACAGCTTGAAGTTCGCGGTGCTTGCTCTCACGCAGCCAACTCGACTTCAAACTCATCAAGACCATTGTATGGCTCGCGAGGCGTTCCACCCACCGGACCAAAAGCCGAGGGAGCATGGCGTAAACGCGACATCTCCGAACCAGTCTTTGACATTGTCATTGCCCCTGTCGGTGGAGGAGGCATGCTCTCCGGTCTCGCCACCGCAGTCAAAGGAGCCGACAACCGAATCATCGTCATCGGTGCAGAACCTGATCTAGTCAATGACGCCTTCCATTCTGTCCAGACCGGCCAAGTCCAGAAACCACCACAGCCACCGAAGACGATCTGCGACGGCCTCCTCACCTCACTTTCACCTCTCACCCTCTCACACATCAAAGGGAACGTCGACACCATTGTCACCGCACGCGAAGAGAACGTCCTCAAAGCCCTCCAACTCCACTGGACCCGTCAAAAGCAGTTCGTGGAACCCAGTGCAGCCGTAGGCCTCGCTACCGTTTTGCAAGGCTTCAACGAAGCAGCGCAGCAAGCTAGTCTCACATCTCCCCACCCTTCCGATCGATCACTGTGGGGACTCAAAGATTGGGTCCAGTATATCGCACAACAGAAGATCGAGGCGGGGGAGAAGCAGCCTGAGATCCGAATCGGAATCGTCTGGAGCGGTGGAAACGTTGAGGTTGGAAAAGTTGTGGCCAAGTTGGAAGAGTATGGTCTGTAGATCGTTGTTGCAATTCCTATTGCTATATCCTATGCGTATACATGTATGTGTTGCTTATCACTCTTTAAAAACTGGCGGTCGCAGAGGCCCACCGACATTGAGACCGTCTCCTTTGCCTGAATACAGTTGATCTTCACGGTTGTCCTTGTCCTGCTTGTACTGATCTTGAGCGATCTGTGCACTTTTGCGGTAGTTGTTGGCTGACTCGGCAGAGGCGTCGTGGGTGATGGGAACGTCGAGACCGACTCGTCGCGCTGTGAGGCGGATACGCTCTTCTTCGGTTATGCCTGTCGTTGGGTTGTATCTTTGCAGCAGTTCCTGGAGTGAACGATACACGGCAGGGGGCCAGGGCAAGATGTGAGTAAGCGAGCTTTTGAACAAAGCGGCGGCGGAAAGGCGTACTTACGGCGTGCAAGGCCTTGTTCTGGAGGAACACATGAAGATTCTCGAGGTTCTGCTGACGGAACTCTGCTGATGACTTTTGTGGGGCAATGAAGGGTGTGTAGCTGCTGCTTGCTGAATTCTTTGAGTCTGTGATTGTGCCGTTCTCAGCATCTTTATATTCCTTCTGCAGGTAGGATACGAGCGGGCCATTCTTTGCCTTTGCGAGTGTAAGCATAGAGAAGAGATCGAACGGGATTAGTCACTCGACGATCTTTGGAAGCTTGGTCGTCATGTAGATCCTTACCGAGCGCTCCGCCTCCTTCAGCACATTCTGATACAGTGTCTTGACAGCCGAAGCCCTTGTTGTTGTCGCGAACATCTTGACGGCTCTGTCCCTTTTGTATTGGTGTGGGTCACTGAGAGCAAGCAGTGCAAGGGTGCAACCTTGGCACATCACTCTCTGAACCTGCAAAAGGGTCCCACTTCCGCAATCCGAGCCTGCACTTTTTTCTCGCACGTATCCTTCTCAGCTTGCAAAAAGAAGGAAAAAAAAATCAAAAAAATCAAAAAAATCAAAAATCCGACGCTCGACTTGAACATCACTTTCCACCTCAACTCCATCTGTTTCTTCCTTACCACCACATCGCCTAGGTGCGGTGTTCAGCCAGCATCCCTATCTTGCTGGCTGCTGGGTGTAAACAGTAAGTCTCACTTCAAGCCTGCGACAGCAGCAAGATAACGCTCTCAACCATGGCAGCTAAGGACCAAGATCAAAGGGATGATAGTTACCCCGATGGGCGGACATAAACACCCCTGCTCTCTTCTCTTCTTTTTGCTTAGCTCTAGTGTACAAAATTGAGCGGCTGGAGTAAGACGCAATTACTTTGGTGATCGTGTATAAAAAAGGGACAGGCATTTGTTGATATCTACATCGGATTCTGATTTGTTTTTCGTCCGACGCTGGTCTTTCTGGCTTTGAAGGCAGTTTCATGGTCTGTCTACGGATGCTGAGGGCGGCTTACGAGCCCATGATGCGTGCTGGAGCGGGACTTGCTGGGATAGCATGTATGTGTCCTTGCCGAGACTTTCGCTGACATCTTTGCCTGCTTCTTCCTTCTCTTCTTGCCCAACTGCGTGGTAGATCATGAAGTCAAATTTGTTTCTATCGTCTCTTGCTTGTGTGCTTTGTGTTTGTGCTTCTCTTGGGACCCTGCGACCATCTGAACTGCTCTTGACTCACGCTATGAGAAGATTGTCTCCTCGCCAAAGGCGTGACCACAGCTGAAGCTCGTCCTGGGGTCTATCGCGAGAACGCGCCAAGCCAGAACTCGGAACGCGGACCTCAAAAGCGACACTTTGAAATCAGGCTCCTGTCTCTTGTCCTTCTCAGACACCCTCCTCTCCCTTCCTTCTTCCGCTTTCACTTCCGCTTGTCCTCACAGCAGCCATAATGAGCGCACCAAAGATAGCAGACACATCTTCGGCGCCAGCTCCTGCACCTGTGCAGCCAACATCAGCAACACCAGCAGCCGTATCAACAGAGACACAAGCAACCGAAACCACCCCGAAGCCAACCTCACCGGAAACAATCAAAGGTCTGACACCAAACCAAATAGTAGAAGAGCTCAAGAAGAGTGGTTACTTCGACTCTTTACGAAGACAGCTATTCGAAGCATTCACCGCTCCGCCAGCTCCTGCTCAGTCTGCAGCTCAGCCAGCACCAGCAGTTGCACCATCAGCATCACCGTCCCAGCCGGAAACACGGTATCAGAACAATGCTCAAACTCAATCTAGCCTACCGTCTACGTCTGCCACTATCCACGCTGTACCAATTAACGCCACCGATGCTGCTGCGACAGCAAAACCCGCAGCAACAGAAGCGCCTCAACCTAGTAATGCAGAGACATCGTCAACCCCAGCAATGAACATCGGCTCGAAATCCGCCTTCACCTCATTCCTGGCCACACCACTCCGTCATCAGGTGGAGAAAGAACACGATCGACTACGATTCCTAGATCCACGTGGACAACAGGACAATCTGCTCAAACTGCTCGAATCTGATCCTGTTGACTATCCACAGCGAGAAACACTTGGAGAGGGGACGATCTACGATCTTCTCATCCACTCTTTGCTTACTAGCCGAGGGACAGGCAATGGCTCGGGTACCAACAGCATCTTGACAGCAGAAGGGAAACTGGGAAAGCAGATGCGACAGAAGATCGGGGAGGTTGTCGCTGAGATGAGCAAGGCAAAGGATGATGCTGAGGATGAAGAAGAGGATGATGAAGAGGACGGAGAGGATGAAGAAACGGAGAACGTAGGCGAGGCTAAAGCACATCCATCTCAAAGCACAGAACCACCAATTTCGAAAATGGAACAAGACTAAAGCAACAAAGAGTCCCATTACTTAAAGCAACCAACGAAACATGGACCAACCCTTGTTGACCACCACCTTCGGCTCCCTCTCTTTATCACTAACGTCGCAAATGAACGATGTTAAGAGCAGCAAGTACTGAGATCCGATGGTCTCTACCAGCTCAACATCCAGCTTATTACCAGCACTCAAACCAAGCGAGGCCATATCCGCTTGACCCAACTCTACCACCAGCCCGTCCGCCACCTTCGAAAACAGCAACTGCGAAACATCGCCCTCCTCACTCAAACTCTGGTCGTCATCTTGCTCAATTTGAGCGAGCCGGTCTTCGAGAATGTCAAGCAGGCCAGAGATGAGAGCCGTGGTCCAGTGGGACCACACCATCCAAAGCGAGTCGGAGAGGATGGAACGGAAGTGTTGATGTCCGTAGTCGTCTAATAGAGTTGCATCGTCCATGTCGCTTCCTCCCGAAGAACGAGCGTACAGGCTGCGATCGGTGCTACGACGGCGCATGGAATCGTGCGACATGGAGAGACGGTCCGATTCGGCTACGCCTGGGCCCCGCACGGGACTGGCACCGACAGCTGCAAGGAGCGGGTCGGGAAGAGCCCGTTGATGATGATGGTGGTGATGTGCGTGAGGATGGGCATGGAGCATGTCAAGTCCTTCTGTATCGGATGAGCTGTTGGTGCTGGTGTGTTGGTCTTCGATGGGAACAGCTCCAGCAGTGACATCCTTCGCGTCAGGAGCGTTGACAGACACAAGCGTCACATCGGGCTCCGCAACGAGGCTACTTCGACGTTCTTCCTCCGCTTCGTCTTCGGCTGCAATGTCGCGATCCTCCTCTCCATCGAGGTCCTCATCATCCTCGTCACTCTCGTCTTCGGGCATCACGAGGATGCTTGCACGTACACCGCCATCTCCTCGGATACCTAGAGGAAGCACATAGGCGGCAGGAAGATCATAACGCCAGTAGCTGGGCAAGAACCACCATCCAGCCAGCCAGTAACGCAGAAATGCTAGAATAGCGCTTAGTTTACCAGTGCTACTGCGTCTAGGGGCACGCGCGCAAGCGCCGCGCCATTGTGCAACTGCATCCGTCTGCTCGTGTGTATATTCGACCTCGCGCTGAGGTCGATCGGCTTGCTGGTCCTCAGATCGTCTTGAATCGGATTTGCCAAGCCTACTCTTCGACTTTCTTCGACCGACACAAGCAGCAGGACCCAAACGTTCGGCCCGCTCTGCATGACGTTGTGCCTGCACATCAAGCTCGTTGAAAGTCGCAAAATCGCGTGTCGTCCAGCTTTGTGCTTTCAGATGAGCCTTACGTCCACGAACTTTCGCATCAACCTCGGGAGGCCGCACCACTGTCAGCAGTCTTGCCATGGTAGATGCATTCTCCAGGCAGGACTCGTCGAGTACTCCATGCGAGTCGCGTGTAATTAGCGGCGTCAAGTCCAGCACGCTATCGAACAAATGTGGCTTCTCCAGCAAGATCTTGTCCGTCGACCATGCAATCCAGCCCTGTTCGACCAAGCATGCATGTTTCTGAGTGCTGCTTCCAAGCTTATCCTCTTCCTTCTCCAATGATGGAATGTCATGAACACCGATCTGACCCTTGATGTGGACGGTACCGCGGCGTGCAAACTGCTGCAAGTTCTCGTGCCTCCTGCCTGATCGCGCGATTGCCAGTGCTGCAAGGTCAGCAAGGTTGTATCCGAGGTTTGCGGCGTAGACCAAAGGCGGAGAGGGCGTGAAGATGAGTAGCCTATGACGTGGCAACATGAGCTTTTTGAGAAGGTGTGGCAGCAATGGGCCAAGTGCGCCACAAAGTGCAGGCATGTGTGAGACGGGGTCGTGTGGGAAATTGCGTGGGTCGCGACGCCTTCTCATGCGCAGCTGCTTCATTCTCTTGCCGCCTATGCTGGATCCTACCTCGTTGCTTCGGGCTTTGTGGGCCTCGTAGTATGCCTTGAGAGGCTTGATGTCTTCGGGGTCATGTGCGAGTTCGTCTGCAAGCTTTTCGAGATTGTGTAGATGAGGAATGATGGCGAGCTGTTGCGCGAGTGAGGACGAAAGCTGGTCGACATGCCCTTCGCACTGGAGCACCAATCCGACGCTGACCATCCGAGCTCCTCTCTGCTGTCGTGCAGCATCCCCATCCTCTTGGTCATCCAACTTGATGTTGCGGAAGCTGGCGACGCCCGTGGTACCCTTTTGCGTTGTTTGAAAGTAGATGACGTCCTTTTCGATAAGGTGACCGCCACTTGGAAGCACTTTCCATTCGACACCGCTCAAGTCGACACTTTGACTGCCGTCAGTGGAGCCTTCTTCTTCGTCGATGTCAACCAGAACTCCTTTGCCATTTCTTTTTGTTGGTGCTGGTGGGTACTGATACTCGATCTGATTGCCGCGACGAGTGTGAAATCGAGCCAAGAAGATGGTAAGGACGTTGGCTGGACGAAGTGAGAGATGCGGGGCCGAGCTTGGGCCAGCTTCACCCTGTGAAGCCCTCATCCTTGGTACTGTGATGCTCTTGGAGCAGCGAGGTGAGCGTCAGGATGAAGAATGAGTCTGCCGGGATGTGGTTCGAAGTAAAGATGGAAAGATGCGCAGCGAGGAAGGAATACGGGTCTCCAGGTTGCGGTGTGTAGGAAATTTCGACAAAGTATGCATCACGTGATCAGTCATGATGGCGTGCGCGTCCGGGCTGGATTCAAAACAATCGAAAAAAAAATTAAAATTGTTCCGCTTTGTAAAGAGCGCTCTTCTCTTCACTAGCATCATCTCCATCATCTTGACCAAGGCCAGGCGCACTGTTAACAGCCTGGTTCGTCGATTAAATTGCCCTCCCTGTACAGCTCTTTGTCGAGCTTCGAGGACCTCATGACTCTTTGCCTGCAATCCACTTAGTTTGTTCGTCTGTTTTTCGTGCGATTGAGTTCAGACCCTTGGCACGCAAACCAACGAATGAGACTCGAGCAATTTCGAAGGCACGCAATCACCATCAGCAAGAGCCTATACGTAGTCGATAAGACATGCATCTCCTCGCTTTCACTCGAGATGCTTTCGATCAGAGAGATCGCATTGTTTCAATGTTATAACAGCAGTCGCTCCATCCTGCTCATAGGCTCACTTGCTAGCTGTGAGCGTTGCTTTCTGTTCATCACGGAGCCCGAATCGACTTGACAAACTGCTAGCTGCGTGTCTATATGTGTTGATATTTCACTAGTGTGAGATATCTGAATGCGTGCGCAAATGGCAATAAAGGAGAGTCGTTTCCAGAGCCTGAGGACTTGGTGTGAACTCGGCGTCGTGAAGTGATGCAGTTATACAGCTGCAAAAGTGGTGTCGTGGTGCATTTAGAACATCTTGTTCATGGCCTGGAGCGAGACCTCGACACCAAGGAAAGTGGCAGCGTTGGCGGGGAAAGCACGAGCCATAGCAGGGCCGAAACCCTTGAAAAGAGCCTTCATGCCGTCCTTGGCAACGGTCTGCTTGGCGCAGTCGAGGAAACCGCTGTAAGTACCGTGAGGAGCACCCTGGTAGCGCGACTTGATGACATCGGGAGGAATAGCGAGCGCCCACATGGCCATACCTGCAAGACCACCTGCGGTGAGCACATTGAGGAAGTTGAGCTGCTGAGGGTCCTGACCGGCAGGTGTCAAGAGACGCTTGGAAGCTTCGTAAGCACAGAAGTAGGCAGCGCTTCCTGGACCGTCACGAGCGAGAGTAGCACCGGTACCACGGAAGATCGACTTTAGACCACCCTCCTTGTACAGTTGACGGACGACATCGACGGGACCGTTGTAAGTGGGCCCACCGGTTGTGCCCTGGCCCTGAAGCTGGAGGAGAACCTTGACACGTTCCGCTGGACCTGCGACCATGGTGGTGGGGATGGAACTGAAGAAACCGGCAAAGGCGAGCTCAGGGATGGAGAGCTTGGGGTCGGTTCGGTTTGGTGTCATGGCGTAAACGAGCTTCTTGCCCATATCGTAAGACCAGAAGGAGAGCGCAAAGATGGGTGTAACACCGACCAGAGGTGGGCCCATACCACGGTACATTCTGTGCACAGTAGATACCAAGCGACACGATCAATTACAAGCAGAGTGAGTCAGTTTACTGTTCTTCGCATCATCTCCTCGCGCCAAAGCAGCTTTTCGGCGTGCAACCAGTCGCGGTTAAGCATGCCATCAGATCTGAAACTTACCCTTTGATACCATCAGCCTTGATCGTCTTTCGCACAACGTCCAAACCACCAGTGTACTTGCCGTCAGCAGCGGTTTGCAGACGTGTCTTGGTCAAATCGAATGGGTGTCCAACGAGAACGGAGCAGACACCACCGAAACCACCAGAGAGGAACGACTTGAGCGAGGAGGTAGCCTGCTTCTTGTTCTCGAACTCCTCATCCTTGATGGCGGCCGAAGTCTGGTCGTCGGCCATCTTGACTATATTATGTGTGGGGGGGAGGGGATAAGGGCGAGGGAGTGGATGATCGTCTCTGGTCTTATTTAACAAGTCTTGCTGTTCGGTCGATGACGAAAGAAATCTGCTAAGGTGCGCTTCGGGTCGATGCCTTGAAGAGTGCGGGGATGAATGCGTCGACGCTGATGATGATGGAGAGAGGAGAAGAGCGGAATGGGGGAAAGAGGTCGGTGAAAGGAATCAGACTGGTGGCCGCTTTGTTTCAACCCGGGTCATACCGCTCATTACGACCCCGGAGACGAGCTTGGCAGACTTGCCGGCTGAAGGATTTGCTGTGCTGCTGCTTTTGTTTTTGGCTTGGCCGCTTTCACTGTGTGAAATTAAATCCTTCTTTCGTCTCGGCTTTTCCATTCTCTGGTGCGGGAGAAGGTTAATACTGTATGCCACGATGTTCAGCCCCCATCCACAGTCCGCTCCCAAGCAGCTCTATTTCTTCCCGGTCTGAGCTTTAGACCGGCTCCTTGAAGAAAGCAGTGCCGGTTGGTCAGGCTTATTTGTCTGCGTTCAAGATGCATCTGCAGCGTCGCATCATAGTTGAGCATCCAATCAGATGTACAACACAGCATCTTCCAAACCACGGTTGTGTCGGCACGTGAAATTGGAAAGCAATAGATCGAGATTCCGTTTTGGAGATCTACCCGATCGGATCAGATCGCTGACAATATCGCAAGCTTCACACCTGTACTGCGGACTGACGGTCCCAAGAAACGCTCTGAAGCTGATGGAACCTTTTGCAATGGATAATGATAGAAATACATGATGCGATAAGATAGTGTAAGAGGGGTGCTATGATCAACATAGAACCGGACTGAGACGGTAGCAAGAGCTCAATCGCAGCTGCCATCCGAAGGTCCGTCAAGCCATCGCTCCGTGAGCTTGGCCTCTGTGCAAGGGAACGGCGGCTTACCCAGCCGTTGGTTGACTTCGTTGTGAATGCCGCATAGCCACTTGCGCAGAGCAGGTCCGGATCGCACAGCTTCAGCGAGCTTCAGGTTGCGATCTTCCCAGCCACCTTCCTTCTCCTCGCGTTTGTACTCTTCTCCCAACGCCTCAGCACAAGAATGACACGGGTAGATATGTGGCAAAGCTCGGAACATCGCAAGCATTGAATTTTGCTGTTGCGCTGATGGGTCTTGGGGGAAGTAGGCTGCGGCGGAATGCAACAAAGCCCAGGCAAATCGACCAAGCTCTTCGCCGTCAGGCGGGCATGCACGTTCGGTGGAGCTACCCGACGTCGACGCGAGTGCGGCCGCTGCCGATGTTGATAAAGGGTCCTTCTTGGATGCGTCTTTGGAGGTGGAGCCGGAGCCAGGGATCTTAGCACCCTTCATGGCAGCAGAAAAAGCAAGTTTCGAGTTGCAGGCTCGACACGGCTTGCCATCGGGGCCAAGCACGACCTGAGGCTGTTTTGATGAAGAGCGGACATTGCTTGTCGTGATTCCTTTGCTTTTCTCTTCTGCTGCATCTTGGGGTGATAAACTCTCGGTCTCAAGCGAGCGGTATGATGTGGGGGCCACACCCCAGTCCGCCACACCGTCAGGTCTTTCGATACGCTTTGGCTCCCAGTTATCCAGTTCGTCCTCTTTCGCTTGAAGTCGCTGTGTTCAGTGAGGGTGTCAGCGATAAAGTATGTTAGAGTCAGTGAGGTGTCGAAGCAGACTTGGACACGGTGTACTTGAGGCTTCACTTACAAAGTATTCCTCGCGGATATCGATGCGTTTGCGATCCTTCTTCATCCGCAACTCTTCCTCCTTCGAGATGGTCTGTACCCTGGTTGCATTGTAGTCGTATCGTGTCTGCGTGAGGTTGGCCAGTCCGAAGCTAGCTCCTACAATCGTTGCTAGGAAGGGAATGCCGAAGAATAGCAGTGGTCTACGTCGCGCTTTTGGTGCCAGATTCGCCACGAACGAATTTGACTTTCGCAATGGCTTTGATTCGAATGTCGGCATCGTTGAGACGGACCAGCGAGAATTGAGGTATCGGTATCAAGTGATGATGCTGGAGTGACCTGAGGCATGACAAGGAGGTCGTAGCCACAGCGACAAACCTCAACTTAGCATTCCTTTTCCGTCTCCCGAGAAAGTCAAAAAAAAAAATTAAAAAAAATATATACAGTACGTGCGTAAACTGTCCCAAGATTTTACATATCACCATACATCACTTTAATGCTCAATAGCTATAAGTTGTATTGCCACACTGTCTGATATTGTCTGAAAGCACTGCTTCTTCTCTCCAAGACTGTGGAATTGATATTGACATTGACTAAAAAAATTGTGCTATGAAGAAGAGCTGAATTTTTATTTATTTATTTATTGTGGGACAGTTTATGGAGCATGCTCCCAAATAGTGACACCACTCCATTCCTGACCTTGTGGGCTTTTGACTATAATGAAACTTGTAATGTAACTTGGTGGGCACCTTCATACACATTGAAAGTAGTGATGTGGAAAGTTTCAGCTCAATCAGATGACTGTGAGTGATCTGGCAGCACTTCCAGTCTGACACCATCATATCTATACCATCATGACAAAAACCACTCCTGAGAAGTGCCAATCAGCACTCTTTCACCTCCAAAATGGAGAATCTACCTGTTCAGTTGCTGAGAAACTCAGTCTGAGCAAGTCTACAGTGTCTCACATCAGCAAAAGTGCCTCTGCCAATGCTCCAAAGTCAAAGGGGGGCCAGCTGAGAAAACTCCAGCCTCATCATGTTCACTTCCTGGACCACTATTTTGAGCTCAATTCAATGTTCATGGTCAGGAAAGCATGTCATGCACTGCAGGAGACATTTCACATCAAAGCATGCCCAACAACAGTAAGAAAAGCACTTCATTACTGTCATTACAAAGCACAAAGGTTAGTGAATAAACCAAAGCTACTCAAGAGGCATTACAAAGCACATCTCAAATTTGTGAATGAGCACAAGGACATGACTGTTGAGGATTGGAAGAAGGTGGTATGGTCCAATGAGACAAAGATCAACTTCTTTGGACCAGATGGGAAGCAGTTCTGTTGGATTAAGAACACTGGCTTCAACAGCAAGCTTGTCAGGCCAACAGTCAAGTTTGGCAGTGGCTCCATCATGATCTGGGGCTGTATGACATGGGAAGGGGTCAGAGGTATACACTTGGTGCTGGGATCAATGAATTCAGACCAATACATTGATATCCTGAATGACAAGCTTTTGAAAACAATCTCAGATTTGTGGCTTCAGCATGCATACACTGACGTCACATTTCAGCAAGACAATGACCCGAAACACATGTTGAAGAAGACAAAAACATGGTTGGAAGGCAATAGCATTAAGGTTATGCAATGGCCAGGGCAGTTGCCAGACTTGAACCCAATTGAACACCTCTGGCACCATCTCAAAATGTGACTTTCATGGTATAGTATGATTGCAAAGTCCAGGGATGAACTGCTCAAGAGATGCAAAGCTGAATGGACAGCGATCACTCCAGAGACATGTAGGATACTAATAGAGAGCATGCCAGACTGCATCAAGGTGGTTCTGAAGGCCAAAGGAGGGAATACAAAGTACTAAGGTGTTCTCAAGGAGCACTCCATAAACTGTCCCACAATTTTAAAAAAAATGGCTCTTCTTCATAGCACAATTTTTTTTAGTCAATGTCAATATCAATTCCACAGTCTTGGAGAGAAGAAGCAGGGCTTTCAGATGATATCAGACAGTGTGGCAATACAACTTATAGCTATTGAGCATTAGAGTGATGTATGGTGACATGTAAAATCTTGGGACAGTTTACACGCGTACTGTATATTACCGAAAAGTTGACACAAAAAGTGGAGCTGAAAAGGTCAGTCTCTGTTCCGTGGATGTGCCAATCCAAACAGCTCTTCCTGAATGAACGTGGGCACTTTTACTGTGAGCTACGACCCCAGCATGAACACTTCTTTCGACTCTTCATCATCGTCAACCAACACTCCAGGTCGACGCACGCAGTCATGCATTCACGGTCAAGGTGATGCCCGTCTTGACCTCGTTGCGGCAGAGCCCAACCTACCTCTACCTCAAGGCCTATTGTCTCTGTGCGCTTGTCACTCTCTTTCAAGCAACTCCGGTCTCTTCCCGCATTCCGCAACTGGGCCAAACACTCCAGCTAAACAAGTATCGCATTATCAGAACACGGCTTGGTCCGAGGATTGTACCTAGAGAAGAGGCGGAATCGACTCCGAGGACAAGCATAGCGAGACCATCACTGTCCAGTCAGCCTTCGGATCCTTCGAGCAGTGATGAGGTGGTCATATCCAAAGACCTGCTCGGTCCAGCAGCGCAGGGCTCGGTCGTCAGGAAGATTTTGACGCGCTGGTCGCAGAGAGCAAAAGACTTGGCCCAAGTCAAGCAGTTCCTCCGCGCCGACATCGCAGATCGAAAAGCATATCCAGAACTCGACTGGGACGCAACAGTGCGGCGGTCCTCGACATTGCATCCAGAAGAGGTCAAATTCTTGCACAAGAGACAAGAAAGGCTTTCCTCAAAGGGCCAAGATGGACTGAAGCGATTCCTCCAACTCCCGACGCACGAGCATGTCGATCCCAGAGACGTGCCTTTGGTGGCCTTGGGGGGCTCAGGTGGAGGCTACCGCGCCATGTATGGATTCGCTGGGTTCATCGCAGCAGCCAAACGTTCAGGCCTGTGGGACTGCATCTCCTGGGCTGGCGGGGTCAGTGGAAGCTGTTGGACATTAGCAGCATACTACACTATCGCATACCAGGATGCCGATCGCTTAGTACGCCACTACCTCGCAGTCGCCAGCGAGCTTGCCCATCCCATGAGTGTGCATGCTCTCGACACCGTGGCCAGGAGCAGTCGGGGCGTGTATTTTCTGCTTGGTCCTCTGATCCGGAAAGCACAAGCCGGCATTGTGGGACTAGGAATCATGGACTTGTACGCCACCCTAACAACGACGTATCAGTTCCTGTCCAGAGAGCCAAGAGCTAGACTCAGCAGAGCGAGCTTTCAATTCTCCAAGGTCTGGTCTCGGTCTGGCATCAGCACAGCTGCTGAGCCATTACCTATCTTCACGGCAGTGCGTGTCGCACCCCCAGATGCGCCAGGAGTTCGACCACGTACAGACTCATCGCTCAGCAAGGGGCAGCCTCCGACGCGTGCTCTCTCACAGCACCAGTCAGCAGCCTCCAAAGCCCTCGCTGACGGTCAGAGTGCAACAACAAGGATCCAAGCCGATGACATTCCAGTCTCTCTCCCTTCTACACAACTCGCAGCGATAGACAACACGACAGATGCTTTTGCGTTGCCAGTTGCCAAAGGCTATTTTCAATGGTTCGAAGCGACGCCCCTTGAAGTTGGGTGTGCCGACGTGCAAGGATACATCCCAACCTGGGCGTGGGGTCGACCATTCGTTTCAGGACGTTCGCTGGATCGAAGACCTGAAGAATCTCTCTCGCTACTACTGGGTCAGTGCACAAGCGCACCAGCGGGTCCCTTGACTGCTTACATCTCAGCGCTGCTCGCATCCCTGCCAACAGGAACAGCCCTGTCTCGGATGCTACACTTCCTCAACAACTTTGTCCGGATGAAGCGATGGGAGCGTCGTTGGGGAAATCCAATTCGTGCTGGTGATGAGCCAAATCCTTTCTACGGTCTCAATGTCTCGCCAGTGCCAAAGCTTACAGACGCCGACGCAAGCCGGCCTCAGATACTTGGCATCGGCATCGACATTCTGCATCTCCCACGGTTGCGGCAGCTTGCGTTGAGACGAAACACAAGCCGAGAATCTGATGCCCACGACTTAAACACCCGAACGGTCGCAGATCGTGCAAGGACAGGTCTTGACAAACTGGCTCGACGCATCCTCTGTGAAGCAGAAAAGGAGGAGTACAACCAGATTGCTCAATGGCAACTTGAAGACGCACAGAAGCTCTCAAAGCTCGAACGGTATCTTGCAGTCAGATGGAGTGCCAAGGAAGCAGCGTACAAGGCACTGTATCCCAAGCATGTGCTCTCTTGGAAGGACCTCAGCGTTCAGAAGCCAGACACCAACGTCGATAATGCTGTCCCCATCGTCAGCGTTGGTCTCGCTCAGCTCGAGTCGCAGGGCTTCCGTACAAAGAAGCCTGAAATCAGTCTCTCTGATGAATGGCGATCGAAGCATTCTGGCATGTCGTCCATTCCGAAGCTGCACCTGAGCTTGTCTCACGACGGAGAGTATGTCGTCGCCAATGTACTTGCAGAGGAGCCGCCCGCTTCATCCAGCTTTAGAGACAGTGGTGGAAAGCCTAGTCGAAGTTGGGACAACCTTCAGCTCAAGCTTCCCACCGCAGCTCCAAAACAGTTAGAGGATGGCACTGCTTTGATCCTCGGCAGGTCATCAGCATCATCCTCGTCCGAAGCAATCACAAGTCCTGCAGCAGTGCCCGATACCCCTTTAGCAGCATCCTGGGAATCCCAAGGCCGCATCCGCCTCATGGACTCTGGCATGTCCAACAACCTCCCCAACCACATCCTAGCACGCAAAGAACGCTCCGCAAACATCATCATTGCCTTCGACGCCTCTTCAGACGTCCAAGCAGGCTCAGCAATGCGTCGAATTCACAACTTTGCAGATGACTGCTCAATCACCCTCACTGATTGCACGCATCTTTTCTCTCCATCTGCACCCCTTCGCTACCTCTCTGACGAGAAGGGCAGGGAGCTGGAAGCAAGGTTCATCAACCAATATGCAAGGGTTCTTCGAGGTACGAGAGAAGAAGATGGCTCAACGTTCTGGCTCGTCTATTGCCCCCTTTTGCCGAATGCGACAAACCCAGATTACGATCCGAGCACATCAGCCTTCAGTAACTCTTATAATCTAGTCTGGACCCCAGCGCAGGTCAAGACCCTTCTAACAACTTCACAGGCGAATCTCGAATCGTACGCTTTACAGATGGTCAAACAGGTCATGCGCAAGGTGTACTACGATAAGAAGGCTGCTCGTCTTGCCGCCTCGTTCAAATCTTCGCAATCATAGAATTCCATTCCTATTTCCCGAAATCCATAAAGAGTGAAGAGTGCTTCATGTGTTCTTGAGCAACCAAGCATCGACCCAATCCTTCCCCTTGCTCTCGTGAGGAGGCGTATTGCTCAGATGTCCCCATAAACTCTCTAGCCTTCTTATCGCCTTTTCTCTCTTCTCCCTATCTCCATCCTTTTCCTTCTTCACCACCTCAATCGTCTCTCTCAACACCGGTCTTTCACCGTATACGTCGTCGAGATAGCTACTTGCTCCGAAATACTTTGTGATCTTTCTAACGATCTCCTCACCCCTATCACTCACATCTTGCTCCTCTGTGACGTCGCTGGATTCAACCCTACCGTCGAAGATGGACTGAAGTGCTTGTTCGGCGGTGGGTGCATAGACTCCTTCCTGGAGCGAAGCGTTGTCGGGACGTGGGATGCCAAGTTCGGTTTTGCCTTGTTGTGAAGCTTGTGCTTCGGCGAGTTGGAGGTGAAGTTTTGCTTGTTCGCGAGAGAAAGAAGGATGAGTGGGTGATGGGGGTCGGTAGAGGGAATCGAATTGAGACGAGACTTGTTCTGATAGCTCCTCGGATTGTGGTGCTGTGGATACGGAAGCAATGCTTGTGGGTGCTAGTTGATCTTCTGCATCGAGCAGGGCGAAGACGTCATCCGTTTGAGCTAGTGGTGCGGTTGCAGGCGGTGCATAGGTCCAACTTTGACTGGGAGGAGCTTGTGTGCTGCTCACACGGACAGAATCGTGCAGTGGAGCGTCAAGCTCAGTGTAAGACCGTATTGGTCGTGCAGAGGCTGGATCTAACCCTGTTGCCTGCCATCTGTATTGTTGTGTTGCTTCATCCCATGCCTGAGTCAAACCTACATCATCTCTCGTCAATCCATCTGATGACTTGAAGCCCGGTTCTCCTTGCCTTGCATTGCTGAGACTCATCCCTCGTTCGAAATCTTGAAACATCTCCTGTTGCTCTCGCTCCGACGCTCCTGTTGTCCGAAACGTCTGTGCTCCTGCCCTCGCCAGCACGATACTTGAGCTTGACGATGTACCACCAGACCGTAAATCTTGCACCAACCAATCTCTCAACTCTTCTGTCTCACCTACAGAGTCCTGACCCTGGAATTCGGCTTTGCCTCCTGAAGCAGGCTGCATCAAAGATCTAAGCTGAGATGAAGCCATAGTGGTTCGTAATGCTGAGGCTAGAGTTTGAGCTGCATTGGATGCTGCACTGGAGCTTGCTGCTTGGCGAGTGTCACGAACAGAGGTCTGCGGAGATTCGGCGGTTGCTTTACCTTTGCCTTTATTCTCGTCCTTCATCTTGTCTAGAGACCAAGGGATTGGCCTTGTGTGTGATGGTAGTAGTGCTGAGATTAGGAGAGGCAAGGTAGGGGGACGGTGAGTGTTGAAGCCTGAACACAGCATCCAGATCTGCACATTGCGGAGAGCTTCGCGTGAAAGAAGCCGTGCTTTCCGAATTCCGTGTTTCCCCAGCCTCTTCGATATCTAGACTAAACATAACTCAATTGAAGCTCACGTTCGACTGTTGCGTAGTACGACGCAGCGTTAGGATTGCAGAGTAGCAAGATGAGAATGAAGAAACATACAGCAGAAATGAGATCGTAAACATGCAGCGTGAGCCAGATGAAAGTTTGAAAGGGGACATGAGCTTTGAGAGAAGACACTTGGAAAACAGCAAGAATTGAGACGTGCGAGGAGACTAAGCGGGGAGTATGTAAGCATATGCAGGGAGGGGAGCGCGGTAGTGTAGCAGAGATAGATCGTTGATAGATGATGAATCTAGGGTATCTGATTGCACGTAGTATGTGTGTGAGAAGCTGGGTGGAGTCGTCAGGGGAAGCAAGACAGGGCTGCGGACATTTTGCTGGATGGGAATGCGGTAGTTTGATCGCCAAAGGGTCAACGACGAGTGATCATGTATTATGGAGAGTTGCTGTTCGTAGCTCAGAAGTTAAGAATGTTCTTGGGGTCCATGGGCAGCTCGGCCATTTTGCAACCTAGATGGCACTCGAGTGTCCTCAACATCTCGATATCACCCCTCGGTCCACCACTCGCGGTAACGACATTGACGCAGACGCTCGGTCTAGCCATGGCGCCCGCCGCAGCACAGCTGATCTTATCTTTGTAGTCCTCGACCGAGCGTGGCATGTCGTAGAACACCAAGAGTGGGATTTGGTGAACCTCCTTTGGGTGGACAGACATTTCGCAAACAACAAGGGCTTTACGCGTACGACCACCACCGTTGACACCTACGAACCCACCAGGCTGAGCGAAAGTAGCGCTGCTGATCATGTTGTTGGTACCGAACTGCGAGGAAGGCGAACGGAACTTGGCAAGCGTCTGCTGACGAGTGTACGAGTTCATCTCGCGATTGAGGCCAAGAGCTTCAATGCCCTTCGAAGAGAGCTTGTAGATGAGCGCTTCTTGCGTTGCGACGTTGGCGCAGTAGATGACTGTTTGACCAAAGTCGATGTCTTCAAGCAAGTCGGAGATGAGGTCCAGCTTCATCTCGCCTGCTGAGTTGTGAGAGAGACCAGGGATAGGACTTGCGGCGCCCATTCCGCCGTTGGAAGTCACGGCTACGTAGAGGTAGTACTGACGCAGACCTTTGAGCGCAGCAAGAGTAGGATCTTTGGCAGTGCTGACGCTGGAGTTCACTGGGTGGGCTCCGAGGGCGTTTGTGGGCTGCGACATATCGCGCTGAGATGTCATCGCTTGCATTCCTGAGCCTTGACCATTAGGTCCACTACTGTTCTGAGCACCACTCGAATTTGGCTGCATGATGCTGCTGCCGGCACCTCCAGCGCCGTCGCGACGAACGAGCACACGAACGGACTCGCGAAGGTGGATGGACTGTGCAAAATTGAGCACATCCTGCGGAACAGTGTTGGAGAAGAGTGCTACTTGACGGTCAATGGTCGCTGCAGCGCTGGCAGGCCCTCCAGGACTGTCGTGCGTCTGCTCAAAAGGCGAGAAGATGGCATTGTTGGTGCCTTGAGGCAGGCCAGGGTTCAGACCGCCAGCAGCCCTTGCGCCAGCGCCTGCAGGCGCCGTGGGCAGAGGCAGCACCCGAAGCATGGTGCTGACGTGGTCGGCCAGGTTGCGAGCAATGAGTTGATCGACTTCGTCAAGGACAACCAGCCTGACCTCGCTTGGCTTGATGACGGTCGATCCGGGCCCGGTGCCGTGCATGTGGAGCGAAGAAGCATTGTTCGTCATGTAGGTAAAGAGCTCGCTCATCTTCTGTGGAGTGCCTACGACGATGTGCGGCCATGCCTGAACGAGGTTTTGGGCTTCCTGGTGGACATCAATGCTACTGGCTGCCACCATGTGCACGCGGATGCCAAGAGGTGCCCCTAGGCCCAAAGCCATCCGCTGTGCTTGTGTAGCTTGATCCACAGTGGTGGAGACGACCAATGAAATTGGACCCCTATTCGAAGCGGTTTGTCCAGGCCCGCCAGTCTCGTTGAGCACGTTCAACACCAGCTGCAAAGACGGAATCACGTACGATGCGATTCGCTCCTGTGTCGGAGGAGCTTGAGCAATAATGTCGTTTCCTCGCAAGAGGAACGGCAGAGCACGTTGCTGGATCTTGTTCGGTGGACCAAGACCGTATTTGAGGATGGAGCGCAAGAGATCGGGATGAAGATTGAGATGCTCCCATTTGGAGACGATAGCATTGGGCTGAGTGAAGCCCGTTCCCGCGAGGGGTCCAGCGAATCCACCGGGGCCATCTTCGAGACTCGGAGTAGAGGGGATACCTGTAGCAATTGAGATCCCATGAGCAGCTGTGTTGTCTTTGCGACCACTTCCTGACTGTGCTGCAGAGTTCCATCTTCGGTCTACACTTTGCTCATGTCCACGCACATTCGAGCCACTCCAGCCACGAGCATTGCCTGAAGGACGCGGGCTCATTGCGTTGGATGGGAGGAAGGAGCCATTCGGACCTGCAGTGAAGTGGCCACTCGGATTGCCTCCAATACGAGGAGAAGTAGCACGCTCGAGGCCGCCGCCGGGACCTCCGATCTGCGGTGTGCCAAGCAAGCCGTTGGTTGGTCCGAGTCCGAGTCCGCTGAGTGCGGGAGTCGAAGCCACGCCAGCACCACCTAGACCGTTTCCTTGCAACGTAAGCAGGTGCGACACGCTGTTGGCAAGGGCGTTTACTTGAGCGTTGAGGGAACGAACTTCGTCGGCCGTGTTGCCGCTGGCTGCTGCTGTCGAAGCTGTGTTCTGGGACGAATTGCCGGCATTGCTCGATAGGCTCGCGGGAGGGAGGCCCTTTGTTCGTTCCAACAGGAGCGAGACGTTACGAGATATACCTGAGATTTGGCGTGAGAAGTCCTTCATGCCACTCTCGACACGAGTCAGCCTTTCCAGCATGTCCTTGATCAAGGGCGACTCGTTCATGCTGTCGTCGGCGGTGCTTGGTTGCTTGTCGAAGATGTGTGCTGCCGAGACAGAGCGATGAGGCAGAGGGTTGTGGAAGCCAGTTCCGCTTAGTGGGCTGCCGACGGGTGAGTGAACGACGGAGGGGCCGCCGCTCCCATTAGTAGCAGCAGTAGGCGAAAGGAGGCCACCGGACAAGTTCATGTAGTTGGGAACAATCAGGGTCGGAGTAGCTCGCCCTGCTGCTGCCATGCGGTCTGCCCGACTACCCCGTTCAAGCAAGCCGAATTGCTGTCCTGATGAAGATTGGTTGCCAGCAGCGTTGCTAAGAAGACTAGAATGGGGTAGCTCTGAAGAGTCGAAAGCGCCGCTGCTGTTAGAGACATCGAGAGGACCGGGACCGAGCTGTGCTGAAGAAAGGCGTTTTGAGGGTGTTGCACTGTGGAAAGCAGCATTGGCAGCGGCGTTCTGTGAGGGCGTAAGGCCGGAGTGATTGCCCTGACTGCTGGCAGGTCGTTGAAAGACAGCGTCGCTTTGATCACGGTTCATTGATAGGGCCGTGTCTGAGGGCTTGTCGTGGCTTGCTGGGTGCATCCAGGAATTAGGTCGAGATCTGCCTTGACTGGAAGTGGAAGGAGTCCGGTTGAGATGCACAGGGCCCGTGTGATGATTTTGATCAGCAGTGTGCTGCGCATCGACGAATAGGCGTGGAGTGCCGAACTCTGTTTCGCCACTGGTATTGAGGCTTCGGTCGTGCAGGTTCAGCCCATTCTCTTGCAAAGAGGGTGAGTGAAGAGCCATGCCAATGCCGGTATGCGTGTTGAGAGTCTGCGAGTAGCCAGGAAGTGGTGAGCCCGAGCTGGCGGAACGGAAGCTTTGAACAGAGGCGGCAAGACTGTTGGACCGGCTTATCTCTGTTTGCTTCTGGCCACGGACGCCATTTCGGACGCCTGCAATCAGACCAGGTCGGAATGCTGAAGTAGACAAGGCCGAGTCTACCGAACGCACTGCGTCGTCTGAAGCAGGCCCAGTGCTCCTTGCCGAGATGGCCGAGTTGCTTCGAGCAGGCGCAGAAGGCTTGTTTGGCAAAGGGTGAGCGCCGATGCGAGATGCTTCAGTGCGCTCTGATGTGGTGAAGGAGTGACCAGCGTCAAAGGTATTCTGATTGCCAGCGCTGGTGGAGGAAGCACCTAGTCCATTCTGCGAAGAGCTACCCTGCTGGGACGAAGGTGCGTTGTTAGACCAGATGCTATTGCCTGGCAAGAAAGGCGAGACCGACATAGCTGCGGCGGTATGAGGACAGCTGTTCAGGCTGATCTGGGCGAAGTTCGCAAAGCCTTCCTGGCGCTCGCAGATGCAACGATGGAAGGCCAGTCAATTGCAGGGCAGAGCAACCACTAGCCTCGTTGGGATCGTTGCTGGCGGGGATGAATTTACGTCGGTGTGTTGCGATGCGATGATGCTGTCCTTGATGCGTGGTTGTCTTGAATAGAGAGGCTCATCTACACCGACGCAGGGGGTTCGGTCGACAGGAAGGTGCGAAAGCAAGGTTGACGAGAGTTCAAGCAAGAAGCATGGCAATGCCTTTTGCGCTTTCCGCTCTCTTTTCGGTGGCTCTCCGCAGTCTCAGGTCAATTTAGGCGAAGCGAAGGGTCTTCTACGTTGCGCTCCTGATCCCCAAAAAAAAAAAAAAATCAAAAAAAATCAAAAATCAAAAAATCAATCTACGATTTTCCAAGAGAAACACACACACATACACACACACATACACACACATACACACCAGCGCTCAGACCAACACGTCAAGCCTGAGAAAGCTTTCTTTTCCTGAAAAATAGTTTAGGGGTCCAGCAACCAGCAAAGCCTGCTGAAGATAACAATCCAGCAGGACACTAAAAGTTACATAAGTCGATGTAGTAAGAGATCGGGCAGAGGCCGATATAGCAGGGGATCGGGCACTGCTGAGTCCCCCTCGTTGACACACTTGGTCATTAAGTGGAATGCTCCCACCTTTGGACATGTGCCACTACTGTATATAGATATCGAGCCGGCCTTGTTCTGGAGTGCCACGGGGGAGCAGATCGACGTCGAGCTGCTTATTTCTTTTCAGCTTCCTCAGAACTGGGACCGTCTCGATGCATTTGAAGGTGACGAGTATGCTCGAATCGTGGTGCCTCTGGCGAGCGGTCGTATAGCCAACGTCTACGCCCATGCCCACCCAGTCAAGTGAAGGCTACCTCTTCGGTCTCATCTCATCTGACAAAAGTCACGGGTGACCACCAGATCTGTAGCCATGCCTAGGGCACTGCAGTGCCAACATCAGACCAGCATACGATTCGAAATTTCAGAAGGAAAGTGTCCCCTCTTGCGATGCCTCCATAGTGCTTGCGGTCATCGACCTCTTCACGCAATTATCTGAGACATTCATATAACCGATATTCGGCCTTGAGCGTAGGCTGGGATGTGTGAATAGATGTCGCAAGGCATAGCTAGTATATGAAGTTGATGTACTGCGTTGATAATATTGTACAAAGCGTAATGCTTGGTGCAGAACGCTCAAACTTGACCAGCCGCCTGATGTCTGCAGCTAGTGGGTCAAGGCTTGAAATGTGGGGCGCCGTGGCTAGCTTGCTCAGAAGAACTTGATCCAGATGATGAACAAAAAGAGCAAGCCGACAGCACCAACAGGCGCCCACTTTCGGTACAGCGCATCCAAGTTGATCTGTCGCGCCGCTTTGCGGTACTTGAGAGATTCGTCCCGCAGTGAAGAGGACATGGTCGACATCTGATCCAAGCTGTCACCTCGCCAAAGCAAGTCTTCCATGTTCTTGGTCATGATGCGTGTGACGTCCTGAAGGTCCTCGTTCAGTCGGTCGAGGTTGGACGATGCTGCTGACTGCGCCGTTCGAGAGTCTTCATAGAGCCTCTTGGTTCGCTGCATGAATGTGTCGAAGCTGACAAAGGCATAGGGTCGAAGATTCCTCTGCTCCACCTGATTACCGTAGCTGCGCTCAAACTCTTTCGAGAGCTCATCGAGATATGAAAAAGCGAGCTTGCGTGGATATGACTTTTCAGCGATGGTCAAGTAGACCACAGAAGATGGCATCGCTGGTGGCGGCGAGATGAGGTAGTGCAGTGTATATTTGCCGCTTTCGATGCTGCAGCGTTGTTCGGAGGATGAAGTGATGCGTCGGAAGATGAGCTTGGCCTGCTGCTTGTGTTCCGAGAGGTCAGTCTCGGTCTTGCGATCGTCTACGCTCTGTGCTAGTGGCAAGCCATCCGAGACTCTTGCAATTTGTGTAGAGAGAGGCATGACGACAATGCGCCTTGTGTGCGTGTTGGGGGGAGGGGCCGATGAACGAGGATGAAGGCGACCGACAGATGTAAGTCAGTAGGGGGGTTGGAGGAAAGCAAAGCCTTCAGCGACTTTCAAATGACCGAAGAGGGGATTCTGGTGAAGCGGTGAAGGAGGCTTGTGCGATGGAAGTAGGATAGACGCTGACTGGAAGGATGAGATGGTGTTGACGCTGGAAGGACTTTCACGCTGGCGCGGTTCGCTTTCAACGCATGTCACTTGTTGTGGTGCCATCCGTCTCTGCTACGTGGAGGAGAGACTTTGGATTTTTAGCTTGTTTGTGCGGTGGCAGGAGATCTCACACTCCTGAAATTTGTCCCCCCCCCCCCACAATGGCCGTGTTTTGACATTCCAGCGTTGAGCGAGACTGGAATGATGGTGTTGTGTGTGCTTGCTTGCTTGCTTGACTTCCTCAGCTGTTGCTCTGTCACTCACCCACTTTTGTGGTCCAAAATCCAATTTCCAAAAATGAGCAGCAGTAGACCCGCATGAGACAGATGCGATTCACGACAAACTAGTCACACACACACACACACACACACACACACACTCTCTCTCTCTCTCTCTCTTTCTCTCTCTTCCACACACACACTCACACACCAAGCGACGGCCATACACTGCTTCATCTTAGGGGACTGACACTCAGACCTCTTTCCGCTCATCAACGTATCCCTCGCTTGTCGACGTTCATCATTGATTGACCTCTACGACATCCCTGCCTTCCGACATTGGATCTTGCACTTCGTCAGCGGGTACCTTGCGCTGTCACACCATCGGCGTCGCTTCCTCTAGTCTCGAACAAGCATCTGCTGTCAGGTTTTCCACCAATACCTCTTCCGACAACAGGGGAGAGCTAGCATTCGCATCATCCTTTGCATCCACGGCTTCGCTCTTCGCAACTGCATCGACACACCATGATGGACGACGTCAATGATCTTTCGGCGCAGGATCCCAGCACCCATCTCACGTTGGAGTTGCGTGGGACCCGCTTCACAATCGAGCGCGAGACTATGATGAACCTGCCCGAATCCGTCCTGCTCTGTCTCTTCCCCAACGGTCTCATCCTCACCCGACAACCACGTATTCCATCATTGCTCGATCAGGAGGGCGAGGAGGATGAGGAGGAGCTGTACCTTGTCGATTTTGACCCTCAATGTCTGTCGTATGTGCTCAGCTTCTTCAAGACAGCGCAAGATGATTTTTACGGCACTCCCGAACAACCGGGCAAATATCGACCCAGCTCTTCCTATGGCAGTCCCGGTCTTTATCACTATGCTCAGGCATCAGGCGAAGGCGCTGATCCCAATGCCATGAACCAAAGCGGCATGTCTCAAATCCCTCTGATGAACAAGCAGCCCATCATTGTTCTGCGAGAAGAGCTCGAGTACTTTGCTATCCCACCCAAGAAGGCCGTTCCTGGAGCAGAACTTGACCCTGAAGAATTTGAGGGCACCGACCCTTCAACAGGTTACCCAACGCCGGCCCTGCTTCGACTCAAGTATGCATGTGGCGATGCTTTGCTCGATCGTAAGCAGATCTTCACCGCGCTGCAGAGGAATGTCAACAAGGAAAACAATCTTGCAGAGCAGCATCTCATCGACATGCTCTGCATGAGTGGCTTTGACCGTGAAGACACATGGGGCTTTCGAGCACTCGAACCAAATCGTTGCTGCATAACTTCCATTGCTCTGGTCTTGCTCAAGACCGGTATTACACATGCTCGCGAGCTGGAAGCGGAGGGCATAAACTCGGAAAATGTTGGTGCCAGCGAGTATCACGATGCAAGCGGTCAGACGAGCATGATGTCCAACATGCGCGTGGATCATCAACAATTCGCTACTGCGCAAAAGCTGCTTCTCTTCTGGCGCAAACCAGCCAGGAAATGCTGGTGGGATGGCATCGATATCGTCTTGCCTGCATCACAGAAGGATGCAGCATCGCAAACAGCAGCACCAGATCAAACCGTTCGACCTGAGGATCTCAACGATGCTAGCTTGACCGCCAAAGAAATTGAGCTGCTCAAGTCAGCAAGGGGCAGGAAAGTGCGCGTGTGGGCACGCCGAGTATGGACCCTTGAGCTCAGCTTGATCTGACATTGTTGCTGCTCTTGGCATTGATGCCGGTACCTTGCCCTTGTACCTTGCTCGTTTCTTCAACACCGAGAGAACTCGGCTCTAAGCTCGATGAGCTCTATACCCCGCCGATCCGGCTCAATTTGCAATGACAAGGTAGCATTATCACTTCATTGCGCCATGCTCTTTTCTTTAATCCTTTGGGTGTGATCGTAGACCACAAACGCACTCTACTAGAGTCAAGCGTGTGCTCGCCGTGCATAACAAGCTGGGCGCAGTGCTATGAGTGCGGCAAGCAAGAGGAGTTCCAATCTGATGGCAGCAGAGCAGCGCAGCAGCATCGATGGACGCGCTCCAAAAAAAACAATAATTCGCACGACAAACTGAGCCGCTCACGTGATGCGACCTTTTCGTATTGAATATCGGAAGATCCAAGCTTTCTTCTCAACGCCATCGTTGCATGCCACTACCTTCTCATCCTTGCATAACGGCTACCCTCGAGATCTGATCATCCCCTAACGATACCGCTCGAGTCTCGTTGAAAGATTCTCCTTGAAACTTTCATATACTGAACATGGCCTCTAGATCAGCCAACGCTGCCCGCTCGCTTGTAGCTGTGGTAAGCGCTGCCACTCGTACATCAAGTCGAATCGCAGCACCCGTGGCCAGAAGGTTAAGGTAAGTGATTAAGCCGACGCAAGACCAGCTCTGCAATCGTCAGAGGACATCTGAGATCCTAATTTGGTAGAGAGGCGCGTGCTGACCTTTTCAGTTGTCCTGATTTGTACTTGTACAGCACCTCATGCAGCCGCTCAAATGCATCAACCTCGTCTTCAGTAACAGTGGATCAGCTTGGCAAATCATCACAACCACTTCCACACAGCAGCAGCATTCCATCATCCAGCACCGACGGCGAGGCTGTTGCGGCTACTCAGGAGGAAAAGCAATTCGTCTTGCCCAACTGCCTTCTGCCCACCGAAGCGCTTGCTCAAACTCACGGCGTTCACGTCGCAACCCTCCACCTTCGCTGCTACGCCGATGGCTTGTCGAACCTCGAGCTCTTTGCCGACTTTGCCCGACGAGCTGCTTTTGCTATCGGCATTTCTGCTAGCGGTGTTGCCTGTCTCCCCACACGCACATCACTCTGGACTGTACCAAGATCACCATTCGTTCACAAAAAGTCGCAGGAGAACTTCTGGAGGAAGACACACTCACGAGCTATCAAGCTGTTCGATGCCAACGACCAGGTCGTGGACCGATGGCTCCACTTTTTGCGCATTCACGCCTTGCCAGGTGTAGGTCAGAAGGCTGAGCTTTTCCGATACCACGAGTTGGGTGTGGGCAGCAAGCTGATGGAGGAGGCCAAGGCTCTGCGACGCACTTCAAGTTCTTCAACATCTAAGGAGTCATCAAAGAAGGATATGGCTGTTGCGGACTCTTCCGCTCCAGAGGGGTCGAGTGCAGAGAGCATCAAGAAGATTGCAGATGAAATTGTCGAGAAGGAGATGGCGCAAGAGGAATCGACGGAACAGAAGTGAAGCAGTGCTCTTATCTTGGCACTCGCACTTGTACGAATCTTTGAAGGCATCAGGCGCTGAAATCAACATGTACTCTAGCCCAATCAACTCCATCATGCAGCGACCTGAACAAAGCCTGCTCTCTCCCTTGCTTTTGTGGTGTCCCCGCAGGAGTGATTTTGCTGCCATTCCAAAGGGCCACGAGTCTTGATACTGCTACGCGACCAGGACACCATGACGAAGAAGATTCAACTGTTGCATGAGCGGTCGCCTTGAATATCTGCCGCTGTAACCAGCTGTGATGGGGCAATCTTGCTCGCAGCTGGGCTCCCCGCAGCACAGCAAACAAGTTTGCACCTACCCTGATAATGTTGCCAAGAATCAAGACTGTCACCTGGAGTAATTCTTCTCTGATCACTCGCAGCGACTTTCAGGAGCGTGGGAGATACACTGTCAGTCTCTTTGAATTTGGTCGATGAATGTCGACAGATCGACACTCTTTCATCAACCAGTTGTCACATTGCGACGGGCTTGGAGGTCCAGGAGCTGTCAGCTGCATAAAGTGGGACTATCGGCGCTCGGACCGTGCTGCGACGCCCACCATGAGAGTGAAAAGAATTGTAATAGATCATACGATGATGCTTGCTTGCTTGCTTGTTTGCTTGCTTGCTTGCTTGCTTGCTGAAGATTACGATTCGAAATATGCCAATTGAGTAGTGATGGACAAATTGAAAGGCACCCAATCGAGTGATGATCCTCAACTTGATCTCTCATGCTGTGGCAGGCCCAGGCAGCGATCGTCGATGCTAGGGTAGCGTTCGTGACCTGCATCTGCAGTGGCCACTGTATGACCTCTTCAACAGGTCGGCAAAATCAAGCTAGACGCCGGAGCGACGCCGAATGCACAGAAGCGCCCTCTGCACGGCGTGTATGTTTCAAATAGGCGAAATCGAAGGCGAAAGAAAATCAAAAATCAAAAATCAAAAATCAAAAATCAAAAATCAAAAATCAAAAATCAAAAATCAAATCAAATCAAATCAACACAAATCAAATCAAATCAAAAATTCAATGGGAAAGACGGGAAGCGGAAAGGCGAAAGGGGTCCTGCTCTACGCTATCAAGGCTTGGCTGCTCGGCCCTGCGTTGAACTAGAGTAGTCTTCGGATAGTAACGCGTCAGTGCGCGTCTCGAACGGGGAAGAGCTTGTCGAGATGAACGGCTGCTTGATGTAGCGGCGTATGTTGCGTGATAAGTTAGCGCGGAGCAATAGATGAAGAAAGTGGGCATAGCTTACGATGACCGCAACTTGTTCGCAACAGAGCATCAAGTCACAAATGCAGTCTCTTACGCTCGTCGGCTGCTGCTTCAAAAGTCACACCTTTTTGTTTTTTGTTTTGTTTTTGTTTTGTTTCCTGGTTAAATATGCAAGAGATGCGTGTGTGCATGTAGGTATGAGTGATGTGTTGGTCTCGATCTGAATCCTCACTGCTAACTCCGCTCAGGGCGTCACTTTGCAAGAGACGAGTGTCTGCGAGCTTCATCGTTCTAGCTGAGGCCCTCTTCACTGCCATCACCATCGCCATCATCATCATCAGCAGCAGCAGCCGTTCTTGGGGCCAGTAGCGCCACCTCCCCATTTGTTGGACATCTCGGATTCACATTCGTTTCACTGTAAACGGCTAAACTGACACGGCATTCTTCCTTGCCCACCTAGACTCGGTCGGGCCGACGGAAAGGGCCGATATCATTCCCACGCCCCCTTTGAAAGCAGGTCGGTACTGTTCCGAAGCCAATTCTGGCAATAGAGAGACACCGTATGCACTGCACTCTTCTCAGCATTGCCAGGGCACTCTTGCCATTGAGGCCTTCGTTGGAGCCATCGCTTCTTGCCGATCGGCTCAACTGACATTGCCTGGCTGACCATTCTGCAGTGGCTGCCAATGTTTCGCTAAAGAGACTTTCAAGGCCAACATGCACTCAACCCCTCCCCTTTCGGCCGGTAGCAGTAGCTCGCCACGCAGACCAGAGCTCGCCGACAAACGCAGAAGCGTAGTTGCGCTCAGGTCGCCATCCGAAAGGCCATCCGAAAGGCCATCCGAGAGGTCATCCTCACCGCTGCGTGTGGTCCATGCGGAAGGAAGCCGCTTTGTCCTCGAGCCTCTTCCGAGTCGAGCAAGTCCCTCAGCGTCCCGCTCAACGTCCGCGACGAGGCATGTGTCAGCGCCTCATACCTCAGCATCAACAGCATCAACGTCGTCCTCGTCGTCATCGTCGACTTTTGGCACAGCCTCTTGTTCCTCTTCACCTTCACAATCTCGCTCGGTTTCATCATCTCTCACGCCACCTCGAAGTAAACAGACAGACCGTCCCTACCGTCCACCACCTTCCAGCAGCGCTCGATTCTACGAGCGACAACAGCAGGTCTGGCTCCTTCAGCGACCAAGCCTGCTACCACCAACCCCAGCGGCATACCTTCCTTCCAGCTCTCTGCATTCTCCGATAGCGCATCATACCGCTCCAGCTTCAGCGCTGCCTCCCTTGCAGCCTCTCTCTCCACCATACACCTATGCTCCCCATCGAGAGCCTGTCTCTCTGTCCATTCGCTCCCGCTCTAGCTCCCTCGCCTCTAGTACCTCTCGCTCGAGAGCACATAGCGTCAGCCCTTCAGCACCACCCGAGGTTGACGGGCCCGAAAATCGTGCCCGATCAGCAAGTGACGCTAGTAGCTTCACACGAAGCCGCATATCCAACGGCTACCTTTCTCATACCGATGATGAATCCATCGATTACGACCCATCTCGGACTCCTTCTGCCCTCGGCTCTTGTCACGCCTTGTTGCAATCGTCGGCTCCACCCCCAGTAACTGCCAGCTTCTCATATCGACATGCCGCCTTACCAGCGCAACAAGGCTCTTCTCCTCTGCATCAAAGCGTCACAGGAACGCCACAGTCCCCAATCAGAGACAGCTTAGGTGGATCCTTCGATGCTGATTGGGACGCAGAGCTTGGCATATCCGAGGCGGACCATGTCGAGCCCCTTCGCCTTCCGTTGCTGCAGCAAACCGTCGACCGAGTCTTGCATCCCTCACCCACTTTCGTCGACCCTTCATCTACAGCCAAACCAGCTCCTATCTGCACCAAAGTTGTCGTCAGCGGTGCAAGAAGCCTTTCGACTCCAGTCTCGACAGACAGCCATCTTCACAGCATTCAAGAAGCTGATCTAAAAGGCATTCGCGTCACCTCCTCTGTCAGCGAGAACTGGGACGATGACTTTCTCTTCCAGAATGAAGAGGACACGGCAGCGTCCAGTTCGTCCAGTTACGCTCGGACTCCGCCTACAATCTCGGGCGGACGCAGTGGTGCCAACAAGCAGAAGCGAAACTCCTCTCATGGTGGCAAAGACGATGACGATGACGATGACGATGTCGAAAACTGGGACGACGCTTTCTCTTGGAATGCTGACCCACATATGACCCCATCGGCATCCACAAGCTCCTCGCCGCACAACACCGTGCAAATTTCAAACATTCCTCTCGCAGGCGCACTTGGGCATGCTCTGCACCAAGACCCATCTTTGTCTCGCGAGCTTCCTGTCAATGTTCGCCGACACCTCGACTTCGGGAGAGGGGCAGATGACCTCAATTCCAAAAAGAGATTATCCAACACATCAACAGCGAGCGGCGCCACCGACTTCTCTGCGCGTCTAGCGGCTCAGTTCGACGCCGACTCTGACCGACAGAGACCGTCGTTCGACAGCGATGAATTTTCTCATCCTTCCCTTCTTCCTACCCCTAGTCATCGCAATGCCCTTGGTCTGACTGGAGCTTCTCGCAGAAGCCGTCCTAGCACTGGCGACCGAAATGAAGCAGATGGGGATGATACAGAGACAGAGACGCCGTCTAAAGGAGCTGTCTGCGCCACCAAGAATCGTCCTGCGAGACGTTCACTTGGCGCTGCTCTCGGCTTTGATACAAGTCACAGGTCGACAGCAGACTCCGCCACCAGCTCCTCCTCACGGACCGATGACAAGAAGAAAGACGACGCTGTGGATTCAGCAGAAAAGACCCACAAAAGGTCCAAGTCGAAGCTAGGCGCATTGCAGCGTCTCAGCTTTTCACGCTCTCGTATCAATGTTGCTAATGCATCCAGCACTAGTGTCAACGTGCCAAATGGAAATGAAAGTGCAGGGGGAATTTATGCAAACGGCATAAACAAGAGCCAAGCTTCTCTGATCAGTCAGATGTCCAGCACGTCGAATCGCTCCAGACGCGCTGCAAGCCCATCTAGCCTGGAGAAGAGCTATACTGCCCTCCGCAGCACCAGCTTCCGTCGACTGCTTGGCCGAGGAGGGCAGACTCGCATGACGTCTCCAAATGCCCTTGCAACGCCTTCTTCTTCACCGCCTCGACGCACGTCAGAGTTAGTCCAGCCTCTCGACGCCTTTTGTAGTCCAGTAAGGGACAGTCTGACGTCCCAGACGGCCAAGCCACCAATGTCGCCGCCCTTTGCCTGGCTAGGACTTCGACGTTCGAGCGAGGCGACGCCAACGCACTCCAACGAACAAAGCAGCCGCAGGGGCAGTGACAACGCTCCACGTGACAGCTCCGAGAGGCTGAGTTGGGCTGTTCCTGGCAGTCCGAGCAAGCCTTCGATATCTTTGCAAGGGAGAACGCAACGTGACGCTCGGGCAATGCCTTCCGTTCAAGCATGTTTACAGAGTCCGGACCCAAGCGGTAGCGTTCCATCGTGGCAGGATGTCAGCAGCCCGTCCAAAGGGCTCGCGTATCCTCCGACTAGCAACCTTCGCCGCGACTTTTCCAGTTCCAACACACTGAGAGCAGCCATGGCAGAGGACAACGAAGATAGAGCGGATCCTACGCAACACCGTCATGACGCGTCTCGTACAGAGACCTCGGTCCGAATCTTGCAGCCCTCCTACGGCCAAGTCCACTCGCGCAACGCCTCCTACGAGGCAACAGCGGATGATCCGACATCAGCACAATACCCTTACCTTGGACAAAGAGTGTTGCATGGGTCGAATGGCAACGCGTATGCAAGCAGATCTGTCTCTGCCTTAACTGCTCACAGTCAGACGAGTACTGATTCCCTCTCGGGCTACAGGATGCGAAAGCAGATCTCCGCTTCTATTGGACACGACGCTCACGACTCAGAGGCATCGTACAGAACAAGCGTTGGAAGCTCACCTGGTCTCTCGAGCCTTTCATCCTCGGGCTGGCTGTCTCATGGTAAGCGCGGTGCCACTTCTTCGTTCGACACCAAAGACACAGCTTGGTCTGCTGCCGTCATGTCTTCTGCTCACCACGGGTCTTTGCGAGCGCATAGCGACCAGCATAGTGGAGCTGCAAGTATGCCGGGTTCTCCCATCAACCTCGAGAAGACGCTCGAAGGAACACCGGCCACTGCTCCTCGCACAGCACGCATGCTTTCAGCTCCCGACACTTCGCTCTCACCTTCTCGTCAGTCGCAGCAGGGAGGCACATCATATACAGAGTCACCCATGACTCCATCTCGCGGTGTGCGTTTAGCAGCCATTGAGTCGAGCCCGGTTAAGCCAGCTGCCTCTGCTGCAGACACCAGCGCACCCATCCTGGCTTCAGCGAACCTTTTGGCTTCCTCTACTGTCTCACTGCAGAAGAGCGCAACACGACGCAACAGTCTTAGTGATCTGAAGATCCCTTCCCGCATCAGCAAGGCTCAGACTGGGCTGCGCAACAACATCAGCTTAGTGCGCGACTTTGCCAAAGGTATCGAAGAGCTAAAGATGCTGAAATCCAGCTATCTGGACCACAGGATGCGGGCGCCGCTGTCCAGCGCTGATGTGGAGGACAGAGTGCAGAACTGGCTCGAGTGTGCCGATGTACTCATTGGCTTGGGTGAGGGGAGGACTGAAGCAGACTCTGCTGCGAGAGTGGATACCGTCTCTCACACTCCGCTGGCCACGCGTGTCGACAGTCGACGTACGACATTTTCGGATGTGTCGAGCTACGCTAGTCCCAGATCGCCGCTAGGTGGTCTGGCGTCGAGTCAGTCCTCGATCTCGGGCGCTAGAAGCACCAGCGGTACGAGCCAAGCTACCACGTCGACAACAGATGGTGTGCGAAGCGTGGATGTGCAGAGGGAAATCGACATCCTTTCGGCCATTCTAGGGCCGACATGCCATGTTGAAAGTAGGTGTCATGGTCGGTTCCAGTCAGAGCAGTATTCGCGCGATGAAGTGCTGCATAGGAGCGCGGAGTCCTTGAAAGCTCCCCGCAGCTCAGCAAGAGCAGGATCTTCGACGAACACAGACATCCAATGGTCCAACCTCACCATTCCGAGTCGGGTGAGCTTTGATGAGGAGAAGCGAAACGCCAGGTCGAACCGTACCAAGAACTCTGAGCGAGCTTTCAACACGGTTCCTCTCCATGGCGCGCTGAGCGAAGTAGCGCCACTAGAAGGTGTTGATGTAGGTGGCGTCGACCGCAGCGCTAAGCGTCGATTGCGGAGTGCTAGTCGAGCGGGTTTGCAAGGTCTGAGGGATCTGTTGAAGGTGTTTAAAGGTGCTGAAACTGCCTCTTCCGTTGCTGGTATCAAAGCTACTGAATCAAGTCCCAGCAAAGAAGAGCCTCGCACCTCGGTCGACATCAGCAAGCCTTGCACTCCGGGAAAACAACCAAAGCGCAAATCACTCAATCTCAAACGACGCTCTTTCCTTCGCTCCAAGACTTCGCTCGACAATCTTAAATCAAAAGACACGAATGCAGCTGCGCAGGAGGTCACTCGGCCAATGCCGAGTACACCTTTGACTACTGCAGCTGGGAACAGGAAACAACCTTCATCGGGCAAAGTTTCTCTCGATACGACCTGGGAAGTTGTCGCAGCCAATGCTGGAGAGGAGAAAGAGAGGAAAGAAAGTCGAGCTGGTCGACGGATTTCACTTCAATCTGCACTCAGCGGGAAGCGGAGATCGGTTGATGGTGGAGCCACTTGGACTCAAGGTGGGCAGAGATTGGTGCAGTCGGCCAAGGTTGAGGCTGATAGACATGTTAGAAGGCCTAGTCTGGCTGTTCATCCGCCTACGCAAGGAGAGGATGCGGGGAGAGGAGCGAGTACGTCAGTTGATACAACCTATCAATCCCATCCACCGAACAATGCAGGCAGGTCACAGAGCTCACTAGAAGCTGCAAAACTCTCCACACCAGGTACGGTGCAGAAATTGGCTCTGAGACCAGAAGCAATGCCTGGTTTGCTGGTGTATGTACAGGCGACTAGACAGCATTTGATTGCTGCTATTGAAGAGCTTGGTCCTGCGGCTAGTGTAATGGCTTGCAATGATAATACGGTTTTTTTAAAGGAAGGGGGAGGTTAGGGGCGGTTATGGACACTCTTTTCATGTTCGGTCGTAAACACAGCGCATTCTTGACTGTGTCAATGCATCAATAGATTCAATTCCTTCTCTTTAGTGATTGCGTAGCGCTTGCGGATACAAGACGGAGCAGTTCTATGACGACTGTGTTGATTGTTGTTCGACCTCCCATCTGGCGAAAAGGGCAGTGCGCGGAAGAGTCAGGCAGGCGACCTTCGGCGTTGTCCATCAGAATGCTTGATGATGTGATACATACAGGCCGAGAACCTTCTCCTATGCGGGGCCGCGTGTCGCGTAGTTGAAGACGCATCGGCATCGCCAACACGTGATGTATTGAACAGGAGTACACAGGATTGGGAAATTGGGAAGAGACAGAACAATGAGGAAAGACAGGCAGAACGTGAAGCTAGTGGGGACTAATACATTGACATGACAACACTCATGAAAGTAGATACATGGCATATGGGAATGACTCGACAAGGTAAGCACAGACAAGTGCCCAGAGCATGTATATATACTCCAAGTCATGTCACTATCATACAATAAGCAATACAAGCCTTTTATCTGAGACTATCCAATTGAGCAAGCACCTGCTAGTGGCCTCTGTATCAGTGTACCTAAATTTTAACTGGCTCCCAACATGGGGCTTGAACCCATGACATTCACCATGGCAGGAGAAGGAGATCACCAAGCTGGTGAGGCAACTAAGAAGACAAAAGGAGGAAGAAAGGGAAAGGTGGCTCAACAAGTACGAATCGATGACGAGGCCACCAACAGCAATGAAAACAAGTTTAATGAAGCTGAAGAGGAGTCAGACTCTGACAATGACAACAAGCAGTATGACTACCATACCTTAGCCAAGATCATGGAGGTGGTCCCTAAACTCATGTTGCAAAACTACTATAGCTGGAGCACCCTCATCAAGGCCACCCTCAGGGTTGTTCCTCATGCCACACAGCACTTGGAAGGCACGTATGATAGTGATCATCCAAAATGGAACAGAACCTTTGACAACATCCTAGCAGGTGTGCTACATAGCACCCTAGACACTGAAGGAGAGTACAACACTCTCTACTTATTGCTCAACATTAGCAAGGCATATTTGACTTTCCACCAGACCTGGAAGAAGATCAAAAAGGCCTTGACCAGTGAAGCTGCTAGGACCTCATGATGAATTGCACTCCTTGCCCAACTCAATGAAGCCAAGATGTTCAACGCCGATGCACAGAAGCTAATCCAAGAGATTAGAGCCATGCAGACAGAGACAAGCCTCCTGGGAGCACCTTTCGGTGATGATGCCATATATGCAGCACTCCAAAGATGCACTATCTGGCACCCAGTCTACAAAGAAATGGTCACCACCATCCATCAAGTTAGTTTCAATGCCCTCGCCACAGCATTGATGATGCACCAATCTGCAATCGAAAGCATTCCCACCCAAAAGGTGGATCCACAACAGGCAAGCACCCAAGCAGCTGGTAGCAACAAGCAGGATAGCGATGCTGATGAGGATGCTGAAAGCTCAAAGGCTAAGACTAGACCAAGGAGGATTCGCTGCTGGGTGTGCAAATGCTATGGACATGGTGCCAGAAAATGCGATGCCACTGTCACCATCCCCAAGAACTCTCCTCTCACCCAGACTAAATAGGAAGTCTGGTGCCCACTTGCCCCAAGTTGGCAAAGGCCCCCAAAACCAGACCAATCGACCCATTGGGTTCTGGATTCAGGAGCAACCTTCCGCATGATTAATGACTACAGCATGTTGATCCATCCAAGAAAGTGCAGAAAGTGCATATATACCACCAGAATTGAAGTCTTAGAAGTGACTGCTGTAGGGGATGTTAGCATATCAACAGAGTATGGGGAGATACTGCTCCAAAATGTACTTTATGTTCACAACCTCAACATTAATCTATTGTCAACCAACTCATTGATGGATGAAGGAGCATGTGTGACCTTAGACCCTAAAGGGGGACAAATACATTTGGCAGACAGCATGCTGCTAAAAATAGTAAAGAATTGCAAGAGTGGATTGCTAGAGATACAAGGTGATACATGGCAACAAAATGTGATGGCTGCATCAACACTGCTGTTTGAAGGGGTTGATGAAGAATTCAAGCTAGCTGAACGGAGACCAAAAGTTTCCACAAAACAGCTCTGGCATGAGTGACTGGGACACCCAGGTCGAGATAAGTCCAGGGCAATCGTTAACAAATTGAGAGGTGAACCTGTAGAAGCATTGGACCCGAACACAGCTCTGACATGTGAGCCATGTATACAATCCAAGAGTACAGTTGCCAGGATGGGGCAAGGTAGTGGCAAGAGAGCTGCGGGGCCCCTGGACCTCATCCATATCGACCTAATCATTGATTCATCCTATGTGACAGAGTACACATACATATTAGTGCTGGTCGATGACTATAGCAAGTATGTGCATGTACAGCCACTACTATGGAAGAGTCACACATTTGTGCAGCTCAAGAGAATCATCTTATTCCTAGAAACACAGATGGACAGAACATTGAAAGCAATTCAATCTGATCAAGGGACTGAATGGAGGAACAACAAAGCACTGGAATGGACACTCGGGAAAGGGATAGAATGGCAGACCACTGTGGGGTACAATAGCAGGCAAAATGGATGAGTGGAATGAATGAACAGGAGCTTAGGCGAGAAGATGCAGACATTATTGATACAGAGAAATCTACCAAAGAGTTTTTGGCCATATGTGATCTGGGCAGCAGCATTCAAGATGAACCTGACCCCTAACATTGACAGAGAGTTCCCCTATCAGCTGATGTTCAGAAAGTCGCTGGAACATTTCATATGCCTCATGCATGTGTTTGGATGTTTGGCTTGGGTGAATGTCCCAAAAGCCAAGAGACACAACAAGAAATTGGATCAGAGAGCAGTCCCGGCTATATTCATAGGATACAGCTTGGAGAGAAAGGGATGGCTGTTCTACAGTCCTGAATACAGTCCAAACACCTTCTGGAGCAACTTGGCAAAGTTCATGGAAACTCAATGCTGGTCAGACTGAACAGAATGGAAGCCAGTGAACATTCAATTGCCTCCAGTCCCAAACAATGAGGAGGATCTAGCTAACCTGGGGTACATGGAGGAGGACCTCTTCGACAAGGGTGATCAAGACCCCTTGAATGAGTACATGAGCATGGAGACAACCTTGAGAGAAGGGAAACACAAGGAGCTGAGGTACAAAGCACAAACTTCCTTTGGGCTAGTGATGACAGGGCTTAAGAAGGAGAAAAGGAATCTCAATCCAACTGTTCGGGAAGCACTGGCTGGAGAGGACAAGAGGTTCTGGGAGGTGTCAGGGGTCTCGCGCCTGAAACCCAGGTCGGTCTGTCAAAATACTCGGTGACTATCAAACTGTGCGACAGCTATTGTCTCGGTATCAGTGACTATCAAGTTGTGCAGTGACAGCAGGTGGTGTTCATTGTATATACTATCATAGGTTTCGGCTGACCTCTGTGGACACTCCGTTCAGGGGTAGCTCAGCACGATCAATAGCAATGCTTCGGTTATGATGACACCAAGGTCTGGTGTGAGTGTTGATGATGATGAGGTTGATGACATTGGTGTTAAGGTAAGGTTGATGAATGTTGATGATAACGAGGTTGATGGTGTTGGTGATAAAGTTGGTGGCATCAACACGAGTGTCCAGTGTGTTGACTGATGCTTGAAGTGATCCTGGACCGCAGTGGACTACTGCCTTCGGTTCTATCTATATCCGGACTGCTAACCTGCTATGGGCGCCTTCGGACGTCAGGTAGTGGTGATACAACACACACACTACGATGAGAAGCAACCTTGATAGATTGCTGCTATGCTGACTGGAACTAATATATACTTATGCTGAAGTGATAACTAGTTATGGTGAGTAGAGTGGATGAGGATCCACTTGACTTATGATGATGAGAAAGCATGGTTATATACCTCTTCACAGCATCGCCAGCGATGCTGCTCCTGCTCTCTCTCCAGAGAGTACCTTCTTCATTGAGTACTGCTCAGGGGCCTCTCCTGCTTGGCACCCCTGTGCCTCTTGAGTGGTGTTGACTCCTTCGACACTGCTCCTCCTCCTCATGACCTGGTGTCGACTCCTTCGACACTGCTCCTCCTCCTCATGACCTGGTGTCAACTCCTTCAACACTGCTCCTCTTCCTCAGGACCTGCCTGCTAGTGTCCTATACACTGCTCCTTCTCCTTTGACCGGTGACAGTTCCTTTGACTCTTGTCTCTCGAGCCCCTGAGTGGTAACCATCTGAGCTTGGTCCTCTTCGTGGCTGTGCCTGCTCCTTGAGCTTGGTCCTCCTCGTGGCTGTGCTTGGCCCTCCTTTGCATGTGAGTCCATAGGAGTCCATGGTCTCCATGGAGACTGCACTACGACCATGCTCTCTACTGGTATCGACTAGATCTTCGATACCTGTGCTCCTTCCATATGAACCAGTGACCCTCCTGCTTCTTGAGCATCCAGGCCCATGACAGGAGGAAGCAATGCGCAAAGAGCTAAAAGGGCTAGAAGCAATGAATACATGGGAGACCACCGACTTACTGCATGATATGAACACAGTCAACATGCATTGGGTGTTGAAAATCAAGATGGATGCAAATCTGATTCCCATGAAGTACAAGGTGAGGTTAGTAGCACAAGGGTTCACACAAAGGGAAGGCATAGATTATACAGAAATCTTTGCACCTGTGGCACCCATCCAATCAATCAGAGGAGTGCTAGTGATTGCTGCCATATGGGGCTGGGAGGTTGACATGATCAATGTAAAGCAGGCTTACCTAAACTTGAGCCTACACCATGATGTCTACCTCAAGCCACCCATCGGAATGAAAGTGCAGCTGGGGAAGGTACTAAAGCTCATGAAAGGTCTCTACGGCCTGAAACAATCAGGCCATGGGTGGAACATAGAGTTAGACACACATTTGTGAAAGATCGGTTTTCACTGCATGTCAAGCACTCCATGCCTGTACTCAAGGGGGGCAGATGATCAACTCATGGTGATAACAGCATATGTGGACGATATGCTCATTGCATCACCCAGCTGGAAGGAAGTTGACCATACCAAAGCAGAGATCATGGGCAAGTGGGAGATGGAGGATAATGGATTGGTGAAGGAATTCTTAGGTATCAAGATCATGCAAGATAGGAGCCAAAGCAAAATTTCACTCAATCTGACGGCATACATCAAAGGCATGGTAAGCAAGTGGTTGGAGAAGCCAAATGAAAAATCATGGATACCAATGCAAAGCATCGCAAACACTGTTGGAGGAAACAAATGTACTCCAGAGAGAGCTAAGTGATACCAGGAGTTGGTGGGCCAATTGCTATGGGTGTCTAACATGGTATGGCTGGACATCTCATTCATGGTTGGAGTTCTAGCACAACACATGTCAGAATCAATCGATAGCACATGGCAAGCAGCGATACACTTGCTAAAGTATCTGAACCAAATGAGCGAATATCACCTGGAGCTTGGAGGAAAGCATAAGAAGCATGCAAGACAGCCAGTGGTCACATATACTGATGCGAATTGGGCTTCAGACCCTACCAATGGATGAAGGAGCACATCTGGGGCAGTCACATATGTATATGGATGTCCAGTCAGCTGGAAGTCGCACATACAGAAGTGCATAGCATTGTCGGCAGTGGAGGCAGAACTGGTCGCTGCATCAGAGGCAGCAAGAGAAGCCCTTTTCTTCTCATACTTACTGAGGGATTTAGGGATCACAGAAGTTAGACCAGTCTTGTACACTGACAGTCAAGGATGTATACAGGTCAGCAAGGACCCAGCCAAGCACTGGAAACTCAAGCATATCGACACTAGATATTACTTTGTCAGGGATCATGTACAAGATGGCAACATATCAATTGAGTTTGTTGGGACAGTCAACAACATGGCCGACATACTCACAAAGCCTCTCAAGGGACTCAATACAACAAGGATATCAAAAATGATGGGATTGGATATGCCATTGAGGGGGGGAGTTGAAGATGCATCGGCATTGCCAATGTGTGATGTATTGAATGGGAGTACACAGGATTGGGAAATTGGGAAGAGACAGAACAATGAGGAAAGACAGGCAGAATGCAAAGCTAGTGGGGACTAATACATTGACATGACAACACTCATGAAAGTAGATACATGGCATATGGGAATGACTTGACAAGGTAAGCACAGATGAGTGCCCAGAGCATGTATATATACTCCAAGTCATGTTGCTATCATACAATAAGCAATACAAGCCTTTTATCTGAGACTATCTGATTGAGCAAGCACCTGCTAGTGGCCTCTGTATCAGTGTACCTAAATTTTAACTCGCGTAAATTAGACTTTAAGACGCGTTCTGGCATACGGACGAAAGAAGAATTTTAATGGTCTCATCTCAAACAACCCTGGCATATGACGGATAGGTTTGCAGGTTCCAATCGCAATCGCAATTCATCAGTTCAGTTAGACCTGTACCGGAAGGATGAAATGCCGAAGGAAGCGATCCGATATGATGATGCATGCTGACATAAATGCAATCGGGGAACCGATGGAACAGATCTGTCTGGAGATCGGGTGCAACTTAGCCCTAGCTTGTTGTCAAGCTAGATCATGAAGGAGGATACTCCCACATTCGGCAGGCACCTCATAGATGTATATATATCAAGCTGAGGTCCTCACCACGCTCACTTTAGTCAATCAAGTATACATGTTTCTGCCCTAAAGTAGTAGTGACATCGTACTCGCACTCTCCCCAATCGCCAGTTATCGGGACCAAAACTCAACAGCTTCCCTGTCCGACGGAGTCTAAAGCGTGAGAGATCGATCGCTTAAAAAAGACCGACACCTCGCAAGAAGAAAGATATGACCCTAAAAGAGGAGGGGCGGGGAGCAAAGGGAGGCAAGGCGAGACGAGATGAGGCGAGACGAGGGTACAGTATTGTAGGGCAGGGCTGGAGCTTTCTTGACTGGAAAATTTTCGACAGACGAGAGGAGTAGAAAAAAGGACGCCTCGATCGTAAGGTGCAGACGGCAGCGGAAGATCGTCCTCCCTCAGCTCGAGTCTTTGTGCGATTTGCTGGTCTACGCGACTGATCTTGTCAACTGTAGCCTGACAGCAAGGATCTGAGAGTTACGAGCCTACCGCAAACGGAGTTCCTTACGGTCAGCCGTCATGCCAAATGCCTGAGAAGAAGAGAGCCCAAAGCGTGCTCTCTTTTTTTTTTTTTTTTTTTTTTTTTTTTTTTTTTTTGTTTTTTTTTTTTTTGGTTAGAGTCCTTGAGCTCCTCCTGAAAGCTCGACCGTCGATCAATCGGGTTGGCCGAAAAAGGAGAGAGTTGGAGCGGGTTGTCTCAACCTTACGGTCAACTGGTCCGGCCTGAGTTGCCACAAGCTGTGCAGCGACTAAGCGGTTCTGCTCCGAAGAGAAAGAGCAGTGGATCGCCGTCTGACCTGATTGCTGTGGGAAAGATTTGCGGCCCTCTCACGCGGTATCGGTGTCCTGCCGAACTGCAAGATCCAAACCATGAATGGCATGGAACCCGATTTGACGATTGTTTGCGGACGGGCACGGGTCAAGTCGAGCCGACCGAAGCTGATGGGAACCTAGCTTACACCACAGTTTCTGGGTAAGTTATCAATCTCCGTCATGCGGGGAAGATTCGGGATGGTCTTCTCGATTTGGGCATTGCTGAGGGCCTTTCCCATAAGGTCATACATCGACCAACGCCGAAAGAGGGGAAGAATTATCGACCTCGGAACCGAACCGAGCATTGCGGCATTGTGTGTAGTAATGGATAGCCCTATCAGATTCGGCCCACGACGAAGCGAATGGAGGTTACAGCTGCGTGCCTTGTCTTGGCCGTGGCAGCGTTCCACCGTCCACCCTGACGCCGTCAAATTTTGATCGATTCGAGGAGGCGGCTCTTCCGACACAATACACGCTCGCTGCGTACCTTTTCGAGGTAAAAAAAGACGCACGACCGCAGGCAGCCAACCATGCGGAGAACCAAAAGAAAAAGAAAAAGGGGGAAAAAAGTCATTGTTACCCACAGCCAACGTCGAAACTTGTGGTCTCAGATACCAGCGGTGACAGTCAAGCCTTTGCTTTGCCTTGCCTTTTCTTGGTATCAAGCCAATCACTTTGATGAACTTGATGTGCAGAGCAGGCATTCCATGCAGTCCAGAAAAGACTATGTGCAAGAGATTAGAGAGCTAGCAAGCATGGAAGGGATGGCCTTGTCGATGTCGGTGCCAACCTCATCCGGAGAAGATCTTGAGCTGATAGCAGCAGCAGCAGCAGCAGCTAGCATTCTCAAGTAATCGAGGGTTCATATCGAAGGGGAAAGCGGAGGAGCTTGGACGTGCTTGCACCCTTCTTTTCCTTCATTTCGCGGATGCGCGTGTGTGTGTTTCAGAAGGGAAAGGCTGAGGGACTGGATTTATTTCATTTCATCTTTGTGGGTTTATGTAGCTGTGCAGTTGACTGGATTGCAGCGCACATGCTGTAGCCAAATCAAAGGCAATTCTGCTGTCAGCTCGGCGCAAATGAACCGCGCCAACGACCACCACTTTTCCCTGGACTGTCACATCTTTTGGATATCACAATTCCCGACCATACCACAGCCCACCTCGAACCTCGATCTGGAAATCTGCTGGTCTCTGTTCTGCGAGGCGCTGTTGCAAATGCAATCACACTTTCTCTAACACTGGTTGGCCACGCCGAATTGCTCCCCCTTTCTTGAGATTCCGCTCGGTCTGTGTCACATTTTCTCTCTTTTCCTCTGGCAGTTGATAGAGGCGCTTTTCTCTCCTCTTCTGTCCTCCTCTCTTGCAGCAGACAGGCACTCTTGTCGAATCCGCCTGTCTGCGCTCAAGCGTGGCCGGACATTGTTCAACTTGCCTGTTCATCAGCTGTACAGCCAAAAGAGCTTCTAGAGTCAGACGCTCCGACGCAAGCCACGCCGCTCCTCCTTACTCTCATGGCATGGCAGATAGCCAATAGCCTTGCCAGCAGCCCTTGACACCGTGTCCTACTACATATTCTCTTAACTTCTTTCCTCCTCTCCACCTCGCCTTGCTCCCTTGCTTGATACCTCTCCCTCGTCCATCCCATCAGACCGTATCGTTGGACGTGGTGTTTTTGGTCCTCTCCGACAATCAACCTCTGCATCACCAAGGCGCCGCTCTCCCTTCCTCTTTCTCATACCCGCCTCCCACTTGGTCTTCCATCCTCCCTGGCATATCCGCATCACCATTACGCCCCTGTCTGCTTCGTCTTGGCCTTTCTCATTCGGCCACCAGCGCTTCCAGCATCACTCCGCATCGCATCGCATCACATCGCATCGCATCTCCCTAGCATAGCACAGCCTAGCTCGATCCTCATTCACTTGAGTTCTACTTTCTTCTTGCTGCGAAACCATCACATCTCTTCTTGTACCATCCCCCTGCATCATCGTCACCGCATCCTCTCTTCACTTGCCCCTGTCACGATCCCTTCCTTCTGTATTGATATCCATGTTAAAAGCATAGCTCATCCGCACCTCGCATCGCATCTCAGAGCTCACTGTAGCACCCACTCCACTTTCCTTCCCCTTGCTTAGTCTTTGCATGCGCTCTTGGCATCTTCTCCAACGCTGCATCACCTCACTCGCATCCCCGACCTCGCCAATACCTACCCGTCAAAGTTCCCCATCCCCCCCCAACATACATCTTTCTTCGGCCACCCGCCTGACCCTGTCGCTATCTGCACGATCCGGCGACATCGCAAAACTCTACTCGCCACCATGCCCAGCTCACAGTCCACCATGATGTCCAGACCAAGTCTCGGGCATCGTTCCATCTCGGAACAGGCTCCCCTCTACAACCCTTCCACCAACCCGCACTCCGGCTCTCACCTTCGCGCTTCCAAGGCTGCTAGCGGTGCTCAGATCGCCACTGGTTCTGTCCTCCCTCACTCACCCTGGCTTCCCCTTCCCCCTGCTTCCAACTCGAAGCACTCCACCCTTTCTGTCGATGTGATTGACGTCGAGCAGATCGAGAACTTTGCCCCAGGCCAACATCGCGCCCCTTTGAGCTCAGCTTCTCTCGCCAGTCGACGCCAAGCCCGACGAGGCCTTTCCGAAGGCTTTTCTCTTCACACTAATCAACACAAGTCTAGCCGTATGGCCATGGCAATAAGTGCCGCTTCGGCTCTCGGTCCAAAGTCGGCTCTCCGACTCGACATTGCCGCTACTGCCGACCACTTTTCAGCTGCAGCAAGCAAGTCTGCCGGCATGATCCGCGGCTACTCGATGCCCGTCGCTACCCAAGAGGAGCATGATGAGCAGCAGCGCATCATGGCCTTGGGACTCTCACCTGTTGGCCACTACGCCGCCAATCCTGCCTGGTGGCAGTATGGTTGGTCATCACCTGGCGGCGTCAACCATCGTCATCTCCAGCGACAGAATGGTGCTCCAGAGTTTGTCAGCGAGCGCCAACCATCATCGCAGTCAAAACTTGCAACTGTCATGGCCGCCGCTTCTACTCCTGCTGGTCCATCACCCATGTCTTCATCACCTCTCACAACGCGACCAAGCAGCCATGCCAGCAAGACCCACTCCAGCTGTTCACCCAAGATGAAGAACAAGCACTTGCCCAGCATTCACCAGCACACCTTCCAAAATACATCGTCGCGATCCGCCTCGTCATCACCCAAAATTGGCCGATCTCCCCTCTCGATGATCTCTGTCAACTTGCCCGCCGTTGATCAGCAACTGCAGCAACAGCAAGAGCAGGCACTCAGCAAATCGGTCCATGACACCATCTCACCCATTAACAATGCATTCGAGATTGAGATGGATGCACTCAGCCAACGCTTTGAGCAATGGTCACGATCACAAGCCCTCTCCACACTACGAGAGTCTCGATCGGATGATCAGCTTTCTGCGACTGCCAACGAGGATGAAGACTACTTCAACCTTTGCCACGATGAACCCCAAGACAACCTCGTCCGCGGTGGAGCTGACCTCGGTTTCCTCGTTCGAGTCACAGGTGGGAGTGACACCTCAGATGAAGCACGTACTCCACGTGCCTCTTCTCCTCGTCCTCTCTCCAAGACAGCTCTTCAATACCACAACCTTGAGCACCTTGCCACTCACAAGGATGACGCACAACACAGTTTCGCCGAGACCAATAGATGGTCTGCAAACTTTGACTTTATTCACCCGGATCACCTCGCTTAGACCAATCTAATATGTAACTTCATCGTCGTCCTACTTGTTGTTGTCGCCATTGTAGCTTTATTTATTTATTTAATGCTCCCTCCGTAATCTGTTCTCTCATGTATCTGTTATCGGAAAGAGTCTAGTCCAAACCTTACACTGGTCACAGAAACCTAGTTGAGCGTGATCATCTGTCTGAGCTGCATGCTTTCGCTCCTCCTTCCATTGCACGCAAGTGGGGTGTTTTTCCTTGTCCCCGGACACTGGCGATATCCATGAGAATTAACTCGCACTCATCTTAGCATGCTTTAGAAGTTGATCAAGTCACTGACTCCTCACACAGCACACACACACACACACACACACACACTGCGCCGGCAATTAATGAGGAGAGCTCTGCTTTTCCTCAACGTCCTGGCAGCAAACGAGGGGAGAATACAAAACCAAGCATCGCTCGCATCAACAATCCACCCCAACATCACGATCGAGCTAATATCATCCTTTGTGCTCAAAGATTGATACTGGATGAAACAACGCTCTCGCTCTCCTCCAAAACGTTGTCTAGCGGCATACCTGGTTGATAAGGTTGAGCGAACCTTGTCGGTGCTTCTCCGCTCTCAGCTGCTTCCCATTCTGCAGACCTTGCTTGCCATCGAGTCGAGTTATCGAGTTGTTCCATCTCACCTTCTTCCTCTGCCTGGGAAAGCTCCAGGTTACGGATAAGGGGACTATCAGTAGAATTCGTCTGGTATCGCTCGCGAGGATCGAAATTAGATGCTGCGTCCTCCGGATATATCTCATCATCCGAGACTCTACTGTCCATCGATGCACGGGTAAGCATTGCAGCTCCAATCCCCTCTGTTCCCGCTCGAGCGGTTGCAGTAGTTGCAGTCCTAGCCTGAACAACAGCAGGCAAAGGCTTCTCCAGATCTCCCTTCCCACCAACACCGTTCCCCTTCAACACAGGAATAGAAGAGGCACCAGCTCTACCGCCAAATTTCGACGCTACATCAGCAACTCTTCCCGCCACAGGATCTTTCACAAATGGATCCCTATACCCTCTTCCCTTCACACTACCAGCAGCTGGCTTCGCTGATGGAGCATCCATAAGCCAATTAGCCGAACCTGCAGAAGTATCCCCTCCGAGGGGAGAAGAAGGCGAAACAGATCTACCCTCTTTACTCGCTCTCACAGCCTCAATAGGGCTCAACCCGGCACGAAGCGATTCAACCAACTTCTTTGTATCAATCGACGCAGCAGGACGAGGGGGGGCTTCTTTTCTCGACTTCAAAGCGGCTCTTGCTGCTGCGACGTAGTCTAGTGCCGCTTCCGGTTTAAGCATGGAGGCCGAGGGTGAGAGAGATGCCTCACCCATCGCAATCTCTGCCACTTGAGATCGAGCTGTCGTAACACCAAAAGAACCATCCGCAGCATTGCATTGCGTGCTGGGTTCGGCCGAGTAAGAGTAGCACTGGGAATGAGAAGGACTTTCAATCCGTTCCAATGCAGGGAACTCTTCAGCGTGATCCGTTTCCGGTGTAGCCTTATTACTCGCCGTTAGCGGCGGTGTCGATGAGCGAGGGACACCATTCGAATGATGAGCCTCAAAAGTCTCAACCGATCCCCCAGACCCACGCATGAGTCGAGGAGTACTAGCACCAGTCTCCAACCCAGCATCTACGGTCGAAAGCTGTGCTGTATCGTCCGCCATCGCCATAGCTCGGGTGTAGGGCCGAGGCACATCGGGACCCTCCAAGCGGTTACCATTGGCTCGAACTAGGATGTCGATCCATGCTTTATCGCCCCTCCTTTTCCGAGCAGGGGTTAGAGAGATACTGTCGGAATCGCCAATACTGCGTGTTTCGAAATCAGCACTGGTGAACGAACGGTCGCCGTGGACGTCTCCTTCTTGCTCGCCTGCTCGAGCGTGATTGGTGGTGGGGTGGCAACCGAATTCGTCGTACCCAGCCAGGATGGGATCACGTGAGTTGAGGGCAGGGGAAGAAGCTCCCCTACGAGCAGAATGGACGACTTTCATGCTCTTCGCACGAAGCGTCGACATGAGCTTGTTTCCACCGCCGCCACCAGAGGAAGACGACTGCTGATGCCCCTCACTCTTGAAGTGCGCATGGCCATTGCTATGGACCGTAGAGTGATCTTCACCAGCCTCGCCTCCACCTGCTCTCTTATCCATACTAGTCCGGTTACTCCTAAGTGAGCTACGAGAAGCATTCCTACTTCCATTCCTCTTCAGCTGATCACTCAACACGATCCGCTTCGTCGACCCGCCCGATCCAGCCTTAAACACATCATCTCCCGCCATATCGGTACTCTTCTCTCCACCACCAATTCCACTGCTAGAACTCTTATCCTTCTTACTCCTGAACATATTCAACTTCCTCATCATAGCCCTCCCTACCCCTTCACCCTGCCCTACATTCCCCAATTCAAGCCTATACTGCGCCGGCACAACCTCCTGAACCACAAACCAAGCGGCATCCTTTCTATCATCCCTCGCTCCACCTTCCACCTTCCTGAAACTAGTCGGCAAAGAAAGCGTACTACCCGCACTCTGCGACCCAACCGTACTCTCGTTCGGCCTAGACTTGTACTGAACGACGACAAAGTTGGCGTTCCTATGCGTCAATTCATCTCGATTACTCCATCCGTTGCCTAACAGATAGTCCGCCCAGACATCAGCGAATGTTTCATCCATCCGACTGATTGGGTGGTTGTCCATCTTTCCCTCCGCAACACCTGCTAGACTTGGGCTGGTGAGGAGACGAGGCCTAGTGTCGTAGTTGAACGCGGGGAGTTTGTCAGATTTAGATTTAAGCTTGGCATGAATCATATCTCTTTCTGAAGGCCAATTCTGGACGTCACGTTTGAGAACATCGTCAAAGCTCAAAGCTTTTGCCAATGCTTGGTTCTCGTCTGGATGGAAGCCGTTGGCCGAGAATGTGTTCCATTGGACCGTGTCCCTCTTGTTGCCTGCAATTCTGTTCATGCGTGCCGACTCGTTCAGGTCGAAAGCCAGTTTGGAAGAGTCAGGCGCAGAGAAGCCATCGCTGAGGAAATCATCCCAGCGCTTCCCTGCCAAAGAGGAATGCGCTGCCACTGCATCATCGTCCTCACAGCCAACCGATGGATCGTTTGCCTTGCTACCAGGCTTCCGTCCCTGCGTAGCGCCACCTCTGAGATTGATCAGTTTCCTAAACTTATCCGACAACTGCGGGTCCTTCCCCAAAGTCTCATGAACACAGAGACAGTGTTCCCACTCCTTACACACCTGTTCCAAATCCATCTCGCAAGCCGACTGTACCAGATCGACACTGTAGAGCCTAACATTCCGCTCGATCTGCGTAATCGGAACCAACTTGGATGAAGTCGATGGCAAAGCCATCTCGGCAGGCAAGATCGACGGATAGCCACTAACGTGCTGCGCCAACCTCGGCGGCAACGCTGCCTGCGTCGCCTGATACCTGATATAAGCTAACAGTAGGTGCTCAGTAGCATTGCTCGCCCGGACATAGGCATCGTACGTCCTCGCAAAGGTCTCGTCTTCAGGTAAGCCGAACAGCAGCACACCGAAATGCTTGCTGAGCTTGGCCGGCATCATGCCGTTCTTCAACGAGTAGCTAGCCGTTGAGCTTAGTAAAGAGAACAACGAGCTGAGAAGCTTGGCATTTTCCTGCTTAAGATGCGCTAGGAAGTCCTTGAACGCGGTTGGAGTGTAGTGCTGTCGACGTTCCTGCTCTCGCCAAGCATGGTAGGATTCTAGATCTAAGAAGCCGCGCTGTTGTACGTAGACCTTCTCTTCTCGCACTTCTCCCTTTTTTGCACCAGGCACGGGCACAGGAACTGCGAGAACACGGCCCATTCGTGCAAAAGCCCACTTGATGACTGCTGCAAGATCGTGTGGATTGGCGAAGCGGATTTCGTCGACAAAGGCGGAGGGGAGTACGCCAGAAGTTGAGGCGAAGAGCTTGATCAAGGAAGCTACGTTTGTCGGTGACAGATCGAGAGCCATGGAAGAGAAGATGAGCGGGTTGTCCAGACCTCGATTGCGGATCTGGTCACCACATGCCTCTAGCAGCGCCAGGACACGGCTTGCTTCGAGCTGAACGTGCCATGCTTCTGTTGTGTAGCCGTAGGCGTATGAAGGCTGCTTTTGTAATGAGGAAGAGGCATCGTACATGAAGGAAGAAGACGACTGTTTGCGAGTGAATTTAGAGCCATTTGCGTAGACTGAGGAGCTAGCAGCGACTAAGGTGGAAGCAGAAGGCGCCTGAAGAAGCGTGTTGTAGTTGTTGGGCCGTGAAGAGGAAGCAAAGGTGGCAGATTTACTACCGGTGAGAGCCTGCATCTGACCGAAGTCATCCATGCCGCCGTGTCCGTTACTGTGAGCGGTAGTGTTGGTGGTCTGTAGGGTCAGCGTCGAAGAGAAGGATGCCTGATGATTGTTGTAGGGATCATGTTGGCTCGCGGCGGGATTCTTGGGAGGTGGCGCAGGGAGATCATCCTTTGTGGGAACGTTGGGTAGGAGCTGTGCGTCGGCTGTGCTCGGCGTGGGCGATGAGAGTCCAAGACGGTCAATGTCGGCTGAGCTGATGGCGCCTAGGTATCCTGAAGCAGAGTTGATTTGGGATGGGCCTTTGCCTTTGGTTCTTCTAAAAAAGAGGCTGGGCATTGTCTGAGGGGATTCCGTGCCACTCTAACGAGGAGTATACAGGCCGGATGATGATTGCAGCACTATAGTTAGATGAAAGGACAAAGAAAGAAGTGGCGTCCGGACGCAGGGCGAAGGAGTTGGAAGATCCAATCCAGGACCTTATATGTGATGCAATTGGTTGCCACGTCCCAAACTGTTAGAAGCGAGTTCGAGGTCGAGTTCGGTGTCTTTTGCCGTGCTGAGATGAAATGGGATGAAACGTTTGCGTGGGTTTGTCTTGGAAGAGCGATCGGGAAGGTCTCTTTCGAGTATCGTAATATCGAATGAGGGTAGTGTGGGTATCAAGGATCCGAATGACATTCGCAGTCGGGGGAGCGAGCAAGCGGCGTGTACAAGTCTAAGGTGCAGGGCTCGAGGAGATGGCAGTGCGTTGGGATCGACAGCAACGACAGTCGAGAATCTTTTCTCCCGAGTGATAGATGGTCAGAAGAGACGATTGGGTATATGACAGCCAGAAACGATGGGGGAAGCGAAGCAGAGTCAAGCCGTCATTCGAAGCGAGTGTGTGCCAGCCATCTTTTGAGGAAGGGTGTCACACACACGCTGTTCTATGCTGTTCTGTGCTGCACCAAAAAGTGTTGGTCTTTCTCACACGCATCACGCACATCACACGCAGCATTCACGCAGATCTCTCTCTCTCTCTCTCTCTCTCTTCGGCTTAACACGCATGCTCGTTGTTATTTGCAAGCGACATGCAACTATTGAGAATGACGATCCGACGAGATGATATTGGTTGATGTAAGCAGATACAAAAGGGATCGGGTGAGGAACGGCCTGATCGGAAACCGAGAATCAGGTGCAACATGGTCCCACTTGTTGTCACAATTGAGTGCAACATAGTCCAGTTTGTTGTCATGGTAGATCATTAGGTAGGAGTATTCCCACCTATGGCATGTGCCACTCACTTGTATATATATCTCACAGAGAGCACTAGGCTCTCACCACATTCCCTTAGTCAATTGAGTATATTTGTTTCTGTCTATAAGCTAGCAGTGACATTGTGCTTAGACTATCCCTGATCACCAGTATTGGGACCTAAAACTTCTCAGGTTATGAGCCCAACCCAAAGCCCTACCTCATCCTTGAACTCACCTTCAATGATGACCAACATAAACTACTCTCTCTATGATGACATCATTGCTCCAATGGAAGATCTCCTTCCACAGCTGCCAAAGATCCTCCAAAATCAGTTCAATTGGATGATGACTGATGAAGTCTACAGTATGCTGAATGCTCCAAAGGAGGGAAATCTATTAGAATTTGCCATCACCAGTGATAACAAGTGTCAGGGGTCTCGCGCCTGAAACCCAGGTCGGTCTGTCGAGATACTCGGTGACTATCAAACTGTGCGACAGCTATTGTCTCGGTATCGGTGACTATCAAGTTGCGCAGAGACAGCAGGTGGCATTCGCTGGATATACTATCGTAGATTTCGGCTGACCTCTGTGGACACTCTGTTCAGGGGTAGCTCAGCACGATCAATATCAATGTTATGATGACACCAAGGTCTGGTGTGAGTGTTGATGATGATGAGGTTGATGGTGTTGGTGATGAGATTGGTGATGTCGATGATAATGAGGTTGATGGTGTTGGTGATAAGGTTGGTGGCATCAACACGAGTGTCCAGTGTGTTGACTTGATGCTTGAAGTGATCCCCAGACTGCAGTGGACTACTGCCTTCGGTTCTATCTATATCTGGACCGCTAACCTGCTATGGGCGCCTTCGGACGTCAGGTAGTGGTGATACAACACACACACTATGATGAGGAGCAACCTTGATAGATTGCTGCTATGCTGACTGTAACTAATGAGTACTTGTGTTTCTAAAGTATTGACTAGTTGTATGGTGAGTAGAGTGGATGAGGATCCACTCGACCTATTGATGATGAGAAAGCATGGTTATATACCTCTTCTCAGCATCGCCAGCGATGCTGCTCCTGCTCTCTCTCCAGAGAGTACCTTCTTCATCGAGTACTGCTCAGGGGCCTCTCCTGCTTGGCACCCCTGTGCCTCTTGAGCTGTGTCGATTCCTTCGACACTGCTCCTCCTCCTCATGACCTGATGTCAACTCCTTCGACACTGCTCCTCCTCCTTATGACCTGATGTCGACTCCTTCGACACTGCTCCTCCTCCTCATGACCTGGTGTCGACTCCTTCGACACTGCTCCTCCTCCTTTGATCAGTGACAGTTCCTTTGGCTCTTGTCTCTCGAGCCCCTGAGTGGTAACCATCTGCATGCTCCTTGAGCTTGGTCCTCTTCGTGGCTGTGCCTGCTCCTTGAGCTTGGTCCTCCTCATGGCTGTGCTTGGCCCTCCTTTGCATGTGAGTCCATAGGAGTCCATGGTCTCCATGGAGACTGCACTACGACCATGCTCTCTACTGATCTCGACTAGATCTTCGATACCTGTGCTCCTTCCATATGAACCCGTGACCCTCCTGCTTCTTGAGCATCCAGGCCCATGACAACAAGCAAGTCATCTCACCTCTCTCCATCATGATTGAGTGTGTTAGTGAACTCTATTATGGAATGCACGATCTCAGTCCATTCCCAAACCAAATCGAACTCAGCAGACAATTGTGTGCCGAAAGCAGTCTTCCATTCATCCCCCTTCGCGATGCGGATGAGGTTGTATGCCGCTCGCAGATCTAATTTGGTATAGATCTTTGCCTTCCAGAGCAGGAACAGCTGTGTAAGCGATCACGCACCAGAGACTAACTGAGGTTGATTGAGTAAGGTCTACTCGATATGTTTCGCCTAAACATAACCAAGCATCGCCACCTAGTAAGTCTCAACTGACTGCCTTGAACACTCCATTCAGAGGTTGCGTGGCATGAATGTTGTTTGTTGGTGAGTGGGTGATACACCCTCCCTTACAGTATGAGTGTTCATAGTACTGTTGTTAATGCTCTTGGATGTCATCTGGACAGTGATATGCCAATCACCTACAGAGGATGGGAGTTACTGGACTGCTGGTGTGAATCACCACCTACAATAACTGACTGGACTGCTGGTGTCAAGCAACACTGCCTACAGTAATGAACTGGACCACTGGTGTGAAGAACACTGCCTACAGTTGTCAACTAACAGTGATACAACACACACATTGAGAGTTGTTGCAAGAGCACTGCTATTGCAATGATATGTAACCAAGTAAAGTATAAAGTAAGTAAGTCAAGTCAGAGTGGATGCCGATCCACTCGTATGCTTGTGGTAGAATGAGAGTATTTATGTGTCCAGTTGGTGTTTTCCCTCAACACCTATCCTGCTCCTCTTGAGGGGCCTTTGTCCCCTGTTAGGCACTGTCTTGTCCTGCTGGCACCAATCCCTTCGATACTGCACTCCTACCATTTGCATGGCATAAGGGTTATGCAACACTGCCCTCTCACCTTCATGCTCTCCTTCTGCCTGATGTGTGATGCCCCCTTTCAACACAGCTCCCTCTCAACTTTATCTTGTGAAACCTCTTTAGTCACTTGTTGAACCTCATGACCATACCCCTTGGTCATGTGGTCACATTGGCACAGTTCTGTCTCAACTTGTCTTGTGAAACCCCTTTAGTCACTTGTTGAACCTTGTGACCCAACCCCTTGGTCATGTGGTCTTGTTGGCACAACTCTGAGTACTTGTTTGTATTGGCTGACTAGTTGAGGCATGCTGATCCAACTGACCCTGACTGATCCCATGAGATTGATCTGGATTCCCAGGGTTCAATCAATCTCGTAATTCATATGTGCTGCCAACCTGATTAATCTTGTTGTTCCCCAATGGTTTTTGACTCTGATCAATCTGGCACACCCTTCATATGTTGATCTTCTGTGCACCCTTCATATACTGCTCTGTTACATGACATTACCATAACTGCCACTGATCATTTTGGTGCACTCTCTTGCACTGGCCAGCCAACCCTATGACATTACCCCCCCTTCCAGAGCCGAGCTCCATCGAGGTTATATAAGCCCTCCTTCATCCTTCTTTTCATCCCCTCTTTCTTCTCCTTTTACCATATCATGCAACCAATATCCTTCTACTCGGTATGTCCTGTCTTCATCATTCTCGTCCTTTGAGGACTTCCCCTTCTCCTCCTACTACAATGGTTGAGGTTTCTAATGATGACCCCACCCCTCAGAGTCTGACTTCTTCTATCCAGACTCCCCTGTTGCCTTCGTCTTCCCTTCCTGATGACTTGGCCTTCCCAAGCCCAACTGCTTCCTTGCTTTCCCTCTGCTCCTCCCTTGGGCACATGTATGGACCTGATCCTTTGTTCCTTGACTTGGAATGCCCCATGACTTCCTCCTCCAACCATTGTGATGCTGTGGAAGTAGACTTGGCATGTACTCCAGCCCCTCCTTCCCCTGAATGTCATGTACCATCCAATGGTGAGATAGCTGGTTGGTCTGAAGGATTGGTGGTGTCTAGGCTGGTGGTAAAAATCGCTACTGGGGACTATCCTCCAGAGTGGGAGGTAGGTAGAGGTTCTTCAACTGAATGGCGGCTGCACTGCCTGGCCATGCTTTGAATGACCAAGGGTTGTATGCCCTGGCCTAGCTGGCAATGTGCCTGGTGTGTTAGTCTTAGTCTTCCATAAGTAATCTTTGTGCACCATTCTCTTTCTTCCTGCCATTGCTAACCTCCTCTCTTTTTTTAGTTGTTTTCCTTCTGCATTCATCAACCCCTTCATCCCTTACAGTTGTGTTCCTCGCACCTGCACTCATTGCCACCTTGGCAACTTGGCACATTGCAAATGGACAATTCCCATTTCTCCAGACATGGAGTACCTTGGTGACAGTCCTCCCAGCAGGCAGCCTCGGGGCACTCACCTGGCAGAGCATGCACATCTGACTGTGACCAATGGTTATGGTCTGGGATTTGTTTGTGCCAATGATCAAGTGACTGACCCCAACATGTCTGACAAATGGATATTTGCCATTGGTGTTCTCTGGTGCTTGCCTAGCTGAGT